TCTACTCCTCAATCACAGTCAAGCAAGAAAGACGAGGAATTCCAAACAGAGAACGAGTCTTTCTTCGCAGTTCACGAATGCAGGGAACCGTGTTTCGAATTGAAATTGTTGCAGAAATTCTTACATTCGTCATTCGTGTACCTTCTGTGTGGATCGTAACGCACCATCTCATCTACAATCTGTCGGTGACCCCACAACTTGACATCTCAGGGAAGACGTGTCTCATAAACTTGACCATTTATTCAGTCGTACAAGATCATTAGAGCCAATACGTCCGAACGATGGCGATGCGACCTAGTGGAGCCATTTGAAGAGCTTGCTACTTTTTTGCTTTTTTTAGTTTATACAATTTTTCTGCTTTTTTTCAATTTTTGTTGTTATACTTGTTAGCCTCCTTCTTAGACTTTTACAGAGAGAGAGTTGTAAGAGTTATACTTGTAGTTATGCACCCAGCAAGTACTTACATACTTTCAGGTTACGCATACTCGATAGCTCAGATTCGAAAACCGCCTGGGCTTGTGCTCCTCATACTCGTAGCCATTGCTTCATTTCAGTACGATCGACTTCGACAGCCCCTTTTTCATGGAATAGTCACCTTAATATTCATGGCCATCCTCCATTTCATCTTTTCTCCTCTACTATTGTTCCTTCTACTCGATCGTACTGGTACTGCTAAAAAAGTAGTTTTTTAGGAGCTTTCTTGGTCTCAGCTGAATCAACATGCAATTCATTTTATGAAATGATCTCAATCTTCGAATTATGCGACTGATAGAAAGACTGTCCTATCTAGTAATGCGACACTAGTACTAGCAGACGATTAACAATAGCATTGTTGACTCATCCACCCGTAAGGCAATCGCAAACATTCATCTTCAAACTTACCGTTAAAAATTAACATTGTGCAGGAGCAGGTACAAGAACATTCATAACCAACATAAATAAATACAAATCATCATCATCTTGTTATTTAAGGATATTGCATTATCCAAAACGCCAAAAAAAAGTTCATATTTGCTTTTCAACTCAAAACAAATACACATCTTCGATCTTAGACCTCTTCTAGACTACTTCGAAGCTCCCTTGTATGTTGTAGTTCTTGTAAATAAGTACTTCTCTATTTGTTCCTTTTACAGCCCCACATCGCTGTAGTCCGCCTTGACGTTCATGATCTGACGATCTCTTCCACGACCTCTACATCTTCTTGAAGACACCTGGTAGCTAGTTGTGGACGACTACCCCGCTAATAGAAGAAGACACCCAGTAGTAGTACTATCCACCTTGGTTTAGAAGAGGACAACCCCAACTTGTGTCACCTATTGAAAAATATCCTCCACCTCTAGAAAACGCCAAAGTTGTAAGGACAAGAGAGTCCTGGAGTAGCCGGAACCTTGAACCAGCCGTCTGGCTCCAAAAAGGCGTCACGCTTCGAAGAAGCTCCCGACAAACCGACGATCGCGACGATGACACCAACCAAGGAGGCAGCAGATAGTGCTCCAAGCAGGGCCCATGCAAGGAGAGATGGCTTCTTGGTCGTGCTCGTAGGGTGATGCGCTTGTTCTGTTTGTTGTTGAGCCACGGACGCGGCAGCCTTGGAGGAGGTCTTGAGGAGGACTAGGCCAGTAAGACTCGCACAGAACAGGGCCATCAGAATCCACAACACGACATGCGCAGTGACCTTAGCGTTGTAGAAGTAGTCCTGGAGCTCTCTTTGACGCTTAATCTTGGTTCTGGCGAGCGCCAACAAGCGGCGGAAGAACTCCTCATGAGGCAGGCGCAAGGTGAGGCTGCGACGCAATTCATCCAGTTGCTGTTGAGGGTTGCGTCCACCCATCAAACCAGCAGCACGGCGTCGGTCCGCTGCCTCTTGAGCTTCAATCTGACGCGTTCGCTGCTGCTGTTCCTCCGCCAGTCGTCTTCGCTCCTCTCCCGTAGGCACCTGCACCCGCGGAGGAGTAGGAATCACAGGCGCAGCGACCACGGGTGCTGTGATGCCGCTGGCGGCGGCTGCTTTCCAGGCAGCTTCCTGCGCCTCCTCCGCTCTTTTCTCGTTGTTCTCAACCTCGCTCAATCTCTTCTGGTAAGCTTGATGCTTTTCGCTCGATGGGTCCGGTGCGATGAGCCAAAGGCGCGCGATGCGTTCCTGCCGAATGCGTTCTTTCCGGAGCATCGTGAAGGTCAGCCCCGTCTTTCCAGTTACGGGGTCAGAATGCACTGGCATATCGCGAACAATATATCCGGCTGTGTTGTAAACAAGATTACCGTCAAAAAGCGCCTTGGTCTCAATCCGTACCTCGCTACAATCGGGGAGGAAGTGTCGCAGCACTGTGTCTTCTTTGTTTGCCTTTTTTAGCTCCAATTTTCTCTTCACAATGGGCAATCTTGCTGCAGGATGCTCTTTTTGCCAGTGGCCCCAACGGTGCAAAGGTATGTTACTTTGCAAGTAGGCACACCTGTCTTCTGGTTTGTCCGATACTTGGTAATGCCAGCCGCCATCGGCGCCAAGAACCCGTTCTTTTTCGAAAAAAGTATGCAATTTCATGTGTTTTCGATCAGTCGGAGTGTAGCACATTTCTTCGTCACGTACTTCCGGGTCTGAACTCCCTTCTAAACGCATTACAACTCCATCAGGCTGATCCTGGAAGGCGGTTTCGTCAGCGTTAGCATAAATTGGCGCCTTTCGTATGTCTACCAGTGAGAAATGGTGCACCACTTCAAAATGATCAGTAATATTTGAATCTTCTGGGCGCGTGCGTCGATAAAAATCGTCTGGATTCTTGTTTAGCGCATCCCGCGGGGACATGCCGTTGTGATAATTCAAGTACATACGTGCACCTCGCTTGTCCGCTGGCCATGCGTCTTGTTGTGTCTCCCCGTCAGGTTTCGGAACGGGCTGCGCGCGCAAAGCGGCATCCCTAGCTGCGCGGTTTCTGCGTTCTTCTTCTGTAGTTATGCCAAGCCAACGCGTGGGTGTGCGAGGAGCGGGTTCGGCGATTGGCAAAGGGCCTTCTCCTCCAGCGCCTGCTCCTGCACCCAATTGCACGACAGAACCTGCTCCTGCCGCAGCTCCTCCCAGAGCTGGTCCTCCACCCAATTGCACGACAGAGCCTGCTCCTGCCAGTGCTCGTCGCACAGCGGCTTTCACTTGTTCCATGCGGGTTTCCAGTTCGAGCGAGTTTGTAATGGGAACTCCACTCTTCGCTTTTTAAAGGTTTCCACATTACATTCTTCAGAACATGTCCTTTGACCTAAGTTTTCTACTTGAAAAAAGGCCATGACCTAAGTTTTCTGCTTGAGATCAAATGGTCAAGGATGTTAGTGGGGGATGTTGATGTAATGTGGAAAGCCTTACCTTTTAGGATACAGACCAACCGTCCAAGGATCGAAGTTACTGTTTTGCGCAAGTTTATTGGCCACGTCCTTATCCTCACGAATATCGCTTCCAAACAGCGATACATCACGAGAACGCGGCTCCAGCAACGATTGTCCTCCGGTCGTAGACGAGAAATTCATGGGTGGCATGCCTCCGTTGCGAAGCTGCGACATGCTGATGCTTCTCATTTGAGCTCCTGGGATAATGCTTCTCATTTGAGCTCCTGGGATATCTCTGGTGCCTGCTGCCGTCATGGTGGAAGAGGAGCGAGCACGCATGCCTGCTGCATCAACAGTCACGAGCCCGAAGGCCAAAGCGGACCCCACAATCATTGACTTCATCTTGTTTTCCCTCTATTTCTAGCTCTACAACTAGACGAGAACTATATAATTTGAAGGATGTAGATCAAGACCTTGTTATGTCCTTGTGATGTTTCAAATCTTCTATTTGAGGACTACTTCTAATATTTGAGCTACTTCTTCTAGATCACTTACAAATATCTTGCTTTGATTTTCTTTATGCTTCAGAAGTTCTTTCGAACAATCATGCTTGAGTCTCCTACTCGATAAAAAACAAGGAAGTGGCAAATATAATTCTAAGTGCTTTGTTTTTGAAATCAATGCTAAATCTTTTTATCCAGTAATGTTGGATACCTTTGACTCAAGTATTCGAAAGCAATACGGCTTATACGAGTGCTGTTGGGGTTTGGCGGGTTGGAAAATTTAAGACGGTTGCGACGATGAAGCATCAGTCCTCAAGTCTTTGTCTTTGACCTCTTAGGAAGATCACGATTTAAGATTTAGTCGTGTCAAGATCAGTATCACTGATTAGAGTGTCACTCTGGTGATCCTCAGATTTTGATTTCTTTAGAAGTTCTGAACTGTCCTTGTTGATCTCTATCTTGATCTTTGTGTTGTTTCGGATCTTCAACTTGAAATTCTCTAGTTTATATCGTCCAGATCATTTTTTGATTTCCCTCTGATGGAGTTTGAGCACGTGAACCACCTTAGCCATCTAAGATTTCTGCCGGTGAAACGTACTGTCGCTTTGGTTTTGGTGGTGACGTCATCTTGTGGTATTCGAGGTCAAGCAAGAAATACTTCTGGTCCCGCATACAGCAAAAGACGTAATCTTCATGATCATATTGCTGCAGATGCAGGTAGTTCTTGAAAAGACTACTAACTTTTACATTTCCGTACTATTCATTTCATTGCGTAGGTTGATTCAGATCCTTGTCGATCATGATAACGAGGTAGTGGTACTAAAACTAAGCAAAAGCATATCATGTGGTAAGAGGAACTTTCTGATACTGGATGTGTGCCCACCATAAATAAGATCATGGCGTCTGCTCCAACAATCGTATATGGCTTTCGGCGAGACAACGCAGTTCAACATCTTCCTGTGAAGGTTGTAGTTATTGCACTTTTCCATTTGTGGTCGCGTCTATGAGGTACAAGAAGGAAAGTTTGGTGGATCATACACTTATATTTTTTAGAAGATCGTTCAATTCGTGTAATGTGTGTGCGATCATGAGGGTACGTAATTTAGGTGCTAGCAGGCAGTAAATCAAAATCATGACTACATTTCGAATTCGAAACTCCTTTCTAGTGAATACAGATGCAGCTTCCTTTGTGGACTTAATCTGCCTGGGGGTGAATACTGAAGAATACTCTATTTAAATACTATTAAAAATCCCCGAACACTCTTCGCCTTTAATGTGAACACTAAAGGACCCCTAAGACGCCTTTAATGTGAATGCTAAAGGACTCCCCTCCCCTTTAGTGTGAACACTAAAGGACCCTTACGGCGCCTTTTATGTAAACACTAAAAGACCCTTAAGGCGCCTTTAATGTAAACACTAAAGGACCCCTAGGGCGCCCTTAATGTAAACACTAAAGGACCCCTAAGACGCCTCTAAAGTGAACACTGAGGGCCTTTCATGTGGGCAGCGGATGGCCTTGAGGAAGAGCAAGAACATCTTCAACAACAGCAACAAGAACAACAGCAACAAGAACAACAGCAACAAGAACAACAGCAACAAGAACAACAGCAAGAACAACAGCAAGAACAACAGCAAGGACAACAGCAAGGACAACAGCAAGGACAACAGCAAGAAGGACAGCAAGAACAACAGCAAGAACAACAGCAAGAACAACAACAACAGCGAGAACAACAACAACAGCGAGAACAACAGCAAGAACAACAACAACAGCAGCAGCAGCAAAAACAACAAAGACAGCAAGGACAACAACAACAGCAGCAACAACAAGAGCAACAAGAACAAGAGCAACGACAGCAACAAAACAACAGCAGCAACAACAAAGCAGCAGCAGCAAAGCAACAGCGACAAAACAGCAGCAGCAAAACATCAGCAACAAACAGCAGCAAACAGCAACAAACAACAACAACAGCAACGACAGCCACAACAGCGACTATTTACATACTACGAAAAACCCCCGAGCACTAACGTGAACACCAGAGGACCCCTAAGACGCCACTAATGTGAATGCTAAAGGACTTCCTTCCCCTTTAATGTGAACACCAGAGGACCCCTAAGGCGCCTGTAATGTAAACACTAGAGGGCCCCTCGCCTTTAATGTAAACACTGAAGGACCCCTAAGACGCCTCTCAAGTAAACACTGAAGGCCTTTCATGCTGCCACATTTTCAGGGGGAATCGGTGGCAGTACTGCCACCTTCCTCTTGTATTTAAAGCCTGCGCGCTCCCGCTCCCCTTTGCCGCAGCGCGGAGGGGAGTGCGCGCCCTTCGGGCGCCCGTTTCACCTTGTGAAACCATTCACCCCTGCCCACGTCCCTAAAGTATCCCTTTCCCTTCCTTAACGTCTCCCGGGGCACCCGGGCCCGGGGAGTACATAGTGTCCAAAAACATTTTCTTATACGTCAAGAATACTGGGACGGAGAATATATGCAGCTCAAAGAATTTCACACCTAAATCATTGCACTTATATGTTGTCTTAGTCTTTCTTTATCTTCACTATGCACATTGTGAGTCAAAGTTTTTTATCTAAGAATGTTGTACAACATTATGTGAAGATGCTGCGCTAGAGCCAGCTAACAGCGGCTTAAAAAGATACTGCTTGTCACTCAAGACAGAAGCAGGCGTGACGGCTAGCCCTCCAACTCCAAGGGCTCGCTTTTTCTGTTCCGCTGTAGTCGTCGTGCCCCTTTTTCCAGATGTATCGGAGGTGGTCGAACAGGTTAGAACTTGTTTTTGTTTAGGACCACTGCCTCTCGTTTGCTCTCTCCGAGAGGGGTATTGGCGAAATCTCTGGTGCCACCAAGTAACACCACAGAGAGAGCCGACCCTAACCTGAACTTCTGCAACAACATCAAGAAGAACAAGAAGTAGATAGTACAATTATATCAACTACTAGAACTACTAGAACTAGAAGTACTTCCGCTTCCTGTTCCTAGTTGCACTAGGACGATCATGAATATCATTACTTATGAATTTTGTACTTCCTGTTCCTAGTGGTACTAGGCCAATTATGGATATCATTAGAAGTTATGTTTTGTACTTCCTGTTCCTAGTTGTACTAGGACGCTTATGGATATCATTATACTTATTTCTTTTCATCAGCATGACCATGACCAAGTTGACTTTGTTCATGACCAACCACTACACCATAAAGCAAGCATGACATTGACAGGACTCCTGCTTTCCCTTTCTCTGCTCGGATCGATAACCCGCTTTGTTCGAAGATTTCGGATCACAGGATGTTCACCTGGTAAGGTCCATTTCTCCGCTAGGCGTCGACAGCTCTCGGGTTGTTGGACTAGCATCCGCATTTGTCGCATCTCTCGCCTACGCTCTACTCGGGATTCAGATTAGAACAAGTAACCATGGAGGTGGTACTAGTCATTGCCAATAGACGTACGCCGGCATTGATCATGCCTTCCTGCTCGATGGGCGCCGTGGGATCTAGGTCCTGAAGATTACCTCTCTACATTCTGGTCATGGAGTCAAAGCCAACAGGGGTGTGTGGAACTGGAAGTTACGAGTAGTTGTATCATGTTCATGACGTTGTAGGAGCCAAAAAAACGCTACTTCATCACCACGACCATCAGCATCTTCACGGTCCTCACAATAAAAGTTCTCCATAAACTCCTCTCCCTCTCCCATGTGCTGAGTGTCCTCCTTTGTTCACGGGTACAGTCTGTAATTGCACATGTTTCGATCCTTGTCTTCGTGCTGGAGGCGTTGCAGCAACTACAGAGCTTTTCCTTGTACTGTTGTAGGAAGAATTGTGCGAACTCGGGAGTGAGAAATTCATCTGCTCTTGGATGAACAAACTCGTTCTCCGACTACTCTCAGCTGTTGCTGACGACAAGTATTTTGGACCTGTTGATGTAGTTGTGTTGGATGAAGAAGTTGCGGGTATGATGTTACTAGTAGCAGGATTCTGTTGAAGATTCGTGGTGCCACCACCCGGAACTATACCAGATGCAGCTGCTATTGCCCCCAAAGCGCTATCGACAGCACCAAGTCCACCGGCGCCTTGTTGTCCAATCTTTCCTGCCACCATCTGTGAAAACTCAGTGACTTTCTTTCTGCTGGCACCGAAAACGTCGAAACTGGTTCTGCGTGACACTTCTCGAGACGTTTTCGTAGAGGCGTACCGACTACTATTCACACTGTTTGGGCACAGTGTACTCCGACCACTAGGTTCCCGCGAAGACCGGCTGGAAACGGCGCCACGATCGTCTTCGTCTCCCAGAACAATCTCTCGATTCGTGTCCTCCTTGTACCGTTTTTGCACTTTGTTCCGCAAACTTTTCAGTTTTCTCCGCTTTTCCTTCGTTATGTAGCTAGTACTTGAAGTAGCCGTGTGGTTTTTGCCGTGTCTAGATCTAGGTGAAGCGGAGGACATGGAGTAGGAGCCTGTATTCTGTCCAGGCACAGCACCCCCAGAACCAGCAGAGTTGTAGTCTCCTAGAAGAGTTGTGCCTCCCGGTCCTCCCATGGTACTTGTTGTCGCACCTCCACCTCCACCACCCAAGGGAAATCCACCTCTAGACCCTCCGTTCACTCCACTGCCGCCAGAGCCAAGCTCTCCCCCACCTCCAGACCCTCCCAGAGGTGATTGCTCCATAGTTGGGCTGCTAGTTGCCGCTGACTCTTGATATCGTCTTCGTTGAAGGTATCGCATCGGAAAAACGCCTGACCTAGCATGCGTCGTTGAAGAATCATAGCGCGGAGAGTGGTCGGTGTAGTTGTAATACGAATTCGCACAACTGTCGACCATCACTTCACGTGTTGGTCGTTGCAGGTTGCTTCCGTCACGCTCTGAGTCTGAAACGAAAGGAAACAACTCTCCAGCTGGAGAGGAAGGTGAACCTTGCTGAAGAGGAAGACCGCCTGCACCCACATCACGCCCTAAAGGATATTGATTCGCCCAAAAATGCTGGTGTTGTCCGCTTGCACCAATGTCGACCGGGTTCTTCGAAGATTTTTCCAATTGCTCCAAAGCGCTATTGGTCAAAGGAACGCTTAGCTTCGCACTTGAGGGGGAAGAAGAGGAGTTCGCAGTTATTGGACTCGAGGAGGATGGGGGAGCACTAGTTGCGGCGGGTGGAGGTGCTGGCACCGGTGGTGCTGCTGGTGGTTGTTGTTCTACTCCTCCTTGCCCCGCGAGCATTTGACTTTCCAATACTTGTTGTCTCACCGAGCTCGCATTTGACGGCGACGCGCTAGACGGAGACAAAAGCGCAGTCTCGATCTCCAGTTTGTTCTTGTTTCCCCTCTGTGGTGAAGGCGACAGACTATTTTGGAGTAAGGTCGGATGCAAATGTTGTGAAGATGTTGGCGCAATCGCTGCTGGACTTGAGAGACTGGTTCTTGCGAGAGTTTGTTGAGGTTGCAGTAATGATCGTGGTGAACCGGAAGCAGCTCCTGCGGGAGTAGATGATTTGTTTAGAGAACTGGAAGAACCCGGAGATGGAGGTGCTTGACGACCGGAATCAAGGTTCTTAGGACTTGTTGCTCTATCTCTATCAGTCAGGTTTGCAGTGGCTACCACTGAAAAACCTGAGGCTCCTGGTGCTCCACTAACACTGCTGGTTCCACCTGATGTACTCGTCGTAGTACTGACGTTATTCATAGAACTACTTCTTTGATTCGTAGTTCCACCTCCACTTCCTCGCTTATCTTTCTTTTTCCTTTCAACTAAAGGGACTGACAAATGCTTTTTCGTCGCGGACATTTGCGACATGACACTAGACACAGAACCACGACTTGTGCGTCTGCTACTCTGAACGGAGCCCTGTCGTGAATTATTAGACGAGCGTGGAGGCGAGGATGTCACTGGTGGAGGCCTCTGATTTGGGTTCTCTAAGACGGTTTTTAACCCTTGTTGCTCTCCTACTTGATGGTGCTCAAGACCAGAACCGTCGTGGTGCATTTGGCCACCACCTCTAGTACTACCAGCAGCTCCGCCACCTCCAGCTCCAGTATTCGATGATGAATTTCCACCACCTCCTGCTCCACCGGCTCCAGCGCTAGTACTTGGTTGAAAAAACATCACGTTGTCCTCGAACCTTCGAGGTGTGGTTGCACGTGGAGACCTGCGTTGTTCATTCCCAGAAGAAGAAGAACCGTGGCCGGACCGACCGCTAGACCCACCAGGACGACCACTACTGTCATTGCCTCCAGAAGATGCACCTCCAGCGCCACCAGTCTGATTGCTGATCACGCGGCTTCCACTCCGTGTCCGACCGCCTCTCGGCGTACCATTCGCACTCCCAGTTTGACTTCGTGGATGCGGTTTTGCCAATTCGTCTAAGCGTTTTCGATCCGACGTAGGTCCACCTCCCGACGAAGTAGTGACGTTGTTGGCACCAGTGCTGGAAGAGCTAGTGTTTTGGCCTCCTCCCCCACTGCCTGCGTGATGTCCTCGTTCCGAGTCGGACGCTGCTGGCGATCTACTGGACCGGCTCGTGTCTTTCCCGCTCTGATTTTCACGGGCTCTGCGCTCTTTCCTCTCCTTCCTCTTGGCTGCGCGTTTTGAGCGACCCTCCGTGTCCGAGTTAGTGGGGTCTCCTGCAGATTAGAGTTTTTAAAGCTAAGTAGGTAACTACAACTGGTAGCTGTGTCTAATTGTACTTCCTCTAATGACCGAAGCAATTTAAGCAACTCCATAAGATGACGCTTCCTTCTCGATCTTTAGTCCAGCACGTGGATACAGAGCTCTCGCCTCCTTAAAGCGTTTCTTCGCGTCTAGTACAAAAGGCATGTCCTGCAGCTTGAGACCACGCTTGACCGCGGCTTTCAGTGCACGAAGGAGTAGCTTCTGGGAAATCACCTTGAAGTGGTAGTTCACGACTTGGAGGAATCAAATACTTACTGGGTAAAGTCACATCGATAACTTCGCGAAAAAAACGACAGCAGCCAATGAAGATACCATTCATACTTATGTCAAATCTGAATTTTACCCGGATATCGCAGATCCCTTCTGTCACGAACGTTCCCACGTTCCGTAGGTTCAACAAACACGCCATCTCCCCAAAAACTTCTCCCGCCGTATGCGTCCGAATATGCTGCCCGTTCAAACTGTATCGCACTTGTCCCCGGCGTATGAGAAAAACGTCGCTTGCCAATTCTCCTTCTGTCGCGATCTGCATTTGCGGTTGAAAAATCCGTACTTCTAACTCATCGCGCAATTGGTTTAGGAAGATGCGATCACAAGTCGCAAAACTCCTAAAATGCTCAAACTCTGTGACGCTGGCATTGCCTCTGGGAGTGCCAGGCATGCCGGTACTTTTTGGTGTTAAGGCCATTTTCGAGCGGGAGTCTGGGGTGGAGGTCGGAGTAGTTCCAGCACAACAGGGTAGTATGTTACGAAAACTAGTAGATCCTTCTGCGTGTCTTCAACCACGATCTTCAACCACGATCTGATTGATCGGGTCTGCGATGCTTGCTTCCTTGTCGCTAGCAGACGGCAAACGAGGCACGGCGCACCGGTGGTTTGAGTTCAGCGCCGCCGTGCGACACAAAGCAAATGAGACGAGAGGTGGCAAATCTCTTCATCATCATGAACAAGGGAAGCAGTGAGATACCTTTTTTGTGTTCTTTTTGACTTTACATTATAACAAAAGCACGAGATGAAACGTTTATCCTCTGACCCATCTGATGATTAATCATGCTGGAGAACACGTAAAAAAAGTCTACTAAGCTTCTACTGGGAGTTCAACTTGAAACATATCTACAATGGCCGCCTTCGTTGATTGATATTCACGGTACTAGTAGCAGCATAAGAAATATGGGGTCTACCTACAACATAACCACACGGGGCTTGGGGGCAAAGTCCAAACCTGACAGATAGACACAGAGCAGGACAGAGACTCATATAGCTGCCGAGTCAACACAGAAGATGACACGACAGATGAAATCAATTGGAACTGCATCAGGGACTTGCCCTCTGACTAGTACGTATTTGTTCTTGAGCTCATCTTCCTCATCTCTCATTTTTTACATCTCTGTCTCTCTGTGCTAGTAATGGTGCTCGTGCTTTATTGTGGTCTAGGAATATTCTGATACATAGACCACGCTGCAAGCTGCAGCTCACCGGCAGAAAGAATGATGCATCTGAAAAAACGAGTGAAAGAAAGATGAAAGACACTTCGGACTTAAAGAGCACGTATTAGATCATTGACAGAAATTAACAGACCGTCTGTCTTCTACGTCCTACCGTCAAAATCGAAACCCGAACAACATGAGTTTTCTTTAGACTCGTCAGAGACATTCTGCCTCGGACGAACCGATGCTGGGGTCCCTGATCTTGAGTTTCGCAGTATGACATCTATAATCGAACAAATGAATGCAGCCAGGGATAGGTAGGGATCATGTGATGTACCTGTCTAAAAAGATGATGGAGTTCAGAGTTTCTTAATATGCGAATGAAGTTGTACGCGCGTAAGCGGAAAGTTTCACCGCTGATGACGTTCCTTGGTCTGAGGCGGTTTTTCAATTATTACACAATCTGGTAGTCTACGAGAAGATTGAAGAGGTCTTCTGGTAGTTGTAAATGTAACCCCATTTACCTTCGCCTACCACGGGACCTTGATCTCCTCCTGGAATTGTGTCTCTTTTTGTCGCGTCCCCTAGAGTTCTGCCGAGGTCTGCGATCGTCACGTCTGTCCCTGTCTGGAGCTCCTGTCGTTGTTTCTCTACTTCTGTCACTCCTGTCTGGTGGAATGTTTCTGGTACTGTTGTTCGTAGAAGCCATATGATCTGCTCCTGAAGCAGACGTTTGTATCTGTGCTGATGGTGCATAAGAAGATGAAGAGGAGGAAGACTCTTGTGCCGCGGTTTGTCCCCTTGGAGGAACAACTTGTGCGGCTTGCTGCATCATTCTCATACCTGCTGGCGCTGATGCTGATGCGGATGCTGCTGCTGGCTGCGTCGGATTCACCACACCTGGCACCGGCGGCTGCATCATCCCCATCACTCCCGGCGATGTAGCTCCAGTGCCTGTCACCGCGGGTGCCTGCATCATACCCATTGTTCCCATCATATTAGTCCTAGGATTACTTGCCACTCCACCAGCCATCACATTACCTCCTACAGCCCCTACTCCCGCCGCGGCATTTGCAGCCATCATCGTGGTCATCATCGCTTGCATCATCTGCAACTGCTCTGGCTGTATATTCGCCATCTGCTTCATCTGCTGCATCATCATTGCAGCAAAAGGGTTGGCGTTGATGTCCACTGGGGGAGGTAATGTTGTAGGCACTGATGGTAACGATGTAGGAGGAGGTGCTGTTGAAGAGGAAGATGTCGCGATGGGCGTTGGGTTTGGTGCAAGAGCGGCTGTCGTCATCCCAGGTGACAGGACTGGCGCACTTGCAGTCGAGCTGGAAGAAGTACAACATGTAAACGCTACCGCGGGTTGCCCCACTTGCGACGCAATCGCGTTATTGCCTGCAACTACATTCTCGAGGACGTCGCCCATCGCAATACTATCGTTGCTAGACGATCTGATGTCGCCTGGAGCTAAATCTGCATCCTGTTTGTCTCCAACAGCCGTTCCTCGTTTCGTCCGAAATGGTGCTGGGCCACGCTTGACGGCACCTAGTGCACCCTTTTTCTTCTTCTTCCTCCCATATTCATCGACACTCTCTTCGTCGCTGTTATACTCGTTTCGGTCCACGTCTTGCCGATCATAGTAGCCGCCGGCGCGACCTATTATGTTGAAGTCAATCGGCACGATAATTATCGCGGTTCAAACAAGAAGAAGAAGAAGAAGAAGAAGAAGAAGAAGAAGAAGAAGAAGAAGAAGAAGAAGAAGAAGAAGAAGAAGAAGAACAAGACACTACATTCTCAAGAAGATCTTTAGTATCCTTGAACAACAACTATCTTTGAACAACAAGTAGATAATTGGATTGACCACATTCTTGATTCTTCACCTCATTACTCAGTACCTTGATGTTCCATCTTGCTTTTTATCCTTTCTTGCGTGATTTTTGGCGCATTGCAGTTCTCGCATCGTGCGAACGCTTTATGGTTACTCTCGCCACAGCTAGGACATAGCCACTTATTGTCTGCTCCGATAATGCCTTCTGCCTCTTTCTGGGCTATCTGTTTTGCCACTCTCGGGTCTGGTTGCCAGTCCTTTGGGCGTTTGATTCCGCATCGATTACAGGTGTCCCGCTTTTTGAAGTTGATGTTCTTACACTTCTCATTCGGACACTCCCAGTCCATCGGATCAGTGGTCTTGGGTAGCGGGTTCGGCCGTTGGGCGGTCTGTCGTGGTGGTTTGAGAGAGAAAATTGATGTGAAAATAGACGAACCCCAATGATCATGAGCGTCCTTCGTTATCGCGATATCGATCAAAGATCATCAAGAAGCAGAAAATAAGAAGTTGAGTACTTCCCCGTACCGTGGATTGTAGATGTCGCCGAAATTGAAGAGTCCCGCAACACCCTGCATCTTGTCGAAGGTTGTACCACGAGCAGTGGCTTTATGTAGAAGTAAAATGGTCGCCTCACTAGTAATCGGTATATTTTTACATCGCACTAGTTCTTGCTAGAAGATGATCTTGCTTTATCACACTAGTTCTTGCTAGAAGATAATCTTCCTAAGCTAAAGCAGCTAGAAATTATCTACTTCAACTACTTCATCTCATCATGCTGAAAATTGTTGTATTCTAGATAAATCGCATCCGTTAATACATCACCCTCTCCCCTCCTGGGCCTGGTCGGACTACAATGATCATATCCATCGAGGATTTTGGATGGAAGGAACGATCATAAATAGTACCCGCCCCGTGGTATTCTATCTTCAAAAATTCGTGTGATACGTCGTCGAACAACTTAGTACGGTTATTTTTTGAGGTTGATGGAAAACAAGAACAAGAACATACTGGCTATACTTTTTGTGAACAGAGAGATTCTTGGAGTTGCAATGATCGGCAAGAGCAGGATCGCGGTTTAGGGACGAACCCGCTCAGTGAATGACGAAAGAAAGGCTTCTGTAGGTATTCTCCTTCTAGCCTTTGTTCTGTGTGTTCGGATGATGTGATCGTGGTACTATCGGTTGCACTTTTCGCTTGCGTTGAAGAACATCTTTGGCCCGACTTATATATAATGCCAAGGAATTTTCCTTCAAAAAGATGCGTCAATGGGTATTTGGTTCTTGAAATTAATAGTTTGGAAGCTAAGAAAGAATCACCATCACATGTCGCGCGCTATTTCAAAACTATGTTTCGCATGAAGACAGGCACAGCGCAAGAAAAAGCATGTGCTGGAGATGTTTGTGGTTGATCACCATGAAGAACAGGTACATGCAGAAATCGAAGTCAAGCTCATATATTCTTCAGACTCAAGATATTTGCATAGAGGACACCCCATTTCCAATTGCACTTCCTCCGTTATAATACTGTTGCTGACGACCTAGACCACTACCAGGGCCACCACCGCCATCTACTCCAGTGCCCAAGGATGGTAATCGTTCTATGTGCGTTTTTATCGTGTGGTAGTCTTTTGAATCTTTGTTCAAGTCCATAGCAACGTGGAAGCACAGAAAAGCCTGTTTCGTGTTGCCTAACTTGTCATGGACTTTTCCAAGTTGAAAGTAGACGCAAGCTTCTTTGGGTGCTAAATTCCTCACTCGCTCTAAATCCGCCAAGGCGTCTGCATAGCGCTCTAGGGACATCAAGACGCATGCTTTTTGAAACAAGACCATGGCGTTTTGTTCTGTTGAAGAGGTTGAAGAAGAGGTTCCAGAAGAGGGGCCAGCAGAAGATGAACAAGATGATGATGCAGCACCAACGCCTGCCCCCGCACCTCCACCAGAACTACCACCACCATCTCCAATCCTTGCTGCGCGTTCGAAGTAGTCTAAAGCGAGAATGGAGTTGTTCAGGGTGTCCATTACCATACCCACGTAGCAGCCAAGAACGGAATTCCTCCCATTGATTTCGAAGGCTTTCGTGAAATGGAACCTGGAGTAGGAAGATGGAAGTGGACGATGGAGGAGAAGCTTAAGATTCGGATTGTCAAGTTTTCAGAAAAACACAAAGACACGACGTTGCTGGAGAAAATGATTTTCACCAAGGATGAAATCAGACTCAACCTTAACACGACGAGGAAGAACATCATATTTACAAGAAACCGGCGTCGCCCCTTGGGCGACACCTCCTTGATCACGGTAGAAACGAAGAGACGTGTGGTGTGCCTTGACTGATCTGATGGACACAGGTAGAGCATGAGTTCGCTCAAGATGAGGCGGGTCCTGAGTACTAAGGACCGCAGCACGAAAGGAATCGAGAGAAACGACAAAAAAAAAAGATCTGAGAGAAAAGGAGCACGAAGCAGCCCGGCCGTGACTGATCGCGATGCTTCATAGAAGTCATTTTTTTCATCCTCGACCGTGAAAGTAGAAAGTAAATACGCCGTCAGTGAGGTAATTAAAAAAGAAAAGCACAAAAGAAAAAATATGCTCTCGCTCTCCACCCGGCGTCCCGTGGTTCGAAAGCAGTGCCAGCATTGCAACAACCTAAATTCGGACCATGTTATGGCGATTAAATTGCGAACAGTATTTAGATTCACTCAGGGGACGGGGTAAATTTGAGTTAATTAGTATTAGCATGATACTGGCGCGGTCTCTATTCAATTCGTTCTCTTTCTGATCGTTGACAAAGTTGAGAGAAAGAGCCTCATCCATGCTCTGGCGCTATCATCAAGTGCCGCAACAGATCTAAAAAGGTTAGATCTGGGAGGAGAAACAGGGAAGGGCCCTCCGATCTCGTGCGCCTTCTAATGGTGGCTCATATGAGTGCCCGTTTCGTCCTCGTTGGGCGGACATGGATGACTTTTATCCAGAACGAGACTGGAGCTGCATGGAGGTCAAGAAAGGCGGAGCCTCTACCCAGGGGGCTGAGGAGTCAAAAGACAACGGGAAAGAGGGCGCAAACACCGACAACACAGAGCAAGCAGAAGAGGCAGGGGAGAACCGCAGCCGCAGCCCAGCAGACGACCAAGACGAAAGCCGTGAGGCTGAGCAAGAGCAAGGAGCGGAGGTGAGCGACAACGACGACGGAGGCCACCAAGGAGACAGCCGCGAGGCTTGGCAATGAGCAGAGGAGAGCGACAACGGCCCAGCAAGCCACGAAGGAGACAGCCACGAGGCTGGGCAAGAAACAGAGGAGAGCGACAACGGCCAAGCAAGCCACCAAGGAGACAGCCGCGAGGCTGAGCAGGAAGCAGAGGAAAGCGAAGGCGACCAGGCAGGCGGCCAAGGAGTCAGCCGCGAGGCGGAGCAAGAAGCAGAGGAGAGCGACGACCAGGCAGAGCACCAAGAAGAGCAGGCGGGTGCAAACGTCGGCAGCAACGACGACGGAAACGGGAACGGGGACGACGACAACGAGGACCAAGAAGCCACGACAGAAGAAGAGCAAGAAGGAGAGGACGCGCCGATGCCTATGGCAGAAGCCAGAGAAGGGGACGACGACGCCGAGGAAGAGATGGGAGCTTACTTATGTTGGAACAGCCTCCCGCTGACAATTCTACAAACGGGATCCGAGGCGCTTGCTTTTATTAATTTGCATTATTTACTTGGGGGCCAGTGGTTGGTAGAGTTTATTCTTCAGGGGCAACCGCTTCGGATTTCCTTGTGGAATTTGGTGGGCAGCAGAGCACGTCAGCACTAACTTACCGCGTCCATCCAGCTTTCTTCTGTAGGCCAGCAGATAGGGAATTTTTCGAGCTACATCAAGGCACGCGCCGCGTGCAATACCATGAAGGCGCTGGCCTCTTGTGTCAGCATGGTCGAAAGTTATGGCGCGAAATGAGAAGGAGAAACAAAAGGCCGCTACCTCTTGCTTCCAAATGGTTAAAAGGAAAAAGAAGCGAAGAAAACTAATTCACTTCAAAGACTGAGTGAACCCCGTGCAGATCTATAAAAGTCGTCAGATTTTTTCAAATTCTTCGGGGAGGTCGTGCAAATTTGGACGAATTTGCATGACCCCCACGGGATTCCTTAAAAAAAATCACATTGATCATCTGAGCCAGCATAAGGACGCCACAAATTCTAATTGATCTCCAAACCCCTCTCGACCAACTTCTTTGATCAAAGTTCGAGAACTTTCGAAAGTTGATAACTCAAGATCTTCAAGGGCTTCGCTTGTGAGTGACTGTTAACCACACGGGGGCGCGTAGTTGTCTAAGATATTAAAGAACCCCCCATCTCTCTAAGGCCGATCTGTCCGCTGAGAAAGAGTGGATGCACTGGAGACTCTTGCGGAAAGTGCCACAGTACGAACTGCATGAAAGAAAAGCGACGCAGGACGCGATATTATCGCAGTGGAGGTTGTAAAAAGGCAAACTTTATGGCGATCGCTTATTGTTCTCATTTTTCTGATAGTCCAGCGCGTGGCCTTTCTCGTCTTCTTCTAACAAACGGGAATCGTGGCGGCAGAGAGTGGCAGCAAAGTAAGCGAGATAAGGCGTCTCTGATGAGAATCTGCGGCCCAGCCCGCTTCGACAGACAGGGGGAGCTGACGCGCTCCGAACGCTTGGGGCTGGATATCATATTGGTCCCTTGTTTGAGGTGGTTTTGCGGCTCAGCCCGCTTTGACAGAGCTCGGCGCTCCTTGTGTGGATATATCATAATATAAAAATAAATTGATGAGGACTTGATGAACCTTAAACCCAAGTGGACTACTCTCGTGACGAGAAACTGCGGCCAAGCCCGCGACAAAGTGAGACTATTTACATGCCCACGGAACGTTCTGAAGACAGTGTAGCTAAATCTTAGAGATGGATGAGCATGCTCTTGGTTCGGTCAGATTATTTTATAGATAATATCGAGAACGCTCGCAAACAAAAGAAGAAGCGCGAAGACGTTTCCCGCCAACGCAGAGCCCACAGCAGAACCAAACTGCAAAAGCTGGCACATGGATAAGAGAAGAAACAGGCAAGGGCCACGCTACCTATACATCGAGAGAGAGGGACGAGAGTCACACTCTGAAGCGGTGCAAATTTGTGCGCCTTGCGTGGTAAACATTAAGCGAAAAAGAACCAAAGCGATGGCCTTAAGGAACCAGGGCAAGGCAAGATCTGGCTAAGAGAGTGGAAGAAGGCAAGGCCTTGCGAATGTTGCGTCTTTCTTGGCGATATTCTCGACGCAGGTCCCCACACTCTGAGGCGAGGGGGGGTCGCTTCTGTGGTTTTATTTGCTCTAGTGCTATAGTCAGCGCGATTGCTTTTCTTGTGAGGGATTGGGCCTCTATGACTTGGCTGCAGTCTTTCGAAGTAAGTAAGTAAGTGAATCTGAATGCTTGCGGACAAAATGAGAAGGAGCGCGGCGGCCTTTAGCCGCGTCGCTTTGTGGTGCTTCTTCAGCTGTCTAGCTTTCTTGGCTTTGTCTTTTGTCGCCGACCAGCGTGGGCTGTTCGCAGGTGTGGAGCAGCTACCCCACGGCGAAGCGGTGACGCGGCTGAGCTTGTGCGCCGAAGAGCTCTCTGGCGGGTGCCTCCTGCGGCTGAGCCCGCGCGTCGATGGCGCAAATGTGAGTAGCTGCGCGGATAATTTTGCGCGGCCAAGCCCGCGAAGAGGGCGAGAGGCTGCACGCGTGCGCGCAGCTGGTCTGTGTTTGCGGCTTAGCCCGCGGGGTGTGAACACGTGCGCAGATGCAGATCTGAGCGGCGGCGAGAACCTCCTGCGGCTTAGCCCGCGGGGTGTGAACACGTGCGCAGATGCAGATCTGAGCGGCGGCGAGTACCTCCTGCGGCTTAGCCCGCGGGGTGTGAACGCGTGCGCAGATGCAGATCTGAGCGGCGGCGAGAACCTCCTGCGGCCAAGCCCGCAACGGGAGCGAGAATCTGCACGCGCGCGCGCAGCTGGTCAGTGTTTGCGGCCTAGCCCGCGGGGCTCGAAGGTGTGCGCAAGGGTAAGTGGTGGCGAGAATCTCCTGCGGCCAAGCCCGCAACGAGGGCAAGGGGCTTGTAGCTCTTCAGCTCCAAGCATGTCCTTCAGCTTGGGGGTAGACTCTGGCAGCGCATTGCCAGCGCATGCGTTGGCTATAGCGTTTGTCCGTATCTTTCACATGCCGCGCTTCTGCTCAAAGTTCAAGGGGCTGAGCTTGCCTGTTCTGGGAGAAAGCTGGCGGCAAGTTTCAACGCGGCGGGGGTTGTGCTTCGATCTGCGGGCTTTTCGAGGGTTCCAAGAAAGAAGAAGGGGGAAATGTGGCAGGGCTTGCGGATGGGGGAGGAAGTGGCGCCGGGGATATCAAAATAAGAAAGGACGCAAGAAGCGGAACCGCATGGAGAGGGGTGCCGCGCTGACAGCTGCACAGCGTGAACATGCGCTGGCGCAGCACTCGGCGCGTGCGTCCGGCAGTCTCCGGACGGAGGTGAGCCGCGCCCGACGGCGTCGGGCTCGGGCTGCCAGCAAGTTTTTGAGGCGGTGGGGCTTCTTGGCTCTGCAGGGGCAAGGCGTGCAAGCTAGTGAATTCGAGGGCATGTCCATCGCTGAACAGCTTGCGGCCTTAAGCCATGCGGACGGCTTCGCGGTAGATGATGACATGGGGGAGAGCGTGAGGAGTGGCGGCAACTACTGGGATGGGGCTGAGTTAGACAAATTGGAAGAGGTTGAAGCTGGGCCAAACCTTGCGAAGGCTGCAGAGGAGGGCGAGGCGCGTGCCAAACATAAGGAGGCGACTCCCGAACAGCTTGGCGCAATGCGTCTCAAGCAGATCCGGGGCGGCTGCCCGTATTGCAAGCGGAAGCCTTTCTGGGAGGGGTCTTCTTCTATGCTGTGCTGCGGCAAAGGAGCGCTCGTCGAGTATGATGAAGATGGGAGGCCGAGGCCGTTGCTCGAGCCCTTGCCCCCCAAGGTGGCGGCGCTCTTCCGTGATCCAGAATTTGCGCGGGTGTCCATTTCCCTCAATAACTATCTAAGCTTGAGCTCTTTGGCTGTCACAGGTGGGCGGGCACAAATCAAAAAACCCGGCAGGCGTGGCGCGCCTGAGTCTCATAGAATTAAAGGCACGACGTCCACGAGACTGCTGCCGCCAGGCTCGGGGGGCGATGGTCATAACCCTCTCGGCTGGTTCCTCCGGCCGGGTGAGTATGGAGACAAAGCCAGACAGGAGGGAGAATACGCGAAACTCCTCGCGCGCCACGGGTTGACAATGAAAGAGCTCGAAGAGGAACTGGCGAAGCGCAATAGGTTCCACAGGTCCCTCGTGAAAATGCGGGATGAGTATAGTGATTATCTGGATGCGGAGGAGGGTGGGCGCTTTATTGAAGAAGGGGAAGCCAGTGGCCCAGTCATCGAGTTCAGGGATGATCGTCCGGAGGTTGCTGCCCTCATCGACGAGCCAACCGATGGAAGGACGCGGGCGCGCTCGCTTTTGATTCATCCACGGCCGGACCTGGCCGCGGGAGATGTATCGAAAGAGGGAACTTTTGTGCCTGCCACGTCGTCGATGTATGAGCCACTGAGAAACGCGCTCTTATTTTTCTCGGGGGAGAGAGGATGGGGCGCGCCTCAGAAGGTTCAGGAGGTAGGTGAGGACGATGAAGGGGAAGGAGATGGCGCTGACGATGAGCCAGAGCAGTGGGATGACGTGGAGGAAGAAGGTGACCAGAATGAGAAGGCGCAAAGCATAAGCAAGAGGCCCTCGCTCTTGCGACATCTGCAAGGCTTGCTGCTGCGGGAGCCTCGTTTTCGAGAAGCCAGCGCAGTCGGGCAGGAGTACATTTGTGACCAGTACAGCCGCTTAGAAGATCTGCGGCTGCATTATTTCGAGCGAGCTCATTGGGAGCAGCAGAAAAAAGACGGAGCACGCGGGGGAAAGGCTGCGCCGCCTGGTGCTCCAGTCGCGGAGGCTGCGCGGCTTGCTAACATAGCAGGCGCCGCCGGCACGCCGGGGCGGCGAGCTCTGCCGAGCTCTTTCGTGAAGAGTGAGGCGTGGTTCCGCGCGCGCTTAGAGGACTCGATCTGCCTCCTTTCAAAATTTGGAAAGCCGACCTTTTTTGTGACACTCACTTGCAACCCTGAATGGCCTGAAATCACGGAGAACCTTTTGCCAGGACGTTCTGCTGCGGATGATCCAATTCTTGTGTGTCAGGTGTTTCACCTGAAATTGCAGAAAATGCTGAAGCTCTTGCGATCGTCGCAGTCACCCTTCGGGGCTCCCGCTTTTGAGATCGGGGTCGTAGAATATCAAAAGCGAGGCTTGCCACATTGTCACCTCTTAATCTATATCAAAGACCTGGAGAAAGATTTCCACCGGGATCCTGCTAAAATGGATAAGTTTGTTTCTGCAGAAATGTCGCAAGGGTGGGGGGAGCGAGTGCAAAACTTGATCGCGTCCCAGATGGTGCACCGGTGTGGCCCGTTCTGTTATCGTCCCCCGCATCAGTGTGGCCTCTGGGGTGTGGAGGGCTCTGCGCTGGTGTGTGATCCAGTAGAGGGCACCGCACAGCCTCGATGCCCTGCGTGGCAGGTGCGATGCCGAGAACAGGCCGAGCCTTGCCGGAAGGGGTTTCCAGTAAGCAAACGCGAACGCACTGCGGTCGACGGAATGTCTGGCCACGCAGCACCACGTCGGCGAGCAGAGTGCGACCGACATGCTGTAGAGTTTAACGCGGTGGCGTTGCAGTGTTGGGGTGGGCATGCAAATGTGAAAGTTGTAGGGACGTCCAGCGTCATAGCGTATCTCTTTGGGTATTGTTTCAAGGGAAACGACAGAGAAGAATACTTCGCACAGCTGCAGGCGTGTGACGAAAATGGCACAGGGCGGGACGAGATCACAGCCTACAAACGGGCGCGATACCTCTCGGCGACAGAAGCTGTCTGGAGGGTCTTTAGCTTCTCTAATGTAACGCTGCGCCCGAGTGTCCGCACCATTCCCCTGCGGCTTCCAGGTCGCCAAGGTGTTGACTTTCGTCCGCGCAAGGCCAAGAATAAGACAGGGCCCGCAGCTTTGTCTTTGGTCGAGGGGTGGTTCTATCGCCCCGCCGCATGTGCCTCACTTGCGCCCGCGGAGTATTATGCGGCTTATAAAGTCGCAAGGGTGAAGCCTCGGGGTGGGCGTATGCAATACGTCGGAACTGACTGCCGACCGGGGGGCGGCTGGCATGTGGCGGAGTATGTTGAAAGCGCTAAAAAGTTCTACCGGTGGCCCAATCTACACCCGGGAATGGGGGAGGCTTTCTATGCGATGCTGCTCCTGGAACATTCAAGCAGCCGCCCGAGGCTTCAGCTCGGGGAGCCTGTCGAGAAGGGGTGGGAGCAGCTGCGCTGCGGGTATGAAACTTACAAAGAGGCGGCTGAGGTTCTGCTGCCTGAGCTTCTAGCAGATGACTGCGCGGGTTTGTATTTTGAGAATGAAATAAAAGAAAAACGATCGCCGCAGAGCTTGCGGTGGTCGTTTGTCTTGTTGGTCATCCACTGTGGATGGGGGTCTTCTCATTTAAAAAAGTACGCGGCTAAAATGGGTGAGGATTTCTTAATCAAACAACGAGCAACCACAGAAGGGCAGAGGGTGGCCGCAATGGATGAGCTTCTGTGGGATATCTCTGACCGTTTGGCCCGCGTTGGCAGAAATGTGGCAGACCTCGAAGGCTGGCCGGCACCTAGTCAGCAGCGGCACGCGGCCGGGGGGTGCTCCCGTGGGATAGGTGGGTGGCGGACAAAAGAGAGCGACGCGGCAAAGGCTGCCCGTGTAGCTTTGTGGGCCTCGCGGGCGTTGGAGTTGAATCCTGAGAAGTGGCCAGAGCAGTGGCGAATGTTCGAGGAGATCCGCGCGGCGGTCGAGGAAGTACGGCGCGGGGATCCAGTGCCAGAGGGGGGCAGAGTATTTATCTGGGAGGCGAAAGCCGGCGCTGGCAAAACGTACTTGAGTAATTGCGTCATTGCTGCAGTGCTGAAAAATCTGGCAGAGCCGGGCGGAGGCCTTTTGGCTGCTGCTTCGACTGGGATAGCAAGCGGGCAGCTCTTAGGCGGCCGCACGCTGCATAAGATGTTCTCCCTTTCTATAGATGAGACCAGCCCCGAGGTTCAAAAAATGCCAAAGAAGCAGGAGGATGAGCTTCGGGGTGCTGCGGGTTTCCTCTTTGATGAGGCGACGATGCAAAACGTAAACTGCTATAGAGCGGTCGACGAGTTTCTGCAGCATCTGTCTGGTTGTGTTGGGGTTCCATTTGGTGGCAAGGTCGTCATCTTTGTGGGGCATACGTCGCAGCTTCCCCCTGTGGCAGAAACTCACGCGCAGTGTGTCTCGATGAGTTTGCGAAGTAGTTCGTATTATTCTGCAGCAGTATGCGCGGGGAGGGTTCGCATGCTGTCGAAGTCGATGCGAGCAAAAGACGACCCGGCTTTTGCCTCGTTGCTTGATGGGATCGCAGAGGACTTCATTCCCCAAGGGTCAGGGGCAGAGCGTGGCGGCCCGGGTGAGTGGTATCTCCCTCGTGGCATGTTCGAGGTGTTTTCAGAGCGTACGACCGCTGACGTTGCCCAAGCAGAAACGAAAGCAAAGCGCAAAAAAGAGCAGGCGACTGCGGCGCGAGGGCAGCTGAAGCCGAAGGGAGAAAAGGACGCAAGCCCCAGCGAGGCGCTCCGCGGCGCGTGTTCTTGGTTGTTCTCTGAGTATTGTGAAGGGGAGGCCTGGGACATGTCAGACGCAGCGGCCCGCGCTCAGGCTTTCGCGGTCTCGTCTTCTGGGTACATTTGCAGCCTCAACGCGCGCTGCCGAGAGGTTAACGAATTCATGACCAGCAAAATGCAGGGGCCGGCCGCGGTGGCGGCTAGTCGGGACACCATACGCTGCGCGGGGGGGAGCTTGACGTCGGGAATGTGGAGCAGTAGCACATTCATGTCAGAGCTTGGCAGCGGTAGCGTGCCTTTGGGGTCTTTGCACCTTCGGCGAGGGATGCCGGCGTTTATCACGTTAAACTTGCCGGGGCTTCCGAAGTACACGAAGGTCGTAGTTTTGGGGTGGAATTTGCAAAAGGGCAGCGTGACAGTTATCCGCGCGGAAGACCTGGACCCTGAGGCGGGGCTGGATGAGGAAGCCCGGCGTGCTCGGGTCTTCAGTCTCCCAAGGCTGCGCCACCCATATACAGAAAAAGGCCTCGAGCTTGAGCGCCATCAGTTTCCACTCCTGGCAGCCTTTGCGTTTACGGTGCACAAAAGTCAAGGGCAGACGCTTGACAGGGTGGTCTTCGATGTGTTGTATGGGGGTGTCTTTGCCCATGGTTTGGCATACGTGGCCATGAGTCGGGTCCGAAGATCCCGCGACCTTCGTTTTTTTGTGGGAAGTGATAGCGTCTCTGATGGGCGGGTAAAGTTGTTCAATCTCGTACTGCCTGAGCTTTGTCCTCATCATGATCCCGCAACCACTCCAGGGCCCAAGCTGAAGGCTGGGAGTGTGTCGTGGAGCAGCTTGGCGAAGGTTGTGGCTTCGCAAGCAGTTAAAGCAGATCACGCGGAGGGATGGAACACGCGCACAGAGCGAAAAAAATGGGGCGCGGCAGTGGATGGCGGATGGCGGAGCCCTGATCGGGGAGGGCCCAGACGACTGCCGGGCACGCCTCAAGCGGTGGCCACGCCGCTGAGCCGGAAGCGATGGGGCGGGGGGAGCGTTTATGAAGAAAGTGCCGCGCCGTCCGCGAAACGCTGGAAGAAGTAACAGGTGACAGAGCATGCGGCACAGCCCGCGGGGGGGGCGAATGCTTGCGGCTCAGCCCGTCTCTTCGGTGTTATTGTTTGCGGTGCCGCCTGCGCGGGCGCAGGTGGTGGAGTCTTGCGGTTGCGGCACAGCCCGCGAGTGCTTGCAGCTGAGTCCGCTTGTTCTGTATTCTGCGTTGCGGCACAGCCCGCGAGTGTTTGCGGCGCAGCTTGTTCTTTCGCCTTTACCTTAGAAACTTTTCCAGTGGGAGAAGCCTTGCGATCTTTCTGCGCCCACTCTTGCGGCTTAGCCCGTGGATGTTTGCGGCTTCACGTTCACCCGCTCAGTGTACGCCAGTGGCGTGGGGGAGTGTCTGTCTCTGTCTGGAACGAGGGAGCTCGCTAGCGTGTGCGCCTTTCTTCTGTCTCGTACTCATTACTCAGCGCTGCCTCCGTCTGCGGCTTAGCCCGCGTAGGGGTAGGCCCAATCAAAAACAAACTTCGCGGCCCTGCCCGTGCAAGTGCAAAGAAAGAAGAAGAAACCGCCAAGGCGCACAACTTGCGGCCCAGCCCGCTCACAAACGCAATAGCACCCGCGGCGAAGCCCGCTCACTGCTTTGTTGTCGAATTGGGCTGAACAGTCAACAGCGAAGCATGTTGCTGGCCCTGAAAGGTGAATGAGTAGGCCGGCTCAGATGATAAGGCACCGCTTGGAAAAATGTCTGCGCCCACAGAGGAGGGAAACGTCTTCGCCTATTTGTGTGCACTTCTGTCAGAAAAGTTCTTACTACATGCTGAGACCAACACCCACTGACACAGTGACAGAGGAATCGTGGCGCATGAGTGTAGCGGGTGTCATGATGGAACTCGGCTGCTATGTATGTCGCGGCATAGCGCGCACCTGGTGAGCGTATGAAAGTTAGGAAGAGACGCCATCAGTCTGATGGCAATGAGTGACAACTTGAGGACAACCAGAGCGCAGGCTTGACGCATAATTAATAGCATTTAGCAAAAACGGCAAGCAGCACGGTCTGAGTAAAAAAGTAAGGAGGGGCTAGCCCTAAGTGGTGCACTTATGTGGAGAACTATAACCAAGCGAGTCAGTAGCTTCGCGGAAAAGATTGCTTAGGTGTAAAGGCCTCGAGAAGTAACCAGCATTCAACTTCTCACCGCCAAGAAGTTAAATCTTATCTCTCCCAAGTAAGTAGCAAGAAAGATGGTCAGGGACGCGGAATCGTTCGGGTCGTCGTTCGTGAGGGTCATGATCCTGGACACGAACAGCGGCCCTCGCGCCTATCTAGTGGCAGAGCCGGCGGAAAATTATGGCAAGACTTTTCGTAAGATCTGCGCGCAAGGTTTTAGCCCCTTCATGGCATGCATTCGCTCGAGCTCTATACTATGAGTCAGCACCCAGCGGAGTTGCATTCTCCAGTATTATATTTACACGCTACCGCTAGCGCTATTTATATAATATTGGCGCGCTTACTTATGACTTATCTAGCTAGGCTTAGGCAAGGTGAGGCGCACTGGCGGCGTTTCCTTGGTCGTGAGGAGCCAATATCAATGGCGCGCCAAGTCTCCGCGTCTAATGTTCGATCACACTACTTGGCAAAGTGGGCGACAACTATGGCGTGCTATACTCATCTAGCGAAGCACTTCGCGCGCGTTTTCGGCGTGGGAGCCTTTTTGCGCATGTTCGTTGATACGCTTGCGGCGGATGAGTATAGCTGGGGAGGGGATGATCTCTAAGACATGTGGACCCGCGGCGGCGTGGAATTGGAGAAGGGTGAAGCCGGATATCTGCGCATGAACGATTCTGCGGGAACAGGCAAGAAAAATTATGGGTGGCCAGCTTTGATTAGTAGTAGCTTAATCAACTTAAGTAAATCGTCAGAGAGGGCGTAGCTAAGCTCAGTGTGGTTCCAACACCGGGAGGCCCCGTTGGGGGGATTCTTCGCACTCTAATAGTTGGCAGGAACAGAGTCGCAAGTGGCTCAAAAAAGCGCAGTAACGGTGGAAGCAAACGACAAAGACCGACTGTGGTACTATGGTCTGTGTATCTTAAGCGCGGCACCCATCCCGTGCGGGAGATTTTGAAGAATTTGGACAAAGTTGAGTACTACATTGAATCTCTTCCCACATGTCTGGAGATTGAACCTTTTGTCACATGGCCTGCAGGTATCTCCTGCGAGTCTTGATCGATCAGAGCTTCTGCGCTGGTGAGGGGCGTTCTTTGGAGGAAATGGCGGCGGGTGAGCAGTATCGTGCCAGCTACCAGTACACCACGAATAAGACCAGCTCGGCAGCCTTGTCGACTGGGTACTGGGTTTTCTCTGGTTTCGAGGTTATCTGGGACAAAGATCTTGGAGACCTCCCGGAGGGAGACTTACCGTGTGGCGTGGTGCATCGGCGTGCAATCGAGAGCCTTGACCTTATGGCGGCTGGTTTTCCTGTTTGTTAAGCTGGCGGCTGTCAGCGTGGTTATTAGTTGCTCTCCCTCTAAACCAGATGGGTCAACCCATGACTTATGATTGATTCTAGATACCGTCATGATTTATTTTTCTAACTTCAACGCGAAGGACCTCCTCGCAGCGCCACAGCTTTCCCCTGCGGGATATGGGTACAGGTATGCCTGGGATGAGCGCTGGGACAGAGACTTGGGAAACGCAAGCAAGGTCGCCAAGTACGGAGGTGAAGGCCCAAGCATGAGCAGCAAAGACACGCAGTGGGGCGGCAGCAGCAGGGAGAAGAAGTGGTGGGACAGGGATTGGGAAAGCAAGAACAACAGCAAGAGCAACAACGACGGAGACAGCGACGGCTGGTGGGGCGCGAACGTTATGGGGGCCGTCTTTGTTTTCCTCGTTTTCTCTCAGTACTTCGCTCCTTGGATTTGCTAGAGTTCGCTTTCTGGCTTCTATCTTTTCTGTTCGTGTTGTTCTATGCTTTATCGTTATATATCTACTCAGTGTTGTAAAAAAAGGCATGATCTCTAACAGTACTGAGACCAGCAGCAAGAGTGGCGGAAAGTGGTGGGAAAAGGAGGAGAAAGCCGGCAGCAACTGGTGGGGTGGCGAAGACTCCTGCACGAGCAGCAAGAACACGCCAGGAGGGTGTAGCAGCAGTGGGAAGAAGTGGTGGGACAGCGAAGGCGGAAGCACGACCACGAGCAGCAAAGACACACAGGGCGGCGCCAGCAGCAGTTGGAGGAATTGGTGGGGCAATGAGGAGGAAAGCAAGAACAGCAAAAACAGCTACGACGGAGACACCGGCGGCCATTGGGGCAACGACGCGCAGGCCTGGGCGAGCAGCAGTGGGGAGAAGTGGTGGAGCAATGAGTGGGAGAGCAAGAGCAACAGCAAAAAGAACAGCGACGAAGACAGCTACGGCTGGTGGAAGACAAACGTTATGGAGGGCTGTGCTCATTGCTTAGTCTTTTACTTCGTGGATTTTCTGAGTATTTTCCTCTCTTTTGTCTTGATTAGTTTTGTCTGCTTCTGGGGATAGTAAGCAGGCTCTGTTGCCTTGTCTGAGTATGAAAGTGCAAGCAGCGCCTCTTGCCTCTAAAAGCTATTACGCACGTACCCGCACCGAGACCAGCGGCAGCTCTGGCTGGTGTGAAGGGAAGGAGGCTGGAAACCAAGAAAAGAAAGCCAGCAGTCAGAAGTGGTGGTGGGATTGGAAGGAGGAGGAGCCCGCTGAGGTGGAAAAGGAGGAAGAGAAGAAACCGAACGGCGACAGCGCTGAGGATGATGATCCGATGCGAGGTCAAGGCGGTGGTGAGGCCGATGCAGATATGGAGGTGGAGAAGGAGGACGCGAAGAAGACCGGCGCCGACACTAAGACAGGCGGCAAAAAGCAGGTGCGTGAGAGTCTGCCTGCCAAAGGTAAGAAGGCTGCGATGAAGAAGACGACCGTGATGAAGAATGACAAAAAGAAGAAGTAAGGAAAAACACAATGCGGCTTAGCCCGCTTCTGGTCACAGCGGCATAGCCCGCCTCTAAGCCACGACACATTGCGGCATAGCCCGCTTCCCCTCAACGCGGCAGAGCCCGCTTTTGGTCTTGTTAGTCGCAGCGGCATAGCCCGCAGTCCGTCGGTCGCACGCGGCACAGCCCGCACTGTAGAACTGAGAATAGACGTCCTCTATCAAAATCGGCGCACACTGTCAGCACTCATGTCAATGGTTTTGAAACGGTATCCGCAAAATTATAATCTTCGACCCTTTTCGTTATTCGATGTCGCTGAAAAAATAGAATGTAGCCGATTTAGTTCGCGGAGTGAGAGTCCCAAGCACTGGAGTGGAGCTCTTTGGAGTTTGCTCCTCTTTCGCGCGTGTTTGATGGGTGTCCTCTTCGGGTTGTGCTTGTGAAGTCGGTGGGCATTCATCAAAGTCAAGTAGGTCGCGCAATTCCAAGCTATTGCATGGCGTGCCCACGCGTATGGCCTCGCGGCGAGGGGGACGCCATCGGGGGGAGTAGCGCCGGGGACTTGCGATAGGGTTTCGGAGAAGTGGCTTCAAGCTAGCGGCCTTGCGAAGAGGGTTGCGCAGGGGTTGGACAGGCACAGGGGTTGGACAGGGGTTGGACAGGGGTTGGACAGGGGTTGGACAGGGGTAGGCCCCCCTACCCCCCCCAACCCCCCCTAGGACCCCCCTTCTCCCCCCGACAATCCCTCAAAAAACCTCTCCGAAATCTTTTGACCATTATAACTCTTTTAATTATATAACATAGACTTAGAGCAGCATCAAGTCCTAGATAAGTACCTCGCATTCTGGTACTCTTCTTGCCGATAGTAGATGTTTCCCAGCGCCCACCATGCGTTGTAATGCATCGGATCCAACGCCAGTGCTTTCTCGTACATCGGTATAGCCTTATCGATCTTCTCATTCGCCACGTACTCGTGTCCACAAAGAGTATATGCGTAGCAAAAGTTCGGATCTACCTGGATCGCCCTCTGGAAGAATTTCAAGGCTAAATCAGTCTCTTTCTGCTGTGAACAGGCATTACCGACGACGCACCAGACTTCGGGGCGACGGCGGACGCCCCAGGCCAGACATTCGTGCGCTAGATGACCACCTTCAAGCTCCTTTCTCAGGTGCCAAAGACAGGTGGAATACCGTTCGAGGCCGTCGACGCGACGTGGATCGAGAGAGCGGACACGCTTGTACCTGAAAGCGTGGAACTTCTAGACATGTTGCTGAGGGAGAACGAGAAGCTGGTATAAACAACATAGTTTGCTCTTGCAAAAACAAGTTCATTGAATTTATTATTTCACATCTTTCATAAGTAATCGATTCGTCCCTAGTAGAAGATAGAGGGAACCACAATTATGTTGCGAATAGGGTTACCGTTACGCGCGACCTCCGAAGTATGATCTAGGGAAATTAGCCGGCTAATTTACTTTGTGTTACTCTTCTTGTCTTCCCTTATATGATCAAACTCAGGTACTTACCAAATACCAGAGCCATACAATGATTAATATCCCAGGAGCGTTGAAACTTAGTCAAACGCATGTAGTTAATACTACTTAATCTCGAAATTACAGTTGTTCCGCTTTGCGATAATCTCCTTGGTCCAAGAACGCTCTGGCCGCGATGTCCAAACTATAGGCCGTTTCGTGATGTCTCGGAGGTAGAGACTCGAGTGCCTGAACTGTTCTCTGCGTATCGAAATCGCACGAAGCCTGTAACGCTTTAGCAAAGGTCTGAAGGATATTCGAAAGTGTGGATGTTGAGGAGGACGTTGATGTTGTTTCCCCTGCAGAAGCTTGATGATGTTCTTTGCTTTGTTGCTGTCGTTGAGATTCTTGTTCCGATTGATTCGCTGTTATGTTGCCAGTTGTCGCGGTACTGCTACCAGTGACAGAATTTTTCCAGCCACATCTTTCGAACGCATTTTCGAGATCAGCTTCCGTCACAGCAGTGGATAAAACATGATCGGGAGTAGAGTTCTTCTTCTTATCCTGCTTGGAGGAGTTGAGACTCACACTCACTCCAGCTGGTACTTTATTTGTGCTAGACTTGTGCTTCTTTGAGAAAGCTGCTAACTTCGTTATTGCGTCGATCATGAAGGGCGCCAGCTCAACGCATTTCGCGTAACACTCTATCGCCTGATCTATCTTCCCAGTTCGTTCGCGTATCTGGCCTAGTAAGAACATGCCAGCAGCACCGTTGTGTGGCAGGAGTTCGGAGGATGGTAACATGAACGTGGAAGATGATGATGACCTACAACCAGTAGTTGCAGTTGATGTAGTACCATCAAGAAGAGGTGGCGCGTTTACACGTGACGTGGAAGACGCAGAGGGAGTAGACGAAAATGAGCTCGCAGCTGCACTATTACCCGTCATGCTTCCCGTGTGGTCCATGTCCACATCTTCAGCTGGTAAACCAAACCCCATCCCTGCCGCGTGGTCGACATCTTTCGAAGAACTAGGTGCAGATCCCTTCCCACCTGTTCTGAGCAACAACGCATCTTCCGCCTCATCGTATTTGCCTAAAGCAAAAGCGCACTTCGCCAACAAGAAGAGCACTCTAGGATCCTTACTGGACGTCGCGCTTTGGAGGTAGTAGTACGCCAAAGCTGTTTCGCCAGAATGAAAGTAGGCTAACGCCAGTAGGTATTTGTGCTCGTCACTCGCATCCTCTGCGATTAGCCGCTCTGCGTACCAGATGGCTTGTGTGTAGTGGAAACTCTGTAGACTGTAGTCAAACGCAGCACGAGCCTGAGCAATGAACTTTGCTGACGGAGGAGGAGGATATCCCTTATTTGCAGTCGCATTTTTGTCTGCAAATGCTGAGCTGGACGATGAGGAGGAAGCTGAAGAGCCAGAGATCACGGGAGCAGCTGAAGATGACATTGCGGAAGAAGCAGGCACACCAAACATCTTCTTGTTGATTATTGCTAAAAATGCTACTAAAAACCTTCTATTGTAATAAATCGAATTGCGTGACGGTGAAAAACAACTACCTCACGACCAGTGGTCTGGCTACGACCTACCATGAGGGGATAGAATTATCGCAATTGATATGAGCAATCGTGTTTTTCTTCCGCAACTTCAATGGTGTGAGGCTCTCATAGAAGAACAAGATCCCAGCTCTTGAGAAGAAGTGCGAGCGAGACCGAACAGTCGACCTTGTCAATGGTTATGGCGCAGGAGAGATGTGCGTCTTGATGCCAAGAATTTGACACGCGCATTTGTTGCCTGCTCCTGAGTGCCACTTACACCAACTGAGACTCGCTTCAATTTATCACCAGCCCAGACGAGCAATGCGTGATTTCATCGTCACTAAAGGGCACACGACCGTGACCGTGTTTAGTAGTACTACTAGGGTTTGTTGATGAATTAGCCGCAATGTCTTCACAAGTAACAACGTCTTCAAAAAAGGGGCTCGTTCGTATGTTCCTCAAATATCGGTAAAGAAATTTCTCGAGTTTGTCTCGTGAATAGCAACGTGGGTCGTCGTCCTCGTCGTCGTCATCCAAATCTTCGCTAGACTGATGGTTCATCTGTCCCGCGTTTGAAGGCGTTGCTCCTCCTTTCGGCGTCACGGACTCTTCGATTTCAAGGACTGGACATTAGAGTGAGTACTTAGATACAGCTAGAAGTTTCTTATTGTAGTTTGATGTAGTTTTCGGGTTGTAGTCGTAGTCTCTCCTTCAAGTAGTTCAGGAACAGCATCAACTTCTGAAGCAAATACCATCTTCTTCTAAGCTTTGTCTATCCAGCGACTGATGTAGTGACCGTGACGTCTCTCCTGCCTTAATTCAAAAACTCCGCTAGGTTGCACACTCCATCAAGGCCGTCCCTTGCCATCAATCGGTACATATTCTCCACTTCCGACGCAGCTAGATTTTCCCGTGTGGTAGTTTCCAGACCTCTGCCACCGTTTGCAAACTCTATCAACTGCGAAACACACTGAATCACGTACGGGTCGTCGTGGTCTTCACCATCACGATCCTGTTGAGGAACACCAGCACCACCACCACCAGGAGGTCTTGTTGTAGAAGAAGATGTTGCTACAACTTCTTCCCCAACAACGAATCGTTCCAAGCATTCGCGTCTGATGTGAGGGAAAGCGCGTTCCCCTGAATTGATATATTTAGAGCCGTGGTCCGTAATTCTAATTCATCTTTGTTCAAGACAAGTGCATCCTTGTTGTTCAAGTGCATCCTTGTTGTTGAAGAGTATGGGGAGTATTTTTATTTTTCTTAGGTGGATCGATACTCCTCCATACGTTTCAAGGATGCATGCGCCCAAAGATGTATTTTTAGGTACAGCCTTAATATATTCCATCATGAATCGGTCTAAGTCGTCCCTCAGTAAAAAACCCACTCGTTGCATCTGATCCACATCCAGTAGGACGTAGAACCGCAGCAAGTGCTGAAGCATGTAGCGAAGGATTTCATCGAGTTCGGACTCCGGTTCGAAACTCGGGTCTAAGAATTTTAGCATCCCACCGAGAGTGCATCTTGATTGCCCCCGGCGCAGTCCGCTGAGAACGCGATCCGAACTTATGCGATTACCCATGTTGTTACTGTTGATGTGCAAGTCTGGCCACTTGTTACAGTTTGATATCACTCTTGAAATAAATGTTAATTTGAGTTTGTCTTTGTGCTTGAAGTTGAGAGGCAAAGGGTGAGAAACTCCTTGTTTTCTACTCGATTACCACCTTGAATCAACACTCATTTTTTTTCGGACCGAATCGCGAGAAAAGTCTTCATGTGAATCTACTAAGTCTTGGAAAAGGAGTTGTGATTTTCCATGTCGTGTGGTTCTAGAATGGACGTGCGTTTTCAAAGCGATCCTCTGAAGCTCCTCATGTTTAAACAGATACTCTTGCTTCATGATCATGTGTTCATCGTTCTTCTTCTGCATCTCGAACAATTTCATCACGGATAAATATGCTGGGATAATTTCATCGTCAGCGTTTGAAGTGTGAATGGGAAAATGTCATGCCTTTCGGGTGAAAACCGAGGGCGACGGAGGTGACGGTGTAATCTGGTAAGGCGACATCAACTTCAACAACATAAAGAAATACTCATTTCATGTCGCATCAGAGATGAAACACAAATTCGCGCGTCTTCATAATTGTCTGCGGTCTCTTTGATTATGAAACCGTCAGGCACCGGGACCGGCGATAAGAAGAAATGGCGCCATCCTTTTTGTCTTACGAATTTACTTATAAAGCTGCTGCTATGGGTGTCGGTGTCCATATGATAGATTGGTTGCTCCTGAGCTAATTAGGAAAAAAAGTCGTCGGTTCAACAAAAGAACAGAATGAGGAGAGCTTGTCTCGAAAGTAGTAGTTGGCCATTTCTTGTGTAGCCACCAGCGTCCCTGCACAATTTCAATGATGGACTTTTTAGCGTCGGCTTTTATTCATCTCAGTCTGCCCAACTTCTCGACCCCTTTATTGGCTTTCCCTCTGTATTATTATTTTAGGGTCATTTTTATACAGGGGAAAAAGGTGATGTCAAGAGGTTGAGTGAGATGAATCGAAGCGGGAACCATAATAGATGCTTCGTTATGATGTCATTGACCTTCGCGGCATCAGGGAGATCAGCTTCGGCGATATCTCTATAATTGTCGTCCGAACTTTCCTTCGTAGGCGTAACCGGTACAAGTCGATGAAGTAGCGTGTTGCCTTCTTCATAGATATCTTCAAAGTGTCAAGGTTTGGCGGCTCCGGTTTGGGCGATGTCAGGGTTGGGAGCCTCAGAGTTTGGCAGGTCAGTGCTTTGGAATGTCCGGGCTTCGCGCCTCAGAGTTGGGCGATGTCAGGGCTTGGCACCTCAGAGTTCCGCGGGTCAGGGTTTTGGAGTGTCAAGGTTTGGCGGCTCAGCCTCCGGCCTGCTGGTCTCGGTGTGGAAGGCCGCGGGCGCGGGCGTCTGCGAAGAGGCACGCGAGCCACGGGCAGCGGTAGGCGCCTCCGCGGCGTGAACGCGGAGGCCTCAAACGGGTGGGAAGCTCAGTGGGTGACAGTTGGGCCGTCGCCGTGCCGCTCATTACGCCTTCTACCCTCTCTGCCGCTCCTAGCCGCTACCTCTCCTTCTTTCACCTCTCTCATGTCTCGGACCGCTGAACACACGGGACACCACGACTAGTTCTTTTACAATTTATTAAACAGGAGTTCCTCAAGGAAGTAGAATGCCTACAAGAAGGGGGATTCCATCGTCAGAGTTGGCATGCGGTCTTCGCGTGACAAAGTGGGTGTGATGTATGGTCAGGAGTGAAGAGTTGTGGGCAGGTGGAGGTGCACAGAAAAGAAATCATTTGATTTACTACTAGCATGGTAAAAATTAGCGCTTCGTCATCGTCATGTAAGCCGACCTTCACCTTTCAAAAAGAAATTAATGATCCATCATGCATTTTTTCGTGCATCCAGTATATTCTCCGTAAAAAATATGTGGAACGAAGAACATTGACACTAAGTGTGAGGAGTCGACGTTTAAAATCCATTCATCTTTCTTAGGCGGAATCGGCCAAAAAAAATGATAGAGGTGTTACAAGTTCACAACCACAGCCATTTAAGAACTTCTACACAATTGGCGACGTAGACGTTACGTGGTTACTAGTAGAATCTTGCTAATATTGGCACACAAGATGCCAGTAGAATTATGCTACGCATAGGCAGAGGTAAAGCACCATTATCGATACAGATTTTCTTATTCATGTGTCTACCGCATCCAGAAGAACAGCTTGGCTAGATTCTGCAATGCACCGTCAGTCGCAACAGCACCAGCAAGAATTTTTGCCAAAGCTGCAGTCAACAACACCACCTCCAACATACCAACAACAACAGCCAAAATAATGGAGCGACCCACCGGAGGGTATAATAAAAGCACCATTTGTCACTTGGAGTTGAAGTTTCAGAAGTTTTTAGTCGTGGTTAAGGACCTTTCTTCTTCGGTCTACAAACTACTACACAGAGTTTCAGTTTCATTCAAGGTCCAAGCCGCCACTCAAGCCGCCTCCTCCATCGCATGTCGCTTCCGAGTTTCGCTTCTTCGGAGCTGTCGTTTCGTCATCTTCATGTGATGATGAGGAAGCTTCTGTTGTAGTTTCCCTCGTGCTAGTGCTGCCATTTTCGCTTTTAAGACCAGCTTTCTCCGCTGCTGTAGCTTTTTTCTCCTCATCTTCCAATTTCTTCTCCCTTGTAAGTCTCTCCGCTTCCGCCAAGACGAACTCCACTGACAAAGACAGCATCACGACACAAAACAAAAAACCAGAATGCAAATAGACGAGGTGCGTTTCGCCAGATTCACGCGCTTGCTTGATGAGCAGGAGAGATATTGCGAGTAAAACACCCAGGGCAAGTTGGACGTAGATCCGCAGTTTCCTTGGATCAATGCCGATCAACTCATCTAAAATCTCCCAAATCGTCTTCTCGTCCTCTTCCTCATCTGATGCTTTTTCTCCGATGGCAGTTGATTCTTCTTCTTTTTTGTCGGCTTTTCCTTTTTCCTCTGTTGAGGTGGAAGCACTAGTACTAGACAATGTTGATGAAGGTACTAGAAGTGTCTGCTTTTCGTTTTCATGAATGTTCTTGATGTCTACTTCTTGTCCAGCAACAGCAAGTGCCGATGAATCAGAACCAGAAGCAGCAGCTCCTGTTGTAACCGGAGAAGCAGCAGCTCCTGTTGTAACCGGAGAAGCAGGTGGAAGCAGAGTAGACCTAGACGTAGACTGCTCATCTCCAGCAAGTAATTGGTGTTTCACGAGGACTGGAGATGTCGATCTTGATCTCGAAGATGTAGTAGAGGACCTGCTGTCGTGACCGTTCAACATATTATTGATTGGTGGACTATCTTCATTTTCTTCCTCGTCCACCACTTCCTCTAAAACTCTATAATGATGATCTTCTCCACCTCCACAAGGTGGTCCTCTTGCTGTACTACTATTTCGTCCTACAACTACCGGTGTTTGTTCCGACCTGTATTCGACGTCCACCGTTGTTCTGTGCAAATGAATGTCCTCCAATCCCTGGAAGAAGTCGTCCTCCGCGTCATCAGGGAGTCCTGGCGCTTCTTCCACTTTGAAGCTGATGTTGCCGACATTGGTGCTGTTCTTTCTGGCCTTCATCTCATCATCCAGTTTCGCAAAAAAGTTCCAACTGAAAGGTCGATTCACGAAGACACTGTAGAAAACCACAGGGCAGGAGAAATGATTTCCACTACGTTCGCGCTCTAAATCGGTCTGTGGTGGTCCTTCGCGTTCTTCGCGGAGGACTTTTGATTAGAAGGCGTTCTACCGGTTGCGTAAGTATCAACACTTGGAGAGGGAGAGGAGCTTCATCCAAGTAACAAGTTAGTACAACAAGAAGAACTAGTACAACTAGAGGGACTCTCTACAACAAATGATTTTCTCTTTGGTACAACTATGTGAAAGCGCAAACGCTTTGATGGCGTCCACTATATATTGTTGCACGGGATAAGTCTAATAATGTCGAGGGGAAAACTAACCGGCTGTTTTACTTAGTGCTTTGAGTCAGTGCTTATATATTTTGAGCGTCCTCCACTATATCGTTGTTTGAACCAAAACAGCATTTTGAATCAAAACAGCACGAAATCGAACAAGAACAAGTCATAACTTTCATGTTCCTCGATGATGTCGCATCCGCGCATGTAGCTTCTTGGCTTCGAGAAGTGTTCCGCTATCTGCCACCAACAACTGATCAAATCCTCATGTGCGTTTTCGTCGTAGAAAAGTTCAGAGCAAAGCACAAAGTCCAAAGTCTTTGCATTGTCGTCATCTTCCTCTTCAATGTCCTCTAACAACTCCCGGAGAGCTGTTTGATCGCCCCACTTGATAGGAGTCACAGAAGGGAGATGCACCACGAACCGACGCTCGTTTTGACGCAGGAGGGAAGCCTGGTTCATAGGAGATTTTCATTTTTTGTCGGGGTAGATGAAGTAGATAAAAAGTAGCTGTGTGAAGGGAAGTCTGTGAACGAACGTACCTCGATCCAGGATCTTCCTGGGCTACTTGTTTTACGCAAAAATAAATTCTATTTTCTTGAAGACTAAGCTCGTCAAAATTGTGTGAAAACTAGTACCGCCAGCATCCCACAGCATTTCGGTTGTTCTGTGCAGTACACATTTGCTCCCCGTTCGGCCAATGCAAACGCCAAATGTCCTAAGCCGCTTCCCAGTTCCAATATTCTCTTGCCTTCCCATGAGAATCCAGGTGTGCTAGCTGCCATTTTGTCCAAGTACCGTAATAAGACGACGCTGGCATTCCACAATTGGCCTTGGTCGGAACCTAGATAGACGAAATCACCTTTGAAGTTACCAGTTTTCGGATCGGTCCCGAGTAGGAGCAACTCCGAAAGAGTTACTGGCTGACCTTCTTCGTAGCTTGGAGGCGTTCGCGTTTCTGAGGTCTCGTCGCCACCTCCACCATAATCCTCCTCGTTATGAGTGTTGCTGGATGTTGCGGGGTCGTCAAGAAGATCTTGTTCGTCGTCGATATCGTCGTCATCAACATCTTCCGGTTGACGATGTGTAGCATTGTGGTCTTCAACGCTAGCACTGACATCTTCCTCATCCTCTCCTGAGTCTTCCGGAGTGGTACTGTTCAAATCTCCTTCCAGGTTATAGTGATGTCCTTGTTCAGATTCAGTGACGAAGCTAGCCACAGAGGTCGTCGTGCATGGTGTTGTCGTCGCGGCGCCTGAGATCCCCCGCTCAAGCTTGTTCAAAGGACTCATCTCCGCAGGCGAAGAGGTCGAAATCGGTTCGATGTTCTCGGATGAAGAGTTATCCATTTTGATGTTGATTTTCTCGTTCTAACAATGAGTATTCAAAACTGGGAATGAGAATGTGATGTGTAAAATTATCTTCATGTAATCATAGCTCTCGCAAGAAAAGCCGTGTTTGTCGTCCCTGCAGCCTTGTTGAGGAATACAAGAACTCCTATCACTCGGGGAATGACTACGGAAGTTTTATTTTTGGATGCAGATGATCTCTATGGCGTTGGAACTTCAAGAAACGTGATGATCCGTCGGCGATCTTACTAAAGCAAATCGGAGCAGCAGGAGCAGAAAATAAGGTTATGATTTCCATTGATATATGACGACCTCAAAACTACTTGAAGATGAAGATCTCGAAAGAAACAAAAAAGAACCGTCAGTCGGGTTGGGCGTGTCCGAGGATATAAAGGCAGCAGAGGAACACAATCAGTTTCGGATCCACTTGATATCCGGTGATGCTGGAAGTTTTACCCTCCATTTCCTCGATCATAATCTTAATCCACTCTCTGCGCTATCTTGCTGATCTATGCGTCAATTTGCTAGGCGAAAGAAGAGCAAGAAATTGGTGAGAGAATTCAGATCAATCTTCCACAGACGATTATCCAGCCGACTGGAAATCACCAAAAAAATCATCGTCATCCTTGAAAGGATCATCATCGGCTTCGTCAAGTCTGACTGGTTCCTGGACAACCGTTCTTTGTTTACTCGCTGCAGGTGGTGGCGGCAAAAAACCTCCTGACGCGCCATCTCCTGGACCGCTTGTGGCACTACCATCTTTCGCTGTCGATGTAGATGGTTTTTTCTTGCCGCCAATTTTTATCTGTAATTGTTGTGATGCACGAACTCAAATTTGCTGTCAACAAAGTAGGCAAAAGATCGTCGCATTACACCGGGAATACGCATCTATAATATGCACCTATACTATAGCTGTATTTACAATAGAACCTATGGTATAAGTCTGTAAACTTGTACTTATGATCGACCTGACTTTTTAGCTTTAGGAGAACGAATACCGTTATCTTCTCCCCCTCCTTCAAACTGTAATCCTTCGGCGGCGGCCTATCTTTTGCTGCTTCTTCCGCTTTTTCGCTCTCTACATTTCGATTTTTGAAGTCCGAAAGACAGCAATTGAAATCGAATGCGTCGTTTCGTTCCTCAAATCCGAGTCCTATAAAAGCCGCTTTTTTTGTCTGAGGATGCACAACTCGGAGGACGAAATATCGACTGCTATCCACTGTTCGCTCGACGTATCGATCGTGGCTGTGAGATCAGTGAGAAGAGCTGAATGTACCAAAGGATTGTTTTGCTTCTTGCAGTAGGTAAGATTCCTTTCAGGTGCAGTAATGGCCAGAAAAAGAAAAAATTTGTTTTATTTAGTGCTTTGAGCGCCGCTGGACCTAAACCTCGACCCTATAAAAAGGGAAGAAGCCAATCAAGATTTGCAGCACACCTCATTAAAATGGGGAAAAGTACTCTCCTCCCTCTATGACGCTCTGCAAGAAGATCTCTTCTGTCGCTGGTTTGATGAGTCTGACGATGCAGTTGTTGTTTTTTGCCGCTATCCAGATTTTCCCCGACCAGATACAGTTCTTCCACTCTTCTGCTCTATGACCGGATGAGCTTGCCTGAGGTGGTATTTGGAAAGCATTGACATCTCTCCTGTTCAGGATCGTATACTCAATAGCGTCCTCCGCGTCTTGGAGGTGCTCGCCCATAATTGCTTTTTTCTTTGCTACTACTGGTTCCGTCTTTTGTTAATCCTGCTCGTTCTTCGTGTACATCTAGTGCTAGCTTTCTTGAGGATGACTTCCAGAAGTACTTCTTAAGCCTTGTTCGCTTTTCTTTTGACCACCAGGAGAAGAAGTGGATGTTGTGAGGATCTCCGCTTCTATAGCTCCTCGGATATTGCGTTTTCACTTCTGCAACTCGGGAAGCGAATTAGAGCGGCTGCGTTCGAAGAGGAAGTTGATGTGTAGTTGAGTCGCCACCTGATGCTAGAAGTAATTTTCTCTTCCGAAAGGCGGCGTTTTCGTTCTCTTCCTTTGTAGTCCTCGCTACATGCCAGGTCAGCATCAGCTAAACGCAAGGAAGATCAGAATCATAATTGGAATACTGGCAGTATTGATAAGGCCAATGCATAATGCATTTTGCTCTGCTCAAACCTCTGGTCAACTATTCAGACTCATTCCTATTTCTTTTCAAACTACACCGGCTTTGCATTCGTATTGAAAACTTTTTTGCCTCCTATTTCATGGTGTCACAAAGCAAGGTTTACTCTCTATGCGGTTCACTCGAGTCCCGCAGCCCTCGTCATATCTGATGCACGACACACAGTGTTCTCAACAAATCATCGTCCGCATCGCTTTCTCCTCCTTCCGCCTTAAACGCATGAATTCAAATATAAGAAAGCCGCAGAGCGCAAATTTTGCGATCCATTTGAGATTACTAGTACGGAAAAAAGTATCTGCAACTTTGTATCATCAATCACAATTTCTTGTTCGCTTTGTTGCATATGCCGTCAAAATAAACGAGTGAGTCATCATGCCAATGTTTCATCCATTTCACCACGACTGCTCCCGCCCTGAGTCAGACTCACTGCACTTGTCCACCCCACTACATGCTTATTCCCCTGTTGCTTCTTCAACACATGCTTGCAGACTTTGTGCCAGTATGAAGCTGGTAGCATCGTATCCGGTAGCGCCGTTACTGGGAGTGGCTGCTGACCTACGATCAGGCCTCCTCCAGCACTTAGTGAAGAACCAATACTTCCAGCAATTGTTCCACCTTTTCTTGTACTACTACTGCTAGTAGAACTTCCAGAGATACTAGCACTACTAATCCCTTTACACAGGTTTCCCCAGAAGCCATCTTCCTTGAGTTTTATTGGATGCTCCAAAATCGGTATGTCACGTGCCGGGATGTTATCTTCATCATCTAGCCACTTCGAAAACTCGCGTGCCTCATGACCACCAAAGGCTGCGGCTTCAGCTCCCTCTGACAATGGAGGGAGGACTAGAAGCTTTACCGCAGAGACACAACTCGTCGTCGTATTGATGTGTGTCACGAGAAGAGGCACGAGCAGGAGAACGGCTAGGAGCTCATTGATGAGGTGACATATGCGCCCACCAAGCCGATACCCGCGTGTCGTTCTCGACACGACCAGAGGCATGTTTATGACCTTTTTGCGTGCGATACGCCGCCAATTGCTACGAATGCCAACCAACGTGACAACACGAACATGACGAGTGCTCCTAGAGCTAGGGCGGGTGCCCCAACAATATCAATCAAAATGGAGGATTTGGATTTCATCGAGTTCTTCGGAAATGAAGATGAAGTCCATATATTTTCTTGTCTCTACAACCAGCCGTTACCAAGTCGAGCTTCTTCGGACAAAGCATCGTTATTTCGAGTTTTTGTGCATAATTAATCTCAAGAATCGTTTGCAGCGCCGTGCGGATGTCAAAGCATCTACTTTGTACGTCAGCTAAAATTGTCACTTTCGCTTTTTTTCTATTGATTTGCGAATTCAAAACGCGCGCAAAATACCAGACACATGAAGTGAAACAATCACCAATTACGATTTTTGCTCGCGGTAGTTGTGTATGTGATTATGAAAAAAATTTTTGAAGAATAACATATGCAAGTTCGTGTTTAGCAACCTAATTACGCAACGTCTATCACGAGCAGAAAATCGATGATAAGCGAAAAACTAGTACTTACATCAACAAGAGTTCTTCGAAGCCTGACCTTCTTGAAAACCAGAATTGTAGCCTTGTTGCTGGAGCTGGTACTGATTTCCGATAGCAACACCTTTGTATGGCTGCGTCTGCATCATAGACGCCGAAGATGAAGAACCACCAATAGGTTGTAGCTGTTGATGTTGTTGGCTATATTGATTTTGATTGTAGTTGTATTGCTGTTGTTGATTAATATATCCAGCTTCGTCTTCCTCGCCTAAAAATTGTTGGTACTGCTTTGAGGCGCCACCCCCGCCAATCATGCTCCCTGGAGGCATGAAATGAGGTGGACCTTGGTTGTAATACTGCACATTGTTGCGGGAATTAGAGAGCTAGAAGTGTGGGAGAGATAAATCATGATTGTTGATGTCATTGTCCATTTTCAAAGTATGAGCAGAAATTAGCAGGAATGATTCATTAGATTACTCCCTTAAGTGTCTTAGCACTAGTAGGCGCTGCAGGAGCTGCTGCTGCAGGGGTTGCAGTCTGAGAATAATATCAAGTTAAAAAAACACCACGAAGCATAACAGGGTTGTTCCTTGGTGGCGGATCCTCTCCGAAAATCTTCTTGCAACATTGCGTAATTCCATAGCCGACGGCGCAGGCGCCACCACCGGCTGCTCCCAACCCTGCTATGCCCACAATGCACGCACCGATCAGGAGTAGAATCAAAATGACAATGAGTACGACCCAAACGGCAGAAAGATCGAGATTCTCACTGTCGCCACTTGAATCGCTAAGTTCCCGCGCACAAACGAAGACCCACACACGTCCGCGAAGCTGGACAGATGATAAGGACGGTGATGATAGCATTCTGCTAGCCGCGTCAGTTGTATCAGCGTCCTCATTCTTCGTCAGAGATGATGCCGCTCCTTCTGAACGCGTCATTACTCCTAATTCTGGCTCTTCAGGCGGTCGAAGTAGATCTTCAAGTAGGGCACTGGTGGAGGAAAAGTAGCCCCGTTCACGAACATTATCCTCCTGTTGTAGGAGCGTTCGTGAAGGCAGAACCTCAACATCCTGTTGCCCAGGAGGAGCATCCCAGATCCACTCACTTTCCTTCTCACTAGTACTCATCGTCATGGAAGTTCTTCTAATACGGATAACCCTAGTACTACTTCCATTGCCACTGCTGTTCGTTGTTGTATTAGAAGAGTTTGAAGCTCCTGTGGAGTTGCTGTTGATGGTTGAGTTTGTTGTGTTGCTGGTATCCGTATTATTAGTCGTGGATGTTGAGGAGCTGCCAACGACCGTGGAGGAATTGGTGACGTTTCCGTTTGTAGTGCCAACGACCGTGGAGGAATTGGTGACGTTTCCGTTTGTAGCATTCGAGGAAGTATTCGCCAGTGCAGGTGCAGCAACAGGAGATGATCCGGAAGATGAAGCAGGCGTTGTAGTTGTAGTGCTAATCGTTGTAGCATTGAAGCTCGTTATCATGAATGGAAATCCCGGATGATGATGTTCTAGGTACCGAGTAGAGAAAACGCTGACTTCTGCAGCTGTGTAACCACTAGCACCAGTACTTCTGCCTGCAGCTACTCCTGGAAGCGTGTTGTTGATCCTCGAGAAGATCGAGGTACTTTCGGCTAGTTGCTTAGCCAGATACTTCTCGTAGTAACCCTCCAATTCGGCCACGAGACGGAAGAAAAGCGTCTTCTCAATCTCGTAGGTGCTAGTTGTAGTTGTGGTGGAATTGTCCGTCACCTCGTTTGAGTTTGAAGACGGCGTGGTCGACGATGACATATTTGATATCACTGGTTCTTGGAAGGTCGTCGGTAATGGTACCTGCCTCCCAGTTGCGTAGCCATTTGCATCGAACTGTTCAGTGTAGCTTGTATCAGTACTTTGGATCCACGGCTCAGTGCTGGGAGCCAGCCACAAAGGCACAACGATGCCATTGGAATCGGTGGTTGAAGAAGTACTATTAGCGGCACTAGTGTTTCACTGTACCGAGTCGAGCGGGGTGCCCTGTGTCCTTTAAATCATGAGGAGCGGCACTCAGCATAGTCCACATGGGATACGCCGAATAGTGAAAAACTACCCTTAATACTAGCAGCTTCTTTCAAATGCCGTTTTTCAATCGCCTGGGTCCAAGAATTGGAAGTGCTGTCTTGCGCCAGTGTATTCACTCTGCTTTCGCCCTCAACATGCACGCCATAGAAGGTTGGTGAGCCTCTAAGACGATGCTGTGCGCGAGCAATTGTGCGTGTTGTTAAGGGGTTGTCTACTAGATTCGAAAACCTCGCTAAATTGCCTGCGTCAGTCATATCGAGATCGAAGGAGTTCAAAGGTACCCAACGACAGGTGCGGACGTCACTCATGAACGACTGATCTCTATCGTAACTCGGGACTGGAGTGGTGCTGGTTGTAATGGCCGTAGAAGCAGCTGCAAAGATGCCATTCGTGCAGTCCTCTACTAATCGTTTAGACCCTTGTCTCAGTTTTGCGCGACTTGCGAGAAGCGTGACATTCACTGTTTCTGAAATGCCGGACGCGGTCGTGAGTTCTGCTGCGTTGTCTAAGAAATTGTTGTACACGTCGGCCATCTCACGACTCTCATCGCCGGATGTACTAGTACTAGTAGAAGGGCTACCTGGGGCAAAGGCCTTTTTCAGTAATTCTGAGGATATTGCACGGGTCACTGGCTGCCTCGTATCGAAAGTGTCAAAATCAATGACAAAGCGACCGCCGAGTGCTGCCAAAGGTGGGCCACCGGCTGGTAGTGGAAGAAGTTGCAATTCAGAGGACGAAGATGATGTTGATGTCGTGTTTTTCCCAACTACAAAAAGTCGGAAAAAAGGACAACTGTGGACGGTGGGAACTGGTGGAGGTGTGGAAGAACCATTCGCATTGAGTTGACTCCCTCCAACGCCAGATCCACCTCCAATAGGGCCAGTATTATAAAGGCCAGCAGTCAGTGGCCACTGATGCTGAACGGAAGAGACCACCTTCATCAAAGCTCTCCCCTTTCCCCTTCGTTTTCCCCTGTTCTCTCAAGGGGTTAGGGTCGCCTTTTCGATCATCTCAGTGACTCCAATCTAAAAAAATGGTGACCAATGAAATTTGAGCCTTAACAGTAGTTATAATTGTCCCCAGCATTCCACCAGGACCAATGGAAGATCCTCCACCACCAGCACTGTCCGAAGATGTACTAGAAGATGGCTTTGTCGAGCCCTCAAAGTAGGTACACAAATCCCGTGGCTTAGTGTACGGTGTAAAAGGCGTTCCTTGATAGAGCCACTGATCTTCTTCGCGACAGGAGAAGACGAAATCCCGTTCTTTGTGGAATGAAGTATTCGTGACGATCTTGTTTGGGCCTGAACCAATACTGTAAGGAAAGTAGGTCAACTGTGTTGTCGTGATCGTGAACGACGAAGGTGAATCTTGAAAAATTCTTGCGGCTGTCGTATTATCGACGCATGCTTTGACAAAAACTGTGGAGTTGAATCCACTAAAGACACCAGAAGTAGTACTCTCATTGGACTCCCAAACCCACTCCTCTGCTACACGACATTGGGGACGCGTGTGCAGTCTCTCCTCTATCAAGGAAGTGGTGTTGGAGGTGGAAGAAGAGCTCTGTTGATTTGTAGCAGGAAGTTGATCTAAGACATTTTGGTTTTCGAGGTAAATATTTGCTGCATTATCGGCAGATACGATGACACTTCGGACCGCGTCAAAAGGCTGTCGTACCAAAGCCGCGACATTGCCGGCACTGCCAGCTGATGTTGCTACAACAACAAGCGAAGCTGGCGATGAGATGAAAGCGACGATGACGAAAATAAGTCGGAGTCGAGTCCTCATGTTGAAGATGTAGTTGAAGGGCAGCATCTTCTACTTCTTCGAGGACGGGAAGAACAAAGGAGATGATTATATCTTCAGGAAGCGGATGTAGATCAAGTTTATATGACTAGACGTGATCGTCAAGGATCATGGAGAGTCATTGGCTGCCTCCGCCTCGTCAGTGATTCCTAGGTGCTCGTCGACGTATGTTCATTTGGCCTGTGATTATTTGTCTACATCATGTCGTGAAACTGGTGAAACGATTTGCGTTTTTCTTTTGGTTATTTTTTCACTATAATTTGTAGTTCTGGTGAGTGACGCAGAGGCAGGCGCGATGTATCTAAGCCAATGAGGTAGGTCTAGACTTTCGTATTTGTACGACGAGTGGGGATTATTAACGAGGAATTTCAATTTTCAGGCGGATATATAGATACTTAATCTTTAAGTCTGCGGGTTCTTGCTTTTCCTTTTTATGGGTCGTCCTGTCTCTCACGGTCAGTCTGCGAGTGGGGGTTGGAGCGACAGTGACTGATGTGGGACTGCTTCCACCTCGTTCAAATGAAGACAAAATCCACATCAAGAATGAAGGAGAGCAATTGCCGTATCTTCATTGTAGTTGTTGATTCAATCGCTCCTCTATTGTGACGTGCGCAAGGGTGTTTCTCTTTGAAATACCTAGAGATAAAGAAGCACAAGCATACTATCATCATTCGCAGCAAATCAATTGATGTCAGCATCAATCAGAGTCAACAACGAGCAACAACAAGACAAAGAGAACATGAAGATACATCACAAACCGAAAAATCATCAAACAAATGCAAATCATGCATGAGCGCTACAGAAGCGTACACCTATTCCAACAACCCAAGGCATGGTGTTTTCCAGGACTTCGCGAGTGAAAGAGCAGTCTGATTCAACTCACTTTCTATGCTCCTGTCAGCACCCAGCTCCAGCAAGCGCTTCACCACGCTCGTACTTCCTACCCTCGCCGCTTTCATCAAACAGGTTTCACCGCTCGATGACTCTTGCACATTCAGGAGACGAGAGGTTGAAGTTGTAGGCGCCGCAACATCTTCGTGGTCCTTCATGTACCTATGAATGGTTCTGGTATTCTTGGTATAGCCTGAATTTATTGATCCTAAGGGAAAACAAGAAGAGAACCCTTAGGATCAAATTCAGGCTATACCAAAAATACCAGAACCATACAACCGAGAAGAAAAGTAGTCCAGAAGCCACATTACAATCTCCTCTTGATTGTTCTCCATGGCAGAGACAAGAGCAAAATCACCTTCTTCATTCGGGGTTGTGAAAATGTTCACTAGTGATGACGATGACGATGAAGAAGAAGTAGTAGAAGAGGAAGTAGTAGAAGATGACGTTCCACCTGGAAGATTTTTTTTCGAGGTTGTTGTAGTGCTGCACTTTCTTGTGATATCTTCTACAAGCGCTTCTCCTTCATCACCACCCACCGCTTCTCCTGCATTCTGCGCTCCTTCTGATTTGATTTTTGAGGTCGTGGATGATGCTGAGGAAATAGAAGCGTGGAGGTCTACTTCCGCAACATCTTCATCTTTCCCAGCCTTCTCTAGCAAGGCCTGAAGACCAACTAGATCTCCATCTTCACAGCATTCGATGACCGCATCTTGCAGCCTCTGGATTTTTCTCTTTTCTTCCTTGTAGGAAATCCATTTGGCGTCGAAAGCTGCAGGTTCTAGTAGTCGCGAAGCAATATCGTATTGGCCTTGCCCAAAAGCATAATCTCCAAGACGCGTTTTCCATGTGAGGATATCCATCGAAGACGAAGGAGAAGATGTGTCTTCGGATGACGGGGCTGTAGCTGTACCTCCCGACGTGGAGGAAGAACTACAACTGCTACCGCCAACTTGTTCCTTGTTCATGTTCACAACCTTTTTACTAGCGTCCGTCTCCTTGTCCTGCAGTAGATCCACATTTTCCTCAGTGGTAAACTCTTCATCACCATCCTCTGACACGTCGTCGAGGGTACCTGCATCCACTACTGGCTTGCTTGGACGATGAACTGGCAGCGGCACCGTAGAGCAGCTCTTTGATGAGGTCGCCAAACTCATTGGCGTTCCGGTTCTGTCAGACGTGGACGCTGCGCTCGATGTCGAGGTGGAGGGAGAGTTAGAATGATAAACTCTATTCAAAAGAAATGAAAATCAAGTCCACGTCATTGTCATTCTCATACCCTAGTCGTGAAATGCTAATGCTCAAAATTTTTCATCTCCGAGTGTTACGGTTACGCATCAACCTCTGCATTTGATGCTGTGCAGATGTTGAGAAGATGATAGGTTTGTTCCGCCATACCTTCAATCATCCCAGGAGCACTCGCTCCCTCTTGTCCCAGTCCTGCATACGTCAGCAGCAAACCGCATAAAGCGCGATCTCCACGACTGATGGCTGCGTGAATCGCGGTCTCTTGGCGCTTGTTCTCAACCCACAAATTCGAACCATGAGACAGAAGGAATTGAGCGGTCTCGAACCGACCGTGAGCCACAGCATGTTGCAATGGGGTATTGCCATCCTCATCCATCGCACCGACGTAAGCCTTATGCCGCAACAGAACCCGACAGGCGAGCTTGGCCGAAGATTCTTGATGTGCGGAAGGCTTACTTGCCCAGTGGTGCAGAGCGGAGACACCATGAAAATCCGTTGCGTTTGGGTTGGCCTCGAATTTGAGGAGTAACCTGTAAACGGAGTGGATTCAGATTCAGTTCAGGAGTTCCAAACTGCTCCTTAGTACGTTTTGTCACCAGGACAAGGACAAGAACAGTAGCGGTGTTGTAATCCACAGTCAATGGTGGACACGGACACCCATCATCAAAATCCCGACAAGCACAAGTAGTGTAAGTAGGTACTTCAACATCGGCAACTCTCGCGCGAGCTTGATACACGGATTGCCCTGCATATCCACTTGGTTCGGAAACCGCAGCTGTTGTGTTAAAGAGTGGAATACGAATAATGTTGATGAACCGAGGAAGACCAAAGACTCCGCGTTTCTCTAAACAAAAGGAACCCAACACTCTAATACCGCATCCCCATCATGCTTGCGCAGCAATGATGTGACTTCCTGCAAGTCTCCGCGAACGACAGCCTCAACAATCTGCAAGTCCCTTTCGGACGTCTTTTGCTCGATCGCCGGATCGATTGGTTGCTCCATTTTGTCAAGGTGGATTGAGTTTGAACTTGAAGATCGAGATGAGCCGTGTCTTATGAGTCTCGTCCGAGTTGTACGTCTACTACTTAATACAGTTTTGGTATTCTGCCATCGCCATGATAAATAAAGTCTGTTGCAGTCGCCCTTTTCAATTCACGTCCTCTAACAATCATCTTTATTCCACGAACCACGAAATTCTTGCTATATTTTTTGACGCCTCTTCATTCGATTTCATTGCGTCTTCTTCATCACTTCTTTAGCACTTTTTCTCAACTTTCTTGTCCAGTTTTTACACGACTCTTACAAGAACGTCAACGACAACGTTTTCGTCCTTTTTTAAGTACTTACTCGTCCTAGCTGTAGCTCTCGTCGAGGTAAACTCTCTCCTATTGATGACTTCTCTCGCACAGATTCTCGCTGCCGTCGTCACAAGAATGAATGGCCCCCAGAAAACTTCCATCATACTTAGAATCTTCGAGCACGCAGTAGAAGCTGCTGCGGCTGCGCCCGGCAAAAATATGCGCTTTGAATACCAGATCATGATGAATGAGAATGATGATCCTACCCATGGAATACGAATTGAAGTTTAGCCTTTCCTCTTACTCAAATACGTCAAATATGCGTTTGTAAAGACTGCTACGACAGTGATGAATAGCACTTGCAGTTCTTGTTTCAGTCTCGTCATCATTTTCCATTTCATCCACATCAACAACACTTGCAGATGCGTCATGCAGACTGTCGTCCACTAGTCTGTCGCAGTCGCGCAGAAACGAAAACTAGCTCTCGCTGGTCCTGTTCTTGATGCACTATTCCCGTTGGGGCCTGCGTTTGCGTTCAATCTCTCTTGCTTGCCATTTGCAGTTCCTTTCGTCGCAAGGTGGACTGCCTGAGCGACAAGGAGTGGCTTAGAGGTTTCTCTTGGCGCGCATTGCTCCTCGACTGCGTCACGCGTCAAAACGACCCATCTTCGATGCGCAAGTGTTACGCTAAACGATTGCCTATGCGATGGGTCGTCAACGTCATTGGCTTCGGACTATTGCGTCTATCATTTCCCTCCCCCACTCGTCTGCGTGAACCGCAAGATGTCGTGTCGGTACTTGTACCACGCAGACGCTATGCAGAGGGACAGGATCATGATCGAGTACCACAGGCACGTCACGAGCCACTGAGCAGTCTTTTCGTGGAAGTAGCCAACGTCTTCCGCATCCTCCAAAAGGCTGTCATCAGCATCGGAGACCCAGTTGGTGGCTTCCATTTTTTTCCTAGTTGTACTCTACTAGACACTAGACAAATCTTCAGAGTTGTATTAAAAATTGGCAGATTCACATTCAGTTCTTTGAAAACGAATCCTACAACCACAACGTGAACGTACTTTGATGCCTTCCATGCTACTAGTAAGTAATTCGCAATAGTATGCCGTACTATTTTGTGGTCAGCGAGCGTGATAGTCTCTGTCGGACGTACCATTTTTTCGCGTCATTGATTTAATGCTCTTGAGCATGCTAGTACTAGCGTAGAACAAGTTTCCGTCGCGGATGAACCCCACTAGATGCATGACGCAGCTTTTCTTTCAACCAGAAGGAGAACTTGAATGCTTCTCCTCATCTGGCACCATCATTCATCAATCCCCGTGGTTGCAAAACCATGCGCAAAAGTCGTCGTGATCTTCTCAGGTTTTTTGTGCTAAATCATCAATTTTCGAATCTTAATATTCAATTCGCAAAAACAGTGAGAAAAAGATGAATCTGCTCTCTTGGAGTTGGAAGTGTGTAAAAATGTAGTGTATTCGGACTCTTGCTTGTTGCGAGAAGTTGTGGGCACGGGATACGCATAGAAGGGATTTCCTTTTTTACAACTCAGAGCCACGTCTAGTCATAGTCATCATCCTCGTTTTCCTCACAGTATTTCCTCAAAAACATGACTCCCGCAACTATCCATATTATGTGCAAGATCCACTTGATCGGATTGGGTTCGAAGACTCCTGGCCACAAGATGTCCCATATGGAATACATAGCGATCGGCAAGGTCTTCGGCTTCTTGAATTCGGGATTGGGATCCACCCATGGGAGGATTTCGGACACGAGCTGTTGTAGTTGGGTGGAAGGTGATTTTTTTCGACGCCGACGTAGTTTCCGAGGGTGATTCATTGAGTCCCTCCCCGAGTGGTTCATCTCCTCGACTACCGGCGCGACGATACAATTCCAACAGTCGTGTGTCACAAAGGATGACGTAGTCGTAGTGTGAGCACACACAGAACTCAAACTTCTCCAGTTCTGCTTTCAAATAACTGCTAGTACTTCCAATACTACAACAAGATTTATAATAGTACGTCCTAGAAGGCAATGATCATCATGATATTCTTCAACAGCCTCAACATCAAGAATTAGTGCAAACCTCTAATAGTACCCTAAGATCTTTCCTCCCCTTCGTTCTGGCGTATATCAGAGGCGTCTCAGGATCCATTGGCGTCATTTCTACTGCATACCACATGTGCATATCCTTCTTTTCCTGCGGTTCCTTGTATATCAGATACACGTTGCTACCTTCTGTCTCGTTCAGGGCTCGACAAAATCTGTGATGGTGGTTGAGTGTGGTGAAGGTGAGGTTTGTAGTTGTACTAGACGGCGGTTTTTTTCATGTCAGTACTGCATGAATTATGTTGCCATCGTTTGAGCTTTTACTTTGATGTAGATCGCAATCTTTCACTTTTTCAAAGGTGCTGTAGTTTGGGAAACCGGTATCTAATTTCACGTCTAAGTATAGGTTAACTTAACAAAGACTAGCCAACGACACGCCTTCAAAACAGTAGTACGCAATGCATTCGAAGACGTGGAGATAACTCCGATCGTTGAAGGCTGGGTACTTGTCTAGTCGGTCATGCCAGAAGAACATCGCATTTTGGTAGACTCCTGAAAGATGGCTCATCGTTACTGGAGGCATAGTCTGCCCGTCAAACCTCAAAGGACTTACCGTCTTATCAGCATCTTCGCCACGTCCGGCTTCTACGAAAAATACCTGACAGGGGATACGGAAGAGTTTCACTTATTTCAGTTTCAACTACAGAACAAGACTTCAGGTAGAAGTTGTAAGATCTGGGCTTGCAGTTTCCCTCAGTCGCCGTGATTTTCAGACTAGTACAACGAACAGTTTGAACTTTTACGAGGCTGAGCATAATATAGTAGCAGTCCTTACGTTCGGGTATTTTGGTGGAATTTGCGGCTCTGGTGGTACACCGAAGAAGCCCACTACAATCGCGACGAGAGCCACAACGGCTCCGACGCTGGCTGTCGTCTTTAGTGGGAGGCCCATGGTGTTGATGTTGCTTTCTTACGGTTCTCGTCTCTCTTTACCCGCCCGTGCAGGTCGCTACGGAGCCGCGCGTGGACTATGAGACTTGGTTGTTGGGGATGTTCTCTTCGCGTTATCGTGGAGTCATACGCTTCTGTCCCACGTTTCCTGCTTCACCTCCGGCGGCTCTATTATTCTCCCTTCGTATCTTTCTCCCCGCTCGCAGAAAATCAAAGCGGCGCTCTGGGATAATCCAGGCTCGCGCAGTGAACCACAGTTCCCGGAAGCAAAACTCCACTAAAAGCGATAGTCCGAGGCCCGCTCTCTTGCTTGCTCCGGACCCTCCAGCAATATCGGACCGGAGCAACTATCAGGTCTGACAGAGTGGAGCGTGAACGTGAGCCAAGCCATGTACTTTTTTCACAACTTCGGCTACTGAACTATACAGTCATATCAAGCCTAAAACTAAACCGCCCACAGACAAATAAAGAGCTCGATTACGGGGAGAATGGGATTACGAAAGACACGATTTGCTACCAAAGCGGCAAACTATACTCTGGACCCACTGAGGATGAACGAAAAGCTGACGATATTGATACATTGCCGGAAAATTTGATGCAGAGTAATATTCCATCAATCATTGCATCAGTGTCCTAAAATTTTCCATCCATGCACATTTTAGCTTTGCCTCTCAGAGTTCCACCATAAGGTCATTCCGCAGCAGAGCCGGTGATCGAGGGTTAGGATTCATTGATGTGAACGCAAAAAAGCGCCTCTAATGAAGTGCGCGTCTCTCAAACATTCGGGAAGGCTGTAAGGAGTGGTTTTCTTTTCGAAAATGCTCGCTCGTCTTCTTTAGAATTCCGTAGGGAGGTCACGATTATGTTTCACGTGCCACATTTTTGAAGCTACAAATGAACGCGTTTCACCGATAATATCCTGAGGCACAAGAACGTGAGAGAATCAGGAAACGGAGAAGACGTCCTTCTGAACACACCAAGTAATTCCAGAGTTCCGAAGATGACCCGTCCTCGCAGCCACATATTTTGTTTAGCACTCGACACGTCAAGATTCCCACCTCTTACGAATGTCATCTGTTTTCCGACACCCCAATCCAGGCTTTCAAGTCCATGTGTTGTTCAATATAGTCCCCAGGTGTTCATTCTTCAAGGCCGCAGACAGCATCCTCTTCCGCACGTCATGCTGTCTTGCGTGGTCTTCTTTGCACATGCCTCGTCTTGCGACTGTCACTTCTCCCTTAAGAGTTTAGACAAGAAGTTTACTCGTCTTCTTCCTCCTCATCCTCTTCGAGGGTCTGGACAGCGACGGTGTCCATCTCACGCTGACCTTCCGGAGTCACCTTGCGTCCACCCTTCTCGTCAATCTCAACAATGCCCATCTCCTCGAGCTGTTTGATTATTTGGGGTAATTGTGAGAGATTTTTCGTTTCCGATACTACAGGAAGATAAATTGGATAACGAGGTGTAGATCGACTTCCAGTTTTCTAAATCACAATGATCACCAAGTAAAATTTCCTTCACTTTCGCAGCATCATCAAAGCAAGACTCGATCTGCCAAACCGAGATGAAATCTAAAACTTGAGTATACCTGTTGCATGCAGTAACGGACGATTTTTCCGGAAGACTTACGGAAGTGGGAAGTGCAAGTTCCGCGACGCTGCTGACCGCCATAGACCTTACGGAAAGCTCCGACACCGGATCCACCTGTAGTTTTTTGCGTTACGAGTTTCGTGGTGAGTAGACTCTGTGGATATCTCAGCCGGATGCAGACGAAAGTCCTAAATCTAAACTTCTGCTTTCTAAAATATTTGCCTGCTGTCGAGACGAATGATTTACAGTCGAGTGGCTGCGATTCTACCTTAAGAACTGCGAAATCCAGCTACAAGCGAATTTCTAGATCATGAGAAGGCGCCTGCCAGAAATTCTAAAAGTGGAGGTGGATCCATGTTCTTCACCATAAATATTTGAAGTACCTCTGTTGTAGATGTGTCGCGCAACGGATGCGCAACGGATGTAGAGCCAGTCCTGGTCCATCGGGGGAAGTTCGCGGGAGACACCGGTCTTGACAACGTCCGCCCACTTCGGAAGCTCGAACTTACCCTGACGCTTCATGTGCTTAGCGAAGGCAGTAATGAACTTCTGGGCCTTGACATCCTTGACCGTGCAGACGCTGCTAGCGCCGAAGACGTGATCGAAAGCGGTGGACATTTTTTCTGAGTGCTATGTCTCCTTACACCTTGAGGATAAAGGCGGTTCTCGTTTCCCTGAATGGATTTAGATAATGGCAAGAATGATTTGTGGAAGCAAAAATTTCGTGGAGAAACGAACTGATCATCTGCTCAACGGAAGCTTTGCGATCATCTCCTTTTAGATGAAACAAGTAGAGCTTTAGTTGTGTGATCGTCAAGTTGAGTGTTCCCAGGAGGAATTTCGTTGATCTCACACAGGAAGATCTTGGCTTTCGACAGATCGTGGTAGCATTCTTTAGAGGTCTTTAGGCCAGAGGGCGCCTCTGGGGATCTTTACTACCTGTGTCGGACCTTCAAAGCGCTTCTATCCGAGTGACACCAGTGACAGCGATCTAAATGGTTTAGACGATCTACTCCATTTTGATGTGTTCCGCCTCTTGACTGATCTCTAGTGGAAGATTCTTGTTCGATGTTCTTTCAGTAGAGGATGCCTGTTTAAGGACGATTCTAGATTTCAAAGAGACCCTAAACTTGGATCTCCATAACAGGTCACAGGGACCAACAATTTTCTAAATTGATCTCTGGAATCAGGAATCAGGGGTGGAAGATAACACCGTGGTCGTGTGCCGCGGAACGAGAAATCGTTGATTTCGATTTAAAATTTTGACTGTCTATGCAGATGCAGGTTTGACGAATAGGAGCAACGACATAAAATTAGGTGTGTGTAGTTGCTGGAAGGTGCCTCTGGATGAGAGCTTCGAATCAATACAAAGAAAACGAGGCTGACTCGTCTATAACAACCCAATTGATCTTTAAACAAAACTGCACGTCATGAAAAAATGACTACAAATGTTTCCTAAATCGCCGCCGACTACGGGGCATCAAGATTCAAGATTGCTTCACAGCACATCAAACCAGATTTAAGCAAGAAAGACTTAAGACAAGAAATACAGCGTGAAAGGGAAATTTAAGGAGCGTGATTGTGAAAATGATTAGCATTTGAAAATATTATATCGTAGTACAACGAAAGGCGAAAAATATCTGCCACAAATTCCTTAAGCGGCTATATCTGCGACAGTGTGGCCAGCACCTATACAGAAGCGTCGGAGCCACTTGTGTCCGGAATCTAGATTCGGCTCCTGGATCGTTTGCGCGGGCTGTACAGAACTGAATACCACTGTGGGCCTCTTTTCATCCTATGCAAAGAACCCCGGGTGCTGGAAGCGGAAGCGGAAATCAATATTTGGATCAACTAAGATTGATTCATTTTCTTTAACTAGACTTGGTAAACTGATATTGCGTGATAAGTCAAAAACGACGAGTACGTGCTCCTGGGAAATGAAAATCTGAGAAAAATAAGTGCCTACTTTCATGTCGCTGTGTGCTGCTGCTATGCTTCCAGCGTCCTCTATTTAGATTGACATTGTTGTAAGTATGTGGATGTGCGCAATTATCATTCTAAAAACAGTAGACAACTTACAGGTCTTTATTTCTTTGGTGCATTACAACTTTTTATCTACATCCTCGATAATCCTAAATCCTATAATTTTTCACTTCCGAAAAAACTACTGCCAAGTTCCGCCGCTCCGCTTGTGATCAAGCTTCCGAAGCTTGATGCAATATTCGCCGTCCAATCCTTACCACGGTGTACCATCTGTCCGAGCTCCAGCTGGGGGATTTAGAATCATATTTTTAACTAAGGAAGCTAACCCTCCTGATGAAACTTATAGTGTTCCCATCATAATGTATCCGATCCTTCAGCCACTGTTGTGCCTGCGACTCCTTCGCCCTCGTCACAACTTGCACAATGAAGGCTTCACCCTGCTCGTCAGTTAGGCACGGTTGCAATCGCGAAGACAGGAAAGCGGTGAGCTTCTCGGAACCTTGATGGGGGTGGGGAGAATTTAGATCTTCTTCGCAGCGACCTTTTGCCAGGGAATCAAGACGACAGTTCCTTCAAGCCAGCCCTTTTCCCGATGACACCGACTTTCAACACATCATCCAATATTTGCACAAACAAAAGCTTTAGAAACAAAATGTACTCGGTCCTAGATGTTTGTTCACAAACTTTGCGATTAGGTAGCACTCCGGTCGCAGGGCGTTGAAGATTATGCCCAGAGCCGGCCAAAACACCTCCACCGTGCACTTGTGTCCCAGGGCGCCGTACAGCTCTGTTGGGGCGGATACGATTTCTCAAGTGTTCTTGTTTCTTGTTTCTTCTTGGAAATGATGCCTCGTCTTTTTCTGGATCGCGTCAGAAGTAGCCCGTCTCTAGCAAAATCGAAATTCTAGTCATGATTGCAACAATTTTCTTAACCACAAGAAGTAAAATACCTGTATCAGATCGAATCGATCGCTTTTTCTAATACAGTCGTAGTATGTACCTGTGTAGTCAAATCGAATCGGTTTCGCCTTGGTGACCAAATTAACTAAATTCAACGGCTCCTCTCCCAGAACGAAACCAAAATCGATGTGAAACATCACACCCGTTTTTGTTATCATCACGTTTTCCTGATGCCGATCGCCGGGTGTTAGAAACACGGCGGAGGGTGATGAGATAGGCAGTTTTCTTTCTTCATCAAGTAGATCCTGGGTATTAAGCGGGACTGTGCTACTGCTGGCACTTCTTCTTCTATCTAAATCTAAAAATGCTCCTGATGGCACACTTGTTATGCCATAACAGCCCCAGGACAAAGGAAAAAACAAGCGCAGTTGCGGCTGACCAGGCTAGACGACGTCTGGCGAATTCATCGTGTGGCGGTTCATTGTGGCGGTGTAGAAAATCAGCCAAAGAGTGTTTCTGCCCACCTCTTGCTGCTGGTAGCTGAGAGGTCGAAGAATGCATTGGAGCTGCTGTGGAGGTCGAACGGTTCTTGTTTGCACCACCACCGCCTGCAAGACCGTCTCCTCCTGGTCCACCAACAATACAAGAGTTTGACATTGACCCTGCAGTTGGCGCTTGCATACTGCTCATAGACATGTGATGTGACGCACTCAGCGCTGACCTGTCAACCGCACAGCATTCCTCCATCTCCTCCGCTGACTCTTGAGCTAGTTCAGTCGACGTTTTGATATCTCTGCCTCTCGCTATATCCCGTAGTGTAAACGCATTCGCGACACAACAAACTATGATGGTTTCCTTGTCGTACTGCAGAATTCGAAAGGCAGTGCCAGTGGGTTAGAAGCAACGAAAGCCCATCTCTTATAGAGGAGAATCTTCCTTCAAAAGTCGTTTTCAAGTATTCGAAAAACTGAAATATGCAAGTAACTGATCAGAATAACCGAGGTACTGAGCAGAACGAAGAGTAGCCTTGAGGTAAAGCTACCTCCCATATTTCATTCAGTAACTCGCTTATTTTGAGTTTTCGAAACGAAAAAGGCCGAATGAAGATGGTGTCCTCGGAGATGAGCTGAGGCTCGCTGATGTTGCCCGTAAGTAAAATCGTCAACGGAACAGCCAATGTCCTCTAACTTGGCGATGACCCTGGGGTCAGCGTAGAGGATTTCATGGAAAAGTTGAATCACCAAGCTCGCCCAGATCTCTTTGCGCAAGGTGTCTTTGTCCCCTTTCTTGATGAGCAGAAGCTTCTTCTCGATTGCCGCGGGAGCAGCTGTCGGGCTAGTAGTTGGGTACATGGGAGTTGGACAGAGGGAGGGAAGAGTGGATGGGAGAGTACAACTGTGTGGTGCGTGCTGTTGGTGGATATGGTGTGTAGCAGCGACGGCCGAGGATGCAGTGGCTTCTGCAGTGGCCGATGATGAAGGTTCGGCCATTTGGACGGCGGAAGGCGGATCGTCCGCCGTTGGCGGTATTGCTTTCGGTGGTTCTTGTTCCTCTACCTGTAGCTGATTTGTTATGGCTTTCTTCTCAGGAGGTGCAGGAGCAGGCTGTGGTGGACCTTCTTCTCCTACTACCTTTTCTACGTCATCGCCTCTATCAGATGTTTCAGCTTGCGGCTCTGACTTAGAAGCCTTGTTATCGTCGTCACCTGCGTTTTTCGTTTCCTTCACTTCCTGGTTCTGCGCTCCTGCTCCATTGCCTCCCTGATCATCCGACTCTGCCAAGTCTACACTATCGACAGAACTGCCACCAAAACTTGCTGCATCGTCGTCTTGATCTTCTTCTTCCACTCGCATGACAAATTTAGGTTTTGAAGATCGCGCTCGACTGTAAAGGTCTTCACTCGTTTTGATGTCATCCAGCAAAGACGGCTTGCGGGCCAAAGTGCGCGTTTTGCTGCTGGAAGCAGGTCGACCGCTAGCTGGTGTCGAGCCTTGCTTCTGTGTTGAAGCAGGTAGAAGTGCCAGGTTGGATGCGGTGTCCTGAGTTGTGGTGGTGGGTGTTGAGCAAGCGGCGCCTCCACAAGAATCATCTGCTGATGCGCTACTCGAACTCGAAGATGCTGATACATTGAGATTTGAGTCTTCTTTGGTGACTGTGTCAGTATTTGGTTGATTCTGGTGACTTGAAGAAAGTTGTGGTTGGTGGTCAGGCTTTATCAAATTGTCTGCTTGTGCTAAATTAACCTTGTCCTTGCCAGCAACTTTGATGATATCAGCCGCGCTTGGTATGCTGCCTTGAATACGTTGCCCTTCACTACTCGGTGGTGCCACCGGCTGACTCACACTATCCGTTCTGGTTTCTATAGTCGCAGTCAATGAAGACGGAGTTATGGCTGCTGATTCTGTGACTGCATCGACTTTCCGTCCTTCCTCATCTTGCTGCAAAAACCTTCCTCCCTTCTCCAACCGCTGCTGATGCTGCTCTAAAACTGGTTGTAGCTGCATCACCTGTTGCTGATGGAACACTTTCACCAACATCGCACGACTCTGGCTATTACTTTCACCCAGCAATTTCGCACCTTTGATTGACCCCAACTGTAGAAACTCTATTTTACCTGCTTCAAATCCGAAGTCACACAGGAAACTTGGTTCATGAACCAATGTCTGCAAAAACTCTTGTTGAACTAGAAGCGAGTGAGCGCATGATTGCAACAGTCTTTGCCAATACTGGTATGCCCACCTGGCAGAGAGGCGTTCGCGGCATAGACGTAGCGACACAGCGTCCCAAACGTCGCCTGAAGGCGTGAAGGACACCACACCAGTCGGAGAATACACCACTGGTGCTGCTGATGAACAAGTCTTCGAAGAAGTTGTATTCTTGTCGTTTATATGATGAACTTGTGAAGAAGCTCCTCCTGTCGCGAATGATGACGCCGGCGCAGTTGTACCACTAGCGGTAGAACAAGGCGGAGTTTTAGAGGTTGATGATGAGCTCCCTCCCACTGTCACCGTACTGCCGCCCGCTCCTCCTGGCGCGGTTGTGCTGTCTATAGAAGAACCAGATGAGTTTGATGTTGTCGGTTTCAAAGCTGTAAGCATCGACTTACCACCTCCGGTTGGCGACGGTAAAGACAGCCCTGTCGACGTTATCGTGCTTCCTAATGTACCACCATCATCAACATCGGCTTCTGTTGTTGGAGTCTGCTAGAGTGCATCTCGGCCCCCTCATCCTGTTCCTGACCTCTTTTATTAGGTACCTTGTATTTCATGAGAATACAAGAGAAAAAGGTTGTACCGAGATGCCGAGAAAGATGGACACTAAACGTTGACCTTAATATTGGTTCCAAAGTGAAACTTGCGCAACCAGAAGAAGAGGCAGAAGAGGCTGCGGTGGCTGCTTTAGGCTCTCCCTCCGTTTCCGAGTCCGACGCAGCAAGCGGATCACCACAGGCTTCCCCCACTGGGACTCCACTTGCGCCTTCCTCCACTAAGTCTTTTGGTGGTGAACTTCCCGGCTGCAAGAAAGTTGTCGTCAACGGCTTGTCGTCGAATGAGACCCGCCTTTCCGTGTTCAGCAGCTTTTTCCTTGAGCAGTGGGTAGCGTGGCTTCGTGGTGTAGAAGAGGATGCAGTGGGGTCACCAGAACCATTCGTCCCCGCACCACCTTGATGATGATTTTTAGAAAATCCTTTTCTTATTGGTACGCCACCAAAACGACCCTGTGCTGGTACAACACCAAAACGACCCTGATGCTCTCCAACTCCAACTTCACCTGGTTGTAGTCCTACTGTTCCCTCTAGAAGTTGTACACTTGTAGCTGTACCAGGAGGTGGCGATACCATACCACTCAAAAACGCCCCTCCAGGTGTCGAAGAAGATGAGCCTGAACCAGATGATGTCGCAGATATGTTGCTCAACGTCAAATTATTGCCTGCTTGGTGCCCGCCCTGTTGACCTTGTTGAGTGGTGGTCACCGGAGTTGTCAGACCTCCCCCACCAGCTGCAGTTGTAGGAAAGAAGCGTGGTGAGGCGACAGTGGTTGGTGACGCGACACCAGTGAACTCGAACTGTCGTTGTCGCAACAATTGCTCCACCTGAGAGCTGTTGAAGACGACAGTTCCCACCGTTCCATCCACTATCCCACCCGCTGCAGAACCAACTGAGCAGGCTGATATCGCTGACTGTCGACGTGAAGGTGGCCTGAAACTGCTCACACGAGGGCTCTGCTGTGCACTGCTGCTTCTATTTTGACAGCTTTGACCGCGCCCTCCTGTAGCATGAGCATCAGGATGACCTCCTCCACTTGTAGCAGTTGCTGTAGTCGATGTAACTGATGCTTCATCCAAGATATTACGTCGTCTCGGGGATCCTTGCGGTGGATAGATGTGCTGATGTGCTGCTAGTTGACCCCCACCTACTGGAGGAGGAGGAGGACGAGGACTAGCACCAGGGGTGTAGTGCTCTACGTTTCCACCAGCAATGATTCTTGTTCTCTGTGCCGATGCGGAGGTCAATACAGCGTCCTCGGCAGATGATACGCTGCGGCGTGAAGATGTCAAAACTGGAACTACTTCTGCGGCAACGGCGGTCGTCGGAAGTGCAGGAAGCATTTCAACACTGAGGTTGTCATCTTGTTTGGTCGCGGCGCTATGAAATGCTCCTGAGCCAGGTGCACTGCTGGAAAAAGAGCTTGCTTGCGATGGACCTCCTACTGAGGTTCCGGTCGCAGATGCAGTTGGAAAAATCCCTGGACCACCTCCTGCTATTTCCTGATTCCTGATATCACCACTAGCACTAGTACGATCATTTGTATTGACACCCGACATCGAAGGCGGGTTAAAAGCAACCGCTTTTTCTTGTTCAGATGCAAATCGCGCCACCGTCTCCGGATTGTAGCTTAGGAGTTCGGCCAATTGCGCGGGGAAAAAGAAGGAAAACAGCGTCTGAAAAATCTGTTCTCGCAATTCATGCAGCAGCTGTACCAAAGACTCTAGTTTTTGGAGGTTTTCAAGGACGTATTCGTCCAAATTTTCATCGCACATGCTGAACGCATCCCCGCCTGCGAAAGAGGTTGTTCGCGGTAAGTCGTCGGGACTATTGTCCTTGGCTGAGGGTGGAGCACTGGTGTTTAGAGCTACGACAGAACCACCTCTGCTGGAAAATGTATTACTAGCAAAATGATTGGCGTTCGCTGTACCTGTGCCAGCAGTTGACCCTCCTCCGCCTAAAGTAGATGAGCGGTCACCACTGACATCACTTCGACGAAAAAGCGACGTCAAAGGACCTCCACCTCCGCTTGTTGTAGTAGAGCTTGCTAGTATTCCGTGTCCACCAGAACATGTTGTTGCAGCTGGTGAACCACTTGGCCCAGGTGAAGTATGCAGGACGGCTACTAGTTCCCGGTATAGGTTGTCGACCATGGCCAACCAGTCCAACAAAACCTCAGCTAAAAAACTCTTCACCTCTAGTCTGGGGAGTAAAACGGACTGCACAATCGGGATGAGCCTCTGTACACTTGGATACTGCACCGAAAAAAACCAACCAAGACTCATCAAGGTTTGAACGAGAGCAGGCGAAATGATCTGGTTGTTGCCTCTCCTGGTAAGTGATTTCGTGATGCCTGTAGTTCCTGCTGTGCCACTACCACCACCGAACACAGCGTTCAATGGCATGTCTTTCACACTGCTTGTTGTCGTTTGTTGCGATGCCATGCGACTGAGAAGTGGCGGCCCTGTATTGGACCCAGTCCGACTCAGTTGTTGGCTAGAAGCAGACACACCACGGTGTGCTCCGAGCAATTGCGAACAAGCAGGACTGCTACCTCGCGTTGAACTGCGATCACTCAACTTCGCGGAGTTGCCGAGATTTTCAGATGACGTTCGCACAGGCAAACCCGGTGGAGACGCAAGTGGGCCGGTTGTGTCGTCTGCTTGAAGATCGGGGAGACCTGATCCTCCTTGCTCGCCCGTTGCAGCAGGTCCTCGTGAAGCAGTCATCATTGTGCTAGCTGAAAGGCCAACTCCAGCGACCATAGAAGTTCCATTAGCTTGCGGCTGTTGAACTTGACTCGCATGCAAAGGAGGTGGCGCACTGCCTGGTCCTGTGATCGAAGGTGCACCACCCGATGAGCCAGCAGTGCTAGTCCTAAAGAACGATGTTCTTCGAAGTTTCTTCTTTTGAGACGACAATGCTTTATTCAGCCAACCAAGGACTGAAGCGATGAGGAATACTAATTCCAGATTGCTGGTACGATTGAGTACTTCTTCGGAAACGACTCCATGATGGCTTAATATCGTTTCTTGAAGGAGATTCTCAGCAGATGATGAAGAAGAAGATTTTTGGAGGACTTCTTGATGGACTACTTCAGTTTTTGTTGTTGAGGTTGAGGTTGGAAAACTATGAGCTGCAGTGTTTATGTCCAACTGCAAATGCTGTTGTAGATGATCTGCGCCTCCTCCTCCTCCTCCTCCTTCCGACCCCACAACTGTCATCTTAGACGACGTATTCGCATGATTCAGTAAAAGCTCTGCTAACAGCGCAACGTCAACCGCATCATCGAAATCCATCGACATTTGCACAAGTTTTGCAACGCTCCAATAGTTTTGTTCGACTAGATGGCGTCTAAAAGGCGCCACCAGTTTCCGTTCCAAGGCTGTGAACTTTGTCCGTGAGCTGCGACCAAGTCTGTCTACGCAGCGAAGCTTTAAGCTGGCAAGAGTTTTGCGGAGTTTCCTCGCGGTCGTCGCTGCATCAGGAGTAGGATGATTTTGAGTTCTTGTGGATGCTACTGTTGCGGGTGCTGTTGGATCGATGGTGTCATTTTGAGCAGCGTTGAGACTATCATGTTTCGGATGTTCTACTTTTGTTTGCGAAAGAGCGCCTGTCGGTGGAGTAGAAGTCCCAGTTGTCCCTGTTGTAGACAATGACCCACCCCCCGCACCCTGGAACAAAGCTCCCAATGGCGATGCTTTTTCACGAAACAGAGACTTCGTATTCGAAAAAAGACTACCAAGCCTGCTCGCACTCCCTGTGCTCATCTTCTCATTACTTTCTATCAGTGAGTCATCTGCATCTGTGAGCATGAAATCGTCGTGAACGTCGGTTATGCCACCAGTCGCAGTTGCCTCTTCGTCTGCTGATGAAGGTTGCAGGATCTCCACTTCCTTGATCACCCTGGAAGGCGAAGCTGATGGGGAGAGAGGAACTTGCTCGACGACGATGGCTCGAGCAGTGGACATGGTCGAGGTGGTGCCGTTTTTACCTCCTGGTGCTCCGCTAGTTCCGCTGGTGCTGGTAACAGCAGCTTGGTCTACTTCCCAAGTCAAGACAACTGGTTCTTCTTCTTCATCCGTTGTTGCTATCCTGCGCAAAGCTGGTGGGTTCCGACATACCTCTCCATGTTTGGCGCACTGGACCAGCTCACTTAAACTAAGCTTCGATATCTGTCGAACTGCAGGTTCGATTGCTTCTCGACTCGGGATGACCCGAGAAACATCTTGAAACCAGCGGTAACAGGAAGACTTCCCTGATCGATGGGCAAGTCGTGGTGAATTTTGGAATTCAATCATGTCGAGAAAAAAGGAATCCACAGCGAGGACGCTACCATGATGAATGATCTAAAATCTAGTATACACAAGTGACATGCAGCAAAACAAGAAGTAATCGGATCGAACAATAAAAAAAGCTAACCTCCAGAACAGCACAAAACCGGAATCGCATCTGCTCCCTGGCTTGCTGTGATAGACGCAGCCGGATTCCCACCAGACGCGCTGACTGCATGATGTTGGTTCCCACCTGAGTCACCAATCGTTCCACCTGCCAACATCAAAGGACCACTACTAGCAGCGGCACCAGTACTGGGGCCGGGCACTGCTGGTTGATGATTTTGAAGAATGCCTTGTTGTATGGCCGCGGAAGTATTCCCACCACCATGGCCACCTCCACCGCCAGAAGACCCACCTAATTCCCCACCTACTTCGAAAATACTCGCATACAAAGCGGTTTCGGAATCCTTTAGTTCTCGTGTACAATCTGGGCAGAAGAGGAGACAACAATGTAGACAGCGCCGCCCTTTAGTTTTCTCGCCGCGCGAAGAGAGCACTGCACCGCATTGCCAGCATTGGACGAGGAAATCTGCAGGAACGTCGCGTGGAGAGAAAGCGCCGTGTTAGAGATGACAGAGGACGAGGATGAGAGTTGGTATGTAATGTACAGGTCATTCAGTTAGGTTACGTTGACACATCAAGCCCCCCCGGCACCTGGCTCATTGTCATTAGTAATTCATGACAGACAAGCTGCTAATAGTTATACATAGATAAGTACGTAGGTCTGCAGATGTACTTGGTGCACTTTGTATAAACTTCAACATATGTTGAAGACAAACAAGGAGTACTAGACGATCTGCTATGGAGGCTGTTACATACGGCAAAAACGGTCCTGGTGTGTCGTCGAAGCCGACAGCTTCCCATTGTTCACCAAGCTGCTCGCGGGACATGATCGACAGCCTCTGGTCTCTCCTATCGCTTTTGTGATTGCTGATGCTGCCAGTTGTACAACTGCTGCTACTTTATTCTACCACTTCTATTTCTTAAGTACTACAAGTACAACTTTTACTTGTATTGATGTAGTTCTTGTGTTTGCCTTCTTGTTAATCTTAATAGACACGGTGCTCTGTTCTATTTCTGAAAGTTACAGCTAAGGTTCATTAGACGAGACAGTTGATAGACAAGAGAAAGGGATTAGACATTTATGTTGCGTGCAATATATAAGAGGACTAGATACGAAATCTTCATGTCATTTCTCAATACTATACTGTCCTCGTTTTTCTATTTTTTTTTGATGTCAAGAGAAAAACAAGTATGCTATTCATGCAATTAATCTGTGCAACAAAACTCCACCTTGTCAGGTCAATTTCAATATCAATTTGATTATGCATTGGGCTATAAAAACTAGTCAAAATCGTCAAGGAAGAACTAAGCACTGCAACTCGTTGATGAAAGATAAGTGCAAGGTCGACGAAGTAGAAAAAAAAGATCGTTGGCGTGCTTGAAAAAAAGGAAGCTAGAAGACGAAGCGTTTCTGACAGCGCTCCTGACGACGCCGTTCAGTCGCTAACGTCGAGATTGCTGGTTCGGTCGAAGATATGGTGTTGTCGTGCAGAAGTTTGTCCCCGACGTGTAAAGGAACGGGACTCGCAATCACATCAACTTTTTTGATGAGAAACTAATAAAAAATTCTCTACAAATATACTACAGACACAGAGCAAATCCAAACTCAAATACTGAAGATGCTCTCGTTAATTTTTGCGAAAACGACTTATCGTTCCGACTTTATTCTACTTTGGCTCATGTCCTACATCAGTTGATGTGAAGAGGTGAGAAATTAGTAGTACTTCGGCGTCTTGCGTGTTGTTCTGTGATTCTGATTCTCAAGCTTTCCTTTTTCTAGTATGCGGTCTTTCGTTTCATCGATCAGCCATTTTTCGTTTCACTTTTGCCCCATCCTTTTCGTATAAGCACTTACACACCCCGGGTAACATCATCCAGTCTGTATGTCCCACAATTCACGATCAGCATGTCATTCATGACGTGGGGTTTTTAAAAACTGTCATAGTTGTGACGTAAAGTTTTTAAAAGCTGTCAATCACTAGCTCTGTGTCGTGACAGCATGTGCATGTGCATGTCTTGAAAAGATCTCGTCCCATAAAAAAAAAGCCAGAGGATCAGTCCTGCTCGTTTGTGCTATCTACTAACTTCAGGAGGAGCATGTTGAAAGCCTCTAGTATCTGAAACTGAATTAGCTAAAAAATATGAACAAGATCAATTTGAACTAACAGCTATTAGCGCGTGGTAATGCAAGAACAACGGACAAACTGTATACTTACTCGTAATTCTAAAAAGATCTGCATGTCAAATGAACAAAAAACGTTGGAAAAAAAGCTCACTTGTAGTCATCGCTACGCTTTTCTACTACACTAAACTCGCAAACTCTAATGGTTCTCACCCGCCTACGTTGACTGATAAGCACAAAAAACACAAATATGGAACGCATAAAAATTCATCGGCCTGCGCCCCGATAACGTCGTGCACCTGCACACGGCAAAAATACTATTTCTTTATTGGAGAGACGAGGTACTATTTTCATCTCCTAAGTTTGCTACGTTGTATGGATACTGACTAAAATACGTAACTTGTAGCAGGAGCAATATGATTCCGATGAAACAAACACGACGATCACGATTCACAAAAATATACAACATGCAATTTCGAAACAGTCTTATTCTAAGTAAGTACTTAAGGCATTAACAATAACATATTGATGTGATAATTTTCTTTTTCATATCATCTATTTACCCTGTTCGATCTCTATGCTTGCCACCATTTGCACTTTCCGCACCTCCACCTCCTCCGCCCGCCCACGATAACGACCGATCCTTCAACAGTCGGTACACTTGCATTTCGTATTCTTCATCGTATTTGTGAGGAGTCCATTTGAACCGCTTTGGGAACGTGATTTCGGTATACTCTTTCAGTGTTGCCGATGCGCAGATTTGCCCAGGTTGTCCAGAACTTTCCATCTTGTTTGTCACGAGTACATCCACACCCCAAATATCGTACCTTAATTTCCGCTGCCCAATAACACCGCCGACAAATGTGCCTAGATGCAAACCGACTCGCATGCCGAGGCCCTGGTATGGTCATGGTAGAAGGTTGGAGGTAGTTTCTGCTTGTTTGTTGTTAACATTAGCAGCTGCCGCATATGGTTATGCTGGGACGATTCATCACGATTTTGATAAAGGTGATCATGCTCATCTTACTCACTATTTCAAAGGAGATCTACTTCCTCCTCCTCGTCAAAAAAATTCAAAAATATAAGAAGCAAGAATACCTCAATCTGCAGATCATCCCTGAGCCCACGCACCAAGAATATGAGTCCAGCAGCGAATTTGAACATGTCTGAGCAGCCAGCGGCTAATTGTTCTTCAGTGTAGTCGACTTGGGGTTCTAGAGTGGCCACATAGCAATCTCCGATCGTGCAAACTTTGTACACTCCGACTCTTCTGCTCAGGTCGTCGATTGCTGAGAAGAGTCTGGTTACAAGTTGAACCACTTTGAAAGCGCTTACCTGGTCGTGATGTTCAAGTGTGGATCATGTAGATGTTCAGTTCTTACGTTGAGAAGTACAACGAAAATATCAAAATCAAATAGTTAGTTTTAATACAAGAAGAACAGTGTTCTTTTCTGCTCGGAAATTTTTTAACACTCAATTTCAAGCTCCGTGTAGTCGAAGTTCGTTAGTACTTCTAATCTTCGAAGATGATCGAAGTAGAGTCACAACTCCTACTCGTGAGCAGTACCTTCTGCGAATAAGCCGTGAATCCCGAAATGTCTGCGAACAGACACGTCATCTTCTGATATTCTCGTACGACTTTCAATGATGCGCCACCAGAGAGCCTAAAATCCTGCAGCAAGTAAGATGGGAGCATCTCCTTCAACAGCTGATCACTGCGTTTCTCAGTTCTGCTGAGGTCTGCCAGTTTCACAAACACAAGTCGCGAAAATTGTTCGCGACTATAGGCCCCTAGCAGGTTCATGAAGATGAAGGCTGCGACGAACTGCGCAATCTCCATTCGCCAGAGGCTGGTGGCTTGGTAGCTGAAAATACACAAGGCTCCAAACACGGAAAAAAGCGCGACGTTGACCCAGAGCAAGAGTGGGTAGAGTAGGAGGCCACTTCCGGTGGAGAGAAGAGCGATCCAGAGCATCAGTTCCATGCCGAAGGCGTAGGTTAGCCAATGCTGACCGTCCTCGTTTGCGGTGACGTAGAGAGGGGAGAGAATGTGATTCAGCAGGCCAACGCTGTAAAAGAAAGCCAACAGAAACGTGATTCCCACGTTCTGCGCGTTCCATTGCAATCGGGTTCGCTTCACAGCTTCTCGCAAAGAACTCCGTAAAAACGCATACACTCTCCGACCATACATCACAGGTACAGCGAAAACTAGTGCGAGGGTTCCTCCGATCAGTACGATGACCATTTTGCCTAAGACGGTGACAAAGTTTGACACCGGTCTGGACACTACTCGTGAGACGGTGCGAGAAACGCGTGAAGTTCTTTCCGACAGAGTTTTCGGGATTGCAATGGAGAGAGCAGTGGTTGTAACAGAGTTTGCTCCACCACCGAATGAACTAGAACTACTCTTCGAAGAAACGCTAGTAGTTGCGCGAATGCCATTCCCAAAGTGTTTGTTCGTTCCTCCTGGTGATGGTGCTCCCCCACTACCTCCAGCTCCAGGTGTTGACAATGGTGAATAACCTCCTCCCATGTGGTGCTCTGCACCAGATGCAGATCCGGATGCAGTAGAATACCCAGCCCCTCCAGCACTTGAAAGCGGAGAAGGGGCAACTAGGCAGTTTGTGCTTGTAGCGGGAGAAGGAGCGCTGTTGAGTGTAGACGTCGCTTGTATAGCAGGTCTAAGCGAAGACTGTTTTTGGGCTACTCCTACTGCGGAGCCACCAGGAGACCTTAAACGCCACATAGCAGACCACGTTTTTCCGAAGCCTCCACTGGTTGGTCTTGAGTTCGAGGATGAGGCTGATGTGGTCTTAGAAGAAGAAAATTTAAAAAACAAACAAGGAGTCCCTCATCCTCCTATCTGGTGACAACTACATGTATGTGTTGATCCCTGATGACAATGTTAGTAGTGCCCGTAGATGTTAGTGTTACTCAGACAAGAACTCGGTGTCTTAACTTGTCTTCCACCACCACCTGCACCTCCTCCTCCAAATGATCCCTGCTCCATATTCCCACCGTGTCCCGCTGTTTGCCTCTCTTCGTCAATGGCTACTAGAGATGGCGATTGTTCCGGCATCTGTCCGGTTAGCCTCTTCAGTGGAGAAGGGCTGCGAAAATGGCTATGCAGGAACGAGCCTAGCGACCGAAGCTCATTTGTGTAGACGCCACGCGAGCCGGTAGTAGTGATGAAGGAAGGATCTTTCATCTGGTGTCCGTTATTCCACATGACTGTGCTGGCGTCGGATGCAGGAGGATGCGGCTGTTCTCCGCCACTGGATCCCACGGAATCTGCCGCGCTCCCTACTTCCAAGTCGGCGCAGTCATCGAATTAGATGTTGCAGGATACTCATAGTATTAGTAGTACTGTTCTTCAGTGATTATAGTAGAAGAACAAGGACTTGTTCTTAATCACTAGCCTTGTTGATTATCCCGCAGAATTTTGACTTTCATTGACATCAATGTGCTCTTCTTAACTATTCTTCCCTGGACTTGCAGCGCGCTCTAATTCAGCATCGATTCTAGAGCTAATGTCTGCACCAGGGCTCTTCATTAGCCGGTCTTTCACGTGTCGAAACATGCTGCCAGCTTGAGAACTGAGCACGCTTGCAGGAAAGGTGACTGTTGAAGGGGTACGCTGGGGAGACGAGCTGCTGTTGGTACCGCGGTGCGCTGGGGGATACACCCTGGAAGAAGTGTGGTCATGTTCGTCGCCCGAGGAGGCAGACGCAGAAGCACCATTACGGGCTGTGTTAGCTTCTGTTTCTGACTGATTCTGACGATCAACATCGTGGTCGCTCTCCGTAGCAACAATGGCTCCTCCAGATAATGGCGCACTTTCTATATTCACTTTCTGTATAATGGACGCAACTCCTCGATGTCTATCTTGATTTCTCTGCTCAGCACTGCTTTTCTTACCAGCATGTTGCGACACTGGCACCGACTGGTGCGCTCCTGCTCCTCCGAAGTTGCTGCTCTTGTTGTGCTTGTTGTTTGTTCCACGAAGATCACCTCCACGTGCATTTGACGAGGAATCAAGGTGAAGATTACTGTCTCCACCTCCTGCTCTTGACCCACCACCAAAGCCTGAATCCGTTGCACCATAGAACCACATTGCGAAGGCTCGTTGGCGATCCATATCTTCAAACGGATCCACGCACTCCTCGTCGTCGTCGCTACTCGAGAACGCGGAGAAGGATGAATCGGACTTCTCTTCGTCACTGTCTTCTGGCTGGTCAGACAAAGGAGGTCCGCCAGGAGGTTTTAAAACAAGTAGCTTTCCACTTTCACCTTGAGGACCATGATTACGTTCGCAATCCCGAAGATCATTTTTACCTTCTAGTTCTTGCGTTTCATCGATCTTCTTATTCACGACAGTAGTCATCTTCGTGCTTTTCAATTCCATTAAGCGCATGTCGCGGTGATCTCCTTCTTTCGTTTTCTCCTCGCGCGAAGAACTTGAGCCTCCTGATCTATCTCGTACCAGGTCAGGCGGTCTAGTACTAGCTAAAGCTACGCGACTTACCAACGCGCTAGCAACACTACGCGGAGTGGCGGAGGCGGCTAGTTGTATGAAAGTGGAGAAGTAGGAGATACTAGATTGATTATAGATACACTTGTGGAAAATCCTGGTAGTCAACATCTTGCAAATATTGCAATTTTTGCATGTAATCGTAATCCTATGATAGCTTATGATGACCTCCAACTCTTCAGAAAGCTTTTCTTGCGCGAATTACAGATCATGGAGCAGGTGGCGATAGACAAAAATGAACATGATAAAGCATAGAGATGATCTTGCCATCATAATCTTATCCCCACTTGAGCCTGCAGCTGCTGGAGTTAGAGTCGGCCCTATCCGCATCAAATTGACTTTTGCATCGGGTGATGTCTCGTCGCTTGCTGTTCTCCCCACAAAAACTCGACTCTTGGTCGCAGCATTCGAAGCCACGTCGCGAATTGGTGAAGATTAGAGCCGCCACGTTTGCATCCCTGACGCCATCCACCTTGGCTTCTTTTTCAAGTAGAAAAAGGGCCAAGGATGGCGCTGAGGATGCTTCTGCGGTAGCCTTAAGAAGACGACGCGGATATCGGTAGTTTCTTCTTATCAGCATTCCCGATACTCCTCTGTCTGCGGAAGGCGTCTAAAGGTATGGAAACGCCAGGGTCCTTAGCTGCTACTGCAAGGACAGCTTCTGCGCCGATAAGACGCTTAGATTTGTTCATCACTCCACGCTTCGACTGATTTACACCATCGTCTTCATCGTCGAAAGCGAAACCACCCAGAAAAAGACTGTGCGATCGCCTGCGGCCACGTGGTCGACAACACGAAGTCAAGCTCAACGCGACTTCGTGAAAACATCCAAGAATCGATCGGATGAGACACGGACACGACGATGCACAATGATTTCTTCTGCCATAGGAATCCCTACCGTCGTCAACATTTGATGACGTTGCTGAGAACCCGCTACCGAGGGAGAAGCTGTTTCCCGGCGCAGCACTATCGTCACTAATATCTTTACTTTGCACAAGGCCATTGGTCGTTCTTGTTGTTCCACTTGTTGCACTTGTCCTCATTGTATCACGACCAGTCGTACTTCCTCTGTTACTGTTTCTAAAAAACCCCAAAAACGTTGTCATGTATGCACTAGGATGCGCCTCACGACCATCTTCTGCATCTTCTTGTTCGTTCTCGTGCTCGTCTAGGGCTCCAAACCCAAAGCCAGTGCGCTTTAATGGCGCGAAGAAGATGTTTGTTTGTCTTCGCAGGCTATCGATCGCTCGATGCCAGGTGTGTCGAAGGGCACTGTCATGCAGCCAAGAAGATCCTGATCTTTCTATTCCTGTACTCCGACCAGATGTGCTTCCGGTTTGTGATGCTCCTTTTCTGCCAGTGGAAGATGAAAAAGGTCCCTGTTTTCTTTTGTGCTTAGAGGGATCTTTTGTACTCTGATGTTTACCACTCTGATGAAGAGCTTCTGAAGTGGAGATGAGCATCTTGTTGCTATTTCCATCTTCCCGACTCGCTCTTACCCTTGATCGCAACTGATCGTGCTTTTGCTCCTGAATGATTGCTACACGCCGCCGAATGAATCCGAACATTATCAAGGCCGCGACCAGAAAGGCGATACGCCAAACCACAGCACGCGTGACATCGATCGGTGGATTCTGTGGCAGCAACAGCAGGGGAATCGACGTCATCAGATAGATCAACACGAAAAATGACAAATACGTTAAGAGATTGCGAAACCGGTTTTCGTCGCCGTACCACTGTTCGACGTAGCGTTTCTCCAAGGCGAAATCCTTGAAAGAGAGCCAAAATTCCATACGAATCTTCAGAAAAATGTCCACTGGTCCACCATGTTCTCCTGAACTTTTGGCGCCGGATTGTTGAGCTAGAACACCTCCACGATCGTGTCCTGATCTACTCTTTCCACTCCCCGTTGCACCACCAGACATTGGCGATCTACTTCTACCAGCTTCAGAGGACTTGCCTCCCCTATTGCTCTTCAACAATCTGCTTCGATCTCTCATCCCACTCCGACCTCTGAGCTCGCCAGAACTGGGACTATGATCTCGTCCGGTTCCTCTGGGGGAACTACCCTGCTCTTGGAAATCTTCTTGCTCGTCAAGGTCCGAACTTCTAGTACGTCGCCTTCGCATCAATATCGCAGTTCTGCCTAGACGCTGAGCGAATTTACCCCAAGACCTTCTCACACTTTTCAACATGTCCTTTCCAGTAGTTGTCCTCTGACCACCTTCTTCTTCTCCGGAGCCTCCACCTAGTGATGCTAGAGGTAGAACGTCTATGATTCCGTCACAGACGCGACCCAAGCGGTCCAAAATGCCTCCACTACTCTGTTCCTGAGCATAGCGAAAGCGGTCTTGATCCTCGCCGTTCTGATTAAAGCCACCAGCAGCAGCTCTTGTTCCAGTTCCGTTCCCGCGGCCCATAATTATACTCCTTGAACGACTGGAAGAAGATGAAGAAGACAATCCACCTTCTACTCCACTAACCCCGTCTGGCCCCCAGCGTCGGACTCCTGTCTCTGAAAGGTCTGACAGGATAAAAGTGGATGCTTGAGGTCGTCTAGAACGCTTACATTAGACGTTCCCGAATTCCACTTTGAAAGTCATGATCCTGGACACCCATTCGCCCCCCTTATAAAGCCCACTAGAAGAAGGTCCAAGCCGTTTTCCCTTTAGACGAAGAGGACGGTCCAACATGTAAGTATTTTCACAAGATGGGTTTCCAGAACAAGCCTTAATTGCAGCAATACAAATGGTCCCGGAAAGAATTCACAAAAGCATCCGCGATGAGAGCCATAGCATCCGAAAATTGCCAGTGGTCAAGCGCCACCCGCGATTGGCCTAGAGACGTACCACGTCGAACGATCCGCAAGCTCAAAGCAACACCAGCAAAGGTACTTGGAAAATTAGAGATAAGGGAGAAGGCGATGTTAGAACAAGATTCAAAAAAGCGATTAAGAACAAGATGAGGGAGAAGGCGATGTTAGAAGTTGTATTTAAACAGTCGTAGACGGAAACAAAAACTCCTACACTCGTCCATAACAACGTCAGTCGTCCTCCTTGTGATGCTCGTCCGTGCGGTTCCCCAGAAGGATGTCATGCTGCGCACTGTTGAGTTCTGCCTCACTGAGGCCGTCATAGAAGCCCGCGTAGAAACTCGCTTAGTCGTGCGTCGACGACGTGTCGAGTGCGTTCGGCTAGCTCGTCTCGGTGAAGGCGAAGTAGGTTCATCATCGCCTGAAGATACCCTTCTACCGAGGCCGGTCGTGAATGAGAGCAAGCTTGCCCTGCCACGTGGCTTGGAACTATTGTTTGATGAGTGTCTTTTCACATCTGCACGCGCACTCTGCCTGCTTCCAGTGTTGTTACTTCCTCGACGAGCAGCTCCACCACCTCCTGTGGCTGACGTCCTTCTATGGCTCATCTGATTTCGTTCAGAAGTTTTCATCTTGCTTATCTTGTTAATATCACTAGACGTGGTCGTCCTGGCATTCGAAGATGACGAAGCTGTAGTTAAAGCGGCTTTAGCAGCTTGAGAAAGTGGACCGGAGTGGCCTGAAGATCTTCCCGGAAGAAATTGAACTGTCACTGAGCGCATTGGCTGCACTGCCGGTGGCGGGTATTCCACTGTCAGCAGGCCGTTCTCATCGACGAAAACGACTGTGTAACCTCCCTCCGGCTTCGCACCTGCAACATTTCCACTAATACCACCAGCCGCTGCTAGGGCCAAAGCGCCGCCCCCTCCCTGAAGATTTCCGGCTCCTGAGACGTCATCCGCACCCAGCCCTTTTGACCCTGTAATACCAGCACCACCTGGATCGTTTTGCTGATGAAAATCCTCGATGTATTCCATGATATTACCAACTGCACCGACAGCGATGATGTTGATCTTATTCGCACCAGATTCTTCTGCTTCCTCATCCTCGTCCCCGCCTCCTGCGTCTCCGCTTGCGTCTCCTTCTTCGTCATCATCGTCGTCCCCATTCAGCATACTGCCAACACTGCTTTCGCCTGAGCGTTGGCGGTCCTTGATCAGCTCGATCGGCGCTGGAGGCTGTGGAAGTGAGGCCGGTTCAGGCTTGGATTTCGTCCATAGCAAATGCGATCGACTGTCTTCCGAACCTGGCGTACGCTTGTCTACCTCGATACCCCCTTCTTCTTGATTTATTCGGTTCTTAGATGGAGATGCCTTTCCTATTACTTTCTTGTTTTGTTGTTCGCCTTGTGCTTTTCTTGATCCAGCGTCTTCGTCCTCCTGCTCCTGTTTCTTCTCATCGTCAGCAGCATCTTCTTTCTCATCCGAGCCTGAAGTTGTGCTTATCCCACGTAGCGCTGATAGAGGCATTGATTGTGCTGGGAGGTTCTTGATCCTCTTGTCGAGAAAATCCTCTTGCTCTTTCTCTAAATCTATCCTTCCCGAAACCCACTTCTCTCCTATATCTATAGTTTTCGTGTCTCGACCTCCTACTATTGTACTAGACGATGAGCCTGCAGCTCCACCTCCAGCTGATGTTGACGTAGTTTTTGTACCTCCACTTCCTGCACCAGATGATCTTCCGACTACATCATCAGCGCTCTTTCGTCTCTCTTGCTCTGCAGGCTTGATCTTTTGCGGCGAACTTGTTCCGTTCCAACTACCTCTGCCGCCAGTCGCGGCTACCCGATCCATATTAACTGCGACCACCGCTCCCCGATCCACCACGGTCGTTTCCGGCTGATGATTCACCAGCCCATGTAGCAGGTATGTCCGCATCAAACCCTTGCCTTTGACTTCTAGTTCTCGTTCTTCAAAAACGAAAATTTTTTCCAGTTCTTCCCGTCCGCCCATGTGCAGACAAACCCAGTCGTAGGTGCTCTGACTCAAGTGTATCTTGTCCGCTTCGCTCTTACCCTTCATGCGACTGGCAGTGTTCACCGTGTCGCCGAAAAGTGCATACTGTGGTTTTCGACTCCCGACAATGCCAGCAATCACGCGGCCAGTGTTTAAGCCGATCTTTACCTGCAAAAACTCCGGAGCACCTGTTTCCACGTTGTTCCTCAGAAATATGTTCCGCGAAACTCGGATCTGCTCACAGGCAAAAAGCAGAGATCGGTACGCGTCTTTCGCAGCATAATCATGATGAGGACTCAGAGGACTATCTAAAATGCCAGTGCCGTCAGCAGGAGATGCAGGAGTAGTGGGTGAAGGTATGGAGGCAAGGTTGTTGTTGTCATTCTTGTGACTGACGAGTTTTCCTCCTTGTACTTGTTTCGAACCTGCGCCAGAAGTAGTCGATCCATGCTGAGTGACGAGTTTTCCTCCTTGTACTTGGTTCGAATCTGCTGTGGCGTTGTTTCCTGGACCTCCCGTAGCCATCGTAGTTCCGCTTCCCGCAGTCGGAGCACTAGGACTAGGAAAAGGCATGTTGAAGATAGCAGGTGTTGTACTTGTACCTCCTCCATTTTCACTATCCTCTTGCAACAAAGTCGGAGGTGCACTTCCTAAAGGAGGTCGGAAAAGCCCACTTGGGCTACTTGGCGTTGGGCTAAAGGGGAAAAAACTTCGGATACTCAAAGAGGGTTGAAACCCCCCCCCAGCGACGGCTCGACCACTGCTAGTGCCACCTTGTGACGAAAAGGGGATGAAAGAAGGGGAACGAGAGCCCTGGCAAAAGTTAGAGCGTCTCAAGAAAAAAACAACGCGGCTCTATCCTCGATAAGACCAACTTATTTCTGGCGGGTCCGCTTTCCATTTTCGTCTGGATCGGTGAAACTGAAAAATTAGGAAAGTTTCCAAGCGTAGAATTAAAAATGGAGTCTCGACGATACCTTTCCCTTTGCAGCACAAGTGCACATAACTGAAGTTCCACTCATGCCTCGTGCTCCTGGCAAGGCGTTCAGTAGGCTACCTGCAGTTTTCGAGTACGAGGGAAACAAAGCCCGAGTTGAAAGCGTCGTTTTAGTTGTATTCGTACTGCCTTCGACAAATGTGTCTATCACTGAAGGACTTGACTTCAACAGGCCCTCTGATGTTGTGGCGGACGTGGCCACCGAGGGACTGCCTCTGGGAGTTTTCGAGTTGGCACGATTTTCGCTAGGAGCATTTGCATTTTTGCCGGATTTGTTGGCCAGAGTAAGAGCTAGAGCTGTATTGCCTCCCCTACCTCCATCAGCTGCAGCATCGGTTATGGACTTTGCGGTCGCTGTATTTTCCGCAGAAGCTCCAGTGAGCGAACTTCCATTTGGGTTTCCGTTCTTGCATTAGAGCAGGTGCAGAATGGACGATGTTGTTTCATATCAATCTATGTAGTACTATCAGGCATTCCAACTTATTGCATTTGTCGTAGAAGTGTGCTCACCGTCTCTGTGCACCGGTTTTTAGCTCTGGCTAGTATAACAAGGGACAGACTTGTTCGAAGACAACCATTGGCGACAATCTTGAATATCTCTTGTAGTGACTCGTAGTCGTACTCTGATAATTATGTATTCAAATGATTTGATTGTGATTAACGTGAGATTCCATAATCAAGTGCTCCTCCACTATTCCCGTTCCTGTCTTTCTTCAGTCTATTTAGCGCCATCAACCTGTTGCTCGCTCTCCTGAAAGCCCGAGTATTTCGCACTTTCCCCGTGTCCGACAGAGAAACGCCGCGAGCTGATAGAAAAGTTTCCCCGACGGTCTCGATTTTCGTCACCCCATGCACTTCGCACAATCGATCATAACGCTTGAACAAGGTGTCTAAAACTTGCACCAGTCGTCCGGGATCAACGTCCATCTGCAAGACTAACTCAGAGAAGTTCTGGATGTCGCAAAAGACCACCGTCACCAGTCCAATATCCTCGGCAACCACTGGTGGCCCACGACTGACCGAAGATGCCAGCATTTTCTCGACCACAAAGGGTGGCAAAATGTTGTGCAAAATTTCCCTAGATCGTTGTTCCGCTTTTTCCAATGCGGATTGCAAGTCAAACTGTTGCCTGTTGTAGAACTCCTGACTACGACCGCCGTACGAAAAGATGACGATGAGCCCGAAAAGCGTAGACAAGTAGTCGAAAACGCGGCAAACGCGATCAGGCAAAACCTCACATTCTCGTTGGCGGTACTCGTCGCTCAAAACCATGCGGTTGTCGACATCGAATGCAAGGTAACGGACCAAAAACATAAACAGAACGATCAGGTTGAGGAAGGATTAGAAGAGGAGATCATGAAGGGACAACTTTTGATTTTGAAGGTTGCCTCGTACTCGTACCAGTACGTGGAACATGTAATTGTAAATGTCTATGGCCATAAAGGAAGCTCTCAAAGAACGGTATCTTCAGCAGGACTGTGAAGACGAGAGGAAACAACGCTGTCAAGATCGCACCGTCCCTTTTCAAGGCAATGTCGAAGGTGAGAACCAAGACCCATCCCATCAATCCGCAGCCAACTTGTAATCGCTTAAAATGTTTGACAAAGTTCGAACTTTGGACCAGAAAAAAGTACCACAGGGCTCCTATGATCGCGACGAAGTACATGAACCTACGCGGAAGAGAGACGCCGTCTGTCGACATGAACTCGGAGATGCCGAAGAAGCAGAAGCCGACCATCATCAAAAGTGCGACTAGGAGAAGAAAATTTCGGCTGCGGGCGACGTGGGCAGCTAGATAAGCCCGTTCTAAACCAGGGTCACGGAACCGAAGTGTGAAGGGATGCAGTTTCTTCGAAAATTTAACGCCTGATCGACCAGATATTTCGGATAGTTCGCTCGTGTTTCCCACGTTGGCTACGGCACCGGCTAGCCATTGCGAGACGTTGCGTGGAAAATGCAAACAGCGGAAAAAGAGATGGGACCAAGTGAAGAGCGCTGAGCTTCCTCTAGAACTGGTAGAGGAGGTTGAGTTTCCGTGTCCACCTACACCTACTTCGGACATTCTTGCTGAAGAAGTCGTTCCCTTTCCACTCCTAAGATGACGAGGAGAAAGCGGCAGAGATTCAGCACCTCCCTTAGCAATCGCCCGACAACCCCGAAGACAGCGAAGTACTGCACATCTAAACCAGGACTCGTCTTGACGTCCTCCTGACGAGAGGAAATTTCTCGTATTCCCATGTGATGAGCCTGCCCAACGATTATACGGATTCGCCGAATCTACTGCATTTTGGAGGTCGACATTGCTTTTGTTACCGCCGGCACCTTCATGATGGGCTGCTGCGCCACCACTCTTCCCAAAAATATCCGTGCCATGCAAGGAACGAGATTGCGGCACCACATGGTCTCCAGTTCTTGTTGTTGATGTACCTCTAGTACGTCGACCTCGTGGTGAACCAACCCCATCCACATCCTCGTCTGGTGGATCTTCTGTCCCGGTCGGAAAGATAGTACCGCCACCTCCGCCAAGCAAACCCCCGTTCTGAGTACTCGACGACATATGCGAAACTATCGTACCTTTCAGGTCCTGCATTTGGAAAATTAGAGCTGCTCACACCAATGCTAATTCATCTCGATAACCAGCATCCTGTTAGCCCTGGCAACCGAACCCTCATGTCATCGATCAGGAAGATGTTCGCTTCTGAAGATGGATTACGACTAGGATTAGGAGAAGCCGTAACAAAACCAGTGTTCTAACACCACGACCCATGAAAGTGACTGCGTCTTGCATCCTAGGAGAGTACGAGAGGAAAGCTTTCTGCACTGCCATTACATCCGAATCTGCTGACGTGTTCGAGGGTACGGCTGTAACTCCTGGCAAGGGAAGCAAGTGACTGGTGCCCTTAGTGTTAGTTAGAAGAGTAGATACCAAAGTTTTAGTTAGTGTTAGAAGTGGTCACCATCTTGACCTTGGTTGGTCAGCATTAATTTTGGTTCCATTTTGATCCCATTCAAAATGAGAACAAGCAAGATGATGCTTCTGTTAAACATGGATTTTCATTTTCTCAACATACAAGGCTTAACTTATCGGGATTCGCACTTCTTCGCGATGACCGCATGAAACCAACTGGAATCGGTAAGCCTAAACCTGAAAAAAAACCACCTCCTCGACTAGTGCGTTGCTCTACTCCCACTTGCTGACTCTCTCTACCAGCAGTATCTACTTCTTCAGGTTGATCATCTTCTCCTTGATGTGGTCCACCGCCAGGTGATGTGAATGGAGAATCTACTTCGGCATGTGAAGGCATGCGCTCTCTGTGTTGAAGAGGTCCCATCAAGGTACCTCCAGGCCCAGCTCCAGGTGGCCTAGAAGAGGCTCCATATTCTTGAAAGTGCTGCTCTTGTGGTCCGCCAATCGTCGGATCCTCTACTAGGATTTCTTGGGCTGGTCCCGATTGCAGTAACTGCGAGATGCGACTCAAAAACGTTACCTTGTCCGCATACATGTCACGGGCCGCACTGCGCTGTCGATCCAAGGAGCCCTTGATTGGCGAAGGTGACAACGACCGTCCTCTAGGGTCGTGGAGCTGGTATTCCTCACTCTGATCTGGCTTCAAACATGGTCGTGGTTGATGAACCTCAACTTGTTCGTATTCCTTATGGAACAGGTTCGCCATTGAAGGTCGTGCTCCTACTTCGCTATTTCGCGCTCCTTCTGGATTCGTCACAAGACCTCCTGCAGGCAGAGTTGTCGTTCGCGTGGAGGAGCGAAGTGGTGTGCCGTTTTCTCCTGGAACATCAACGTTGCCACGAAAAACTGAACCTCGAGTCATGCGTTTCAGCGGGGAGGTCGAAAACGGAGCTGTGCTGTAAGCGGTGACGAAGCTTCGTTTGGCTGGCGGAGAAACTATTGTGGCGGAGACTGAGGAGGACCCTCCAAGGAAAACACTCCCACGGGGAGGTTGGTGTAGTTGTAGATGATTTTGTTGAAGATGAGGAGTGCTGCTTATGTTCGGCCCTCCTCCAGCAGATCCAAGAACTGACGACTGCAGCAATGTAGGATAGTTAGTCACGCCCCCCGTCGACGCGGCCCTCGTAAACAGCATAGTACTAGCACGACCTGCGGTCGTTTGGGATGGTGGAGAAACCAGATTCTGCATCGAACTCCGCATCACTCCGCTGTAGTTCATAGATGAGATGAGCATGCTGTTTCGAGTCGCACAACTCGAAGCTTGCGAGTATTGCGGAATGTTGCCGTACATTCCGCTCCCAGGACCTCTACTCATCATATTTCCTCCACCTGGGCCACCTCCATAGGTACCTGAAGACGCAGAGTTGTACAGCCAATTACTGTGATGTTCTACGCCAGATGCGTACAGCGGATGAACGTCGCCATTGATGTCGTCTATGTTGCCTCTGCTTCCTCTAGCAGACCCTAAACCTCCTCCAGCAGACCCTCCTAGTAGTAGGCCCCCGTTTTCTTCATGAATGCCGTGATTAATGCCGTCCATCGCCTGAGCTCCATGGCACGGTTGCAGATGATGTTGCCCATAGGTGTTCGAGTGTAGACCTCCTAGACCAAGGGAGGAGAGCGAGGTCCCCCTTCGTTGTGCGCGATTCATCAACGCCCCACCCTGACTATCGCGCAAAAAGTTCGAGCCTCCTTCGTAGTGACCTGCTGCAGCAGCTGCGGAGGTTAAAGCCATCGGACCACCTCCACCGGCAAAGGATCCTCCCTGCATGTAATTGGCCAAACCCGATTGATGCGCCAATTCCTCCTGTTCGTCTTGCTGAAGCAGTTGGTGCACACCAGTTGCGCTAGAGACGGACATCAGACTCCAAAGCGAAATACGTGCTTCTTTTTCAACGATAACGGGTTGAAATTCGTAGTTCCAATGATTACATAGGAACCAGTCTCGCCACAGTCTGTAAAATTCATCTAAAGGCAACATGGAGACGTCAGTTGGGAAACCAGGGACGTAGACCCTGGGTTGTAAAGCTTGCTCGTCGTTGTCTTCTTCGTTACCTTGATCGTCTTGATGTTGTTGTTGATTAGCAGAACAAGCAGCACCAGTTTCACCTGCTGCAGCACCTCCAGCGAGATGATTAGAAGCCTCTGAAGGAGAAGGGGACATCGACATGCTCCTGTCAAGTCTCTTGGCTTTGGCATTGGATGCAACCTTAGCTGCACCGTTGGAAGCGACGTCATTAAGATCTTCTTCACCAGTCTCGCGCCAGCTCTCCTCATTCTCAACCGGTTCTTGTGGAGATCCGCAACTGTGGATATCGAAATCGTCGTCCTCATCGTCTCCTGAGAAGTAGAAGCTTTCATCGTCGTCAACATCGGTGTAATCAACGTACTCGAATTTTCGATGCGAAGCAACCAATGCTTTTGCTAAGGCTGCGTCGCTGAAGAAATGCGCACCCTCTAACCATGGTGGCTGAGCGAAAGGAGTAGTCGATGTCGGATTTTTTGGGGCAGGAGGTGTCTTAGTTGTTCCTGGAGCAGTTGATGTAGTTTCTTGGGGAAGATGAAGATCATAATTCTTCTGCCCATCATCCTCATGCTCCACTTCCACGACCTTTGCCGCTGCTACTTCTACAGTTATACCTGGCGTCGTTTTTAGCAAGGTTGGGTGCATGTCGGAATCACAAGAAGGCGTGTTTTTCGTGACGTTTCCTCCAGGAGTGTTCAGTGCAGATACAAGATGCTGAAGTGCTTCTTTCGGTACATCCCCTGCATTCTTGACAGCACGACCTGCTTCAAGATCAAGTAGAGCCACATCATGATCTGATGAAGCATCACGGAAGTTTCCACCAACTCCATCGTCATTTCCACCTCCACCTCCCGTGGGTGGCGATGGTGGCAAGGATAATTTGATCACAGCACTTGCGAGTCTCTCGCAGAGTTTCGCCCATTCAGTTTCGACTAGTTCGGTCAGCACTGGCGCAGCCAGATACATCTGGACAAACTCCACGACTGATGGCTGTCTCACACTAGAAACGATGACGTCTAGCAACACAACCGTGAAAACTGGAACAAGCACTCCTAGAGGAATCCGCGGATCGAGATGGACATTGAAGAGGAAAAACCAAGGAACAAAGACAGCGCAGGAGAGGACAGTCGCCCAAACGACCAAGGGATTCCACCTGGTGCGACAAGCAAGAAGAAGCTTGACACTTACGCTTACAATGACAGCGTAGTAAATGGAAGAACCGACTGTGGAGAGCCAATCCACTTGATCACTTTCGTTGCTAGGAGAAGATAGTGCTCCTCCTGTTGCTTGAGAAGACGAAGAAGTAGCTCTTGAGGAAGTGAGGAGCCATTCGAGGTCAGCAATACTGGAAGGACTATCGCTTTTCAAACCCCCGATATCAAAGGGGTCTTCTGTAGAAGAAGAAGAAGATGACTCTGCTCCTGGTGCAGCTACTCCTCCTTGTTGTTCCTCTACTGGTGGTGCATAGAAAACGAAGATGTTCCACCAAAAAATGCCTGCTCCCAAAGCGACGCCTTGTAGGATCCAAGACGCAAAGACACGCCAGTTGAAGCCTCGCTGCAGTTGGGATTCTTGATAGAGAATCGGAATTTGAAGGTTTACGATATCCGGGACATCGCCATCGACCATACCCACCAGAAAAACCGGCAAGCTGGTCCAAAGTAGGTTGAAAGACATGATCAACAAGGAATCGTAGAGCGAGCTTCCGGAACGATGGCCACCGGCAGAGAGTAGGACATTGTAGAAGAAAGCTGGGACAATCCAGCAAACGTTCTTGAAAAAACTGAACAGCACAACGAGCGCAACACGATTGTAGTTGCGACGGCCGTGGCAAAGCAACAAGTTGGCCAAAAAACGAAACTGCGCAATTGAAAAGTCAGACGCCGCAACAGCCTGTCTGCCTTCGTTTCCGCTGATCCCCACCCCGACATGTGCGGCGCGGATCATGGCGCAGTCGTTCGCGCCATCCCCTATTGCCAAGGTCAAGGGTGCGGGACTCAAATGCGTGCGCATCAACGATACCAAAGCGGCTTTTTGTCGCGGCGTGATGCGACAGGCGACCACAGATGCTGCACCAGCGAATAGAGTGACTAATGGTATCAACACGCGTGGATTCGCGATCAGCGTCGCTGCTGAGCTTCCGTCTATGACAATGCTATATGGTCTATCCGGATTTTCTTCACAAAATCGTTCGACTTTTCGAATAATCTCGAAAAACTGGTTTTCGGTTTTGAATTCCTCAGCTGTGTTTAGACTCATACGACGCGAAGCACGTGCGACTAGCCCCTTCGTCACCTTTTCCTTTACTCCATGTAAAGCGTTTGCAGCCAAAGCGCCGCCATGCAAAGGGTTTGAACCTTGTGGGCCTTGAGAAGTACCACCACCACCACCTCCATTTCCAGCATTTGCCCCACCACCGTTTCCTAGTGCACCAGAAGAGGAACCGCGTCTGAAGTGACGGTAGCTCATCGAAGTTGTACTTTCTGTCGGTTGTTGACCACTGGCGCCAGGTCCTCCTGTTCCTCCAGAAGAAGATGTCGCTCCCCCTCCACCACCACCTCCTCCGACTTCCCCGGGCAAGCCGTCAGGTACTACAACGATACGTGAACTACGTCCACTCGAGCGAAACGATCGATCTGGTCCTCGCAGAGCATGACTGCTACTCGGACTCCGCGTAGGCATAATTTGTGCACGGTCTAAGGACCCACGTCTGCTAGTTGCACTTCCACGACGCCCTCCAAAGCCGTTCAAACCACGCAAAGAATTCGATTTCGTCGTTTCGTCGTCACCAAAAGACAACTGATGCTGAAGTCCTGTCTTTTTGTTGTCAGTTGTGCCAGTGCCTCCAGTTCCAGTTGCACTCATCAACGTAGCTGTCATACTCAAAGTATTTGACTTCGAGCTTTGTCTCCGTGTTTGGGTTGCACTTGCACCACGTGAAGATGTAGTGACCAGTTGTTTACTACTATCGACCGTGTTGTCTTTGTTTTCACCAATCATGCTGGTTTCGTGCTCATGCGATTGTTGCCCACGAACGCCTCCTAGCGATGCTCCACCAGACTCGGTTTTCGACGTCGATCTTTGTTTCACAACGTTGACGAAAAAGACTTCGGCTTCCCACGGAATCAAAGCCACAGATTTGGCAACATTCACGGCCGTTTCCTGCTTATCCCCGGTGAGCATCCACAGTTTGATGCCTCCGTGTCGCAGCAACTCCACAGTTTCCGGTACCCCTACCTGCAATCGGTCCTCCAACCCTGCGATGCCTAAAATTTCGATGTCTCGTTCGATCCAGTCTGCGACAGCGTCTACCTCTTCATCACGGTTCTCTAACGCTGTCTTCGCTTTCTTCATGCGTGCTACATACTCGCTGGCTTCCTGTCGTGTGAGATATCTACGACCCATAACCAAAGTTCGCAACCCGCTACACGAGAAGTCCAGTATGTTCTGGTGAAAAGCCGAGCTGTGCGACTTACAGCGCTCTAACATGACACTATCTGCGCCCTTGATGAAGAGCACAAAACGTTCGCTGGGATAGTATGGGTGATGTTGATGCATCAAACCTCCAGGATGAGACAGAAGACCACTAGTCGTCGTATGCATGCCAATTGTTGTGTTCAGCGAAGCCGTGGTCATCTGCGCTGCGTTGGTGTAACCGCTCGCACCCAACGAACTGCTCTGGTAACTTCCAGTCGATTGTTCTGACACATTCGTTCCTTGACGACTCTGATGTCTCTTCACAGACGAGGCTCCTCCTGCTGTATTTGTTTTAGTAGAACCGATCGACATCGACGAAGGTCCTCCAAATGATGATGGTCCATGATGCTGTTCTTGATGTGGTGGCGTTGATGGTGGAGGAGGCGGTTGGTCTTGGTGATGATTTATTTTCGTTATGAGACCTGCTCCAGAGGCTTGTGTCGAGGATCCAGAGTCGTTAGACACTATGGAAACAGGAGTCATTCGCGGACTAGCGAGTCTTTCAACTTTCAGTGTGTTGCTGCCAATCATGCCTCCAGGCGGTGGTATACTGGTCAAAGAGGCACTAGGTGACGGAGCACACATAATTGCGCCAACCTGGTGAATCTGTGACGCGCTGCCTTCTTTGGAAGTGTTTCGACTGAGACCGACAGTAGGAGACATCGTCGGTGATCCGGAACCTCGACTGCCAGGTGGCCGTGGCGTCAGTTGGCCACCTGAAGCTGCCGGTGAAGAAGGCCTACAAGTTGCTCCACCCCTTGCAGCATTGTAGGTCGTTGCATTTGCTCCGTAAGTATGTCGATTTTGCTGCATCGGAAGATGCCCTCCTCCACCTCCCCCAACCGCATATGGTGTCGAAGTAGATGCCGTTGGCGTATTGAACATCATGTTGGTGGCTAGAACTTGTTCTTTCAGCACAATGCCCATGCGTCGACGATCCGAGTTGAATTCGTGCACGCCTAAAATCTCCCATCTTCTGTACACGCCGTTTTCCAAAACACCTAGCTCAGAGCCACTGCGTTCTAAAATCTTGTACCCGAGTTCTGAAATACCATGCAGTAAAGCTTCTTCATCGGGAGAACTTGCCTCCACTCGATAATGCGACTCAATATCCACTTGCGAGGTGCTGTTCTTGGGACGAACATGATTTTTAGCATTCTGTTGTTGTGCTGTAGCTGCAGATGACTTGTTTTTGTTTCCTCCAGTATGCTGATCACCAATGTTCTCCCCTTGTTGTGCAGCTGCATCTTGTTCCGAAGATGCAGGGCTCCCAGCAGAAGTCGTGGCACGCCCTCCTCCTCCTTGTAGTGGTGGTGGTGGTGAGGTATTGGTATAATATGCAGCCCCACTGTCGCTTCCTCTTCCGCTTGCGATGTTGTTCACCTGACTGCCTAGACGAGTCCTTTTACCCAGACTCTGAGAATCGTCAGCCATAGTTGTACCAGTGCTGCCTTTACGAGGAGAAGGATCTTTAGATGAAGGGTTTGCTCCACCGCCAAGATGTGGTGCGAAGACTGCTCGATTTTTTCCTCGTTGCTCTACTTGATCGTTACTGTTTGCCCCTCCTCTGGACGTTTGTCCAGTCGATCGACGTCTCGGCAAGCTCTGAGACGCAGCTGTAGAACTTCCTCCCATTACTGAAGCGGTTGAGGCGGAAGCGGAGATGAGTCCTCCTCCAGGTGCTGTTCCAGGTGGAGGCGCAAACAGTGACGACAAGGAGCCACGCCTTGCTCCTCCAGGCAGATATTGCTGCAAAGACACATTTCGTGGCAACACCTTTGCACTGCGTAAAAACATGCGCTTTGTATTCATCCGAGCCGCGCGTACAGGCTGAGCGGAATTGCACAGTAACACACACTGAAGGAAATCAGCCAGTGGATCAGTTAGGACATCGACATTGCGCGCGAAAGCGGAATGTGCAGTACTAGGTCCTCCTTCTACGGATGTCGGATTCTGAGAAGTTGATTCTGAGAAGTAGTTTTCTTGCATCGGGACAACGGCCGAAGAAGTGTTTTCAGTTGCTCCTCTGACAGGTATCATCTTCTGTAAAGGGCTGTAGTTGTTCGCGTTCATATTTGTTCCCACGACGTCTCGAGGTCTAGCACCTAGGGAAGATGCCACTTCTTTCACTGGTTGCAATGGCAACGCTTGACTCGACACCAAGCTGATAAGGTGACTTCCTCCAGCGTTGGTTGCGTTTCCTGTCACCAGACTCGGATACGGCGAGGATGGAGGCGCAAATAATACTGCTTTCTGCAATGTGGTGGTCGAAGCAGTTCTACCTGGTATGATGTCAGGGTCTGAGAAATTGTCTTCTCCGGTTAAAAGCTCCACGTCTACAGCCGGACTACTATCCTTGGCAGCTGCGTTACTAGCCGCATTGCTGTCTCCTAGACTGCCAGGCAGCGAGACGCCAGGACTCGAAGATTTGGAATTCTTGGCACTATTGGAAGACGGGCTAGGACTCCCCTCATCATGTTGGAATAATGCTGGGTCTACTTGTCTCGAAGTAGAGGTGCTAGGACTTGGAGGCGAGGGGGCTTCTTTACTATTACTATCACCTCGTCCTGCAGCGACAACTGCTGCAACGACAGCCCCAGTTGTCGAAACTACCGCACCAGCGGCAGTAGAGGACATAACTGCACCTGGACCTCGTCTCCCTGCTCCAACTAGGGCTTCGTCTAACAAATTCTTCTGCCCAAACACCCGTCCTCCAGCACTGCAAACACGGAAGACCATCTCGTTCTCAGTGAGTGTGCCGGTTTTGTCGCTAAAAACCATGTCGACTTGACCCATATCGTCACTTAGGGCGCTAGTGCGGCACTCAGCAGCCTCAACCTCTCCACGTTTGTTCACGTAGTGGCAACTCGTATCACGGGATAGGAGCAGGGCTTGGCCGGGAGAATGAAGGAGGAAGAAGGTGTTACGCTTAGGAATGCGATTATAAGGTTTCTTGTTTTTCACTCAGTGTACTTAATTGTTCACAAGTCCAGTTAGAACCTTGCGCCATAAAACTTGACCAGGTCCAGCGTGATGTACAGCGACAAGGGCACGAGGTTATTGTAGAGCAAGAGGAAAGTGATAAACTTCCCAAAGCTTGAGGAGCTTTCAGCGTAATTGTCTGCGTCTGCTAGGTGGTCAACGGAAGAGTTGCGGTCAACCATCTCACTAACCAGATAGCTGCTCAGGATCATCGCTAGCATGAGGAAGAAAATGATGCCGAGATACCTGCTATTGGGGGTGTGCTCAGGGGTGTAGACAGCCTATTGGGGGTGTACTTACGTGAGTTGTGATGTTCTTTGGGCTGGATAAAGGATGGTCGTGCTGTTGTGAATTGCGGACCACGTGGTTTTCGATTGAGAGCCATCTAGTACTTGAAAATCTACGAGTTGACCACGAAGATGACCTTGATGAAGATGAAGACAGTCTTGCGTACAATAAGAAATCGATAAAAATCCTCTTTTACCTGTTTATCTGATGCTCGATAAAACTCCTCTTCAATGGTGTCGGAAACGAGTTCATCAGCTGTCGGGTCTCATGTCCCACGTACACCACTGCTGCAAATGCGAAATCCGTATTCCTCAAACTCGTTCCACGCACCAACAAATTCTTCATGTCCACAGGAATTGGATGCAACGTTCCAACAGTTCTGCAATTCCCATAAAACCTATCCAAGTGCGCGTTTGGTGCTTCACAAGTGATTTGCATCCCTGCGAGCTTGGCGACAGCCTCTAAGGTGCGGTCTTGCTTGGTATCGGGAATGCTGGTCTTCGATTTGAGGTTGGATTCGCCATCTAGAGAACTGGTTTCGACATAAGCGACACCCTGTTCCATCTCAGAACTGGAAAGAAGAAGCATGTCGGCTGGAATTTCTTGGTCGCCTGAAGATTGAGATTGGAACACAAAGGAGTGCTGGGAGGACAGCGAGGCTGTTTATTAGATAATGATTCTTGGGTAAGCTGGTCAAGATCGTTTAGTTCTTAGAAGCCTTGATCAGATTTTGATTTCCACTACAACAAAGGGATGAAGAACAAGAAGAATGTAGTGAACGTGACAGCGAAGAAACCAACACTCTGTTCTGTTACCTTCCAAATAAACCACATGTCCCGGTCTCAAGTCCTGCCACGCTATCCGCCGCAACACCGGATGATTGTGTTTGAAGCTTCCGTTCGCCAACTCTTTTGTGATTTTCGCCAATACTAACACTGGCTTTGCATTCACTGCGAGGTCCGCACGATGTCTGCGGTAGTCCTCCAACCCGTCCTTCAATGCTGTTACTAAAACCACCACAGCCAGAGGCCTACCTTAGAGCTCATGATCCCAAGCCTTCCTCCTGAGATACATCCTAGGCTCCTTGGGTGTTTTCCACTACTTCAAAGAAAAGCCTCTCCTTCCAGGATGATCCTTCTAAGGATAGATTTGCCATTTGGATTAGGGGAAGCCTTAACCAATAGTCGAATACGACGCTGTCGCCGAATAAGGCGTAAGTAACTGCAACAAGGATATGAACAAGAACCAAATATTGGCGAGTCGTTGAAATTGTTCCCATAGGTTGCGTGGAACGAACATCAAAACGTTAGAGCTCCCCTTATCCATCTTGAGGCGCATCCTGGGCGCTTTTTAGCCTTGGTTGACAATCAAGCGTCTTCAGGATGCCTCACCAGAAGATGGACAAGGGCAAGCCGTAAAAATGGAATATTTCGTTGTGGAAACGCGATTGCTCTTATGTGAGCCAAGCGTTTCGACGTCATCGCCGTCACCACAAGAATCAACGAAGAGTTTCACCACACAAGCCTGTTGCTGCTGCTGTACTACAGGAACCATAGCCCCTGCCCCTCCTCCAGTATTTGGATTTGCTCCCCCAGGTGCAGAAGCGCCGCCTCCTGTAGTTGACGAGGCACCCGACCACATCTTTATTTGGTACTATGCTGGGTCCGCGTGGCGGAGCCGAACGTTTTAAACGTACTCTTGGTTTTAAACGTACTCTTCTGCTTACCTTGTCCAGGTAGTCCAGGTAGTCCACGTAGTTGCACGAACAAGAGAAAGATACTCTTCTTGATATCTTTACTTCGCGATCTCGTCCTGTTGCTCTTGCTGTAGTCCTTCCTACTACATCTTCACTAGTACAACAAAGAGGCGAAGGGCGCTGTCTAATATATGCTAATGCTCCTTCCGCCCACGATAAACGCTCTGACACAGCTCCCGCACGTCGCTTGGCGACATTGGCAGGAGGGTTCAGACAATGCATTCTCCATTACAACTTCTGGTGCGCACAGGCCAGAATACTATGCTGGAGGCCCTTCAGGCGGAGGCTAGGTGGTAGGCCATGTCATATTTATATATACATATTTATTACTTGTTCGAGGGAAATGCTGACCAAGAAGATGATGGGGACGACAGGATGGCTCATGCATGGTTGTAGAAACTGTACTAACTTGTATTCCATTACTTGATAGTTGTGCCTACTGGTGGAGGAGATCGTGTTGACGTGATCGTGATGGTTTAGGTTTTACAGCCATCAATTGCGTATTTTGATGTCCTCCCGTCTCAAGAACTCCTCTTCTTGCTGGTACGAGGCTATAACCAACCTACTTGCTATGCCTACGTACCAGATCATAAAAAGGTCCAATTATACTGATGGTAATTAGAAAAATAGTTCTTGATGTGGTCCTCCTAAAGAATCCCCTAAGTTTGATGAGAATCGTGAAGATGCCTTGTTGTTCTCGTCTCTGCAATGCTCATTACTTTCCTTTTTTCTTTCTTCGCACGAAAAAGTGTAAGACTACTCCTCCTGCTGCTCGCTCGATTTTTCGAGTGCACATCTTCTCTCCATTCAGTCAGGATAGCTTTCTTGTTTTGAATCTTCTACCGTCAATGTAACAGAAAAACTAAAAGTCGCCGATGCATAAGCTTCACCGTTCGTTGTGGCTGACTCCCCACCGAAGTTAATAGAGTCTTTCCAAGGGAATCTTTTCCTCCACTCCCGACTATCTTCTTTCAGACCCGCATACTGATACTAGGGTAATAATTTTGATATGCTGAAGATGATCATCTTTATTTAGGACTCTCATGATTTTTCGTCCTGCTCTTGCAGTCTAGTCATGTGGGGCTTCTTCTGCGCTTTCTTTCAAGTAATCTTTACTAGAGCATCTTCCTCAAGTAATCTTTACTAGAGCATCTTCCTCAAGTAATCTTTACGAGAGCATGATCGCGAAATAAGCGGCTCAGCTGCTCAGTAGAACATAGTCCGCCTCCGCGTCGTCTAGATCATTTCTAATTCAGCGCCTACTTTGTCGTAGGGCAAGCAAATCCGTTGGCAACGAATAGACAGGTGTCCCAGAGTCGCAGACTTGCACGTTTTGACGTTGTCGATTACCTCACCACGACAAACCAGAGAGAGTGTTCATTTGCGCCAAAGATGTTGCCGTCTTTCTTTTAGCCTCAGCTTATAAGTAAATCTATCCCGGTTCCCTCATCTTGACCCCTTCGCCTTCTCCCTTGTATTTCATGAGAATACAAGGCAAAAGGGGACCACGATGAAGAGAAAGATGGATTAAAGCCGACCATAATTCTTAAATAGTGTTGAGAAGTCGCAATGCTTTCACAAGCGAAAAATTTTTGTCACGTCATTTCGCTTTCATTTTAAAAAGCTCCTTTTTTCTTTTTGCTCCTGCTCGTTTGGACGAGGTTCATCAAGTGAAGAAGGTAGACCACATGATCGAGGGGCGCTTTTTTGCTCGTCAAAGAACTTGTGTCGCTCCGCCAAGAATCGCGCAAGTGCCTGACACCGCCACTTCGAATGGGCAACATCGGGATGCAAGCGAACGAGACGTGGCGGGTTCTCCTTGTCGTCCTTCTCCTTTTTTCCTTGACCTCCACGTGATGAGGTGGAGTTCAACAAGGAAAACGGCGCACGAAAAGCCTCTCTCTGTGTCAGATATTTTACTACGTCGAACAAGTGATAAGCTCCCAGCGAAAGAAAGATGACCTTCTTCTCTCTCTTGCTCGACGTCAGCGAAGACGTTGCCGTAGAACTGCTTCTAGCCATGCTTATTGTTCGTCTGCGTGTCTCGGTCTTCGGTTCTTTCATCACGTCAATATCTTCTACTTTCGTGATACACGTGCTGGTGTGCGGTGGAAGTTCGTCCTCGGACTCGGCGGTGCTGTAGCTGATGTCCTCGGTCTTAATATTACCTACTTCATTATGTTCTTCTGGTGTCGCAACAGAAGGGTATTCTTGTTGTCCAGCAGAAGAGGATTCTTGTTGTACTTCTTGTGCGTCGCCTAACAGAAGGCTTCGAAGCGAGAGGTTGACTCCATGGGCAAGCGCACGGTTGCGACAATCAAAAAGTTCGTCCATTTTGTTCCGCCCTGGGGTGCCGTCTAGTCCCGACAAAACTAAATCAGCAAACGTGATACGGCATGGTGAAGAAGCAAGTGCCACGGGGAAGGTGATGTCGAAGTAGTTATGTTGACGTTTAATTTTAGAGGTGCCCCCGCGTGAGGAGTAGGCATACAACTCGGCGTATCTCAATGCAGTCATTTCCAACACCCATGCATCTGGTCCAGGAGCGCTCTTTTCGAGAAAAACCCTTCTCAAAATGTGGTTCTTGGGAAGGTCTTGTGAGCAGTTCTGCAGAAGGCCTTTCCAATCCTCCACACTGCCAGAGAAAGCGCCATGGTTGCTCGGCAATAGCACGAGCATATGACCCGTTCCCTTTTCCCGCAAAGTAACGATCGCCTCTGGCCGAACTTTAGCTCCTCCACTTCTTTCTCCATGATCTTCTTGGTCGACCACTTCTTGCTCCGTAATATTACAACTCTTCTCGGGACAAGTAGAGACCACAAGCCAAGAGAGATATTTGACCCATCGATCCTCTATCTGACGCAAACCATTCTTGTTCGGGTCCTCGTCGTCGTGGTGCGCGGTCTTTGCATTTGCGTCATCCTCTACGTGGTCGAGCCACTGCTTCAGCAAAGAAGTTGCGGTGAGCAGTTCTTCTCCATCTTGTTGTCGTTCTTGTTGACCTTCATCTGGCTGCGGCTGAGCAGAAGTGCGTGGTAACTCTAGCTTGAGCTCCTTCAAGGTTGTATGAAAATAAGATTCATCAAGAACTAAACTCGTTTCGTCATCTCCTTGTGTTGTTTCATCATCTCGCATTTCAAGTGCTTCATCTTCATCCATCTCCACTAGTTCCCACACAAAGTGATTTTTATCATGCTGTTCTTGCTGCAAGACCTGTTGTTGCTGCTGCTGGTCGTGACTGTTCAATTTGCATGACTCGTGGAACGCTCCTGGCGCTCCTTTCTCGTGCTGCTGCTGGTGGAGGTGGAAATCTAATGTTGCTATGTCTTGTAAAAATGGAAATCTGTTAGTTGTAGTAGATGGAGTTGCTCTTGGATAAGAACGCGGCACCTCGTCGACAGCAGCTGTGGCTGTGGTGTCAACATCATCGCGATGATCATGCAAATGCGCTGATGCATAAAAATTCTTCATTACTTCATCGATCGAATAAACGGCGGCAGGAAAGTCTTCGGTGTTGCCAGCACCTCGAGGACTAGTAAAGGCCGCGGTTGAAGATGACCTAGGATCGCCAACATCAACGTCGTGCTCCACCTCTTCATACGAAGTTGCAGAGGATGCTCCAACGTACTCTACAACTCCTACAGCGCCCAGAGAAGTCAAACCAGTTGTGAGCCACAAGAAAACAAAAAGATGACCACAGACTCGGCGTCTTAAAACCACAGGAGACGTCGTCGTCAACATTTTTTTGCGAATGCCTAATATGGCCAGCACCTCCGGTAGCAGAAGTCAGAACAAGACGAAGACCACTATTTACAAAATTATTTATTAGATGATCTAGTATCTACTGTATCCAGTCACAGTCTACGCGTTCCATTCTGTGATTCCACCTGTGCCCATTCTACTCATTCTCAAAAATAGAAGAAATAGTCATAGTGATGGTGATCCTGAGGAAGAAAATTATAGACGGAGTAGATTTTGGTGTGATAGTAAATAAAATGCAGATGGTATAATTGATTTTCTACATGGAAGACGCAAAGGCTGAACACGAGTCAAGATAGATTTTGCCGGGCGGACTAGATCGAAGATGGCTGACCACGAAAGTTGTTTGGAAAGTACTTGGGGTTTCAACTCGTTTGGGGCCTTTGGTGTTTCAACTTTAGGGGGTGAAAATGTCTGATGATGTGAGTGGTCCAGTACATCTTGTTGATTCATGTGACAACTTGAGCACGTTTAGCTCAAAATCAAATAACTCAAATGAGAGCACTAGCACACATCTTCTAGGTAATGGGTATTATCATGATTATGGGTAATAAATAGTAGTCAACCTAACTATTTTTGTAGAGGCAGTGTCATATTGTGTGCTTAACCTTCCCGATATTCTGGAGGAGGTGGAGGTGCAAATAATATGTGTCAGTGCAATTAGACGCACAACCCCATAAACTCAATATCATACATGATGTATTAATGGTACAAGGCCGATCTTCTTGGTAAAAAGAACCTTCAGAAAGACACGACATGGGAAGAAGGTTACAGGTGAGACGCGACGTTTACAGGTGAGACAGCTCCATATGAATTATACATGTGAAAATAGTCCAAGCGCGGCAAAACGACGATCCTGCTTGTCACATAGTCGATGATAATCCCGTTTAGTAATGAGGTTGTTGATACAATTATGATTGTTATTGTTGAGTAGAGGTATGACGTTGTGTGGTGCTATGAATCATCTTAATATCCAAGAGACAATAATACTAGATGTTGTACATCGACATTCTACGTAGATAAATATTCGAAAAACTGAAATAAGCAAGTCACTGATCAGAATAACCGAGATACTCATGAGAAGGAAGAGTAACCACTTGGCGTTATTAAGCTACCTCCCTTATTTCAGTCAGTAACTCGGTTATTTTGAGTTTTCGAATACATTTCGCCACCTGATCCTGTTATTTGTATGAATATATTTCCATGTCTTAACAAGCACGGCCACGATATTGCACCAGAGACGTCATCCCAGACTGAGACAGGGATACCATATGCCTCCGGTCTTGGTATAAACAGTAGCACTTCGATAATACGGCTCGCAATTGAACGCCTTCAACTCATGTCTTAAGAGGAGCGACCACTAAACCCGATAGGAGTAGTCTATTATGTTCATCTTCCTATGTTGTGCTACAGAATGCGTAGTAAGTAGATATGTCTCGACTATAACCGTGAGTATGCTGCTCCTCCAGAGACGAAGCAACGAAAAGGGACGGCTTGGAACATCCAATACTCTATGTAAATACTATTAAAAATCCCCGGACACTCTTCGCCTTTAATGTGAACACTAAAGGACCCCTAAGACGCCTTTAATGTGAATGCTAGAGACATACACAGCTAAACTTTTTTGCTCATTTCTGTTTGTCAATCTACTTAATCGAAGTCTCCAACTGAATCTCAAAGACTCAGACAACTCATCAGCACACTGGTATACGTAGTCATATCTTCAGTAAATGATGTGTCATATTATCCTCGGGAGAATGGGAAAACGTTCAGATGGGAAAACGTTCAAATTAGACAGAGACTGCAAATCTCCTGGTCCTACGAGTCGTGGTGCATACTCCTCTACCACCTCCTTGATAAGGAAATCGCATGCGAACTTTCTAATAGACGGTGGCTGCCTAGCTCTTACTTCTGACGATAGCTTAAAGATGAAATCATCGTTACCAAACAGCGTTTCTTCACAGAACTTCTTGCTCGATCCTACCAGCTCCTCTACGGACGGCCACTTTGCCTCATCATGGCTATGCGTCGATGCGTCGTGCGTTATCACCTGCCTTATCGACTCGTAGAGCAAAATCGATGTAGTTCCGGCGTTCGCTACTTCACGTATTAGAATGGTGAAACTGAGGATCAGACTTCTTAGTACGAATCATTTCATGTACAAAAACTGAAAACATATTCCTTCAAAGCAAACGGTAACCTTGGACGTAAATTCTCTCCTCTTTGCTGTTGCACCGTCCTCAACGACGCTAGCACTTTCTCGCAGCTAAATCGAGAAGCTGAGGTAAAGGCCGACTTCGTCCTCTGAAGAAATTCCTCCATGACCTTATGAGTTTCCGTCTCACTCTTAGGCAGATTGGAAAATTGCTCATCGACGGTTTGCTGCACCGTCTGCCCGGCCCTGACCGTTTCCAACCAATTATCCCCATCATGAAAAAACACGATAGGCCACGGCTCACCATGTTTCGTTGTGTCCTGCGATTTCCGGGAAAAACCGTTGCAGGCCATCGCCATCGCAGTAGCGTCGTTGGCGGCAGGATAGATTCTCGCTGGAAACGAGTCCGGTCCGTCGCACAGATCTGCCTTGACGGCCAGCCTGTGTTTTTGAACGAGGTGGGGAAAGTAGCGAAGCTGATCGTGATGCTGTAGGTCAAAGTCCTCGCGTTGTCTCCGAAGAACAAGGTGACCCAAGAAAGGAAGCCAGCGCTTCAAGGCCGGCTATGGGGGAGAGATTGGCAAAGCGACGCACCGTCTAAGGCAGACACAAGGGCACACACAGGCGGGAAAAGAACCCCCAAAGCGGCGCTTGAAGCGCGAGAAAACACGCGATAAAAAAGGAACCAGCAATCACGCGAAGATCCGCTAGCGGATCAAACCAGAAAGAGAACGATAAAAGAAAGAGCTGATGATCGGAAGGGCGATCTGAAGACACAAAAGGGATGGACAGAGGCCGGAAACGCGGCCAAAGGACTAAGACAAGAGGGAAGTTTGCGGATCGGAACAGAAACCGATCAAAAAAAAACCCACGAAGAAGCCAAAAGTCAGCACCGCGACTGAATGGCTTGAAAGAAAACACAAGTGAGGATCGGAAGAGCGATCCGAAAAACCAGAAAAAAATAAGCCGAAGGTCGTACAGGAAAACCGCATAGAAACAGGACCGGAAGAGCGATCCAAGACAGGAAAGAAGAAGAAATGAGAAACACGGAAGGGCGAAAGAAGTAATGAGCTTGAGTTGGCTCTTCACACTTCCGGCCCATAATTGGATGAAACGATAATGGACACAAAATTGCTCGAGAATCAATAAAGCAAGCTGCTCACAACGAGAAAAACTACAACACAAAGAAAGGAAGACCTCTCGTTTTTGGCATGAGCGCCTTTTTCATCGTGATGCAAAGGCCAAAGCTGTATCAATTGCGAAATTGTTTCACGCAGCGCCTCCGCGGTGCTCTCACTTGTGTCTTCGATCGGTTGTCTTATCAACACTGCGTTAGAGCTAGTGTAGTTGCATCCCCCATTAATATAGCATGAACATCCTTGGGCTGCTTCATGCTTAGAAATATGAGGGTCCAACCACTGTACGATACCCATAAAATCCCGCGACGCCTTCATTGCATACATTGCATTGACTCGTTTTTCCTTTATATCATCCATGGGGAGCGCTTGCGAAGAATCCCCAGGTGCTGGAAGACTTCTCTCCAAACTGCCAATGAGGTCATCCATCTTGAGACAGAGATTTGTGGCTGCGCTGGGGTACTTGACAATGCTCACTATGAAGGCCATCATGGCGTGAGCAAAGGTTTTCCCCGCGAGCGAAACGGGCGGTAGCTCGAGCCATTGCTGTGGTGTGGCTTGTCGAATCGATTGCACCTCGGCGGTGTTAGAGCTATACTAGTGGAAGACTAGTATATTATGTATTAGTTTTTCCGCAGTTGGGATCTTCCTGTATCTTCGTAAATCTCAAATCTACTCATATGGAACTGGTTACAAGTCTTGTTTTCATAAGTCTAGTGATGTCAAGCCTATCGAGAAGGAATGGTCACGATCCATAAACTATATAAAACTCTACGGGAAAACTATAAATAGTATATTTCTGACTGGTGGAGCAGACCTAACTATAGTAAAATACATTGCTAAGGGGTACGGGAAAACTATAGTAGGCTAGTAGAGCGTTGTATTAAGTTAATGCCAACAGAAACTGAATCCGTCCAAGAAGAGACGAAGCTAACAAGGCTAGAAGAGAGAGATGCAGCAGTCAAATTGATTTTCATAACAGCGACCATATTTTCCAGTGTCGGACGGAGCTTGCCCTGTTGTAGGATTTGAGAAAGCACTTGCGCCACCCTGCCGTTGTCGGACTTCGTGTCTTCAATCAGGAGGGAATCGAGCATAGTTTTACTTTTACCGGACGCCTTTGCAAAGCTCGACTCGAGCTGTGTCACCTGAGACGAGATTACGCTGGTCGTCTTTTGTACTTTTCCGTTGATACTAGTCCCCTGGTCGGCGATCTGTATGAAGTGAAGGGTTAGGATAACATGAGAAGTGAATGCCAAGAGAGTCCGTCAAATAAAAGAGAAGTTAAGAAATAAGGCTAGTAAAAAAGAGAGATGCTGCAGTCGCGGCCCTACTGATACTTATCGAGTATTTATTTTCAAACAAAAGCGAGTGTGAGCACCTCCTTTGCCAGATCTCGACGAAGCTCATTCACAGCGTTCGAGATTTCGACAGTCGCTGCTGCTTTATTAGTCTCCATCTTCTCTCCGAGCGCCTTGCTCACTTCTTCCATCTTGAATTCAGCATCTTCTTTAGTCATGAACATTTTCTCCAGCCTGCCTTCGAGGGCGTCCAGCCTGGTACCGAGCGTCTCCACCTGAACCTTCACGCCATAATCCCTAGGGCTAAACATGTTCCTTATGCTCTTCGCGTTCCCGTCTATTTCTTTAGAAAAAGCAAAGCGGTGGACGAAAGACCAAGTTACGACCAACGGGACTGTTGCGCGCTCTGCGCGACGTGCCATTTGAAACACAGCTCCTGGGAATATGACTGTATGAATTGATAAACTGAACACCAGGGAGGCCGCGTCTCGTGTGTGACACAACGGCAAGCGCAAGCCCAACGCGACGGTGACCCACCGGTAAGGCAGGAATCACACGCCAAGCGCGGCGCAAAACTACTCAAAGACCTCTGGAAGCGCAGAGGGCATTGGGTTAAACAAGGTGCAAAGCACCACTGTCTTCAGCCACGCCGGTTTGCAAAGCAGCCTCGTGCGTGACTGAAGACAAGCAAAAGAAGACGGAGAGACGACCCTCTGGAAGCGCAGAGGGCGTTGTGCGAAACAAGGCACAAAGCGGGAACGTCTTCGTCCACGCGGGCGTGGCTGAGACTCCAGCCAGACACTGACTCGGATCTCTGGAAGCGCAGGAGACGCTGGTCGGGATGAAGGAGCGAAGCACCAATGTCCTCAGTCACGCAAGGTCGCAAGACGAATGAAGCCTGACTAAGACAATCAGAAAAAAGCAATTTTGGCAAGCGGAGCTCTGGAAGCGCAGAGTACGCTGGCCGTAACAAAGTGTAAAACGCAAACGTCTTCAGCCACGCAGAATCGCAAGGCGACTCGGACGTGACTAAGACTTGACAAACAAACTAGCGGACCTCTGGAAGCGCAGAGTACGCTAGTCGACGCAAAGCGCAAAACACAAGTGTCTTCAGTCACGCGGGGTCGCAGGGCGATCTAAGCGCAACTAAGACAAGGAACTCGACAGGCGGACCTATGGAAGCGCAGAGTTCGTTGGTCGGGACAAAATGCAAAGCACAAATGTCCTTAGCCACGCAAAATCGCAAGGCGACTCAAACGTGACTGAGACGAACCACCAGACATGCGGACCTCTGGAAGCGCAGAGTACGCTTGTCAGAAAGGGTGCAGAGCACAAGCACCTTCAGGCACGCAAGATCGCAACGCTATCGAGCATGACTGAGACAAACACAAGGTCAAGCGAGTCTCTGGAAGCGCAGAGGCCGCTGGCTAGAGCGAAGTGCGAAAGCACAAAAACAAAACAGAACCCCGCAGGGGCGAAGGTGAACAACGTTCACTCACAAACAAAAAGAAAGGACCAGAAAGAAAAAGTCACAATCATCAAGAAGAATAGCCAACACACAAGTGAGGGCTTAACAAATAAAAGGAGCTTTGTATTGGGTCTTTTCACTCCATGGCCCATTGATAAACTGACAAAATAGCGAAGGAATAAGGATGAAATTCCTCTTCGTCGCTTGTTTCTGCCAGAAATAAACGACGTTTTATGGTTCATAAAACGTCCATTATTTTCTTGATCCTTAAATTTCGAAGTAGGAGCTGCATCCGCTTCTTGATCCTTAGCTATCGGAAGAGCTGCCTCCACGAAGCTGCTCGCAACCGTCTGCGCGCTTTCCACAGTTTCTGATGATCAGATGAGCGTTTTTGCCAGACGAAAGATGGGGATGTGGAGTGGGGGTGTACTGGGAGGTGATTAACATAACGAGACTGTTAGGGTGGATCTACCTTGTCTCAAGAGGACGATCGTGATCAGTGGCCGGCGAGCGTTCGTAGTCTACTTCAACACTTACAGAAGCCAAGAGAATCTAGGTAAAGCGAGTAGAACTACTTACTAGTACGTACTTCTCCTAGTACCTACTTACTTACTACTTCCACTACACCCTTTGGCGATAAAGAAGCAAGATACAGCTCAAGCACTTCTACTACACCCTTTGGTGAGACACGAAGCAAGATACAGCTCAAGCATCTGAAATAAGCGCCGAGTGGGTTCAAAAGATAAGAGAGTGACTTGTATTGAAAGGCACAGGTAGTCAATTACAGTGACAACCATTAGCCGTGGCTGATTGGATTCCCTTTCTCCCCTTTAAAGTTCCCGCGACATTACTTACGTGGAATCCTATCAGCATAGTCCACGACGTGAGATCATGACTGACGGAGTCCTCGTGTCCTAGCCCTATTTATCAATGTGAGTATTGAAGTCTAAGCGTAAGCTACTAGTACTAGTACCTCCAAGTGCAAGAGTTAGAGTTTTCAGCGATTCATTTCCTACCTACGATGAAAGTCATACTCTCCATGATGGACATAAAAAGTAGGAGTCTATGATTGAAGGCAAACAAGAAGGTAAACAAGGGAGAGTATCCATATTTGTAAGGGTTCACAAGTTACGGAGTCACCGCGAACCGCGAAGGAAATGAATTATATCTATCGACGATTATACGTGGAGCCATAAAGACGGCAGCGGTGTCGGGTTAAACGGGTCCGGTGAAAACCAGCACTGGCGACCCACGATGAGTTAGAAGTTGGGAGTTGGCCTTGACCCATCTATCTCGCATATCTACGCAGACTTTCCTACTTGAAGAAGCCTTAAGCCAGAGCAGTAGCTATGCTCCTCATGATAGAGAAGTGGATGCCTTTTTTTTCGTTACCTGGGTCAACAATTCCCGCCTACCGTGCCCTTGCGAGAAGCCTGATTCATTCACTCATTCAATTTTCCAATTTCCAACTCTTAAAACAAGGCGAGGATGATGACGAAGGAAAATCCAACGACTTTGAGCTTCTTTGTGCGAGCGAATGCGCCACGCATCTTTTCCTTCAGTCGGCGAGCATGAAAGAATACCAATCGACGAACTGGATTCATAATAAAGTAGATACGATGTATGAAGTGCTTCTTCTTCTGGAGTACTACTTACTCAGTTCTTGTAAGCGACGGCGGGATAGAAAAAAAAACTTAGATTAGTAGACGAGCCCCGTGCTCACTCTACAAGACACCAAGACATCTTTGAAAGTAACAACCAACTGGCACCGGTTCCAGTTAAATATAAAAAAAATACACAGTAGAAGTAGACTGCCAAGACACTATAAGTATTGCACAGCTTCAAGCTTTTAGAACCAGGCTGCGTCTTCATCTGCTAGCATGAAGTTCTTCATCATATCTTTACTAGATCATTGATAGCGTCTATTATTTCTTACCTATCACACTACCACTAGGTGTCTTCTCAGGTAAAATTGATCTGAATGACGACTATGGTGCATCTAGAAAGACTTCAAGAGGAGCATCTACCTCCTAGGAAGAATGGAAACCAGGGGAAAAAAATTAATATAAACAAAAATACTGAAGCGTGTTATGATAAACATGACATATAAGCATCAAGTAAACTTGTGCAAGTATTCATAAGCGAAGCCCCAGATGCCGTTCCCTGCTCCATCTTGACCGATCCCCATGCCTTGCCCAATCCCAATCCGTTCTGCTGCGCGTTTGAGCAAGGTTTGCCTGTCGTCATCTCCCTTCTTAAAGCCGTAATCTGCATAAGTACTTGTGATCTTGGTGATCATCATTGTGTCCCGCATCCTTATGCATGACATATATCTTGGTATAGATGTTCATCATCCTGGTCATGGTGTCCCATTTACCTGTTTTACTAGCCTAATGGTATGATTTCGTTGGTATCGAGATTGCTAAAAAGTATAGATATAGAAGTGACGTCGTGCGGGATCTGAAGGTAATCTTGTCCACGACCTTAGATACTAGTCAAGATGAAGATACCACCCCAGATTTTCAATAAGTCTGAAATGTCATCTTTCTTGGGTTTGATCATTTACGTTTACACTTAGGGGGGTCAAGGCATTGGCGTCGCCTTCTTTCATCTTGGGATTGACTTTTAGTCTTTTTTCTTCATCAGGGGGCAAACATCTTAGATAATCTATTGTAGTAAGGAAGTCATAATATCGTCGCTCGGCGATGATCCCTGCTGTCCGCGCTGAACATGAAAGAGGAGAAGTCTAGGGCAACAAAGTCGGAGGTAGACAACATGAAAGACAAGAACAGCTTACAAATCGGAATATAGGTAAGATACTAGCGGCATCCACAGGAGCCCCGCCATAATTTGTTACAATAAGCAAACAATCTAATAAATAATTTGAGGGGAAAATATCAATAAGCTTCGAAGCAGAGAACTCAGCGCTTGAACATGACGTAGATGCACACCTATCAAAAGAGCTTAAGGAGGAATCCACGTGATCAGGCCTCCTTCCATAATCTAAAGAGCCAGGTGTTATCAGCCGCCCTTCTTCGTCAGGCACGTCCTTGTTCGTCAGCGCAAAGTTCTGCTTTTGGTCTGCCATCCTTCTCACTTGTGTGGTGTTCTGTGACTCGAAAAAAATGTCAAGTAGTTCTCCAAAGGAAGCTCCTATATGTGTCAAGTTCTTCGAAGGCGGCTCGTCTTGGAAGACAATGGCAGGTTGATCAAAGCCGGCTCGACGTCTTGGAAGAAAGTTTGAGCAAGATGCTGAAACTCAAGATTGCCTCAGTCTTCAAGGTCGCCAATTTTCTTACGAGAGTACGGAGTAAGCACCAACCCAGCGAGCATAAAGTGCGTTTTCCTATTAAACCATTACAATTTTTTCTAGAGTTTGACACTGAATGTAATAGGAGCTATCTTCTAGGGAGCTAGCTAGCTACTTAGTTGGTAATGCCACAGGACTCCTCCTCGCGATCATTCCAAGGGATCTCTCACAGCCTAGTTCGTTTTAGTTAGTTAGTTAGTTAGCCACTTAGTTGGTGAGTTAGTTAGTTAGTTATTCAGCGAGTTAGTTCGTTAGTTACTGGTTAAAAAACAACTAACACTAACAGTATACTCTATTTAAATACTATTAAAAATCCCCGGACACTGTTCGCCTTTAATGTGAACACTAATAAAGGACCCCGGCGACGCCTTTAATGTGAACGCTAAAAGACTCCCCTCCTAATGTGAACACTAAAGGACCCTTACGGCGCCTTTAATGTGAACACTAAAGGACCACTAAGGCGCCGCTAATGTGAACACTAAAGGACCCTTAACGCCTTTAATGTAAACACTTAAAGACCCTTGCGACGCCTGCAATGTGAACACTAAAGGACCCCTAGGGCGCCTTTAATGTGAACACTAAAGGACCCTCCGGGCGCCTTTAATGTGAACACTAAAGGACCCCTAAGGCGCCTCTAATGTAACTAAACACTAAAGGACCCTTAGGGCGCCTTCAATGTGAACACTAAAGGACCCTTGAGGCCCCTTTCATGTGAACACTAGAGGACCCTTAGGGCGCCCTTAATGTGAACACTATTAAAGGACCCCTGCTAAGGCGCCTTTTTTTAGTGTGAACACTAAAGGACCCACGCGGCGCCTTTAATGTGAACACTGGAGGACCCTTAAGGCGCCCCTACTGTGAACTGGGCGCCTTTAATGTGAACACTAGAGGACCCTTAGCGCGCCTCTAATGTAAACACTAAAGGACCCCTCAGACGCCTGCAATGTGAACACTGAAAGACCCTTACGGCGCCTCTAATGTGAACACTAAAGGACCCACGAGGCGCCTTTAATGTGGGCACTACTCTAGAGGACCCTTACGGCGCCTTTAATGTGAACACTAAAGGACCCCTGAGGCGCCTTTAATGTGAACACTAAAGGACCCCGAGGGCGCCCTTAATGTGAACACTAGAGGACCCTTAGGGCGCCTTTAATGTGAACACTAAAGGACCCTTAAGGCGCCTCTAATGCGAACACTAAAGGACCCTAAAGGCGCCTTTAATGCGAATGCCAAAGGACTCCTAAGGCGCCTCGTCTAATGTGAACACTAAAGGACCCGCAAGGCGCCTTTAATGTGAATGCTAAAGGACTCCCCTCCCTTTTAATGTGAACACTAAAGGACCCTTAAGGTGCCTTTAATGTGAACACTAGAGGACCCTTGCGGCGCCTTTAATGTAAACACTAGAGGACCCTTAAGACGCCTGCAATGTGAACACTGAAAGACCCTTAAGGCGCCTGCAATGTGAACACTGAAGGACCCCGAAGGCGCCCTTAATGTGAACACTAGAGGACCCTTGCGGCGCCTTTAAAGTGAACACTAAAGGACCCTTAAGGCGCCTTTAATGTGAACACTAGAGGACCCTTGCGGCGCCTTTAATGTAAACACTGGAGGACCCTTAAGACGCCTGCAATGTGAACACTGAAGGACCCTTAAGGCGCCTGCAATGTGAACACTAAAGGACCCTTGCGGCGCCTTTAATGTGAACACTAGAGGACCCTTGAGGCGCCTTTAAAGTGAACACTAGGGGACCCTTGGGGCGCCTTTAATGTGAACACTAAAGGACCCTCAGGGCGCCTTTAATGTAAACACTAAAGGACCCCCAAGACGCGTTTAATGTGAACACTACGGGGCCCTAGAGGTGCTATTAATGTGAACACTAGAGGACCGCTAAGCTAAGGCGCCTTTAAGATGAACACTAAAGGGCCCCTTTCTTTGTTTTCGCGGCTGTTGTTCGCTATAGCTCGGACACGGAGCCACGAACGACCAAAGGAGAGGAGAGGAAAAAACCACAAACACCCAGCGCCAACCATGGCCGACGCGTTGAAAGTCGCGCCCGTGATTCTGCGGGCTTAATTGCCCGCTGGCGCTTGCGACCATCTTGGGAGCGGGTTCCCATCTTTTTCGCTGTCATTTTCGGGCGACCTCGCGGGAAGGGCAACAAACAACACGAAGACGGCCCCGCCCCGCCTTGCCTGTTGCTCTTCCCGCTTCCTTGCGCCTAGTACCACTAGGCGGAGGGGAGTGCGCGCCCTTTGGGCGCTTGTTTCACCTTGTGAAACCATTCACGCAAGCCCACGCCCCTGAAATAATCTTCTTTCCCTTCTTAAACGTCTCCCCCCGGGGCACCTCGGCCCGGGGAGTTAAATAAGGAGCAGTATTAAATATGTAACAGTATTGCTGCACGGGATGAGCCTAGAATTGTAGAGGTGAAAGCTGATGACTTGAATCTATTCGGCAAGATGCCTAAGATTTCCCTGACGAATAGAGGTGAAAGCTAACCGGCTGTTTTACTTAGTCCTTTGGGCGCCGCTGGACCTAAACCTTCACACGCCAGCACACAACTATAGACGGAGTAGATTTTGGTGTGATAGTAAATAAAATGCAGATGGTCGTATAGTTGATTTTCTACATGGAAGACGCAAAGGCTGAACACGAGTCAAGATAGATTTTGCCGGGCGGACTTCTAGATCGAAGATGGCTGACCACGCAAGTTGTTTGGGACATAAAAATAAGTACCTAGAGCCACCCTGGTCCAGTTGCGGTTTGGTATCATAGCACAAGACCCGGGGCATGATCAACATCATCGCCATCGATGAGGCCAAGTAAACGATAGAACAACAACTAGACTCTTGCGCCTCAAGATCATGACTGGACTACGCGGTTGACGCTGTTAGGCTCATGGGAGCTCTTGCACGCTAAACCTCGACGAAGTGAATTATGTGCGACTTGATTCACAGTCGCTACAGTCAACATTCACATGATTCTCACCATGAAAAACATTAAGAATCGAAATCGATGTATTCCAATAAATTGCATCGATGTAAGTATTCCCAAGCGAGCAATGAGATGATGGTTGAAGAATAAATACAGAAGAAGAACGTGAATTTTGGTAGTTCGTTGTTGAAGAAGTAGCTGTCGAAGAACAGGTGGAAGATGAAAGTGTTGAAAGTAGTTGTTGACAAAGAAGTGGAAAAAAGAAGAGTCGAGTGTAGCAGTTGGCCTTGGTACTACTAACACCTCGACGCCCCATGAATGTAACATCAACAAAGTAAAAGCTGCTCCGTCATGCCCAGCCTTTCTCACAAGAACTAGCAGTTTGTTGATGAAATTAGAGCTACCGCGGTCGCATCCCTGAGAGCATCCTTGGCTTCCTTTTCAAGTAGAAAAAGAGCCAAGGATAATGTTGAGGATGCTTCAGCGGTAGCCTTAATGAAAAGCAGGACAAGAACTTTCAGTTTTCCTTTTTTCAACAAGTTCAACATTGCCACTCAATACCTGTCAATGCATCAGGGGGAGTACGGGGTTGTCAACAGAGGATTGTTCGTCAACTGCATCATGCGACCCCTATCTGTTGCAAATGTTGCATGTAATACATCATTTCATGTACTTTTGCCTTTATTTTCGTAGATTTCTCTACCTCTAGATCGAAGTCTTTTGTCAGGTGTTTCTCCTTTTCCTTCAAAAAGGCTACCGCTTTATCCAATTCCATCTCCACTAAAAACCCCAAGCCACATTCCACAAACACTCTTCTCGTGTCAAACACACGAGCTTTCGCCATGACCGTTGAAATCCCCAGATTCACCAACGTTTCCATCTCAAAGTCTTGATCCGCTATGTCCATTAAGCGATGTTTCCTTTGAATCTCCTGCAGCTGCAATTGTTGTTTCTTCACCTCTTTGATCTCAGCGGCGATTCGCCTCGTCCGCTCAATTTGATCCCTCAAGTCGCCTTTCATCCGCTCCTCCAGGAACGCCTCAGCTTCTAAGAGTGCCTCTCGTCGTTGGGAGGGAGTGAGCTGTTGCGTCGATCTATTATTTGACGAGGAAGATGAAGAACTGGAAGACATCATCCTATTGCTCATCTTCGGAAACAAGGCAGAGGAGGATATTGATGTTGAGGTAGAGGTACTAGATGACGATGATCCAGTTCGTCGTGCTGTCGTCGTGGAGCTTGAGGCCGTCATTGTGTTTTTTCTTCCGAAAGTAGGAACAAGAGTAAGAGAAGTCGCGATGAGTAACAGTTTGCGCTATTCATTGGAGGTAACTTTGTTAACAACAACTCAAAACAAAGCATGTAGTGACAATGAGTGTGTTGAGTGCCAATGTATGTACAGAGGATTCTCCTTCAACAATTACAGTTACAAGTTTTTCGAAGAGTTCGACGCGCCAGCAGTGGTGGGCGCAGAGAAAGCAAACATTTCACAGACACACAGAGATAGCTAACGAATGAGATAGGAGCAGACACCTACGACGTGGCCGCTCGCTCCTGGAAAAAACAGATGAAGCCCAAAAATGAAAATTTTCGCTTAGTGAAAGGTGGACTCATGGTCGTGACCTCAAAGAGCAATTGGAACTTAATGCAAGGACGGATCCGTGTAGGATAGGATAGGAGAATGCTCACTTATGACAGGGTGAGCGTATAGGCTGGATGTGCCATCAGATGGACCGACACATGCGAGATAGGGTTGCAGCATAGATCTTGTAGCTATGAAAACCATGATCACCAAGAGCATACTTGGACACGTCACGAAACTCGGCATTGAATGCTGCACGTTGATCTACTTCATCTTGATCTTTTTCTCATCAAATTTATCACAAGTTCAGAACATGCTTCCTGTAGATTTCCTCTGCACACATAATCCGCTATAACGTCCCGCAATCTTTCGTGGCAAGAATTGTTAGGGTCCACTGAGTTTTTCTTCGATGTTGATTTTATTCAATGATCTGTTGATCTGTTGTAATGTAAAGGAGTGCATTTTGAATGGTGGCTATGTGTTTCTTATTCAATTTTCGATCTTCGTAATCGAAAGGTTCTGCTATTGAAATTCACTGTACAACTCGAACTCATTCTAAGTAGATATAAATTGATTGTTGCTGTTCACAGTAAAACTTACCTATCGGTAATTTACTTTCATCTACAAGATCTAGATCACTGAGCAGCAACGTCCTTGATTGAAGTTGAAATGGATTGTTTCTAAAAATTGTTTGGGAACTAATCTTCTTGTTAGGAATTCTTCTAGCATAAAAAAGTAAGTGTCTGAGTCTGTCTAGTGGTCATACTTGTGCCAGTGCCTGTAATTATACTTATAATACCGTAAGAAAGTCTAAGTAAGTAATTTTTATATTCAATCAAAGTTTGATATCATGCTTGCAAGTGGCTTTTCTCGTCAGGCTTGAATGGGCCCTGAAATGCACACTTGTGAGTAAGCGATTTTCGTGTACATAACATTTTTATTGGTCAACTACAGAATTTTCTACGTCTTCTACATTCATCACGATATAACCAACTGAGAGAATCAACATCTTGCTTCATCTTTGCACAGAAGAAACTAGAAATACAACAACGATAGTACCTCAACATTATACTTCAACAATAATACGGAATTACAACCTGAGATGAAGTATCAAAATTGCCAACAAGTAGGAAAAAAGTTCAGTTTTTGTATAGAAAGAAAGAAGTACTAATACTATAGATCATCACGTTTATTGTAGACAAAAGTTCATCTCCTGATAGTAGTTCTTAGGGTAGATCATCATCTTCAAATACATTATTTTTCCCCCAATCAAAATAAACTTCTCGTTCTCCAATCTAGTATCTTCATTAGATCGAAACGATATCATTATTAAGTGTAAGTCGTGTACAAGGTATGAAGAGTTTGAAGAAGAGTTTGAAACGCCCCCATAGCCATATTCAACAACTCAACATTATCGAACGTCAGCATGATGATCATCATTAAGTTTACAACCAACCTCGATAATCTCAGGATCATATCGAATAAACATCAACATCGATCAGTTTTAGTGTTCACGGACATCCACATCCTTTGTATTTGAGTAAAGAATAATACGATTGTCGTTGGATTTTCTGATAATACCGGCATCTGTTTAAAGACGATCGAAACCTTTACAAATTGTAATGCTTGCTAGGGTGAGAGAAGTACAAAGGCATGATAATCTAAACCATTAGATTCACCAACGTTCAGTTCGAAACACAACTTGAAGGATGCCACTTTCTACTTCCTTCTGCCAAGGAGTCCCCATGCTTGATGTCCAAAGCAACATGATCATCCACAGCACCAAAAAGGTAAGTTCTTCTATGTCTTCCCAAGAAATACAACTCTTTCATCTTCTCCTGCACATCATGATTCTGACTAGTATGGCGATGCACCTGCCCCAGCGGACTCTGCGCCAGCCATTTGCCCATAGTTTGGCCAAAACTGCATCATCTTCTGTCCTTCCATACCTTCGTTACTGTTCATGTGCTGTTGGTAGAATTAGAAGTGTTCCTGGGGACTCAGGTCCAGGTCACAATTAAAAAAATGAAAATTGCAGCCAATGCAATTCACGATGTTGAGTTTCTTAATTTATCACTCTGCCATAATGTCCTGCACCAGATTGGTAGCTTTGGCCAGACTGGTAGCCGTGGTACTGATTCGTGTTGTTTTGTGCTCCATGAGACGACTGCCCAGTTACGTTACTGTGTCCCATGCCCGGTGGAGCAGTAGATTGTTGATTGTACTGCCCACTGTGGTGCTGTTGTTGCTGGTGGTGACCTCCCGTGGAGGTCATACCCGAGAGATGTTGGTTGCCCATATTAGCCCTTACGACCCAAAGATGAAATTCATCTTTCAGATCAAATCATCTTGTTTGACCAGTTACTTCCTCCTTCAGAAAGACAACCAAAGGGGCCAAAGTCAAACATGCTTTGATTGATCCAAGATGAACAGAACTGCACTAGAATATCTAAGTCTTAACTGAAGCAGCATTCCCTGTGTGTGTGTTCTGATGATGTTGATGGTAACCGTGATTGCCAGACTGGTTGTTGTAACTGTTGCCCCCCATGCCCGGATGGTGTTGCTGAGTAGGCGTGCCGGCTGATTGATGACCTCCAGTCGTTCCACTGTTGTAAGCATTGTTGCCACCATGTTGATGTTGATAACCACTAGAGGCACCATGTTGCTGATGCTGGTTATTGTAGCCACCAGCTCCACTGTGATATTGATTTCCGTATGCATTATTAGAGTCCGTCTGCAGAATTACAACATTCCTCAGGGCATCCCTGGCTTCATTATATCTAGTAGTAGGAAAAGACGAGTCAAGAATGGTGCTACTTCTAGTGCGGGACGAGGAGCTGCGGGATGTAGTAATTCGGTATCGGTAACCCTTTCCCTTAACAGTAGTGTGATGTTGTTGATTAGCGGCTGCTGCATACATGCTGTTCGCGGCTGCGTTCAGATTCGAGCCATAGCCGTATTGGTTTCCATACTGCTGGTAGGGACTTGTTGCGGCGGATCCAATCATGGAAGGTTGCATCATACCAGTCATGATATTGTTTAGTTGCTGTGTAGTGGTGAACGATTTTTCTCACAGTCACTTTTTTCTACTTGTTCGAATATTTCAATCATCTGAAGATGCATCACTTCTACAAGAACCTAGAAATGTTTATACAACATAGTACAACTACAATTACAGGAACCTACCTTGAAGATCTAAAACAATAAAATATCAAAAAGTAGACGTGAAGACGTGTCATGTTGTTGTTTCAACAAGCTGGTATTCTCGAGGAGAACAAGTAGTACATTCCCCGCCGGAGCTAAAGGGCTTCCTTGCAACGGCTGGAAAGCGCCTGGCTGCTTTGCAAGATTGTGGAGAAAATCGGTCTGGCCTTTCCCCATACCCTTTCTGAAACTGCCACCCTGATGGGGTCTCATATGCTGACCTGCTGTACCTTGGGACATGCCTGGATGATGTGGGTAGAAAGATGAAGACCAAGGAAATGAGGGAGCAGTAGTGTCACGTTTCTACCCGTATGTCATGTCATGGAACCTCTTTATTCGTCATTCAAACGTTATAGAGGCCTCTCTTGCCTTTCAGCTACAACCTGTAGAAAGTAAGCTTTTGATCCTTAGATGATAGTCAAAAATCTTATTTTGCAGGAGATGAAAAGAATTAATATTCGTCTCTTTCACCTGATCAATAAATGCACATTCAGATTCATGATCATGATGAGAATCCTGAACAACACAACAATTCTAGGAAGTACCAAGTCCAGCTCCTGCGCTCTGCAGTGCGGCTGCTGTCGCCAGATCTCCATACAGCAAACCTGGATAGGCATTGTACGCTAGCGCCGTCTGCTGCATTTGGAGCAATGCTGCGTAATCCGCATAGCCCCCACCGCTCTGGAAGCCATTCAGGGCCGATCCCGCACCAGCTGCTCCGCCACCTGCAAGAGAGGCCATATCTGGTCTCGGGAATACTTCGAGATAGAGCTCACGACGATAATTGACGTTGGTATATTTTCTACTAGTACAACTAACGTCGTTGGTTCATACTCTACTAGTACAACTTCCTACCCGTAGTATTCTACCTGTTCTCAGAATTTTTTCCGCCTGTGTGTAGTTTAGGGAATCAATCTGCGCCAAAAGAGAGAAACTAACAAACTCATCTGTAGACCACATTATCATTCAATTATGATCCGATTCTTGTCGTGACATCAAGCCTTAAAATGGTAATGGCGTGTTCAGCATGTGCTTCTCGTGTTCCTGCATGCCTTCTAGTAAACGTGGGAAGCGCTTGGCCAACTTAACCGCAAGCCGCTGCGCCTGCTCCGGTTGTAGAGAATTCGAACCCCTTCGTGGAATAGGCACATTTGCAACTGCATCACCCTCAAGCATGTGGCGGAGAACTGGTATGTTGTAGAAGTCGTTTGTTGAACAAGAAGGTACAAGTATATCAACATGGTAGCTCTCGTCGTGACGAAGAAGGACAAGATCAGGTGGACATGTTGGGACTTAGAGTGTAGTTGTACGACTTCGTTTTCATTCTTCATTCATTAGTACTTCTATGTGAAGAAAACAGAAAAAGAGGTACTTGAGTGCACATGTGGTCGGATGGCATCGATCAGCGTTGTATGATGCGGCTCTTTGGCGACTGACAACGTTTGTTGCAAAACGTAGTTTCCGTACTGATGGAAAAGGAGATGCTGGACGACGTTATGAATCTCCATCTTACCCGCTGTGAGGACGCCCTGATGTCGCGAAGGAGGAAGAGGGTGTCGTCGTGGCAGATTTTTGTTTCAGAAGATGACACCGGAGAGAAGTACCGAAGAAGACGAAGAGGAAGATCATATACTAGGACGAGCAGTACGTAGAAAGATATCTTCAATGTTGTCGTAGTGATACATCGATCATGTGAAAGTAAATGGCGTTCTTGTTGTTCTACAAAATTGGTACAAAATCTAAAAAAAGCAAGTGGATATAATTTACCCAATAATTCAAAATAAGTACCTGAATCAGCACAGCCTTCTGTGAATCCGGTGCTGTGGTCAAGACTTTTTCTAAGACATTGGAGGAAAATTTTTGCTGGCAGAGATCCAGCACGTGGTCCTTCAGCCTCTCGATCATCTGCGGTAAAACAAAGTCATCCTCACTCGGTTTTGTCGTAGCCAAAAGGTGTTGGACCACATAATTGCCGTATGGGTCCTGGACCAGTTCTAGGGTAGAACCAACTATGGTCTCGGTGGGAGTTAGAGATGACCACAATGAGAAGTGCTGGAAGTGCTGACATTTATAGCAAGTGAATTTAAAATAAATAAGATGGTGCGTGAATATAGTCTTCATATTGATGACGATCGTGCAACCATAACACCAGTATAAGTAAAAAACTGAAGAGCCTTATCCCAATTCTCAAACATGAACGTTGAAGATCTTGAAGACCATCATGTGCTTGAGCTTGTACCAACCATAAAATAAACCTCTGTTGTGCTGCATCGCCTGCCTTGTCGATGCACGTTTTCAACACGCAGCATCCCCACTGATCCTTGCTCATCGTGACTACGCTTTCTCGGTCATAGCAGAGCTTTTTCAAGACATCTTCGGAATAAGGCTGTGAGGAGAAGATCCGAATTCTTGGATGGTGGAATGAAGTGACGAAGCAGAGGTGGCGGTGATCATAGTCATTGTCATACAACCTAGAAGTTCTGTTAAATACTTGTGTATTGATCAAACAACTTGAACAAGTTGTTGTGTTGCGACGCCTTCTAGCTCAAAAGACAACCCTACAAGCTGCAACACTCTTCCAATAGTAGCTGCTACAAGCAACATTCTTCCAATAGTACCGACTCCAATTTCTCCAGCAACTTCACAACTACGTGAAATCCAGTGACACTCCGCGAAAGCGACTCCACACTGTCCAGCAGAGCATCGATGATCTTCTGTGTTCGCCCTCTCCGGATCCCCTCTTCGACAAACTTCTGTACAGCTCTTGTCCCATGAACCTCATTCGCTAAAGTCGCCAGTTGGTCTTCTACCTGTAGCAGATAGAGGGGTTACTTAGTTAGTTAGTTAGTTAGTTAGTTAGTTAGTTAGTTAACTTAGCTTTAGGTATATAGTTTCGTTGTAGCAGTTAGGCAGCCGATGAATGATGATTCCCTTGACGTTGGAGTTACTGTTACGTTGTGTATCATTACATTTACAGCAACACCAGGTAGATGGTAACTGGAAGTCGAAGTAGCATGTCTTTATTCATTATATTCTGAACGTCAACGACTCAAATCAATAGTATCTCGTATAAGCTATATCGAATTGTGAGTTTCGCGAAATTCTGCATTCCTTGCCCGAGAGTCTGGCTTTTTTTTGAGCATGAAGACAGACGAAAGACGGCCGCACGACGATGGTTTTTTTATGCTTGAGACGATGAGAGAGACAAAGAAGCCAGGCAAAGAACGTAGACGAAGAAGCGAGTCGATACATTTGATTACCGTCTTTTTGTTAACTTTCTCTTTGTTTTCGATCCGTCGGCACTTCGTCGACGACTGGTCTGCTTTCTGCTTTTTTAGGCGTTACATCTAAGGCGTAGAGTGACGCAAGGCGTTTGGTTACTCTGCTGATGGTCTAGCATGCACATGCTCCCGCTTACGGCGTTGCGCTCTGCCTTTTTTTTTCATAGGAAACAGAAAAAAAATTTCTGCTATCTTATCAAAAAAACTAAAGTCGGCGCTTTCGTTAGTTTTCGGCTCCGCTCTGCGTCTCTGCGTCGTGTTTCTCTCTCGGTCGAAAGGCTTCCAGTTTCCATGGCCCACCCCTCTAAGGCTCTCCCCCTTTCAGGTCTATGATCTGCTGACGCAGTTGGTAGCCGCAGTACCCGCCAAGGAGTGCGCGACGTCAGCCACCACCCACAAGGGTGGCGATGCCTCTGCGCTGAAACTCGTGCGCAGTATGGGCGAAAATAAATCGCAAGTCCATACTGATTTGCTCACGGTGCCGGACGTGCTCCGCCGCGGTTTTTTGGAGAAGTATGAAAGTGAAAAGCTGGGCGCTGCTGCGTACCAACCACCCCAAGCCCCTACGCAGCACCCCACGGATTTGCCTACTTCCGATCCCTCTGCGCTTTCTTCGTCAGAGCTCCCAGCGAGCTCATGCGGCTGCTGCCGGTAATTGTCGAACTTTTTGCGTGAGAAGCTGCCCCATACTTAACCGAAAAGCTTGAAGTGAATTCGTCACAGACATTCATACCCCGCCGCTCTTCCATTCCCAGCAGGTTTTTCGTCCGATACCAACATCGACGCGGAAGCACTCAAGCAAAGAACAAGAACGAACCAGCTTCGCGATCAGCGAATCGCCCAAGGCTACCTACCACGACGATGAAAAGCGCTAGCACGAGCAAAGCCATGAAGGCCCAAGGCGTTGGGGAAAAGCCTCCCCCTATGAAGAAAATGGCGAAAGTGGGCAACCCAATGAAAAAAACACAAAGCAACCGAAACAAGCAGCGACAAAGGCTGCCAAAGTACCGAAGAAATCTGCCAAAACACCGGGGAAGGCTGTCAAAAAAATGATGGCCATGGAAGCGGAGTAGCTTGCTACATAACTTCCCCACTGTGGCTCGTATCGCTTTCGAAAGCCAACGACAGGCGCACGCCCATCGGCTTCTGACTTTAGAACGCAAGGCATCACTTCAGTAAAATCAGAGCAAACCTATCAAGTTCGAGAATCAAAGAGCGGCCGCTGGGTTGATGGCTTTCATTTTCCATCCATCCAAGTAGAGGCCTCCGAGCAATATAGAAAAAGCACGCAGGTAATACGTACAGGAACAGTAAGCGAGTGCCTCGCCCAGTGATATATTAGAAAAAGCGCCAGTAAATCACTGCGAGCGTTGTCCTTTATGAATTGCATGGAGAGCCCCCAGACGGACCCAGAATCAACTATGGCGCCACAGTTGTGACGAACTTCGCACACGGTTAAGAATCAAGACCAACACGAACGCCACAACAAAGCCACTACATCTACATCGGCTTAACCAGTCCACAGCATGCCACACGCATGCCATACGCTTCTGGCAGAAGCATCCAAATGACAGACACGGCGCCAAATTAATAGGGCCCGCCGCACAATCAAAGGAGAAGCCTTCTCACATCAGCGCGCGGCATTTGCATTATCTGGCTAACGCGTCTAGCACTGCGCGCGTGTTCTCTTGCATTTTTTGCAAGCGACGCCATCGGCGTCGACAGTTCAGCTGATGCACTGCGCGCGACATGAGAGGAGCTAAACCGGACAAAAAAGCAAAACACTAAGGCCACAGAGTGCGCTAGAGTTGCGCGCTTCATTGTTATGCCATCGAGGTCGGGCTTGGTCTCTCTTTTGCTCTCTATGCATCGAATTTAAATGCTCCGCGCTTTCTTCTGCTTTCTTGTCACGTCTTTGCTGCAAGTCATGCCATCAGCGTGCTTTTTCCGGGGCAAAAGATGCCGCACATGCGCCGGCGCCAGCTGAACGGGAACGACGACGGAGACACTTGCGGCAAGTTTTTTTTTGGAATTGGATACTTACCAAAGAAAACAGAACACCAGCCCAGCAATGCTGCTGGGATGATCTTCACGGGCGCGAGCACTATCCACGCAGGAGCATGAAGCACGGGAACACTTTGGAAAGTGGGCACTACTGTGCTACCATCAACCACATCGCGCCAAGGTTTTTGCTGCTTCGTCAGTGTTACTTAGCGTGTAAGACTCTCACCGCATCGATCTACTTCTAACTCGCGAGCCAGCGAAGTCGTGCTTCTTAAGCACTCGCCTCGCTGATAGCAATCCTAAAACCAGCGGAACCAACCAGAACCAAGTCCGTCGCTCGCTTTGGACTATGCTACTGCTTTAGCCGCTGCGGGATTCAATATGCCACGGCCACGAGCTTAAAGCGATAAGCGCAGCGCTTGTCTTACGGTAGAGGGCAGAAGCCTTGCAGCAGTGCAGCACTTTGGCCCCCCTTCAGGCTACCCTGTTGCGCGGTTTTTGTATCGTGGAGAAGCATGGACAAGCTTCCCCGCGACGGTTTCGCCAATATCTGAAACAGCGCAACCCGCTATATTCTCAATTCGTTTGGCGCAAGCCGGCCAAAGTGCTGGCTTATCGAATCCAGGCAGTCCGTACGTGCTACAAGTTTGCTCTCTATTAATTCGCTAGGCAAGTCCTCTCCTTTAGGTGTTCCCTCTGTGTGAGGCGCTCTAGCAAGTTCTCTCTCGATCGTGGGGTGGTCGCTGTTTTTGTTTCTCTGATTCGCTCAGCCTCCAAGATTGTTCCAATTCTTGCTGCCCGCAGGCTCTTCGAGGTTTTCACTGCATTGGACAAGCAACACAGTGGCAAGAGCTAGGCCAAGCCTCTCGCGTATACTGGTCAAAATTTTCGAGCGGGTGCGTTGTCTCAATCTGGTGCGAATTATCTTGCGCGCAAGAGTTTGCAACTCCTTCAATAATGTCGCACGCAGCAACTGTCTGCAGCAGCACCAGACCCGTCAGGTTCTGAACGTAGTGGCCTTTCTTCTGCTGAGTAGCAGTTTTCAACTTTTTCAGCAGTATACTGATGGGGCTTCGGCTATTGCGTGGCTACTGTGTGACTGACTGAAGACGCGGCGCATATCTCTCACGCGCGTCGCGTGCAGTCAGGTCGCGCCGCCTGGGTTCTTTTCAGTTGATTCGTGCGAAGGCTCCCGGCTCTGACGCGTGCAGCCCTCTGGCGATACTTTCACGCGCGACGCTTGTCGCCAAAGCAGCGCACTTCTGTAAGTATCGCTCCCTTCAGTTCGGACCCACGTTCTTGCTGCCAATCGTTGGCCGCTTCCAGAAAGTAGCGGGTAAGTTTATCCCTTCTGGTCTCTGCAGTATTTCCCTCCTCCCTCTTCTTCCCCTTTTTCCTTAAAGTTATGCACTTTGCCAGTATGTCAGAGCCTGGCGGTCTCGTTTTCTACGTCTAGACCTTATACTTACACGAGACAGCCCGGAGTGACTTAATAAACTTAACAGCAGCGCAGGGATGTCGTCATCCCTGCGCTAGCCTGTGATATACGACTACAACAGCTCCTGCTTCTGGTGACACTCAGACTCACAACATCTACTTCAAGAGTTCATCTTCAAAAAATCAATGGAAAAATGTACCTTCGAAAACAATGTATCGAAGTGTTCATCGGAACAATGTTCTAGGATCTTTTGCGACAAATAGTTGCCGTATTGATCCGATAGGAGCTGGATAAACGCTGGCTCAGCCTTCTCGTAGATCAACCTGGAAAGGAGGATGTACTTCTTGTACTAGTAGGAGTTGTTGTGTATGCGGTTCTTGTAATAGTTGTTGTTGTGTATGGCTTCGCTTCTTGATTCTTGTACTAGTAGTAGTTGTTGTGTATGCGGTTCTTGTAGTAGTTATTGTTGTGTATGGCTGCGGTTCTGGTACTAGTAGTAGTTGTTACTGTATGCGGTGTACTTGTAAAACGAATGCAGTAGTGGAGTCAGGAGTCACGTCAGGAAAAACAAAGACGAGAATCACGCATTTTTTTGGTGGTAGTCAGCAATTTTTAGTACGTTGTCGTCATCTCGTCATCATTTTCCATCAATGTTGAAGATCAGATCTCTGACAAAAAAAAATTAGATTACGTCGTCATCTCTTCATCACTTTCCATCAGACTTCTCTGGAGACTCCTGCTTTTCCACTTATCTTTAGCGATTTGTAAAAGGCCCTCTACGGTGACTGTTCGCATCTCGTCGATGCTCATCTTCGCGTCACGCCCACGTTCGTATCAGATTAGAGGGGAGAAAACTTGAATTCGTAAATAACCGTGGCAGAATTGTAGAAGAATTTAGTTCAAGAACATGACGTTCCTCTGTTTCGTGGCCATATCAATCGTCCTGACTGTCCAATGCCTATCTGTTACAGTTATTTGCGTGAAATAGGCTGTAAATCAACAAGAATAGGCGATTTTTGTAAGTATGCGTATTTTTCTGTGAAACAAGAAGTGCCATAACCGTCTTGCTAGTCGACTTGTGCCGAATTGTCCGGAGCCACTAGTGGCCGCTGATGACCTTGCAGTAGGAATTTCAAATCCCGGGTGCGACATTGTGAGTGGCGTACCGCCACTCGAACTGCCGGAGATACCATGCATTTTCTTTCCTCTATAATTTTTGCTTGTTCTTCAACGTGATTTCCCTTTTTTTTGTTAGTTAGTATTTCATTTAGGGAGAAAGTAGGGAGTTGGAATCGTGCGATCAATTAGTTTTGAAGGGATCTAACTAATTACATTTCGGACAGATCTAGTAGAGTTGTGCTGAAACTCATCCGTTTTCGTTCTCAAATCATTCGATCATGTACGTAGGGTTCGATTTTTAGGCGGGTGCAGAAAAGCCTTGAAAATATTGTTTCTTCTTCTCTTGATTTTAGTTTCTCATCTAGCACAAGAATCTCGACGACGCCAAGTCTCGACCGATCCGACAGCACCTCTTTGATATTAGTACAAGACCGACGATCGATTGCTACAACTGCGTTTTTCTTCCTATTCCAGAGATGGTCACGACATTAGTTTGAGTCAACCGAGGGTAGTGGATGGTGCAGCCTCGACACGAAATGCACCTACAACAAGTCCACACTCGCACCAACGTAAGACCGCTGCAGTATTAACATGAAGCCTCACAACTGCCACGCCAATCATGGCTGCACGGCTGCGCATAGTCGTCTCATTTAAATCATACTCTTCATTACGTTAATAATTGTTGAAGCAGTAGGGATGGTGGTTTGGGGAACGGCGAAGGAGAGAGAATCGGGTCGCAAGTTTCATCAAGCACCTTTGACATTTCTTGCAGCATTCAGTCCTATCATCAAAGAGTTGGCGTTCTTCGACGAGTTTCATCCGATGTTAATTATCTTATCATGGCTCTATTGCATGCTGGTCTGTTGTCAAGGTTGTTCTTGCTTGAAGATAGTCCGTCGTGTGCTAGCGAGGTTGTAGGACGAATCATTGTTCTGTTCGGAAAGCGGAAGATAACAGATCACGGCTGTTTTAAGGCTAATTATTAGATAATACCTTGAAGAAGGGTGCTTAATTGCCTTCGGAAGGCACGATGATCGCAGGGAAAAGTCGTGCATGCTGTAGTATGTTACCAAAATTATTCCGGCGGAACTCGATAGATAATTTCTTACGAAGGGTAATATAAAAGGGAATATGATATTTCTTGTTTGTCGTGGGGGTGGGAGGGATGGATTTGCTTTTGCAAGATGAATGGGTGAAGGGGTGGGATAAATTAAGATACATCGGTTGTAGGAGCGAGGTATTAGTTACCGTGGTTGGAGTTTCGTAATATTACATCTTCCGCTTCGACTGCGCAACTTCGAATTATTTTTATTAGTTGTACACTTCTACGGGGAGGTAGCAGGATAAACCAAGAGAGAGAAAGTTGAAGACATGATCGTAGATATTAGTTGTTAGAAGAGCGTGGATAGTTTCAATTGGTACATCATCATGATCAAGAGAATACAAATATAACTTTGCTAATGAGCGTGGATGAAAGCAGCAAGGGGAAATCAATGGAGGACTCACTGGCCAAAAAGTGAGAAAATTTTAGTTGAATTCAATTGGTGGCACAACAGCCATGTAAGTATCAATGAATTGTTCAAGGAGGTAGCATCAAGGGTAGGTATTTATTTTCATCGCATCATACATAGTACTACCAATTAAGAAATAACATCTTTCTTGTCTTTCTTGATCGTGCCTACTTGTACAACTACAACTTTTACAACATTCAACATCTAAGTGCGTTCTTTCAGGGGTTACAATTTTTGATAACACAATTTTGTCAAGAGCTGCAGCACGTCTAAGTTACGAACTTGTTTAGTTACAGATACATAGATTTGACTCCTCATTAATTGGTACAATGATCAGAGATTACCGACGAGTGAATGAAAGTGCACGGGCTGATAACCAAAACGTTCCAGCAGGAGAGTGATGGTGTGGTCTCTACTTGTTCTTTCCAATGATGAACTTCGAAACGGTGAAGAATTGTTCTATTTCCCCTTTATTTCTAGATTCTCACATAGAAGAGCGAAACATAAGATAACAACTTCTCCACGACATGAAAATTGTAGATTCAGATTCAGATGTTGTAGATACTCTTTTCACTGGCATACGAAACAGTTTATCTTAAGCTACAGCAACTACATCCCCCTTGTTGTCATTGTGGCGTTTTCATGGTGGCGCCGGTCGTGGTTGCGGCACTTTCACGACCACCCATCGGTATCCGCATCCTCCCTTTTCTAAAATTACAACGAACTGACCAACTACTGCCCCAGATTAAAAACCAATATTTTCTGTTGAGAAATTCCCAATATGAAATGTGGTTGGAAGTGCCCTACTTCTTGGCAACGATTGAATAGCCTGTTTCATCTTTCCCCGTCTTCTATTAGGAGGTTGAAGCTGTTCTTGTACATGATGAAATAAATCTTCCCTTATTTATTTTTACTATTGGTACAATGTTGTTGTTCATTAGAAGCAAGCTACAATCGAATCATGAGACAATGACACAAGAGCTAAGGGCTACCACGACCCCACGTCATTACGCCTGGTTGTACAATCGACATAGGTTTCGCGGCCGGCCCTTAATCTCAAATAGGTCGAATCTGATCAAGTTGTACACCATACCTTCCTCTATCAGATTTTAATATTACTTAGTGAGTCAAAAAGTACTACTCAAATTCGTAATTGTATCTATGCACCATCATATTAAACACAAGTTCAAGTCGAATACTACATGCTGCGAAAAGAAGTTCATTTTATCTTCAACTACATATTTGAGGTAACGAACTAGTACTGCTATACATTTATTGATGTTCGGCTCTGCCAGTAAGTTCAGCTAAGAATAGTGTACTGGATGTGGATGGGCCGTTGTTAAAACTACCCACAATCTTTTATCTGTTCAATTACCTATTCGGTAAGAAGATCACTTATTTTCAGTACTACAAGTAGTACTGAAAGTACAACTGGAAAAACATATTTATATATTTTTTGTTCAATAAATATTCTTACTCGTCATCTCATCATGGTTGTAAAATTTGTTGAACGTATACATCGATCTATCGTAATGGGATCTCATGAAGTCTTTTCATCGGTAAAATTTTGTAGTTCTGTATCTCTATCTATCTGAACTGCTTATTCCATCTGTTGCTGTTTCGCAGATTTGTACACGAAATTTTTCTACTTGTTTTACTTGGATATCATAAGAGTTCATCATCTGTACACAAGCTTTGTTCTTACGACCACTTGCAACGTCTACCAAGTCTGACACACCGCCTACGAATTCTGAATTGACAAGAGCTCCCTACCAGAAAACACCTAGACCTAATGATCCACAGGTCAGATGATCATGATCGAACTCGATCACCTCTAGGCTACAGCATGATCTACTGTTCATCATAGGTGATCTGATAGTTGGGCCAAAAGCCGACGATGCGTGCCATCTCGTCATTCTGTTGCGCGAACCCGCTATCCGGAGAGCTGGCATAGCTGGAACTGCTGCCGTATATGTTAGAGGTGGTGAAGAGAGGAGTGAAGCGTAACGATAAGTGAGAAATCAAAAGAGATGAATGTCCCTGTTGTAACAGTAACAACTCCTCAGTTTTTTGATGGAGCAACAGCAAGTGCATCGGAATCGACCTTACATACTCTTACTACATTCTAATCTTCCTCGCGATCGCGGGCGCATTCAAATGATTCGATTGTTCAAAGGCGCCGATTTTCAAACGCACTGATTTTTTCGGATCTTCCATTTTTTTGTGTTGTGTTTTTTTTTTTACATCCGGCTACTACAACTACATGATGCAGCAAAACAAGAACTCTCCACCTCAAACAGATGTTGAAGATCCATAAAATCAGAGGTCGGATAGGCCCAAGCGGATTGTTTGCCGAGTTGCATCTGCTGGTCTCCTGGCGTAGCTGGCATGCCTGCTGAAGACATCGGGCTGCTCTGGACGTTGGGCATAGAGGCCTGCTGCAAAGCGTTCAAGCTGGCCAAAGCCTGAGCAGCTTTGTGCGCGTACGCAGGTGCTTAGAGGACGAAGGAAGAAGAGATTACAATCACATCCTGATGATGATACTGTTGTAGGTAGGGTGACAGAATTGATCGTGCTGCAGTATGATGTTTTTGGCACACGCCGAGTTCTTCATCAAGTAATTTGATTTACTTCAAGCCCAGCAAGTTCAAACTAATGTCGACCATGTACAGTCATAATGATGAGAAGTCTAGACTTTTGCGATCAATTTTTGGGGACAAGGAATAGCCTTGCCAATAGAATGATAGGCAATGCCAAGGCCTCTTAAATGTATAACTATAGGTAGCTATATCTCGTCCAGTCATAAGTGTAGTAATTGCTGTGTGCATTTTGCTTATCGCCCATGCCTGCCATTGCGCCTCCGCCCATAGCAGCACCTTGGTTGCCCATCTGCATCATGTTATTGCTCATCATGCCGTGATTGCTCATGTTTCCGAGACTCATGCCAGCAGCGGCAGCCATGTTGGCCATGTTTTGGAGTCCGTTCATGCCGTTTCCGCCTGCACCTGCACCACCAGCACCAAATGCACCAGCATGACCATTCGACGAGGTGTTGCTTCCACCGAAGTTGCTTCCAGCAGCACCTTTGCCACCTTGGTTGCCCTTGAAAGAACTGCCACCCTGCTTTCCGCCAAAGCTGTTGGAACCTGATGGCATTGAGGGGATTGATCATCATCTTCATCTTCACGGTGGTGGATTTACAAAATAGTAAAATCGACGTTTCCAATTGATCTTCAAAAGGAAGAACATCACGTTTAGCAGGAGAAGTATTGGTAGTAACAAGGAAGATGCATGGCGAAGGGACTATAATGACAGGATTCATCTTCAAGGACAATCGGTGTGAACTCAAGTACCATAGAGAGCGTTATTAAGAAGCATCGAGTACCATAGCCACCCTTTCCGCCCTTGAAACCTTTTCCATTGCCCTTATGTCCGAACTTGCCGGCAGCTTGACCCGCAGCAGCCTGACCCAGAGCCAACAGATGATCTGATTTTCCACGTTGGGATATTTGGATGGGGTACGAGAAGAATCGTAGTTATGGGATAAGAAGGAAAAGAATTCTCGTGAGATCATGAGCTTGAGACTTGCAACAAGTTGAATTTCCTTCCTACTACTTGCGTCCAAGACTCTCATGCTCTAAGTAATGACAAGCAACCTCCACCAACAACAGAAAAACACACAAAACTTCCAAAAGCAGTTCTAAAAATACTGTATTGCGCCGCCCAAGAGGCCTGCATGGCTGCGGAGTATGCGTTCGGGTACATCGAGTTGAAGTAGTTGGTGGGTCCCGACATGTCATACGGAGAACCGGTTTGAGAACCCCAAGTGTTGCTTCCATCATGAGGAGAATAGGAGCTGCCGGAACCTCATATGAAGATGTTGGAGGTGCTTCAGTTTGTGTTGGAAGAGACTTCTAGTTGTACATAAGTAGTTAGAAGAAAATAAGATGAAGCTGTACTTCTAGTAGAAGCTGTAGTTATCTAGATTATGCGAAATGGAAATCAAGATGAAAGGACCACAAGAATTGTTCAGGTCGATGTCGATTGACTCGATTACAGCGATTGGCCACGGGCCTACTTATCATTAGCGCCCACCCTTATCCATCCCGAGAGGCATCCCGACACCGATTCACCATTGAAAACGTGCCCGAGATGCTTCCGAGGATGGATTAGGGGAAGCCTCAATATCATCTTCATTTATCCTCATCTAGAATCGTTTCACTTTCATCATCTAGTACATCGGTTATTAGGAAGAGTAGCCTTTCGAAACTACGTCCCATATTTCAGACAGTAACTCGGTTATTTATCAGCTAGAATGATGATGAGTAGAGGACTAGATTGTAGGTCGTTTAGGATACAAACCCCTGCATTAAGTTTAGAAGTGATTAAATACGAGAATTTCATCTTCTAGTACAACTACCGAACATTCCTCCATTGCCGCCGGCTTCATCAGCGTTGCTCGTGTAGTGCGAGGTGTTGCTCAATTGCTGTTTCTCCGACTCCGACATGCCTTCCAACAGACAGGGAAAGCGTTTCACCAGTTTCATCCCCAAGTATTGTTAGAAAAGGAAGAAGCGTTAATAAATGCGAGTCTCGACATCGACTTCTTCTTTTCTATGTAGTATAAGTTTTTTTTTGTGCTTGTGGTGGACTTCTTCGTTCTATGTATGAGGAAAGAAAATAAGTGGACCACGTGGTTCTTTTACATTTATCTCAATTTTACTGATACCGGTGCCGGTGGAGCACGGCTAACTAGGAAACAAAAAAACACAAAAAAATATTTATTCTAGACTTACAGATATTACGATCAAGATAATTCGTGGAGTGCCTTAACGTTGCGCCTGTTCCGGAGCCAAGGACGTGGATCCGTGGTTCGGAATAGCCAACGAAGAAGCAGCATCATGGGGGTTCTCGAGGAAGTGCTTCAACACCTTCTGGACCAAAGGACGGACGGCTTCGAGCAAAGTAGTGTGTTGAGGATCCTTGGCGACGGCCAAAGTTTGCTGCAAAACGTAGTTGCCATACTGGTGGAAGAGAAGGTGCTTGGCAACTTCGGTGGTTTCCAATTTGCCAGCAGCGAGGACGCCCTGGTGAAGGTAGAAGGATTTGCTTGTCTTGGTATGAAGGAGGGCTAGGGCTTGGGGTTGTTCGCTATTGTAGGTGTGCAGTCGGATCGAGGGAATATGTCTATGTGTATGTAATGATACCACCTGCTCTTTCTTTCAACTTCTACATCTACAATGATTATTGATGATCACGTACACGTATATTTTTAGCGATACTCTAACTTGAATAGTACCTGAATCAAGACTTGTTTATGCACATCCGGAGCAGTGGTGAGGAGCTTTTCCAAGACGTTGGAAGAAAATTTCTGTTGGCACAAATCCAGGACGTGATCCTTCAATGCCTTGATCATCGGTGGGAGGACTTGTTGCTGTTGTGGTCGTTGAGGCGGTGGTGGTCAATTATTGTGGGGATTTTTATGAGTAGAGATTAATATGAGTAGAATTATATTCTTGGTGACCAAAAATAAATATGCTACTTCTTGAAAGAAAGTAGCAACAAATTGTTCACGTGGTGTGATGAAATCTTCGCAGGTAGTACCAGTTAAGTGTATCGTGTGTGCTGTCAACCATCTAGAATATTAAGGCTTCTGTAGAAAGTAGATTTAAAGATAATATTCAACATTGTTCATTTTCAAATTCAAATTCTAACTGAAGCAGTTGTACCTGCATAAAGCAGTTGGAGCTCGCCAAAACGTGTTGGACGACATAGTTTCCATACGGATCCTGCACCAATTCGAGAGTGTGGGATACGATCGCATCGACAATCACCTGCTGACGCTCACCCTCAGCAGTATCGATGCAGGCTTTCAGCACGCAGCAGCCCCACTGATCCTTGCCCATGGCGACGACAGTAGCCGCATCTTTGCACAGGTTTCCCAGGATTTTCTCCACATCGTCACGGCTCATCTTTTCCAACAGCTTGACAACCACATGGAATCCAGTAACCGAACGGGAAAGAGCCTCAATGTGCTCGCGGAGGATGAAGGAGCGAAGATGGGATGGGGGAAGAAAGAAAATGCAGAAAAAAGAAACGAAGCTTTATCTTGATCTAGTAACTAGTATTCCGTACTACATCATCAACGAACTTACTAGTGGCACGACCATCATGCTCAATCACCACCACGACGTAGTTTTGGGTAATCATATAATCGAGCAGTAAAAACCATTACAATAACACGACCATTCATAAGCAAAGCAGACAAGACGTTTTCGGCACGGTTGCGTTTGACGCTCTCCTCAACAAACTTCTGGACAGCGCGCGTTCCATGGACTTCATTCGCCAATTCCCATAATTTCCCTTCAACCTTCGAGAACAACCTGATCATGTGGAGATGATGGTGATGGCATGTTGAGGTGAAGGTTTAAAAGGCGCTGTAAGAGAGCAAGAAAGATGAACACTAAATCCTCGAAGTCTAAGGTCTTCTAGAAGAAGAGGTGGAGGTCATGATGGGATGCGGAACATGATCAAATCAAGCTTACACCAACACCTCAGGAGCATCTTCAAAAAGCATCAGAAGACTTACAGATCAAATTGCTCATCGGTGCAGTATTCGAGGATTTTTTGGGACAGGTAGTTCCCATACTGATCGGACAAAAGCTGCACGAAAACCGGTTCGGCCTTCGCGTAGACCAGTTTGGAGACCGGAGCATCGTTCTCCATCAAGGCACGCTGTAGACTGCGGCTTTTCCACTTGTCCTTGGCAATTTCAACGAATTGCTCGACGGTCACGTCCTAATTTTTATTGAGGGAGAACGGGGATGAAGACAAAAAGGGTTGATGAGGGAAAGGAGCTTCTATTTGAACAGAACGGGGATGAAGACAAAAAGGGTTGATGAGGGAAAGGAGCTTTTATTTGAACAAGTTCAGCTTGTGGGAGTAAGTCGGGACACTGAACAACATGATGCGTGCTGAAGCAGCTGGTTTGAAATACCTTCAGTTCATCTGCAGACAGACGGGCGTCACGGCGACGCTCGAAGCGCGGGTGTTGCTGTTGCATGCTGTGGTGTTGCTGCATTGTCGTGAATCGATCGGTATCGTTCAGTGTTTTTTTGTTGTAGTCGTTGACGTTGTAGTCGTTTGTTTTTTGAATCGTGATGGACGATAGTAGTAGTACAGAGAAGAGAATATCTTTACAAAAAGTTCTCAGTGGTGTAGAAATAGAAAGCGTTCTTCTTGTTAAATTTGAATACTTACCAGATCTATACAAGGAATGCACTAATGGTCGTGCTTTTCAGGTGGAGCAGTAAGATGTTTTGTTATTGTTGATAGTGTTTCTCTTTTTCTTTCGTTTTTGATGATGATGGTCTATTGAATGACAATGATTTAGAGATGAAGTTTCTTGTTTCTTGTTTTTGATAGGAAAGAACGACTTATGAATGTGTCCAACCTAGTATTAGCCTTTGAGAGTCTTTGAAGAGTTTTTAGAGCACAATTTGTGCGATTTCTTTTTCTCTAATCGTTTTTGGAGAGGGAAATGCAGAATCTGGTTTTGAAATGGAGTTTCGGTTCTTTTGCTGGGAACAACTTGCAGAGACGCTCCTTCTAAAATCAAATCTACTAGCAAGGACAACCTTCTTCTCATCCTAATACCTTGTTCAGTTTCATCGACTATGTGAAAGCACTCAATTCCCGATGCGAATAATGACGCCGTACGACAGCGAGTACTAATCTCAATTTGTCCGAAAGAGTTTGCAAGAGCACGACACAATTTCAATTCAATCTCTCCTCACGGCTTCGACGTCTGAGGTGGTCTCTCTTTCACTCGCATATATATTTGAAAGAATTCGAAATGAGTCGAGCAATGTTTCTTCAACCGAGTCGTCATCGTCTGACGTCTTTTTCTTTGCAGTAGAACAGAAAGGTACAACATAATCATGATACGCGATAGCGAAATCGAGTCCTCCAAAGGGAAAGCGACATCGAAACCAATGACGTATCTCCCTTAGAAGCTGTTAGAATCGGATTCCACAAGCTAAGTTTTGCTAGTCATCATATCGATCGAAGCAAAGTCTCCACAGGAAGACACTTCGATCGACAACAAGAAGAACTCAAGAACGTTGCGCGTCGACGTGTTTTTTTGCGTTTTCTTGTTGCGATACAATCACAGTCTAGAAATGGCTCGTCTTCCAAGAGTTAGGATATCTTGAACAAGTTGAACTTGAAGCTTGAGAAATAAGAAAAAGGATTCAGTCGAAAAAGCATTTAGTCAGCCACAGCTGGTGCCTATTGATGAGGATGCACTAGATGAGTTTTACGAAGAGCTTATGATCACTTGCGTAGCTTTCTCCTTTCAACATCTATTTCTCCGATGCGGTTGTCTGCGGTGCTCCGCAGTGAGAACGGGATGACGATGAAGAAGAAGAACAACGACCAAGTTCTGTGTCAAAGTATAACACAACATGGTTTTCCGCCCTCGACACCAACATGTTCGTCTACTACTTCCGCGTGTGCTTCCTCTCCACCTTCCTCATATTCGTACTCTTCGCCTTCCGCCGCTGCCTCACCCTCTGCCGCGGCGTGCTCGGAAGGTATTCCGCTCTTCTGCCTCGCTTCTCTGTTGGATAGTTGGATTTGTTGTTGTAGAACAAGGCCATGATGATCATGAAGATGAAATGATCATGTAAGTAGATGTAGATCACACCAGCAAAGAACAGTCATTGAATGAAAGAAGGTGCTGAATGTTCATCGTTTATTACAGTTCTACTTCTGGTATAATTCTTCATACTAGATTGACGAGGAATCCAAAAAATCTTATACATCTGCGCCAGCCTTGCCCGTTCTTGACCGAGCACGCCTTCCAGCTCCTCTTTTGTCATAGAATGTAGATCTTTCGTTACACTATCTTAGAGCTCAAAACAATGCATTTCTTCAGTTAAAAATTGCTTCAGAATTCAATTCATTGCTTCAGAATCCCAAGAAGGAAAAGAAGGAGCAATCAATGACCGCTGGAAATGTTAATATTTACTATATCAAGCCTTAACTACCCGCGTGAACGACGTGCTGCATCGCTACAGCCGCCATCTGTTGCTGCTGATAATACGCCTCCGCAGCCTGTTGTTGCTGTAGTTGTTGAGCCTGCTGCAACGCCTGTTGTGCCTGCACATACGCTGCTGCGGCACCCGCGCCGGCGCCGTACACTTGCGCCACTGCGTGTGCGTCTATTCCACCTATGGGAAGCTGCGCACCAGGATGACCTCCAGGAGGGGCAACGCCGGGTGGCGCAGTTGGAGGTAGCTGATGGCCTGTGGTGCCAAGGCCGTAGGGGTTCGGAACTGCACCAGTCCCTGGAGGATAAACGCCATGCTGATTATAGTAGTCAGCAATCGCCTGTTCCCGTGGATCCACGTAGCTCGGGTATGGGTCGCCTCCGCCATAGCCGCTACCGTAAGGGTCTACGTGCGTATTGTATAAGCCAGGGGCAGCGGCGGGACCTGAGATCGTTTTATGATCGATGTGAAGGTCATCGTCAGAGTGCAGCGCACAGGTTTCTACGACGTCGAAACGGAAACGATATTCCTACAAAACAAATAGAGCAGAAAAACAAGGGAATCTCGAACTAATTGAAGAGTAGTTTCCATACCTCTATATGAGCTCGAGCTCGCTGCTCCACCGCCAACAAGAGGTGCGTCTAAAAAATTTGGTCCTAAAAGGCTATCATTGAGTCCGGGATCTCCACTAGGACTCTCTCCAACGTTCACACCGACTAGTGTCGGTGCGTTAGTGTCTATGGGCGGCGCCGCTTTGCCCTTTGATGACTGCGGAGTCTGCAGGGTTATGTGGGGGACTGGTATATTTTCACAGAATAAAATGTGGAATACAGAGATGTGGGATACTAGAAGTACAGAAATGTGGGATACTGCGGAGGTGATAGTACCCAAAGCAAAGAAAAAAAGCAAACACCAACCTCCTCTTTGACGGTTTCCATAAGGCCTCCTCCACCTGCATTCCTTGGCGTCAGTGCTTTTTTCGTCGCGCAATCAGGTCCAGCTGTTCCAAACGTAAAAGCCATCTCGCTATCATCGCTATCTGCTCCTCCACTATCTGCGCCATCTCCTTTCATCAGCTTGTTGAGGGCAGCTCCTGCATTCCGAGGACTCTCGTAGTGTGTCGGGACAGGTGGCAAGACCCCCCTTTTGTTAGAAGCAAGTAGCATTTCGATGTTAGTTGAGCATGTTGGTTATGCTCTTGTCCTCCCTCAACAAGAGATGAAGCATCAAAACCAACGTCAACAGAAACAGCAAAAGTGTACTTATGTGTTTGCAGGACTCCTCCTGAAACCCAACTTACTACTTGGGTTATATTCTTTTTTGTTCCACACGACATCACAGTATGAAGATTGGAGTTGGACTGTAAGTGAATAAAGTATCTATAAACCTACTTACGACCCTTAACTTTTTTCGGAGGTGGCGCAAGAGAATGAGCGCCAAGTCTTGGCGGTGCTCCAGGTGGTGGTGGAGGTGAGGACGTACTGGAGGAGCCGAGCGATGCAGCCACTGCGGGACCAAAGGTAAAAGAGGCACTAGCCTCCAACTGCAAGCCATCTGAGCGGATGGTGGAGTCAGCAAGTGGCTTGGGACTACTCATAATTTTCGAAGTTCGAACTTGAACTCGAGCAGAAGGAGGAGCTCGAGTTGGTTCGATGGTTGTACTGTTGTAAAAGAACTTACTACAACTTCTCGATCATGTTGCTCACGATGAAGATGTTGTAAGATCGTCGTATTGAAGTCGCAAATTATGTTGCTCTTCTGCAGGCCAACAACAAGCCAGACTAGCGGGCAGAACTCGCCAGGAAAATCTTAGGCAGATTGCCGAGTAGATTCACATCATCATCATCATCGTGGTTCTCTTCTGTGTGGTTGCGATCGCATCACGCGCGTACTTGACGTAGTGCTGTAATGCTGAGTGCGATCTCAGTGCAAGCGAATGGTCTCCGCACAGGAGCGCTGGAATCTATGGCCTACTACTGCAGTCTTCACAGGTAGACCTAGACTCAAGAAGGCATCGCTGATTCGTCGCGGCCATCGGAACATGTGTTTTTATGCGGCATGCATTTGGAATTTGATATGTCGAGACAAATATCTTGTTAACCTCTGAGAGTCAATTATAAATTAAGTCTTTAACCAAAAGATGATTACACAAAAGATATTAAGAAATGAAGTCTAACTGTAAGTAGTCACTACTTCAGGTGTAATACAAATAACGCTTCGACCCGGCATATGGTACCTAGTCACTGAACCCAGAGCGGGAGTCCCGAACCCCGGGTACGACCAAGTATATTCATCACCAACAACTACTTCTACTGTCTTTTGATTTGATTGAAGTGGGCTGCTTTTGTTCTTCATCCCTCATCAACCGATTGTGCACGTTGTTTTTTAATGCAGCTTGTGGTTTTTCATTTTCATTTTCTCTTTAGCAACGTCCCCGTTTTTCTTCCTCATCTCGCCATTCGCGTTCGCTAAAATCGAAAATCTCACGAATAATAAAAACGAGAGCTGCGGCCCTGTTTGTTATACGCCCCTCCGCGATCTTTGTCATGCTACTGGCATGTGACAATGATGATGATTTGGATTCGGAGATTTCAGAAAAAATTTCTGGCCACCAGTAGTGATCTATGTTCTTCTTCTTGAGTGTTGTCTTGATTGAGGTTGGTAAGAGATTGCGATTGGTACCTTTAACAAAAAAAACTAAAAAGGCGTGTTGTTGTTCAGTGGCACTATAATCACACTGCCACTTGGTCTTCATCTTTAGATTGATTCGGCAACATCAGCGAGTCTCAAAAAAAGTGCTGGAAAAGCGAAACGGCCTTGGCACAGCGTGCCCCTGTGAGGTTCAGGTTGTAGACTAACAACTAAGCACTAAGCCTTTTTCACGATGGGCCATTTACTAAGTTGTAGTTAGTGAATAATAGAATTTAGAGGCTCCACAAAAAAATACAACGATGATCGACGAAGTAATATATAAAATCTGGTGAAAGCGAATAAAAAATCATCGCTTTTCTAGTCCTTTGATCTTGATTTTGATGGTGTCAAAACAAATTAATCATAATTTTCTGTCGTACAACGACTAGCAAAGTTTGAAAGCAAATAAACAATAATAAACGGATGATGGGCATACTTAAAATGGCCCTGAGCTAAAATCTTGTTCCTGTCTAACTAGATTCTAGTGTCTGAACTGGTATACAATAAAGTAGAATCCTTGAAGGTGTTCTTGTTAGTGGTGCGTAAGCTTAGGTTGATGTTTCCGTACTATTAAAAACTACCTGATCATGAAGATCTTGAAACAAAACTAAAAAAAGAACTAGAACAAGATTATAGTGATGATCTACTTCTTATATCTATGATCTACTTCTCGAGTACCTAGAAGTACTACAGTAACAGAAGTACTATCAATTTTCAAGGCACCGACAGCATATCTGCTCTGCGCTCTATTGTACCATCGCGCACCAAGTCTTTGATGACCTCTGACATATGCTTGTAGCGGATGTTGGTCATCTTTTTGCCTGTCAAGATCTCATTGACTCTGCCTTGAGCATCCTTGATGCTCATGGATTCTTCCTTGATCAATTCTGTAAGCACTTTTCCGGCAACGTCCATTAACTCGCGTTCTCGCACAGAGATACCCGTTCTCAGAGCCTGCATATCGATTTTTCCGGTGACCGGATCGACAGCACTCTTGAAGGTAGCATCATTCAGCAGATTGTAGCCGTCTTTCACGTCCTCGCGGGTTACCTGGTCGGTCGAATGAGGAGGTACAGATACTGGTGGTGTTAGGAGGTTCTTGAGCAAGTAAAAGTGTCTTGGTGACCATGAGTATTCGTTATCGTGATTCGTGTGAAGAAAAACTCAAATTTTTAAAGTAAGTTACAGATCTATTACACGAAAATGAGGAAATTCAAAAACAGTCATGCAACATCAAACAGCTGCTCACTCCCAAAAAGAACAAGTCAAATACAAATTACCTCTTCCCTCAACTCCATCTTTGCGAAGGCTTCTGCTAATCGAATCAGCGACTCTAACATACGCGGCGTTGCGCAGACCCCACCCTCAGCCGCACTACCACTCCGCAGATTCAAGTATCGTTCTTCCAATTCTTCCTCTGCATCCGGCATAAGCCTTGGTCGACATCTGCGTTTTGCGAAGTCGATGTAGGCACGGAACGTGTGCTGATCTATTGGTGCTTCTCTCTGTGTTAGAAGAGGCACCACGCTCGCATCCTTGGGATAATCCTACTTCCTGGCTTCTTTTTCAAGTGGAAAACAAGCCAGGCAAGGATGACCTTGAGAATGCTCCTGCCATTGTCTTAACTGCGCCTGTCTTCCAGACTGTGAATACATGCCGACTATATGTCTTGCGAGGAGCTGATCTGCAACCGGGTCCTGCTTGTCGAGCATGAGATAAGGGATTAGAAGGGTTCGTGTTTGTTCTTGCGCCTATCATGAGCGCTGGGACACCTCAACACATCATCAGGTGTAGTGTGCCTATCATACGATAAAGTGAAACAAATGCACGAAAGGTGGTCAAATAAGAAGTCTGAAAAATCTCATCATCAATGAAAAAGAAGTACAGAGAACTCGTACTCACACTTACATGTTTCAAGAAAAAGAACCATCATGAGCATGACAATGTCATGGCATGATTGAATCCACTGTAATGGTTCTTGTTGTAATCTAGAAATGAGTCTCCCATAAAACCAAGTCAAATCGGCTCGTCAAGGTTGCTGGCAAGTTGATATTCTCCATGATGGTTTTTGAGGCGTCGTATCTACTATTTATCGGATTTGCTGTTGCCAGAATGCTAACTTTGGCATTCAACGAACAGACTATTCCCGCTTTCGCTACCGACACCGTCTGCTGTTCCATCGCCTCATTCAACACTGCTCTTGTGCTATCATCCATCTTGTCGAATTCGTCGATGCAGCACACACCTCGATCAGAGAGCACTAAAGCACCCGACTCGAGAATGATGTCCCTGTTGATGGAGAAGAGGAAACAACAAGTGTAGTATTCACATATGAATGAAATTTCCAGTCGAAATGCCTTCATGTTCGTGTTGAGGAGGGCGTCGATGTAAAACAGGCTGACGCTACCACTTCTACACTGTCATAATAAAAATGTAGAAGATGTAGTACATCGAGACGAATATTGAATAGTATATCTCCAAAGACAGTCACAGGGTGAGTGTCGCCGGTGTCCTCAATATTATCAATCTAAATCTTTCTCATCAAGATCAACTACATTCCTCTATAATATTATCGGTAAAACTACCTCGTCTCCGGATCCTTGCTAATATACGCCGTTAGACCGGTTGCACTGCTTCCTTTGCCACTAGTGATCACACCTCGCGTCGCGAGTTTGTTTACTTGCGTCATCAGCTGAGACTTCGCAGTACTAGGATCACCGCAAAGCAAGACGTGTATTTGCTCTCGAAATCTGCCACGCATCTTCAATGCTTTGTCCGCGGTTACTTTGGGTTAGAGGATGAGGGGAAGAGAGAGGACAGCTGTCCAATTCGACTACGCCCAAAAAAAAAATGTTGAAATGTCCAATTCAACATCCAATACTGAGAATGCAAGAACTACATCACCTTCCACTTCTCGGCCATATTTTTGTGTCCCATCAAAAAGCTGGCAGACGAGTCCTCTCTTCACATGTTCCAGCTCATGGATACTCGGAGCTATCGACTCGATGAGCTTCTGTCGTATCGCTAGTCGTTCAGATTAGAGGAGCTAGTGGCCTCCCTATCGTACTCGTTTTCATCCATGTGTTGACCTTGATGAGGACGATCTCTGAAGAATCTATTAAAATATTTACATTGGAGGATAATGATATGCGGAGTTGAATAGTATTCCTTGGATGATTTGTATTGAGCAGGGATCTCAATCTACTTCCTTGCTAGTTGTGCTAGTATATTTTATAGATTGAATTATAACAACAACAAGCCTTAACCATGCTCGTCTTTCTCGGCAGCTAGTTCGCGGATGCGCTTGTTCATCGCTGCTGCCTCTTCGCCTACTTTATCCGGATTTATGTCGTACATGTCGCTCAAGGGAATAAAAAGGTCCTGCTTGATGGTCGCTTTGTCCGAAGTGTTTTCTCGCCGAACTGCAATAGCGTCGATATACGTGCGGTAGACAGACCTAAGAGCAAAAAGATATGAACAAGAACATGTTCGGTAGACAGACTTATGCGAAAGCGGTAGACAGTCTTAGTCTTGTAAGAATGATTTGAAAGTGAAGTTGTTCCTGCTTCTACTTGCTAAATTAGAAACAGGAGATTCTATTCTTCCACTTATATATTTGGACTTGGAGGTACTACCTTTGCCTCCTCATCATCGCATTTGCTCTTTGTGACGATGCACGCAGGATACCCGTGATCTCCACTCGGTCACCCGGCTTCATCATGTCGTAGTAGGAATCGAAACAATAGAGCTGGATTGTTTGCGGTGTATCTCCCGCAGGAATACTTTCGGGAGTCTCCTGCAATTTCACATACTGCTTGTTCCCAAACTGGCACTGATTGTGTCTCAAAATGAAGGTTCCTGACTGACCACATCCGTCACAACGCTGGGGCTCGAAAACACCTGAAGAAAGTGAAAGCCAGGAATGGACTTACAACTAAGAAACTGTGAAATCACCATGATGTTTGTGCTTCTCCTGATCATGCGGTCACAACTTCAAGACAAAGAAAGTACGAAATTTCTGCACTGCTATCTCTGTCTGTTCGTCGCATCCTTCTGTTGTACATGCAAAGCTTGCTACCGCCATGTCGGGAATTAAGTCTCCGCATCGAATGACAATACCCGAAGTCGATATCAGCTTTTCGATGTCTGTAGGTTCCAGATCCCGCATCTTTCTATAGTCCTGTCCAAGGAGATTAAACGTCTTCACCCGACACTTGATTTGTAACCCGTCATCATCTGTTCCGACGCCAGCGTCGCGCTCTCGCAATATTCCAATCGAAAATTCCCAGAGCTGAAGGGTCGTGGAACATCATACAGATACAATCATGTTCAGTTAAATATAATGTCAGTATGCAGCACTACTTGAGCAGGTAAGGGTAACACTAACAGAGCGAGCTTCTACTTCAACATGTTATAAGTATAATGTTTTTCAAGCTCGTCAGTGTATGGCTCTGGTATTTGGTAACATTTGAGTTGGATCATAAGGGAAAACAAGAAGAGAACCCTTGTGATCAATTTCAGGTTATATGACTTTAAAACAAAGCTACGTAGTTACCCTAGTACAGGTGCTAACCCTGAAAAGTACCACTCGATCCATCAGGGAGATGATGTCTGCCGGAAACGATACAAGGTGTGTGTACAAGTCCGCGCTATGACTATGAAGGTGTGTGCAGTCTAACGGAAAATGCATGGGTTTGTCTAAATCGGTAGTTGGCACGCTTTCCCACTGCTGTTTCAATTGCGTCAAATATAATCCCTCGAGGCCAGCTGTGGAAGGTTAATGATTATGATGATGGAGGAACGGCGGATCCGGATGGAGCAGGAAACCAAGAGTTTGAGTCAATATTTGTGAAAAATGTTGTTGTACGTAAGTAGTTTCTTTGGTCCTGGTGTGGAGGTTGTTTCAGTTTGTATTAATGTTGACAAAGAATAGAATACCTTCTTGCTCAGGGAGCCACTCTGCGATGAACTTATGGAAGGTTTGCTGTAGTTTATCCAAATTCATCCTGGAGGGTCCCAAATGGCCTGATATCTGCTCCGATAGGCTGCCTGAGCCGATTGTATCTTCTCTCGCAAAGTCTGCATCTAATCGCCTTGGGGCAGAAAGAGAACCGACCAAGGTACCTTCAGTATGGCTATGGGTAAAAGTTGGGAAGAAGAACAATTACTAGAAGGATTAATATTATTAAACAAAGTACCTTATGTACGTTTACCTAAGATAAAAGGAAATCTGATACATTTCAACTTGAATTTCTATATCTATGCTTTCAATGAAGTGAAATCCAGCGCTACAGCTGTGTCTAGATAGCTGTCGATTGTAGTAAATCTCAGGGTTCCTTCTATGCTCTACTTAAGATGCTGATGTGAATCTACTCGGCAATCTCCAACACACTTACCAATATCTCCTCTATATTCCCCTCTTCCGCCTCTTCTTCTCCTACCCGACGATCCTGGCGCTGGATTCCATGAGGGTCCGCCGGCTGATGGCGACCTGAATATTGATGGCGACCCCTGAGCGGGTGACCTGGCGCCAAAAGTTAGAGGGAGGCTTTTGGTGTTAAGTAGTTTACCCCATTCGTCATGCCTTTCCCCCTTCAGAAAGGCAAAACGAACGGCAACAGACACACCTTCGACCTACCCATAAAAAAGGACTCGGACTCGGAGGCGGCGGACTCCCCAGTGGAGACCGCACTCGCGGACTACCATTGCCGGCCATGATTTTGTTTTTTTTTATCAGTTATAGTTCTTGTAGCTCTAGTTTACTCACGCCTTGCTAAAATACGATGCTCTAACAGCTCTAAGTGTAACATGTCTATTTCAGTTCCGAGTAAACACCGTGATGCCAGCGGATGATTACAGATAGTAGAAGATGATAGTCACAACTGAGATCGTCAGCACTACGCCTAGGGGTACTTAGTTCCGGTTCTTCTTCGGTATCAGACCACAAGAACAAACGAAGTCTACTTCAGCCGTGAAGATGAACATCAAAAAGCCTAGTTCTTGTATACAGCTAATGAGAACTGCATCAAGATGTTTACGTTTTTGCCAGGTCACGACCACCGATGTTCAGCATTGGGTTTGTATGTTGTAGTCAAGCTCTATTTTCTAGTTCTACCTTTTTTGCAGCCTTTTTGATGCACTTTTTCTCATCGCATGGGCACGAACGAACACGAGATGCCGATGTTGTTTAAAATAACGAGAGGACAGGCTGTCTAACCTCAAATTGGGTTTTCCAGATAGGTTGATATTACTCTTCCCTGTTCTTCAGATGTAAAGAATTTTTGCTGACTGTACAACTACAAAGGCCATACATAGCCTTTCAGCACGTGCAGATCATCTCCCAATTTGAAGATGATAAGGCGAGTCCTCTAAAGCCTCATCGCGTTTGCCATCTTCTCTTCCTTGTATTGCTATAGTTATCTTTGTTGTTTATGGTCTTGGTCTGCTCGGGTCTTAAACTCAAACCAATATCAGAGTCGTGTATTAAGTATTCATGCAAACAAAATGTGGTGCTATCAAGTCATCATCCCAAGAGACTAAAATTGCTCAAACACCCACTCAGCCGGATCCTTTCCCTTATCGTGTAACCGGATTTGATGCACGATGAGGCTTGGCGCTGAGCAGTGACCCTCTAGCAATCCGTCACCATAACCGATAAAGGTGTCACTACGACTAGCAATTTCCATCTCTAGAGCAAGAAGTTCGGCTGGATGCAGCGAAGTAGAAGGAATGAGGACTTTGGGTTTTTGAGCGAGTACTAGTGAAGTGTAGTTACTGTTACTATCGCTGTTGTATTGCCGCAACACAAGACTTCTAGTGATATTGTAGTTGGGTCCACCCTCTGAGGGGCTCTCATGCTCACCATCCTCAAGTCCAATCCTTACAACGTCAACGTCATAGTCTGATTTGGCTAGCTTCGCAAATACGAGCATGTCCTTGGACTCGAGAGGCTCATTCGACATAAGGAACAGGGTGGTAGTTCTTGGTCTTGTTGATTTTTTAGACTGTAGTTCTTGGACTTCAACATCTACATCTTGATGTAGTGGATGTGAAGCTCCAGGTGCTGTTGTAGTCCTTGGTCTTGCTGATTCTTTAGACTGCATTCGTCCTGTGAAAATTCCCTTTCCCGCCAACAACCGCAAAAAGTCGACTGGATCCGCGTCTCTGTATTGTCGAAGTTTCCGTCGTTGAGAGCCAAGCTTTCTGTCACCACGACGCCAATGGGCAGACAAAAAAGTACTAGAAGTAGTACTAAAAGAGCGCTCATGATCGTTTTCTCTAGTACCAGAATCAATATCGCGTACGCGTTCTACGTCTACTAGGTCCTCCCTAAATTTAAGTATCACTTTGTCGGCCAAATCTCGAATTCGTCGACTAAAGCGTAACCCTGACCAAACACTGGGACCTACAGAGCGAGCATCAAGCTTTCCGTATCGTCCTGGATGTAAGCCTGCGCTTTCGTAGCCTTCGACAAAATAGAAGTAAAGGCCGATATTTAGTTTGTTGGTATGCATCTCCTGCGTGGAGGAAGTAGAGGTGGTGGAGGTTGTAGGGATTGTGGAGGTCTTGGTACGACTAGAAGTTTTTTTTACTGTACTGCTGGAACTTCTGGACGAAACTTCCTCGAGGGCTGGAGCTACTACATCCCTTACTGCTCTCGCTGCAGCCTTCCAATCTAGATCATGGCTGCCTCTGTCTCGCACGCAAACCATTTGCGACATTCGAGATGGATATGGAGAATCGAAAAAAGAATACTCGACAACTTCTTCTCCATCAGAATTTGATGAATTGCTGTTGTGCGTGTGATCCTCTCTTGAAGGACAAGCGAACTGCGTCTCCAGTTTGTCCCTAAAAGGCAAGTCCGCTGTTGAAAGGACTGCGTCGAAGTCAACATTAGAACTAGAAACAGGAATACTTGTTCTGCCTCTTTTATATTTATTGTCATCTCGTTCAACAATGATCCCACCCATTCCACGCCGCTCCCGCAGAAATTTGTCCAGAAATGCAACATCGAAGATCTGCTCGAAGCCTATGCTCTCTCCACGCTTCACATCACAAGCACGACCAAGTGCTGTCCAATAGGATTGAGGATCGACGTCGTGCTCTTCATCTTGGTCAACAACTGCAGTATGTAGTTGATGAGGCAGATCTTGAACAGGAAGATGATATTGGCTTTGAGAAGCCGATGATGCGCTAGTGGGAGATGATGGTCGTGTTGATGCTCCTGTTCGTCTTCGTTCTTGTTCACTCGTTGATATTACAGAAACAGATCCTCCTCCTATTTCTTCTTGTTGTGAAGGCGGTGCTGGCGTCCAATCATGGTATTCTGTGTAAGCTAGTCTTGGCAATTTCAGAAACGCGCTCTGGCCTTGAAACGAAACCCAATGCAAGGTCTCGACTAGGTCAAAAATCAGGTTCCCGAAGAGCTCACGACATGGCCCAATCACAGCGAGATATGTGAAAAGCAGCTTGATGTTGGGTGGGACGAGAGTACGAGAGCGAGAAGAAGTCGAATCTTCATGAAGATCCAGCAAGACGCCTGTTGATGAAGCTACATCCTCTACTTGTCCATTAATAGGTTCATCAACCTCCTCGTCGACGTCGCGAACATTCAAAATATGAAAGACTCCAGTCTCCTGTTCCGACAGAAATACTGGACGTTCCCTTCTATGGAGACTCGAAGTAGGCGGCGCTACTAACCACTTTTGAAAATCAGCCATCCAATCCAGACGGTTCACGTTCTTTGATAGAGGACCTCGACCTTGTTGCTTGGCCTCGTGTATCGCTTTGGGCGTCGTAGGTCTTCGTTTTTTCGACAATACCTCTAGTTTCTCAGGTGCTAGCAGTTCTGCAAATTCGGTTTCTTTATTCTCCTCCTCAACATCGTCCGTCTCTCCTCGAATCATGTCCTCTGCCCTTGCCACTAACCGCTCGTCGTCGTCTCCGTCTAGTGCTGGCCCTGGCCTTGGCTCTGGCCGTGGAAAGGATAGCAAAAAGACATCTTCGCGGTTCAGAATTCTCTTTCGCATCACCTCAAATGAAATTCCTAGATCATTGAAGATAGGACTTGATGTAGGTCTTGACGTGTCGAAAAAAGCCTCTGCGTATTTGCTGTCGACGGCATTCGCACTTAATCGAAGTGATAAATCACGTTCCGGAGCCAAAGAGGAGAAAACCCTGTTCACTAGGCTGGTCACGGTAAACGTACTTCTAGACCTCCACGTAGGAGTCTGCTGCTCTTCTCCTGGTGCGTCGTCGTGCTCGTGCTCGTGATGCGAAAGATCATTTTCTTGATTAACATGACGTCTCAGGCCCTCTAATTCTACCCTTTCCCAATCTATAGCATCCGCACTACCCGCGGGCACGACACCTTGCGCAGGTAGAATCAGCATACTGGAGCAGGAAGACGAGTGTGATATATCAATCTGTTCGGCAGACGTCGAGTCTCTGTCTCGTCCAGTCTCTACTTTGTTTTCGCCAGCACCAGGAAGAACGCTCTTGTTACGCGAAGCTGCACGAAACATCAAAGCCCAAAAAGCTCTCGCAAAGTAACTGCCACGAAACATACTGCTTTTATTCTTCATCCATGACCTCGGAGATCCGGAATCCCCCCCCGACAGGTTATTTTCTTCTCCACCAAGACTACCTTTTGGCAAAAAAAAGACTTGGTCTTTTAGAAATGAATCCAAGAAGAACTCACTTTTTTTTGAATTTGAGACCACCTGAGGAGCAGGACTTAAAACATGACGCAAAGCCAGGTAGACACTTCTTTTGTCCTCTTCAGTTGTCGCATGCTGAACATCCGCTTCACTATCGCTCTCTCTGGGTTGACCACGATTAGGATTGAGATTCCTTCCGCTTCTCGTTCTCGTGTCTATTGCTATCGCCCCACAGAGGTTCTTCAAACCTGCTCGGCTAGCTTTGTTGAGAATGCGTTTACGTCGATGCTCGGCTTTCAGCAGATACCGGAAACTTGCACTGTACAGTTGAAGGTCTTTCAACAAGTTCGAGAACATTAACAGCCTTGCTGGAGCTGGAATCGGTGGCGAGTATACGAAAACTACTTCCTTCTCGCCTGTTGTAATGCCACTCTGAAGATGGCCAGTCTGAGGGAGTGCCGCGCCATCTTCAGGACGACCTGACTGTACCTCTACAACTTTTTCTCCGATATCAACAGGCTCCAACACAGCTATACGTTGTCTACCTCGTCCGCTACCTCGTGCTCCATGATGTTTATCGTCTTCATTCACTTCCACATTTTTACCATTAGTCCTTGACATTGAGGTTGACGTTGAGGAAGTACTAGAACTAGTGGTGTGATATGAATATGATAGCGCCTTTGTCTTCGCTTCTTCAATCACTCTAGTAACGTATTTGGCGAAAATCCCGAGTTGAACTGCGTCCATGGACCAAGCCGCAGCCTCTAGATAGCTCCGAACAACAGCAACGAACTCTGCGTCACATACTGACGCAAAGTGAGCCAACTTAGTCGGGGGTCGCCATGAGAGGGACTTTTGGGACCACTCTACAGCATATGTATGTTCCACGATGCTGGTCGCATCTCCATATAGCATCCACGAGGACAATACATCTGGATGCATAGGAGAAACATTTTCATCATCGTCTTCTCCATTTCTACGAGTTTTCGATATGATTGAAGTAGATGCGACGTCCTCCTCTTGTTCCTGCCTTGTACAAGAAAGATCGATCTCCTCGGGTAGTGTGCTGGGCGACGTATTGGTTCTTTCATCTACATGGATGGCGTCTATTCCATCTAGGCAGACCATCACGGCTATCCCTTTCGTCCCCTTAAAAAAGTTTAGGTGTAGCCTCAAGGGGAACCTCGATGGTCTGATAGATGCAAAAAACATCATCCATAATCTAAGATTCCCGCATCGGGACCTGAGCGCCACCAAAGGCTACAAAAGGCTGCGCGGTTCACATATTTGCACATTGTTTATCTTTCTACTCTAGTTTTAGTTCTACTGGTGGTACTAGTGGTACGTTGTTCTTCAAGTTGTAGAAGAAATTCAATTTCTAATAATATTCGCATGTACAACTGAGTCAATGTCGATCGTTGACTTAATACTCTGCAACTTCAAGTAGAGGATTCACGAGTAGACTCTGTTGATGTGGTCGTCGATCCGTCTTCCCTGGTGAACGCCGAAGTTTTGATTTAATCATGATCTCGGATCTTCACATTATATGATCATCGCTCCTTTGATTCTAAACCTGAGGATAATCCTGATCCATCCTGCACCAAAAGACACACCTGCGAAATGGCGCGAACAAATGTGCGAAAAATAGCCTTTCGTCTTTGGAAAACTTCGAAAGCAAGGAAGCTTTCATCCTAATACACCACACGCTGCCCAAAGTCATGCCTGTTGCAGCAGCTTTTTCTTGAAAAGTATCACCATCATTTCATGGTCCCAACAGCAAAATCTTCTTCTAGCTAGATGTAGATAGTTTGTCTTGTTCCATCCCGTAATCAGGTTACTGAAGACCGTCTTCCTTCATCCATGCGCAGCTGCCGCTCTTTCGCAGTCTGTGAGTGAGTGTATTTGAAATTTTGTGCAAATAATGCTATAGTAGCTATAAGTTTTAGGAAGATCATAGAACTGCAACAAGCTGTACAAAAACAACAAACGACAAAATAAAGTTGGTACTAAGTTGTAAGTAAAAGTAAAAGTATTACCCTCTCCAATCCAAGATTCTGTAATTCCGTATCGGACAAGTTTTGCGTCAATTTCCTGAGGAAAAAGACATAGGGGTCGTTGCATCGTTGCTGGATACAGCCGTTGACAAGTGTGTTCAGGAACCTCTCCATCCCTGTGCTCTGCATATACCTCTGCGCTTTTGTGTTAGAAGTACTACGACGGACAAACTAGATGAAATTCAACATCATGTTTAGGAGCCTGAAGAAGTTCAGCGGTTTCTGATGAAAGCTAGAAACTTAATATGCAGGGCCACCTGTTGAGCAATTCAACATTTTTTCTAGAACAAGAGCACAGTAGAAATCGAAGAATTCGTGGTACTAAGCTTAACTATAGCAGCGTTTTGATAATTCGCGACTTTCCTGCCAGGTGAGGAAGAACTTGCTTCGCCAGTCGAAGCTGCGGCATTATTGCCTGATGGACCGGCAGATGATGAAGGTACGGGCATTTTGTTGGAAAATCTTTAATAATCTATTATGTTGTTGGAAGGGCTACACGCAGCAACTCTTCTACATCTATGCATAGCTCTTCTTCTACATCTATGCATAGCTTTTCTACATCTATGCATAGCTCTTCGATGATGTGAAGATGGAAATTATGAAAATGATGTCTTTCAAGCAATCACAGAAAAAGATCACAACCACGCGGATACTCTTTGAAATGTTCCCAGAGGCCGTCACATAAGCGTTGCTTTGTGGTTGTCAGTGCGGTGAGGTGAAGTCTTTGTCAGCTGTTGACCCCACTGTAAACCCCTATTTTATGGAAATGTATCTACTACACAGTATCTACTACACGTGCTCGGAAGTCTATACTATTTTCTTATCCGCCGACCTTTGGCGCCGCTATCAATTACTGTTAGGATAGGATAGGATAGGATTTGATTCGCCGTCCACAGTTTGACCTGTTACTTAAGGTTTTTCATTTTCGTTCAATTATCGTCTCTCAAAATCCTTGTTGATTATTTCATTCTCGCCGTTTCACTCAAGCAGTGAAGTGTGCAGGTTTTCTTGAGTAACGTCGAAAAGAAGCGAAGGTTCTAGTTCTTTTTTTGCAGCTTTCGTGATGCTCTGCTCCTCTTTGTTTGATGCCGTTTCCTGCAGAAGTCCAGGTTTGTTCTAGTGAGAGTGACTCCTTCTGTGACATCTTCAAGTTACATACTCAGACTCTTTCTGTAGGAAGGATTGGATATTAGGAGACTCTCTCTCTGTCTAGGCTAGGATTGGATAGGAAGTTGCTCGCCGTCCACAGGGTAGACATGTAGTACCGTCCAGCGGATTATATGTGTAGCCACTACAGGAACAGGACATCAAGAAGGACTACAAGTATATTACAGCACTCAAGTAGTGAGGTGGAGATTTCGCAATCAGAAGATTGAAGGAAGTCGAGGTGCTTTGCTGCTCTATCTTCGCGTTCGGGTCTACATGTTTGCTAGAAATATGTGTAATAAGCTACAAGATGAAGGACAACGTCATGACTTCTTCTATCTCGGATATTTAATCACTTACTTAGTAACTTACAATCAGTGTGTAAATTAAAGATATTTTCTTGTCTCGGAGTAAGTAATACTCTACACTTCTCAGCACACCATTTGTTGTTGGTAACTTGCTGAAGTCAAGATATTCTTACTTCTCGAGGAGTTTTTTCATTGTACAACATGGTAATTCCTCGGTTCCTCGCTGGTAAGTAGCACAGTTCGTTGTCTCCAAGCAGATGAAATTTTTAAGACTAACTACGTTGGTACAAAAAAATAGTATGAAGTTGTTGGTAAGTACGTAGAACAAAATGAATTTCGTATGGAATTGGTAAGTGCGAGTGCGTAATACCTGTATAGGATTGGTTGAATACATCAGAAAATGAAATTGTTTGACTACACCAAGAAAAAACTTGAGACAAACTGAAATAAAAAAATCTGTAGTTGTACAGAAAAAAAAGTTTCGCATGAAATTCTTGATAAGTTGTACTAGTACGAGATTAGTATGAACAAAGAAATTGGTAAGTTAGTTTGTTCGTTGTACAAAAAAAGTTTATGAAATCGGTCGAGGAAATTGAGTAAAATAGAGCTTGAGACAAATTCAAAGACCAAGATACACCACAAGATACTTCAGCTTAGCATTCACAGGTGATTCAGGTGATCATCTGTTTCTGGTACTCCCATCAAGGAAAAACTCGACGTTGTAGCATACTCATTGCTCGATCATTCAAAAAGTAACTCATACTAATCCACTCTGCTCCATCTCTGCAGCACGTAGAGTGCCTTGTTCAATGTTTTTTTTCTATACCAGAAGAAAGTCTTCGGTCTGGCTCCGAACAAACTCCTCCCCGTCGATACCAAATATCGATCTTGCGACATCCTGATTCTTGAGCTCGAGTGTACTCGCGCTTGATGCCTCCGGTGATGCGGATGCATCACAGCAGTCTTTGCAAAATGTGCTGTCAGCATTTCCACCGTTTGCATAATCCTCGCGGAAAGATCTTTCTACCACTTCCTGTAAATGAAATGATTGAGAATGCTGAAACAGACGGAGAAATTTCCCCGAGACGAGTCGTATACCAAAATTTCTCCGACAAATTAGTTGTAGTGTTCTCGCGTACGACGTTTAGTCTGTACTAGTCCTATAGTACACAGATATACGTATCTATGAATAAGTAAATTATATTTCATCAGGTTATTGACATTTTCCTTCGTTGTAGTAGAGACTATAGTCTCTTTGTCCTTCGAGGAACACGAGATAGGCAATACCGTTGTGCTCGTGCTTGCCTTCGTGCTGTCAGATTTAATAAAAGAGGTGAAGGCCTGACCACATTTCGACACGCAAACCCTGGCCTCACGATTGGGGAGCCACACCTGGCTACACTTTTTTTCAGCTTGGCAGCACTTCTTGCAAAATCCCTCTTCACCGTCCTCTGTATTCCAACTCATGACCTGTGTTGTAAGCGAATCAAAAAAGATTATTGTCAGGCATCATCAACTTTGGGATCCAACTGTAAATCAACTTATGGGCTGCTTGAATGAATATGCCTAGCGCGAGGTAATACTATGTATGATAGCACATTGCTTAGGCTCGAAGATATCATGGTGCATTATATATATTAATGGTCAAGCAGTTGTAAAAACAAACAAATCATACTTTTACCTGCTCTCCTTCCGTCTTTTTCATGATCGGTGTCGTATCAACATAATATCCTTTTGAAAATATTTCTCTGCAGCTCTCGCAAGTATAAAAATCGGAATCGGTGCAATGCACATCGCGGTGCAAGCAACACTTTTCGCAGAAGGTGCCTCGGTCTTCTGGAGGAAAAAGCTTGTTGGGAAAATTCGTCTGGGCTGGACTGAATGTAGTCGGCTGCCCTCCGTCGGAGAGCTGCTCCTGATCATGTATGATAGAAGACAGGGAGGACATTGACAGTTAAGACACAATAAATAATTTGGCAACAGAAGTGTAATGCTGATGACTGAAGATCCAGTCTCCATACTTCCTGGACGTGGCTTCCAGTTGTTTCCTAACCAGGTTCAATCTGGGCCTACCAGTTGTTCGTTCCACGTCCGCCAAGAAAACATTATCCAACAAAACTGCATCGCCATCGGTATCTCGTATCTAAGTATGTAATATTGCATTTTTAAAGACCTTCAGGAGTTTGTTTAAGAACTTGAATACCAGGAGAAGTTAAATAAGTACCTCAGATCTTCCTGTCACGCCTTTGGTCTTGCAGCTTTTCTCACACACAGCATTTCTGTTGTCCCCGTTGTTGCCGGTCTCGTCCTGGAATCTGGAAGAACATGTTTCTTTTACATCAACCTCGCAACACTGTTTGCAAAACGAATTACCGTCGGCCGGATCATTAATGTCTGGATCATATAAGCGCCACGTGTCCGGTGTATAGTAACTCAGCTGCTCCTGTATGTGCTGTACCTGTTCCTGTAGGATAGGAGAGAGGGGTAACCACGATGACCTACGCAAGAGAGACTCCACTAATTTGGTACAAACAGGAGTAGCACTCCTAGTACGTACTTCATCTGGAAGAAAATATAAATAAACTTGAATGTCGAGAATTTCAAGAAATAAGTACATCAGATTCTCCTGCCACGTCCATGTCGACGTGGCAACTTTTGCGACACTCTTCTTGTCTGTCGCTGAGTGTAGGTAATCCGTCGGTACATATTTTCATTCGTTTCTTCTTGAGTTTGAAGGTCGGCGCATTATCAGCGCTCGCGCTCGTCAGCCGTAAATAGACGGGCATGCGCTCAGCCTTTCCATCCAGCGCCGAATACCACAGCTGAGCACGAGCGCACCAACCAAGAGACTTATGCTCATCGTGTCCGGCATCGCGCTGAAAATGAGTGGAGTAGTAGGCGAGAGCTTTTTACTTTTAACATTGTGTTTATCTTTGACATGCATTATTCCACTGAAGGAGCTACGATGTGAATCAATGTGGTACGGGAACCCACAATAACCACTCTCATTTGATTCAAGAATACCAGACTGACAACACTCTGAGCCGCCTCGCCATTGAAATAGATACTCGCCTCGGTTATTTTCTCCAGTTCTTCGCGTAGTGGATCATTCAGACTACGAGTCGAACGTACTGGAACGCCTTTATGGCCAGCCCCCATCAAGATCTTCACTTAATCAAACCAACACCAGCAGACAACAAGAACATATCGCGAACGATAAAAATGCTTACCTCCTATAGGTCACAAAGCGCTTACATAACTAAGCCGGTGACCTCCAAGGTATTGAGACTAGCAACACCTGCCAAAAAGCTACTACACAAGCCTAAACTTTTCACAGCCTGAAAGACAACGAAGACCACGAGCTCCCCGCCCTCGATATTAGTGTGCTGGGAGGGTGGTAAGTGTCAGCGCCAGCGACACAACACAAGGATGGAAGCGTCGCGAGCACCGAGCCAGCGTGCGAGATAAGGGAGGAAGGGGAAAAGAAAACGCGAAGGCCCGCGGGCTCCTGTAATCGTCCGATGACGGTGGGCCCAAATGGCTCCGCGGCTAGGCAAATGTGCTGCGGTTCGGGATCATGGAGGGAAATAACGCAGTGGCGCGGTGACTGACCTTGAGGAGGGCGGTGGGCTTGGTGCTTTCAGAGAGGAGTACAATTCGACAAAACTTCGGGAACCGGTGCCGCGCTGATCTTCACAGGTAGAACCGCAAACAAGACCCACTCGTCAACACTTGGACTGAGCTCGTCGGTCCTTAGCGATCTTCTAAATAACGCTCTCAAGCCTTGCACGCTCCAAAAAAAAAAACGCCACCCCCACCCCAAAAAAAAAAGTCGCCTAGTAGGTCCCGATGGCTAAGACCCCGAGAGCCTGCACCCCGATGGATGGTTTGGACCCCGACAGTTTGTTTGGGCCCCGATGGGTGCTTTAGCTTAGGTCCCGGCCGGCGCTTACATTTTTTCTGCGGCCTCTTTGGTTAAAATTAAGTCCCGACGGCACCGGCCCCGCTAATTTAAAAGCCGCACACCCTGTCTAAATGCCGACTGCTTAGGGGCCGACGGTTTGGGCGATCGGATCCCGATGGCTTGGGGCCCAGCAATTATGGCTTAGATGGATTCTAACCCAAGCCCCGACAGTTTAAGCCCCGAAAGCTGAGACCCATTCAAAGGGCTTCGGCCCCGACAGTTTCGAAAAATAAGCCCCGAGGGTGTAGACCCCGGCACTGTCGATCCCGACAGCTCAGACCCCGAAAGTCCAGATCCCAACGGCCTCAGCCCCGACAGTTTGAACCCCGACAGCCGCGACAGCTGCTTCGAAATCAATTGCCAAGCAATAAAGCCAAAAGCCTTGCACCGCAGCCAAAAAGATTTGCCCAGAGCGCAAAGTTTTTGACTTTGACAAATGTCGCAAAAATTTAAAAAAATTCGAGCGAAATCCTTGAGTTTGGGGCGTCGGTAATGATACAGACTGACCCCGGGCAGGTGGCTCGCTCCCCAACGCGTTGAGCGCTAATGTGGGCGCATGCATCTCCAACGCCCGATAAGTCCTCACCTGGTTCACAATCTCTCCAAGATTCAAGCCCTACCCCTAAAATCTTCCCCCTCATAAATAACACCAAGAGGCACACGCCCAAGCCCCCCTGCAGCAGGTCGACCCCGCTAAGGCGGCACTGCTGAAGAGGACGAAGACGGCGCACTTTACGGAGGGAGGGGCGATAAGGAGGTGGAGGATTCTAGTGGGTGGAGGAGAGTTGCGCGTCGCTATAGACTAGTGAACGAGATCCGAAAAGAAACGGCAGACGTTACTCAGATGAACGTACACCCAGACGCTGAAAGCTTTTTTCCTCAGCTATTGAAAAGCGACAAGCTTGCTACGGTTCCTTACCAAAGAAGACCTTGATGATGAGGGATGGACTTGAATTCCATTTGCTTAAGCTGAATTGCCGTCGTTGCCTAAAAGGCTCCAGGCGATATCATGTAGCGTGAGACCGGGACTGAGCTTTAAATAATAGTCACTCAGTGGCTCCAGGATTGGCGTGAGCTCAAGGCTTGAGATCCACGACTCGTGTCCTGGTGCAGCACCACGCAAGGCGCCATCATACTCGGCATGATTAGATGAGCATGAACATAAGGTTAAGGACAAGGTCGCGGATATTAATACTTATAGTATTAGCATTTTTAGCAATCGGCCCCATTTCCTTATCAAGAGAAGCGTCCCTTTCCTTAAGGAGGCTTCCTTAAGGAAACGAAAATCTTTAAGGATTTTCTATTATAATAAGATAGGCGGCTATTCACAGTAAAACTGCGACTCATCACAGTAATTTCCCGAATAGTCACAATAAGGCCGAGACCAGTCACAGCAATTCTGAAACTAGTCACAGTAAGGGCCACAACTTCCACAAGTTTCCAATTTAGGGGCAATCAGGTGACAAAATCCGCGGCGATTTCATAGGTGAACGGTCTCCATAAGCGGCCTTCTACCCCGGAGGCCTGCAGCCTGTGACAGTCAGCAGAAGCCAAGAGGCCCCCTGAGAACATGCCGAGAGGCACAAGGGGACGCCCGCGCCCAGCTTTGACGCCTTTCACCCCGAGGGCCCGCGAAAAGCAGCGCGGAAAGGAACCCGCAAGCGCCACCGCAAGGCCATCCACAAGGAGCAGGGCCATGCGTCCCTGTGTCGTCTCTCCGTGTTTTCTGTGGTATGGTCTGCGGTGGCGCGCGCGCTTTTCCGCGCTGACTTTCGCGGATCCTAGTGGCGGAAGGCGTCAAAACTTGGCGCAGGCGGTCCGCTGCGCCTCTCTGCGTGTTCCTCGGGGGCCTCCTTGCCTCTGCTGACCCTCGCAGGCGGGAGGCCTCCAGGGCAAAAGGCCGCCGAAGGCGGCCACGGTCGCAAGAGCGAGCAAGCCGATGACCAAGGGCCCGGAGGGTACAGGCCGCACGGCTCAGGGGGTCCAGCCCCTCGCCTTTTGCCGCCTTCAGAGACTTCCGACACCGGCGCACTGCTGCGGCGGCGAAGCATATCGGAGGCCTGTAAGGAACAGCCAGGCAGCTGGAAGGGGGCGGGAGAGGTCACTTGGCCCCCTTTTGAGGCCTTCCACCCCCGGCAGACGCCTTAAGAAGGGGCCCGGGGCGGCACGGTGCCCCCCCTACCGTCACCCTGCGCCCTGGATCATATATAAATACTGCCTTTCTCACGTCATTTCATTCTTCTAGCGAGACTTTGTTTTGGTTTAGCCGTGAAACACACTAGCAACAAATGGCTGGCGCCGGAATGTGGCAGGTCACGACTCCCAATTAGACGGATCAAGATTTCTGTCTTAAAGACAAACTGGATTTGGAAGCTAGGCTCGTCATTTCCCTCATCGATCGTGGGTTGGAGAGCGATCGGCGACCGGCGCGCCGGCTCCTTACTTGTGGATACCACAAACCAATTAGCTGCGTTAGCATTGTGCGGGCCCATCTCTTCAAAGTTCCCCTGATGAGTGGTGTGGTGTGCCGCGAGATTTTATTTGTGTTATTTCATTGCGGTTATCTTCGACATCATGATCATGCTTGGAGTTGAAGTACCAGATCATCTACGAAGTTATGTAGCTTGCAATAAACATTCGAAGTCTCAATACCCGTGTCACCTTTTCGCCTGTATAGACAGTCAGCTCGCCGCCTGTATTCCAGACATCGTGCTCTCCAGCACCCTGCATCGACTCCACATCAGCTCGCAAGAATGTCCCGGTCTTTTTATCCAGAGTCCACGCAAACCGTATCAGCGGCACCTCACTGTCATGATCATCAGTTTCACACGGGACCCCTACTAGTACGCCGCATCCGCCTACTGGCAGCTTGTGGTCCGTCAATGCAGGAGTGGCGTGCTCACGCCTCTTGGAGATCGACTTTATACGGTAGATACTGTGCGGCTTCAGGGACAAAGAACCAATAAATCCTTTCTGATAGCTTGGAACCCAAGCGTTGTTTGTGGCAGAGTTCAACGAAGATAATTCCGTAAAAGCCGTCTCGTTCCCCCTCTCCGCAGGAGTGCCTCCAGTGGTCAACGTGAGGAATACCGCTGCCGCAATTTGTAAGAAGCCCCTCATTTTCGGCTGATGGATCTAGGATCGTGCGACAGTCTTACTCATCATAATCACGCTCTTGATGAATGAAGATCGCCACATTTTCCTGCGAATACTCAATACTGACTCACTGGTTCGCAAGAATTGAAATTCCTATTCCCATGAACATCATATTATCTTTGTGGTGGACGGAGCCAACCTACCTAGGAAAGATAGAAAAAGGTAGAGGTATATACATCAATAGGACTAACAAAAGTTTGGCCATCTAGTTTCGGATCCGTTTATTCCAGGCGCCGCCTGTCGTCCAACTGCCCTGGAGGTCTTCTCATCTATGGCGGCCGAAGCCTGTGCGTGCCTCAGAGAAGTGCTCGGTTCCCGTGAGCATTATATATTAAATACATTAGTTCATATGAAACCAAAATATCACCTTTGGCACTCGATGAAGATGGAAGGTGGACAAGACAAACTGCTTTCACCCGCCCGCAAGGAAACCGTAACCGACTAAAAGGATTGGTAAACACATCCTCCACCTCCACGTTTTGGTTTTGGCGCTTACTCACATTTCTCTTGGACCTTGGCAATGGAGTCAACTCGAATAAATTTTCCCACCACATCAAGTGCAAGAGCAACGCTTCGTTGCTATAAATTTGGCGATGATCTGAGGGTAATTTCAATCTATCTCTCGACTCGACTCGGATGGGCGCAGCAGTTCTAAGAAGTACATGAGATTGAGACTCAAGTTTGCAGCCAATGACGTTTCAGCTGAGGAATGAACAACATCGAACAAAAAAAATGTCGCGTCTCCTGAGAAGTGCTTTGCAAGTGCAGCTTCTCTCTACAACATGATAGTGCTGGTCTCTTCGTGCATCTTCGTCTAGTGTGCTGTAGTCGTCTTATCGTGCATCTTCGTTTAGTGTGCTGTAGTCGTATTATATTATTGTGCATCTTCGTTATAATTAGTGCTGTAGTCCTCCTCGACACATCGTACATCGTTCAAATTCGTCTTTTATTTTCGTTAGGTTTACATGATCAGGATTCTGAAAGATGATCACGAACTTTGACTTCATCTTGTGGTCAGAGGACGAAGGAGACGAAGTAGAAGAAGGGGATGTTGATTTGGCCGTCTGTTCCCAGTCCACGTGATCCGCGACACCCTGTACCACCACTGTGTACGGCTTGCCGAGTTCACTGTCCTGCACTTGTAAAATGCCCTTACAGCGTAGCACACGGGCTTTTGCGTGTCTCATGTAGAGATCCGCCAAAAAACTCCGCAGTTTCACAGTGTCGAGAGGGTCGTTGGTTATTAGCGCTAGTTTTAGTTTTTCACTATGATCCTTGGTCAATCGAGATGCCCTGAAGATCGCGTCCCCCTTAGTGAAATCAATGAGTGGAGTTTACTGTTCCCTTTCTTGGTTTCCCTTGTTTTAAATCAAAGGGCAGCTCACTCGTCCGGATGAACTAACATATTCTACACTCGCGGCATAGTAAGTAAATGAAATTGAGTACAAGAACTGCATTGTTTAACCCTGTTCCTGAAGTAAAAAACAGTACTAGCCTTAAGCTCATCTCCAGGGAAATCGAGTGGACAGACTTCGAGTACCGCAGCGGAGCCAATAGATCAAACTTCTTCTTCTTCGGCGAAGAGAAAGTAGACGATGAGGAATGTAAATTAGAGGAGGAGCGTAAATTGGAAAATGAACGGAAGACTCGACCGACGTCTTTGTCTATCAACATAAGGTGGAATGGAATTCAGAAAATAAAATTGTGAAGATACTAGTGATAGACTGAGACACTGGTGGATATTGGAGGCGAAGGATATTGAAAAAGTTGAAGATGACTCGGACTCCTCCTCTTCAATCTCTAGAAAATTGAATTTTTTATTGAGTTTTTCATAATATTATCAGCAGCGATCGTCGTCCTCTCTGAACTGCCGGCCGTCGTTGGTGGTGGAAATAGGTCAAAAAAGCTATTAGGTCTGCTTTCTTGGAAGATGTGCTTGGGCTGCTGTTTAAGAAAACTCGAAGTTGGCGTGAACAGATCCCGGTCAATCACCTGCTTAACAGAAACACGTCCATTGCGGCAAGGAATCGTTTCTAATGGGAGTTAGAATGTGGTGATTGGGTAATCAGATAGGTGGGAACAATTGTTTTTATATATAATGAAGTTTAGAGATAGAGGATCAGTTTGATATGATGAAGAAGAGATTATGCTTAACGTGAGAATTAAAAAAAGCTGAATCCTGCTTCGCGATATTACCTGAGTGGTTCCCTTTACTTCGTCTACATTTTGGGAATGAGGTTGAGCTGTAGAACTAGAAATCATGCGCCATTCTTTGGAACAATCCCAGCAAAGTGAACTTCATTCTTTTGTTCATAAAAATGATTTTGTTCCCTCAAGTGGGTCAAAATTTTCTCTCTAACTGCTTTCGGCACCAAATCTATCTTGTTTGCCAAGACAATGTCGCTCAGCGTCAGCTGCTCAACCATCAGCGCTCGTCTCTGCGCGGCTTCCGCTTTCAAAGCTTCCTCTTCGTCTACTTCTTCCGTCTTATTAGACGAGATAGACATAGGAGATCCTAGATCATGAACAAGAACTTCTTCTGAAGAAGAAGGAGATCGAGATCCTCTAGAATAATGAAGAAAATCAGAATCAGGAATATTAACGACCTACCTAGATGAAGAACAAGGACCACTACTTTACAAACTACATAAGTAGGTATCTAGTAGCAAAAGTCTTGTTGCCTTAATTTGAGGCACAAGGTCAGTTTCCATCTCGCAAAGTAGGTCTTCTTCTGTAGGTATGTCCTCCACTCTCAGGTCGGTTTCTGGACGTGGTACAAAACCTCTAGTAGTTGTATTGATCATATCGAGCTCTCGCTGCGTCTCCGACTCCGTGGTCGTCAGGTCATGATTTCTGATGTCCAGAGGGGTTTCCGCGGTCTTCTGGTCGTGAATATGATTTCCGAAGGACAACGTTTTTTCTGGACGAGAAGGTGGCATCAAATGCGGTCCTCCGGGATCTATCTCGGGTCCAAATTCTTGCCAATACTTTTTACAATCTAGGACACACACCACACCGTCTAGCTGGAAGGCTGCTTGCACATCGCGCTCATAAAAAGTCTGGCATACTGGTACCACCTCGGATAAGCCTGAACATTCCACTATCAGGTAATCCACCTCATCCAAAAATGATGAAGAACCACCTCCACCAGTGCCAGGCGTAGGTGCACTCGAGACTTCTGTAGGCGTCGTACTTGGACTCAACGTTGATATATCATCAGTCGCATCTTCACCACCTTCAACCCCCGTTCCTCCTCCAGTTGCTGTTCCATTTGCAGAAGTAGTTGCCCCTCTCCCTCCAGTTGCGAACCTTAATATTGCTTTCACCAGGTCATCACGCACAGTGCAACAGACGCAACCGTTTTCCAAAGACACTACGCTCATGCCGCTTTCATCACAGCGCTCCACTCGGTTCTTAGGATTTTTCAACAGCTTGTCATCAATCGTTGTCTCCCCAAACTCGTTCACTATGACACCAATTTTGCGGTTATGCGATGTAGAGGAGAGAAAAGGTTAGACGAGGAAATGTTCACGGAACAAAAGGTAGAAGCAGTTTTGTAATGGAGGAAGTCCTAGAAGAGGAGGACATCTTAGAAGGTGGAAGTACTATTAACAAGGACATCCTAGAAGGTGGAACTACTAACAAGGACATCCTAGAAGGCGGAACTACTAACAAGAACAACTTCTAACAAGTGATAAAATTTAAGACAATGACATTCATGATGATCCTGTTGTTCACCGGACATAAATATGGTTCAAAAACGTTGTTTTTCCCGCACCGAGGAAGCCGGTGACGACAGTGCACTTTTTCCTTCTTTTTCGGAGAGACGCGCAGCCCTCAGCATCTATAACGTCGCCATCCACGAGAGCCCACTCGCTTGGGTCCTCATTGCGATAACGATCGCAAAATATGCACATTTTTTTTCGCTGTTGAGACTAGCCTAACACGCGTTGAGAACTACCATGCCGAACGTCAAGGTTTATGATACAGGTACCGAAATTGATCAACTTGGGAAAAAGCGTCGACATAACACCAAGAACATAGAAGTAGCAAGCAATAGTTCATGGGAACGGAAACCGGGACGAGGACGTGTGATTTACTTTTACAAAATTAAAATTATAGCGGGAAAAGACGGGGAAAATGAAATGTATCAGGGTACTATAGCGCAGGCTGTCGAAACGTCCAGGATTGAACAAGCGCCATGAACTTCTTTAGATGAAGATAGTTAATAGGAATACCAAAAAGGTTAACATTTAGTCATAATCTATCAGCTTCTATCTTGAAGGTCTGAGTACTAGTACTATAATTGATATGCGAATCTTATTCACGACATTCCAATTCTATCGGTTTTCTTAGAAAAATCTCAAGAAATTTCTGGAGAACACAAGAACAAGAACCACCACATAGTACGACAACGTGTCGGAGCCCACAGAAAATTCTAGGTGTGTCTACATATCGACCAGAACCAGACTGAGACGGCCTCGACCTGTACCACTTATTTTAAGGCAATTTAAATAAATGCAAAAGCAGACGTGGAGTGCTGGCATTGACATTCACACGATATCACATGCTACGCCAGTACAGATGTTACGTGTCTGCTCAGCCTTTGCAGTTGTAGCTAGATTACCACAGACAACAGCAATTTGAGACGCATAACCACGAAGAAACCGAAAATGTAACCCGCCTATACCTTTTCCACCACCATAAAAAGAGTCAAGAACGAAGCGCGGATGAATGACGAACACCGATCCTTCTTGTCCATTAATATGTAACTGTCCATTATGTAACATTTCAACATGACTGAGAGAAAAAGTGAATATAATGAGCACGTTGATGTTACAACTACTTTTTCTCCCTATTTCGTACGAAATCAAGAACTTGCAGAAAGTTCGGATCTTTCTGCCCCTTTATTGCAGAGAAATCGAAAGCAAATTTCCGCACTTTCGTTGGGTCCAGCTTGGCGATTAGAAGAGACGTCGTAGTAGGGGAACCGAGGAGAGAGGTAGAGGACGTGGAAGCTGTTCTACTGCGACAGCTGTGAAAAAGAAGAAGATGAGAAACAACAGACACAGTAGACTCGAGGACAATTCGAATACAACAGGAGACAAGATAATGAGGCAGGTACTAGTACTTGTACATGAACCAACTAGAATAAGATGATCTGAATCTAATGAGCGTCTTAGTAGTAGTGGTAGTAGTGTAGTACCCTGTACCCATTCGTTTTCGTTTGGTATACAAGTAGACTTCAATTATTAGCTTGTTCATCGATATTATTGTTCATCGACATTGGAGGTCACGAGCTCGATCATTTCATCCTGTCCATACATGCAGTTCCAATTCGTAGTAAAAGGCATCCCTTGCCACATCATACGGATTTTCTCGTCTGCTATTAATGAGGATCACGAGGGCGGAATCCCTGAGCTCCTCTTCGTTCATGAGGGAAAAAATGTGTTTCCTACACGTCGTCAATCTGTCTGCGTCCGTGGGAGTTCGAAAAAAATGGCGCAAATCCATCCAGTGGAGCACCTGCTTGGTGCACGTTTTCCATTTCCCTTGAAAAACGGAACCAATGAATCAATATGCTTGGGAACACCAAGATGAAGATCGATGGATTTCTTGTTGTACAAGCCGTAAGGATGAGACGACGTAAAAAACTGCACTATATTTCACCGCTCTGTAGAAAAGCGCCCATAGGCTGGGAAGGACGTCGCTCACAATGCCAGGAATATCCCACAAACCAAAATCGTAGAAAGTCTGGTTGATAAGGTGAGAGTTTGGTGTTTCCTTCTTCTAACTTTCTTGTATCTTGTTGTATTTGCAAATTAATCTATAATTCACATAATTGTTCATATTCTTTATAATTGGCCAATGCAGGTCATAGAAAATGGATACGTCATCTACCAAGATTATATACCTCGCAGTTATGAATACTTATCTATGTCCCGAAGGATCGTTCAGGTTCAACATGATGATCACTGCCATCAATTTATACCTCATAGTTATATCCCGGATCTTTCAAGACTGCGACCTTTGGCGCTCCGTCGTAGCTGGTATACTCTATCACAGGATCCGTATTACGACCGCCTCCTTCTTTTCTCTCGTCAAGTATCTTCTGGTATTCCTCTGGACTTTTGATTAGAGTGGGTGAGGGAATCCTTGTCTTTGATGTCATGACTTCTTCTAGTATACTTGGCTAGATGTGTTACCAATATAGATGTCAATTAACCACACCTAGAGGCTTGTCATGTCTTCTATAATAGTCGAGGTGGTTACAACTACATGAACATCGAGATTAGTAATAATCATGATGATGTTGAAGTCCACTACCCTTGTTCACAAGCAGAACAACCAAAAGTATCAAGTATTTATTGATCATAAGTACACCCTATTCTGTCGGAGATCGCTCAAGAAGAAGCACTTATGTTCATAAGTACAACCTATATTGCCGGAGATCGCTGAGTGCGGGTATTAGTTTCTCGCTACGCCACTGAGGAACTTTCAGTCTGTGCAGAAGTGTACTCTTCCCGACGCCCTCCAGCCCTATGACCAGGATCTGCGTAAACTCCTTAGCGCTAAAGCAACGAGCGAAAATAGAGGCCATTTCTTTGTTTGTTTATTGCTCCTGTTTTCTTTGAAGAAAGTAGAGGTTGATAGCTGTTATTTCTCCAACATCTTCACGCAGAGGCAGAGGCAGACTCTGAGTCCGTTACAGGACGAGTCTCGTTTCAACCGCAACACTCATCTGCAGCTGCTTGTGGTGCTTGAGCTTTGTTTTGTGGCCCGAAAACAAGCGCCGGACAAACTCGTTGCTAGTAATCGTTGGGGAAAAGGCATGTCGTTTTTGATCATACATAGTAGCCGGCATATTCGCGTTTAGTTACAGTTTTCACAAAGTATCAAGGATCAGATAAGTATATCAAGCATGAGATAATGCTTTCGTAGTGAATTTTTGACCTCCGCTTGTGCCGTTGTTGCGTTTTTTATTCTTGCTTGTCTGCTTAGGGAAGGATAACGCCGCATCATCCGTCGTTTCTTGACGCGCACTTCCACTTCTGTGTCTCATCCAGGAGACCTTTCGATTATATCGATGTCCTGCTAAGTACATTCTAGTAGCAGATTTTTTTTCACTCCTTAAGATGGTCCTCATCCGCGGCTGCTCCTACGGCTTGTCACCTGTAACATCGTCCTCTCAAGAAGGAACTACTGAAGGGGCCTTCGTCCTTCTTATTTTGTGCTTAGCATAAAAAGGCATGATGTCGTGTTTTTTGAAATTTTCCATGACTTGGGGAATGCTGTTTCCATTTGAGCGGAAAACGGTCTCACTGGAGGTCTCTCTTTAATCACTCAGCCCCGACCGTCACGCCATCGCGCTAGCGGCATGAATGACGCGGCGCGTGGCCACGGGGACGCCGTCGACGATGAGAGAATGAAAACCCCAGATCAACAAAACAGCATAGAAAGGGATGATGTGGCGTTTTTTGAAATTTTCTTCCTTACATCCAGCATCAGATGTCCTCTGATCTCGATACTAGTACAGGAGGCAAAAACTCAAGTAGATAGATGATGTAGTCGTGAGGGGTGATAGAGAGTCAGGTTAGAAGGTTAAGTGTTGGTCTACCGGGTTCACCAGCAGGCTTGGAGGTTGGCTACTGAAGAGCCAAAAACAACTACTTAGAGTCTTCGTGTAACTCCAATCATTGAAGTTGTTGGGGACAAGGTTTTTAGGGGCAGCCTGTTATCGCGAGTGGTGACTTATTCAGTAAAGCTTACGGCCATTCTCGAGATCGAAGATGGTTCTAGGAAGTTATAACTTATAAGTATTTTGAATATTTGTATTTGTGGACAACAAGAATGTTGGAGGATGAAATAATCAAAGTCAAGTCATTTTCCATCATCGTGATTTCGAAATCTGTGTTGCGAGTAAAAATAACGTTCTTGCTAGCCTGAGATGAATGATAGACTACGAAGTCGAAACACAAGATTTTCTTGTCGTTTGATAAAAAGTGCGATATCGATGGGATGTTGCAAGGAATTATCAAAATAACTCAAATCGTTATAGACTAGATGACAATTAACCATCGTTCGATTAAAAGTAAGTGGGCACAGGCAGAAGCCTCCGGCCTGTACGTAAGTAGTAATCTTAAAAACTAGGTCCATCCATGTTGTATTGAAAAATGTAAAGTAAAAACTTGTCAGCATGTTCTTGTAACAGTATCCATGTACCAGAAAAAACTTCTTGTTGTTCTTGTGTTTGTCGTAATCATTCTGAAATAAATTGTGGCTTCAGATCATCTGCTTCTGCGAGCAATCTAGAAGTACTTTGAGTAGTTTTAACTCATGAACAACATCAATCTCAGTGTACAATTAGTCGGAGCAAAATGAGCAACTCCATAAACAACAATGAAATGGAGAAGGTCAACAAACTCAGTTCATCTTGTACTTTTTACAACTAGTAGATCTTAGTTCATATGTCCCCTTGTTCTTAGTCTTTCAAAGCGTGCAAGGAATCGAGAGTAGGCATGATCTTGTCCCTATCCTCCTTGACCGTAAATTCAGAACTTGGCCGCTTGAAAACGAAGTGACCCAGACCGAAGTGACCGCAAATAAAGTTTTATGAAAGCGGAGAAAGAGAGAGTTTACTCTTCATGGGTACTACCTGCTGTCAAGAGTCAAGAAATCGGTTTAAGATTAACTAACTGCTTATCATAGTACGGTGAGCTCAAGAAAAGAGGGGGCAGTTTCCTATTTATTAGAGCGTCGTGCAGTGGCCATGACCTACTTAGAACGTCGGCTAGATTGCCACTATCTACCTGTTCTTGAGAAGGATCGATGAGGATGACTACAGTTTTTCCTATCATAACTCAGCTTCGCAGTTGCACAAATAGAAATCCCACATGCGGACAAATTTCGTTCCATACTTCTGTCTACCCGCACTGTCCTTCAGACTCATGATCTCGTCTGTGTTTTTTGATTGGGGAAGAAAATTTCAAAAAAAAACGACATCATGATTCTCATGGTCATGTTGTTCGTGATAATTTTGCATTATTTTCTCATTCAAAATCAATCAATGCATCTAGATCGCCAAATACGAAAGAAAAACTAAAATGAAGGAATACCCAAGTTCCGATAGAAGTTTTCACGCCAGTGGCGGAGAGTTGGCGCATAATGCTGACCAATATTTTCAAAATGCTGCAGTTCCATCTTCGTATTCTGTGTGGCGGCGTTAACATTAGAATGTGCTTGAATTCATCTACAGGTTCTCCCGTCTTGGCAGCACCCTCAATACCGCCCATGCAAGATTCTATGGGGAAAGAAAGGCCACCAATACTGAAATGCTTAAGCTGATCGCTCTTCTTGCTGAGAGACTCTCAGAGAGAGAAGGTTGTAGATAACTAAACCCTAAGCCATAACAACAATAGCACCAACTGCAGGGATGCAGGCTCCGGGAAAAATATACTTCTGGATAAAACCATAGGTCACTTTATGGTTCTCGTACCCAAAATCGTTCGATGTAATCGTATGCACGACAGCGGTACCTGTGACGTCGTGGTATGATCGTGATCGTGTTGTCCATTTATCTTTATCTTCATTTCCCATAATAATTCTTAGTACTAGTAGAAGCCGTAGATGTAATTTTGGAGAGTGCACATCACCTAGCAATATTGTCTTTGTATTTTCTTGCCAGTCACGATAAGCATGTTGAAAAATTCATCTTTTGCCTGGTATAGTACCTCCTGGCTTGAGCATTTTTTCTGCTGTCTGGAAGAAGACTGGCAAGTCATTATGACCCACGTGTTCTAGCATGCCGATAGAGACAACTGCGTCATACTTCCTCCACATGTTCTTCGCACTTCCCGTCTTTCTCCTATCCCTCAGCTCTGATCGTACGCCGTCTATGATCCCTTCAGACTCGGGAGGGAGTTAGAGGGATCCGCCTAGGGTGTTGAAGATGTGCTCTTCTCTTGATGAAAGTGAAACAGGTGATGGTCACAATTCATTCAATCATACATCATCTGTTTGTTGTGTATATCTGCAAGGACGGAGATAAGGAAGAGATGATGATGATCTACTACAGAAGGTATAAGCCTCCAGTCATCAGAAATATCATGATCAAGAACATTCTCATAATAGTAATGTACACACGCACGATAGTCATCATGCATGTAGTTGATGAGATGACCTACCCCCGACGCTTCTGCCTTTGCGCGTGCAAGGGCCAACTGCTCCACCGAAAGGTTGTAGCAATCGACTCGGCAGCCGACGCAGGGAATGAAAGGGTCGTAAAAATAGGGTTGTCGTGGAGGCCGCACATCATTATCTTCGTGGTAAGTCAGGGTAGTGGTCTGCAAAAACAAGGACGATGTTCATTTTCGCTCGTTCTCCTTACTGTTGGCCTGAGCTTCTAAGAATGTTTATTCTGTTTTCTGTGACAGTACTCTGCTGGTCGTTCTATCTTCATTGAATGAGATGTTGAAGACCCCATTCTTTCAAGTACTTACAACATGCCTATACTTCTACTAGGGAGCTAATCAAGCCATAATCTTCGCTAACTCCAAAGAGAAGCCTCCGAAACCGCAGCCCAACTCTACAACTCGATGATGCTTCTGGATTCCGGCTTTACGGATGACCAGATGAATCTTGTTCAACTGTGCCTGGTCCAGAGAAATTTGCTTGTATGCTTGAAAAGCGTTCTTTTTGTCTGGAGAGGGTACAGAAAATGCAAAAAATTGGATTTGTGTTGGTGTCAGAGTCTTAAAGGCAAATATTCATTCATTCATTCATTTGCGAACCACGTAACAGCTATCGCTGCCTGATTCCGTTGCGACCCGAGTAGAGACGCAAATAAATCTTATCATGATTGGGATTGCTGTACAATATTATACAAATAGAATCAGATTGAGATTCGAAAGCAATGTAATCTTTATCTTAGGAACAAGAACAATAAAGTTGTAAGATCTTATCACAGTGGTTAATCCCAGTAGCAACGAGAAAGTATACCAAACTGTCCTTCGGAAATGAAGTGCTGATATCCAGCATCTGGCGGACGATAGAGGGCACATGTGTAGCTGAAGGTTGTGGGATCTAGCATGCGTTCATAGAGGTCGTTCCCAAGGTTGTAATGTGCGTCCACATTCGCCAGAGAAAAATCGAAATGATATCCCGCGCGAAAAATGTAGTTGTACAACTGATGTAGTGATGGGGGTACAGAATAATGTTGGTCACTGTTGTTGGGCTTGCGGGTGGTGGTGGCTCCTGACCGATGATCAAATTGTGAATAGGATTTCGTCCTTTTCATACACCGCGACAAGATTTCATCCCTTTCATCCTCCATCTAAAAAGAATAGTATTATACCTGCCTAATCTTGATTTCGATTTCCTTCAGGAATGGCAATCCCACGAGAACGCCAGCTTTGTCTTGTTCTAAAACTAGGTTCACGAACGTTGTTAAGTCCTTTGTATTCCAGTCTCCATCCATATAGCTCTCAGCCAAACCAATGCTTTCTGTCAGGAGAAAACGGCGGAACACCCTGAGCATGGTTCAGGTTCAGGTTCATCATGGGACGAGGTGATTCATCATGTAAGAACTCCTCTGGGTGGCAGTGGAATTGTCCCTTCTTGAAGATGGTGACGGATTCATCCTCGCATGAAGATGCATTATACTGCAGCTCGTCATCAACATCACGACGAAGAACATGATGAACTACTCACTAAACTTGTTCGTTGTAACTGTATGTATGTATAAAGAGTTGTAGCCACATAGCGGGGGCCCTTGATCCCGACCTTCTTGATGAGCAAGTTGACCAAAAAAATGAACTACCTACTAAACTTGTTGTTCGTTCTTGTAACTTAGGTATATAAGGGCGTTTAGTTGTCCGTCGTGGTCCCTGATTGTGAGTACAAGAAAATGAGCAAGGCGTTGACGCCTGAAATCCACCATCCTCATCCAAAAAAAGACTTATAAAGTGGGTGCCTCCTAAAAAGTAGAAGTACCTCGGTCTTCTCACCGCTATTTCTGCTTGTAGATCTGATTTTGGATCTCCAAATCCTTCGCTTTTTCCGTCCGGAAATATTATGCGGCAAAACCCCTTTTGGAAACGCAATAGGAAGCCCCATCTTACGATGTACTCACATTAGAGGTTAGCTACAGAAGATTCTTCACTTCTGAGGTGAGAGTCTAACAACATATCCAGTCAATTATGGTGAAAGGCAGAAAGATGGAAGCATCGGTGTCTGTATGTGATCATGCATTGATGTCATGTGATTATCTATCATGTATTCCAGCAGCAAAAACTTTCCACGACCAGAATGCATCTCTTTTCAAGAATGGCTTTTCATCTTGTTTTGCGAGAAACAACTTCTGCCATAACAACATATCCAGTCAATTATGGTGAAAGGCTCTGGGTCTGCATCTCCTTCCTCAGACTCGTCTTGCGAAGAGGCACGAGTAGAGATCACAGGTTCAGGCTCCTCCTCCTTTTTTTGCCGAGTCTTAGACCAAGAGGGGGGTTAAGGGTCCGTGGTTGAGGTTCACGTACAGCTTGATCATATCAGGATTATGAGATGATTGAGAGGCTGCCCCTCTACGAGTAGGCGTAGGGCAGCTAGATAGTTGCACTATAGAAGGTTTTATCTATTGGAAGATAAAAACGCTTGCTCATAAACTTGGTAGTTCTGGTTGGAAATTGCTCGTCCAGTCGTGGTGGCTTGGTGCCAATACGTTGTCTTGGCAACTCATTATGCGGGTCGCGAACAGTCTGAGCAGCAACCGGCATTTTAATAGTATTTAGTTGATCGCAAAAGACGCGATCGAAAAGATATAGAGATAGAAATTTGTTTCCTATAATTTTTGTTAGCGGAAGTGGAAGAAGACCACTTCTATAAATATTGAGGACTGGGAAATTAAGACCGTCCTAGTAGCCGATACATTTGCGCTCGTGAAGATGTAGATAGCTGTTCTTGTGCTTTGTCGTTCTCTCTAGATCACTAACTGCTCCTGTTCTACTGCCGCTGCTGCTGAGAGCGCACCATCATCTACCGCAACACCATAGTTACAAGGCCGATGCCAATCAGCAGCATAAGCAGCTGAGCAATATCTTGTAGTGCACCCTTAATGATCAGGCACAGTGCTCCTCGAACACACTTCACACGATTTTCTCGTCCATCTCTCAAAGCAGTCTCAATCTTGGTCACCTGTAGAAGATTAGACGCCCGCCACTAGAGCCCGTAGCACACGCCTATAATATATCATCATCTGCTCAGCCTACAACTCTGTTCACTTCAACTCATTCCGACCCTCGAGAGCTGCTATCTTTTGTTGTAGATAGTCGTCCAAATAAAAGTTATTAAGGTTTCTCGTGGCTGATATTTTTATCCACATAGTCGATTCATGTTGATCTAAATTTTTTACATAAAAGGAATCAGAAGGAACAATACATAGCAACCCCGTACTGGTACAACTATTGTATTTATCTTCGCTGACTATTAACGTACAACTACGATTAAAAAGTAACACTATTAAGGTATACTTATCAATCTGCAAAATTCTATCTTGATGGCTTTGACCAACTTCTAGCTAAGGATGAATCAGATTGCTAATGACATGTCCATATGCATATCCCTGTGCTGTTGTATGCAACTTTGGCTTTACAAAATATTAATATCCTCCATGGCGAATGAATGCTGGTTTCTTCATACTACTACTTGATATGTTGATTGTAGCTAAAAAAAATTATTATCTTGTTACCGCTTCCTTCTCGTCCTTCAAATTCAATGAACCTTCTAAACAGATACAAAACATGGGAAATACTAACTTCAACGTCATTCATCTGTTACTATCAGAGATACATTCTCTTCGTCCTTCTCTCGAAAAAGAGAAATGCCTTCTTCTGCTAATTCCTTACTTTCCTCAGTTCCGACCGCAGCCAAGCGTTTTCTTTCACCAGCTGCGCGTTTTCCTTCTGCAATTGCGAGATCACCTCTTTGTCTGACTTGCGGATGCCATTGCCAGTTGTCTTTCCTTGTTGTGATCTTGACCGATGAAAACCGAGACTGGAAGAGCGCGCACGCAGAGATGAGGAGGTGTTTGCTGCAGCTGTTGTCGTTGAAGATGAATCACCACTAGGATTGGCTGCGGCAGATGATGTCTTTGATCTCGGTAATATTAAAGATGTTCTACTTCTAGAAGATGTTGAGGTCGTTTTTCTACTGCTGCTCGTTGGTTGCAGCTGTTGTTGAACTGCGAGATTGCTGGTAACATCCTCGAAATCGTTCATTTCGCACGATTCATCGTCGATTCGCGAATGTAAATGGTCTAGAAGAGCTCTTTTGTCAGACTCTGGTAGATTTGCCACTGCATGTGGATCTTTCAAGCTTTTCATAGGAAGATCATCTTGACTGTGGTTTTCTTGTTGACTGCGATTGTAGTTTTCTTGATCTTGTTGACTGCGAGTGCGACTGTAGTTTTCTTGTTGACTGCGACTGTAGTTTTCTTGTTGACTGTGACTGTAGTTTTCTTGTTGACTGCGATTGTAGTTTTCTTGTTGGCTGCGACTGTAGTTTTCTTGTTGACTGTTGCTTGCTCTACGTACTTCTTCGCGCCAACTACCAGGATTGTCTTCAGTGTTTTCTCCACCTCCACGCCGTGGTCCACCATTCTTCTTGTTGCGAGAACCAGACGGAGGTCCTACAGGATGTTGACGAGCTTCGTCGTCGGAAGAAAACACTGGATCGGGTAGTTCGAAGGGTGTATTGTCCTGTTCACTTCCGGAGCTGGATGGGGTAGAGGCTTCTGACGAAGATTGTTCTGCAGTTTTGTTCTTGACTTTCGTCGAAGAAGTCTGCTTTCGACTGGTGGAGTTTTGCCTGGTGGAGTTGGAATATGCGACGAGGACATGCTTTTCTTTAATGTGCTGGCTTTCTTGCTTCATCGTATCATCGTCCTCATGTTCTTCATCTTCAGACGACGACGACAAAGCTGAGAGGACATCGTCGTCATCTTCTTCATCAATACCAGCAGCGCATAGACTATCGCCGCCAAGCAAGTCCATGTAGTAGGGACCGCCAGCGTCCTCCTTTTTGTAAGGAACGTCAGTCAACGCCGTGGTCTCTCCTGGCTCGTTCTCTTCAACATTTGATGATTTGACAATCGTGCTCGTGTCACGCGTGTGTTGGTTCACAATATTCGCATTTGCTGTCGTCCCGGAAGCACCTCTCGTATGCAGTTGATGCTTCATGAACACTCCTGCTTTGCCTTTCACGTTCAACCCTCTGTGATTGCGTCGTTTGCGTGCAGGATGCACTATACTTGATGCTACCGATGAATTCAAGACAGATTTATCAACCAGTCGACCAACTTGTTGCTGCACTTGATGTCGTTGTCCTTGTGCCGAACAAACCGCGCTGATGGTGCTATTGGCTTTGCTACCTCCTGGTACTTCTACAGTTGTAAAGGTGCGAGCACTAGTACATGCGGAATCCATCTGTTGATGCGATTCCTTCTTTTGCAACTGCAATTCGTTAGCATCAGCATCCAGCCCACAAACCTCACCACCACCAGCTGAGGTGGAATCATCCATGAGCAAATCCATCAGTTGTTTGCTCGACAACTGCGCTGGATTCACAGGTAGCGGTGCAGCAGCAGCTGTAATCGTCGTACTAATAGAGGAAGCAGGAGCACTTGCAGTAGTAGCCGTGTCCTTGTTTTGTGAAGCAGGCGCGGGCGGTGCCAGAGGAGCATGACTTCCATTTCCTACAACTTCGTCTGGCAAAGTAATAGGCTTTCGCAAGAACGGGTTTGTTTTCACAGGAGCCATCATTTGAGAAGGGCAAGAGTTACGCCCTCGGCTTTGCAAAGTGCGCTTCAGAGTTGATGTAGTACTTGTCGTGCTTGAAGGCACAGCTGCTGCGGCAGAGACTGAAGAAGCTAGAATGCTGGAACTACTTGTGCCAGATGAATTACTGAATAAAGAAGTAGTACTTAAGGACGAGTTGGCCAAAAGTCCTCCTCCTATATCAGATGACGAGATCGTATTTTTCTTCGTTATCGTTTCATTCGCCTGTGCCGTTATCAAATTTCCCCTCGGATACAGAGGCGACGAGGGCGCATGGAGCGGAGGTGCCGACTGTGGCGCATGCAGAGGAGGTGCCGATTGTGGTGCAACTAAATGGCCGCCGTTATTGAACTTACTAGAGATAGTTGATGGCGCGGGCGTTGTCGTTACAGTCGCAGCATGTCCTTGCACTTCGCGCCGAGAAGCAGAAACGCTACGTGCAGAAGCAGCTGGATAGGGTTCAGCTCGATTCGTCTTGCCGCAGGAGGGATCGCGCTCTGCGCGGTCATAGCCGGCTCCGCGAACAGTACCAGAACGGCCACGAGGAATCTGGTTCTCTAAGCCTGCTGTGCCTTTGCCATTGCCCCCTGCAGCAACGCCAGTACTAAAGGGCATAGATGAACCTTTGTGAGATGAACTACCTTTGTTGGGCGGACCATTCAAAACCGCTTGATGCGGAGGCCGCTGTGTGAAAGGATTACCCCAAGCACCTCCCACAAATTGCTTACTGGACGCAGGAGGCATGTGAGCAGAAGGAGCAAAACTGGGAGGCTGAGCAACTACAGTGTTCCGCGTGGTCGGAGGAGGTTTCAGAGAACTCAATTCGAGAGAAGATATCACATCCTCGCTTTCCTGTTCTTCGCTTTCATGGTCTTCTTGAGTAGACGCTTTAACGTGAGCTGAAGAAGTACGTTTTTGCAGACTCCGCCTGGTATGTTGAGGGGACAAGGCAAGTTTATTGGCCCCGCCGCCAGAAGTAGACCCCCCTTGGTCGCCATGAACTACGTATCCACCAGCAAAGGAACCTTGGCTACACGGATCGATCTTACTAGACCTTGGACTCCCGAAAACAGGGAGGCTGCTGTTGAAGCTAGCACGTGACCGTGACGAGGTCTCACCCGTGCCTCCTGCACCTGCTTCCTCCTCGAATGTTACAGGTTCCGCGACTCTAGGCTTCTCCACACGTCCTGCGCAGTTCACATTATCCACAGGCTTCCTAAGTCCTTGGAGGTCGACAACTTCAGGTTGTGGACCCCGATGCGTAAGCAAGCATGACAGTTCAAGAGAAAGATCGTCGTCCCCTGGTTTTAGAGCTGTCCGTAATTCATCTTTCAAGATCAAGTGCATCCTTGAAAAGTATGGGGGAGGATCCCCTTTGGATACTCCTCGTCCTCCATACATTTCATCAAGGATGCATGGTGCGTCCAAAGATGTATTAGGTACAGCCTTAATGGTTGAGCTAGACTGGAAATTAGCGAAAGGTTGTGTTTGCTGTTGTTGTGCTTGGCGTTGAAAGCTGTCAATGGTGAAATACTGCACGCGCTGTGCTGATCGATACGGCTCTGATGCGCGAGGCTAGAGTTGTTGATGCCATTGTTGTCAAGGTCGTTGATGTTTTCGGCTCGTCCACTAGCAATATCATCCAAATCCACCTCCTCACCCCCACCACAGTCACTGATTATCATGCTGTCAACTATCGCACCTCCACTACCTTGAACATCAGCATGATGTTCGCTCCGCTCGTCCATATCATCCAAAGGCAGTGCTAGTGAAGTCCGATCGTCAAGACTGTTCAGGTTTGGTGAAGCCATAGAGGACAGACTGCGAAGTCCTGGGGTCCTGCCCGCATCAATGTCCTCGTGTTCAGCGAGTGTACTAAAGGCGCCAACATGAAACAAATCGTTGCGTGCTGTGGTGCTGTATCTCACATTTGCAGCACCTTGTCCACCTAGAGGCTGCGCTCTACCAGCACCAGCGCGTTGCGCACCAGCCCTCGATCCTCCATCGTTGACTACATCTTGTTGCGACTTTATCAACAAATTTTCGTCTTCTTGCTGCAGCAAATGATCATGAAGATCATTATGATACCCAGCATGCTGTAGTTCATCCTCCTCGTGCACGCACAGGTTGATATTTGACACGGAGAGAAAGCTGTTGCTGATGTCTGGCGCAAGTTCCAGGTGGCGCGTCTTCGGATTCGTCGGAAACAAAGGTGCACGAGCAAACGGATTCCGGTTCATGCTCAAAGTGTTCCGACTTGCTGTCATTTGATTTTCTTCTTGCGAGTTGTCATTGTCATTCATCACAGCCTCCTGTTCTACTAGCATCCCCTGTTGTGCATGATGACGCGAAGCGGCACCTCCTCCAGCACCAGAACTAGAAATTCTCGCACGAGAAGTAGTACTGGAACTAATAGTACCTTGATGTCCTCTCTTCATCACTGCTCCTCCACCATCAACATCGCCATTTTTCTGTCCTGATGCACTCGAACCTCCTGCTCTGGAAGTCGTAGTATTAGACTTGATTGCATTGCCTCGCTGCAGAGAAGACGCACGAGCACGACACGAGGGTGCTGGTACGGGAGAGGACATGTACGATGATACAACCGACGTTTCATGTTGCTTGTGGTTGTTCATATTTTTCTTGTTCATTTGGTTTTGTTCCGCTGCGGACGTAGCGGCATCGAGCAAACTAATCTCGCTTTCTTGATCACCCATATCCATCTCTCCGCAATCAGCATCATGATCTAACTGGAGACTATCATCCGCCGGTGCGAATGCAGGAGTTCCTGGTCCCTGAACGTGATTGTTCGCTTGATGTTGTTCTGGTTTCTTCCTCGAAATAATCGGTGTGTTTTTCCGCACGACTCGCCTCCCTTGAGGTTCTTGTCGTCCAAGAAGGTCACTTTTGCTACTGTTAGAATTAGGAGGATGGTCTTGCTGTTCAGAAGCCAAGCCTTGTCCTCGTATTCGTCGACAAAAACGAAAAGCTGAATGTTCCGAAGCTGTCATATCACGATGATTCACACAGGAATCGTCGCCACAACTGTTATTTCCACCTCGTCCACCTGCCCCGCCTGGAGAGTCATACATAATTGATCGGTTTACGCCTTTTGAGATGATAGCGTTCTGCGGAGTGAACAGGTCATCCTGTTTTAGCAATGTGCAGCTCCTGTTCATGTCATCCTCATCGTCATCGAGCTGGTCGTGAAGCCCATTTTGATGGTTTTGAATCCTCAACAAGTTTTCTGTAACCATGCCAACCCCAGCAGCACTGCTGTTCATGTTGCTGTTTCTGGGTGGTCCTCCGGGACCTACTGACGAAGCACTACTTCCTGCTTGATTCCCCAAGTTCGGCAAGTCCATGTCGTCCATCAATGACGACAAGTCCTCCACACTGGTCCTCGGCTTACGCTTGTTCTGGAACGGGATGATCTTAATCCTCTGTGGGTTCACGACACTCGCGGAGTGCTGTGACGAGCACATACTCTTCTCCAGCAACTGCGAACCCAAATCTGACGGTTCAAACAAACTCGAATGAACCGAAATCCGTTCGTGATGCTGCTCGTGCTGAAACGAGGATCTTCTGATGTCAGGATCATGTTGATGTAGTTCACGTAGACCAGCAGAGGAATGGGACCGACGAAAAGAAGAGGAACTATTCAACTGAAGTTCTTTTCCTCGAAGAAGATCATGTGCACCTTCAAGGCTCTGATGCTGATGTAGTTGATGCGGCTGCTGTAGCTCTTGTGCGCCACAACTTAATACTACATGATCAAGCTGTACCAGAGACCCCTGAGAGGATCCCTCTACAACTTCCTGACTGCTACAGGCGAAACCAGCATTAGCCACACGATCTCCTACAGCTGTCGTGAGTTGCTGGAGGTGCTCTCTCGTATTAGAGCTGCATGCATGCATATGTCCTCCCTGGTGTTGCCAACTTTCCTGGTGGCTCAGGGCAATTCGTCCCTACAACCATGATCCCTACCCAATCCTCCTGAGAGGGAAATAGGGAGAAATCCTGACTTGTAGAAATGAAATATATTGAGCCTTAATCGTAGTTGTGCATCCTGTGGATGAGCCTCCGCGCTTAGGGGCGACGCATCCTTCGTGGAAAGTGCCGCGACGATGTGATGCGTCCTGTCCAGCACGTGCCCCCGATGTGTTGTTGTTTTTCCCGTGTTCCGAAGGCGGACCGAGCATACTGGCATCATGCTTTGACAAGTTGAAGATCGAGGACTCGTCAAGCCAACTACGCGCACTGCGATCTTCTGGCTCTCCGAGGTAGCTACCATTATAACTTCCGCCGCTGTAGGAAACTGGAAAAAGGGTGGAGTCTCGAAAATTGATGCAAAAATGTATCGATACATTGATGAAATAGTAGACGATGACGAAGGAGTCAAATCAAGTTTCTAGAACGAAGTAGTTGTAAAAGCCCTTGTTGTGCCCAAAAAAGATCATTTTAAATGGTGAAAATTTACACGATCGCTCCTGCACATCCCTTTTCCGGTGGGCATCTTCTTTCGTTGGCGGAGGCGGTGATTTGCCGTGTACGCGACCATCGCTATCGACCCACCGACGCTGCACCACAAAGCTCTTCCGTTTTCCTCCAGTACTGCTTTCGGGATTGTCTGACATGGTCGTCTTACTTTTCGTTTTCTTGGGTGGTCGTGTTTCTTTGTCAAGGATATCTACCAGCTTTTGTATTTTTTGCTGAGATACTAGAGATCACAGTTTTGTTTCTTCCAGTCGTTGCTCTTGGTTGTGATACAACGAAGGCCACGTCGCTACTTCAACATGAATATTAAAGGTCGCTCCACCTCAACACTTCTTCACTTCTTGATGAACTCCTCTTCCTCGATACAGTCGTCCACAAGGTAAGGCGAACACAATCTCGCTCTGGGCTTGAATGGAAACTTAAACCAGCTCCACAAGCACAACAGCATTTTTCGCTGTCCATCTTATTCTTCCACTTGTTGTTATTTGAATGTCCATCAATCGAAGTCCTCGGTGTATCAATTATATTTTCCTGTTTCATACACATACACCTCTTTCTATGCAGTCTCTATACATTTTCGATCGGATTTTCGGTAGCATGAGTAAGAATATGTCAGTCATGTGTGATATGAAAAAGTAGTGCGATGTTTTTGTTAGTTATGTTATACAGACGAAGTATTTATCCTCATTGTGCGATTAGGTATGCAGATGCAAAGCAGTGTTCTAAGTCTAAAGTAAATTTCATTTACTTACATGCCTCTGCTTGCGTGTATTTTTTATGTCTTCGGCGAATTCGGTGCTTATTGAGTGTCAATGCTATGTCGTTACCCATGCTTAAATTCTTGTTGCGTTTCCTATGCGTTTTCGTGAATGTCAAGAAAGAAAAAGTTCGGAAAGGTTTTTCGAATTCCCATTATAGCACCCTTTTCGGAGTAATACTGTGCAATTGACTATGGTTTTTACTTGTTTGTATGTTTGAGTTCGATGTATTCTCGATTAGCTTGAGTTTGTTAATCTCATTCTGTTCCAAATAGCAATGTTATGAGTTCGAATAGAAGCAATAGCGTTCACAGGAGAAAAATCAGTTCAAAAGGGGTTTGCTACTAGTCGTTTTCGTTTAGGTATCTATACATGAAGAAATTAGCATGCATTATTACTGTCATGCATTGTAGTGTCGATTAGTTTTTATACAATCCCATACTTCTTCCGATAAGAAAGACTGTCCATGTCCTCCAATCCATAAATTACAAAAATCATTTTTTTTCACCAACAGACACCAACACTGTAGATATTTGTACATAATTATGTGATGAATTAGAATCTGTATGTTCCCCGTAAAAAAACGTATCAAGACCTCCGATAATCTTCTATTAAGCTCCCCCACCAAACTCGTGGGCAGTGTTCATAAGGTTTGCATACCAAAAGCTGAATGAGAACATATCAGTCCAGTCGTAGCTCCTTTTTGCGCCAAAATCCGAAGAAGTCGACGGAGAACTTTTGCCGTCGGACACCTGAATGTAGTGGAGGTAGTTTGTATTTCAAGTTTTTGAATGAAGTTGCTGCTGAACCTGAGGTTCAATACAAGAATTCTCTTTTTTGTCTCTTTACTGAAGAGCAATTTCTCGAACTAGTGCCTTTTTTGTCTTAGAAAGCAATCTCAATTTTTCACACTAGCGCCGACCCCTAGTACAAAAAAGGAAAATATAATCGACTAAAAAGTGTAAATCAAGATCAGTACGTCCAAAGCCTGGGCAAGGTATTCGATCAGCCAGTGTGGTTCGCGCTCTCCGTGCCAGCCTGTCCCTGCTCCGAATTCAAGATCAGCGCCGTAAGGCTGCATTTGGATCACGTTTCCGATGGTTGCTGGAGCATTAGCGATTCCGGAATACAACATCTGAAATACGCCTTGCTCTGGTGCTTTTCCACTTGTTGTAGCGCTACTAGTCGATCTCGATGCACTAGCCCTGCTCATCCTTATCTGATTCGCTGGTTTACGTCCAACCCCAGTGCCAAGCGGTGTCGATGTTCGAGCGCTGCGTCTGCGAAAGGCTTCATTTCGCGCATCTAGACCGCTTTGATGCATATTTGCTATCGATTCTCTTGTAGAATTTGCGACGCGATAGAGCAAACTGGTTTCGGAACGCACAAAATCCGACGTGGAGGGTGCACTGGAGTGAGGCAAAGTACGACCGAACTGGGGTACTTGCATTGGAGACCCTAGATTGACGGTCTTGATGTAATCCGCATTGCCCATGCGATGAAAAACGGCTGGACCACTAGTATCTCCAACACTTGCTTGGGATAACGTAGTAAATCCATGACCTGGTGCTTTATGATTAGCATTGCTATTCGCCATCCCAGGAGTTCCCTGCAGTCCCTGTTCAAACAGGTGAGCATAGTTGGGATCCTGCTGCAACAAGTTCACGGCTTCAAACTGGGCTGCAAGATCGCCACTGTAAGCTGTCATTGCTCGTACGAACCAATCAGGCATATTCGGAAAGTACAAGAACGACTTCAAAGACGCGACTGTTCTCTCATTGTCGCCTAAGTTGTGCAGAAACGATGGCAAAAAGGACAGGGAAGGAAACATGTTCTGCATGACATGCAATGGCGATTCAGGGGGATGAAGCAAGGCGTGATGTCTAGTATGCGCTGCATCGTGAAAAACAGGTTTATGGTAGCTGAACCTGTAAGCAGTGCTACTAGTACTAGACTCTGGAGAATCCCTGGACTTCGTTTTGATCTTTCCCGACGGCGTAGCTGGGCTATTATCGGAAGACCACGGATAAGGGTTCTTCGGTACTCTTGAAAGCAACGGCTTGTTGTTATGCTCACGCGGAATACTACCGTAGTAATTTGTGTTGTTGGACGAGAAGTTCTTGTTCTGAGGGAAAGACCTGGCAGGGTCTCTAAGACTAGCTCTGGTACTGGTTCCCGCAAAAAACGCCTTGTCCATACGATCGAAGTAGGCTAAGACTTTCTTATCCCTTTCGTCTGGTGGGATTAGAAAGCCATGGACTTTGAGCGCAACGCGCAGTAGAGAACGTTCAACATGTGCACCTTTCGCACGACGTCTGGCGGCGTGCACTTCGTTTTTGGTCCTCTGTTGCACTGAAGCACGCTCTAACCGTGAAAAAACCGGATCTAAAAGGACTGAAAGCAATGAAGGCTGAGATTTTGGAGCCCACGACACGAAATACTTCGGCGTAACTATTCCGGTTTTGGTCGTTGCACTAGTACCAAGCAGACTTGTAGTTGTGTTCATGAGTTTGTTCCTCAAGGCCGCACTGGATCCCGACCTGTCCATGCCGACGCTCAGGATGAAGAACAGACCGAAAAACACGCCAAAATACGCCAACAAGCGTGCGATAAATGCATGGACTTCGTCTCTCGCTCTTTCTCGATTTCTAGCTGCTCCGCGAGGCGTCTTATCACCAAGAAAGTCGGAATACAAACCCGTTTTTGAAGGCGGATAGTCCCTCATCAAGTTCTCAGTATCGTTGATGTTGTTGGTCTTCATATCTGGAGCTTGAACTTGCTGACCAACTTGATCATCTTCGGAAGCCGAAGTCGTGGAGTCAAGATGTGCGCCGATTCTCCGAGCATAGTCTTCGTCGCCCATCATCTCCGAGCTAGATCCGTCGGTAGCGCTTCGGGAAGACGCAGGTTCGAGCACTGTGTTGTAGGAATCCAATTCTCGACGTTTTGCCATCTCCCCAGCAACCTCGTCATAGACTTCCTCAGCAATGACGGTGTTTCTTCTAGAGGATCTCCTTCGATCGTTCGAAGATGAGAATTCCCCAGCCAGCATCGCAAACTCGTCATCTAGGTGTCCTTGGAAGCTAGCGCGTGCTCGTGGATCTTCTACTGGAATTTGGGAAAAACGCAGCATTGGAAGGTCAGAGTCTGGATAAGCAGATGACTGCAGCTGAGCTGAAGAAGATTTCAGACTCGATCTCCTGCTGCCCTGTCCAGGAGCTCCTGCAGTGAAAGATCTACTTCTTTCAGGTGGAGAAACCGGCGAAGCCGCAATCGTTGGATCCATCAAACTCGGGTCAATCAAATACTGCTGCAACAAAAGCACTTCTTCAGGCTGCATCTCCAAATAAGAGGTAATATTGCTATTTTTCTTGCGCTTCTTTTGTAGCATTTCCTTTTGAGTCTCACTAAATCGTAAGTCTCTCTGAAGGTTGCGAAGGGCGTGTTCTTGTAGCTTGATGTTACTTGAACTACGACGCGGTGAAGAACTTGGACGTGGCGAGCTTGGAGAATCGGCTTCAGCGAACTGGATATCGGAATCTCGAACTCCGTATGTCTGCCGTTCTAGAAACAAAGAACTCGAAAAAGCCCTTGCCGGATCCACGAAACTCGATCCCCTGCTCCTTGACCCAGGAACACCTCCTGCAGCAATACGTAGAGATCCTCGTTTGTGATGGTCGATCACTGTCTGGCGTTGTTCCCGCGAGAGTCTAAGGTTGTCATGCAAATCTCTCAATGCAGACAGTTTCTCCGAATTCCCGCGAATAGCACTTGGTCGGTCGCCTGCACGCAGTTCCGGTAAGACGACCATTGGGTCTACTCCTTGATGTGCCATGGTACTATGGTTCAGAGTCGGAACAGACGCAGAAAGTCTTCCCGCATCTTCTCCAGCTGGCGAAGCGATCCCAGTGCGATGACGCAAAGCAGATGGATCCAGCACTGAGGAATACCGCGAAGTTATGGCTTCCTGTTGGAGTTGTAACTTCAGATTCGGGACTACGCTTTCCCTTTGGCTTGGCCTTTCGGGTCCTCTACTAGTACCTCTAGAAGGAGCGACAACAGTACTAGTGCTCGATCGTCGCTGTTCTTCACCCGTCAAGGTCTTCTGTTCTCGTTCTGTTGCACGTTTCAAAGGCGTGGCACCAGCACAAGAAGAAGGGTCCACGAGGACGATGGTCTTCGTACTGGCATCAAGAACGTTGTTGTCGCGATTGTTTTGATTATTCATGAAATCCGGTTCCATAATTGGCATTGGCATCATAGTAGGTGCGCTCATGACCAAAGCAGGCTGCATTGCGTAGTTGTTAGCACTGTAGTTGAAAGCAGTAGGGGACGAGGAGGGTGACAATGGAGATGAAGTGCTGTCTCGCGTTTTTATCGGCGTTGTTCTATTCATTGCTTTCAGTTCCGAATTGAAAGACGAAGTTTCTGACGGTGCTGGGATAGGATCGAAAACGCTCGCAAATAGTGATCGATCTGCCCTTCGTGGAACCCCTCCACCTCCAGCTAATTCCATCGAGGCAGGTAGCTTTGGATTCACGACAGTCTTCATTTCAACCCAGTTGCGGTGGCTCAAGCTTTTGAGGCCAGTTGGCGCAGTACCGGCATCGATCAGATTTTTGTTGATCATCATCATCTCCTTTCCAAGCGTTGACCCAGCGCCCCTGCTGTCCAGCATCCTGGTTCCGACATAGGAATAGGTTGAACTATCCCTACTTGGAACTGAGCCGCTACGGCGACTAGCGCCGAAGCCAACGGTTCTTCTAGAACCGCGATTCCCCTTACCATAGCCCAAAGACGAACTACGCATCCTTCTCTCGTTACTTGAGTACCGGTTGTTTAGTTCGAATCTACTGGCCGCGTCGGAGTCAACACCCGGTTGCTCATCTAGAAGTACAAAATCAGCAGGTTCATCCTTCAACATCGAAGCTGCAGGTGGACGCGAGCCGAAGACTACACTCAAATCGCTTCTTTTAGTTTTCCTAGACGAAGCTGGCCCGATTTCGATCGCAGTAGCGCTGTTCCGCGGACGCTGACGAGGCTCAAGCCCAGCAGCTTCAAAAATTTCGTCAATAGTGTTCCTATCTTTTGTCCCTTGTTCAGCAGGCTCGACTACAGAAACGGCACGAGGACTCGAGGCCAGACTTCTGCGTGGACTCGACTGGGCTTCGGAGTAATCAGACAATGTGGTGGGCATCAGAGGGTCTACGTAGTTGGTACCACTACGACGCTCACCTAACAGCTGTTGCAGAGGGTCATCTTGCTGCTGCTGCTGCTTTTTCATCTCGATCTCTGTAAGAGATGAGGGAGAAAGAGATTCTTTCCCCGTCACCAACAACTCGTCCTCCTGCTCTACAAATCGGGTCTCACGCCCTGTATCAGCAGGCGAATCAGTTTTCAAATCAGAGACGACTTGAAGAGTTTTGCTGCTCTTCTTGCTCACGAAGCCGAGGAGATCCAGATCGTCAATAGGGGAGAGGACGTCCTGTCCACCATCTTTGGAATTGGAACTCTTGTTCTTCTTTGCAGGTTGTTTCGTAGTAGACTCCCGAGGTCCTTGATTCAAATCATCCATCACGATGAGCGAGGATGCTGCACCAGCTGGATCCTCAGTTAAACCAGTCTCAGTGGTCGCTGTAATCTTGTTGTTGCGAGCAGACACAACTGCTTCACCACGAACTGAATCGGAATCCTCTAGAGTGAAATCCTCTAATATCACTGCTGGCGTGGATTTCGAGTCCTCCTTCTGGTTCTGTTGAAGAGTCTTGGTCGTGATGGTGTCTTTAGAGTCCACTCTCGCAGTCCAGTCTGTGCCAAGAGGTGCGAAATTTGAATCCCTAGCACCTCCAGGTGCACCAAAAGCTGACGGAGAACAATCCACTCTCGCAGTCCAGTCTGTGCCAAGAGGTGCGAAATTAGAATCCCTAGCACCTCCAGGTGCAGCAAAAGCTGACGGAGCAGCTCCTTGTACTTGGTGGTCACCTCCTCCGGCACCAGCTTCTAGCAAAGGTGCCGAAGAAGATGTACTATCGAAGAGTCGCGTTGTGTCATCCAAAGCAGTCCCTAGCTCTGCTGTCGAAGTACGAAGCTCCATGGAGGAGGTGCCGGATCCAATCGACGCGTGATCTGACATTGCATCGTCAAAGAGATGATCATCGTTTTGGTGGAGGTCTCGTCCAGAGGACTTGCTTGATGGCTTATTCATCTCGAAGACAATAGGTCCTAAACCTAAAGAAAGCCGTTCGTAGCCCATCAGATCGTTGTCTAGACCAACAGCGCGATCCACGGAGAAACGGTCGGTTGAGGGTGCACCCTCAGCTGCCCAGTTTAACGTTTTCGGCGGAATCGAAGATGAAGACCTCGATGCGCGCATCGACCGCGATGGTCGATTTTTCGACAAGTCTTGTCGGTCAAAGCCTCCGCCATTCACGCTTCCTCTCGAAGATGAGGTAGATGGTCCGCTCTTCTTCATATCCGATCCCCAACTCGCGCTGGTCCGAAAGGCTTCCTCGCCACCCTTGAAAATCGAGGATCTCAGTTTGGTCCGCGCATCTCCGTCATTCACCGAGTTTCGCGAGTTGTGCTGGAGAATCGTGGAAATCCGTTGAGCGTCGGCTACCGTATCGTTGATCTGCTCCATCAAGTCCGTCTGGGCATCGCCGGAAAGCAGAGGCAAAGTGTCACTCAGGAGTGCAACGAGTTGCCGAGGATCTTCGCGCTCGACAAATTGGACTTCCGACTCGTGCGCGGACAGTCTAGTGCTCTTGTGCTCGCCATGAGACAGCTGTTCCCAGGGAAGAGGGTTGAAGAAGGCAGCGGAAGGCATGCGGAATCTAGTAGGATCAAAGGAGCCGTCTTGTAGTGTTGCGGAAACTCTGAAGTTTTCGTCGACAACCGCATCGTAAAACGCCGATAACGGACCAGCTTCCAGATCTACGAAAATGTGTGCTTCTGGATCATCCAGCAAAGCCCGACTAACGTCTCGCGTCATGCTGATTTCCTTTCTAGACGCGCGCTTTCCCTCACTGGTCTTCGAGGATCTGCGGGTACTATTCGCTGCCTCCTCCAATGCACTGCTGATCGCACGATGCGCAGTCGCGTGGAAGGCCCTCTGTTTGGCTAAGTGGCGCTCTTCGCGAAACCTTTCGCGATCTAAGGCCATCTGAGGTCTCAAACCCGGAAGAACCTTGTGCGACTTGTGAGCTCCCGACTCCATATCATAGGATGAGGAACTTGCACCAGAGGACGAGGATACAGATCCTGCGTCTTGAAGATGATCTGCCAATACATCTTGTTCTCCAAAGGCTGTTGGCGTCGACCCAAACATCAAGGCTTCTTCTTCACTCGACGTGCCTGTTCCGTTAGCCAATACACCCTGAAACAGGTCATCTAAAACCGTCTCGAGTCGACTAGCAACTGCGCGACCTGCTGAAGCTATCACGCGGGAGGAATCGACTCCGACCTTCTTGTTGTTGGTACTCGATGAAGGTCCTGTATTTGTACTAGTTCCCTCCTTACTAGAGGACTTGTTGCCATCAGCATCCTCTGCCTCTTCTGTCGTAAACACTGACTTATGGCTCCTGAAATGATGCACCGCATCCCGAATAGCTCCTTGGACCGCGCTACGGATTGACGATTCAATTGCGGCTTCCTCGACTTTCTGAAGCAGGTCGACCATATCTGGATCGGCCCGCTTCACCATCTCTTGCAGCATATCTCTCGCAGCAGACGGCGGCAAAGCCTCCGCAGCTCTTTGCAGTGCACGAATCACCTTCGGTGGGAGTTGCTTTTCAGCACCAGACCCAGAGATCCTAGAGGAAGATCGCGTATTTGGTGCTCCTTCAGCCACAACATTAGTGGATAAGGACGTTGACGTTTTGCCTGCTCCGACAATAGTTTCGGTGTCTCGCAATTGAGACGAGTCTAAAAGCGTAGAAGATGTTGAGGCTCCATCCTCCATCAAGGATAGAAAACTCTGTCCAGCACGACCAACAGATTTCTTCGATCCAAACAAGCGCGTCATACCTAGAGAACCTCCTCTGGTGGTGCCTTGATCTATTTTTGCAGATGAAGACGAAGAAGTACTTGTCCTTACATTACTCTGAAGTTGAAAAACTTCACGCCCATCCTGCAAAACAGGTTCTTGCTTCATCTTGTTCTTGTTCTCTTGCTCTTTCTTGAATGCTTCGAGGTCAAAAGGCTCTGGTTCTCGAAAAGAAAACTTGTTTGGCGAGTCCGAACCGCTTGTGTCTTCAGATGTTAGCAACTCTTCAGCTGCACGGTGTACTCTGTTGCCTTTACCATTACCAGACCGCGAACCAGATAAACTGGATACGGACGCTTGATGGTCACGAGGCTTGCCGTCACGGTCTTCGCCTGCCGACGAGCTCTTCGTGGTTGTCTTGCTTTTGTCCTGCTCTTGTTCATGCTTCTCGAGGACATCGCCCAGTCGTGTTAGCAGGTCTTCCACCCTGTTCACTTGAACATTCAGCTTTGTATTCATATCGATCTGCGAGAGCATGCTACTGCCACGTGGAGCAGCAGTCTCACGAGAAGTTGTGTAACGTCCAGAATCTGTTCCGTCTACTCGCATCTCAGGCTCACCCTCATAGAAGGTCACTTGCTCATGGTCACGCGCCGGTTGACTAGTAGAAGCAGGTTGTTGCTTCGGAGTTGTAGAAGGTTGAGGCTGTTGCTTTGGACTGGCTTTACCAGCTGCGAGACTTTTCTGCGTCGTTTGACGTCCAGGAAGCAAGGTCGTGCTAGAAGTCGCTTTTGCGTCTACTTTTGCTGGAGTTTGGCCAACAATGCTCTTGGATTTCCATTCCGGCGAAGATGGACCCACGACGGGAGCTTCAGAAGCAGCTTTGAAGTCTTGGAATTCTTGTGTGCCCATTTTTTTCTCCATCTTCTCCATAAAACTTCCACTCACTCGACTGTCCATTTGTCTCATACTTTGACGCTTCTTGTCAGCTGCGGAAGGTGTGCTTTTCTCTTGTTGCTCCAGTGTTGCTACTTCTGGTGCCAGTGTGACAGACTTTTTCGCAGGTTCGGGTGGTGGTGCAGAACGTTGCTCTCCGAGTACGACAGCACGAGCTTCGGATGGACGCATATTCTCTGCAGCTTTTACAGAGGCATGGCGCGAAGGGCTAGCAAGCATTTCACGCACAGTCGTAGCGCCAGCACCCTTTTTCTTCGGCTGTGCACCTGACGAGCGGGCCGGCTTCGAAGCTTTCTTGTTCTTAACAGGAGCTGCAGTAGACGTCGCAGAGCTACTAGAGGTTCTAGTTTTTGCGGGAGGAGGTGGTGGTGGAGCTGGCGCTTCTGGAGCTGCAACAACTCTTGACGTTGAAGAGGTTCGTTCGTCTTCAAAAGTTGCGAAAGGAGATGATCCTCTGACCGTTTTCGTATAGCGTACACCAGCGCCACCTTGAGTGCCATCAATACCCGCACCATAGTCAAGCGTAAATCGCGGCTCCACTGAGTAGCCATCTTCTTGGAGCATCTCAGTCGCGCGCTCAGCATTGCGCGGACTATGAAAGACATGCTGATCATCTTCCTTGCCCGCAGTAGCAGTACTAGGCGGGCTTACAACTCTTTCGAATCCCATAACCCTCGGTGTCGTCTGTGAAGTAGGTCGTGCACTAACTCCTACTTTCTCCACAGAAGGAGAAGCCAGTTTTTGCTGCTGCACAGGTGTTCTTGGACCAGTTGCAGGTGCCGGTGGTGTTGGCACAAATAAAGCTCCCTGTGCTGGATGCGACTCTACAGCATCCGTAAAATGATGATCATCTTCAAGCGCAAGACCAGTCGTAGAAGTTGGCAGGCCAGACATTACAGAGGACTGCTCACTATTTCCCGAAATCGGTTCCTGATGACTTGCTGATAATCTAGCCACTTCATCTTGTTCAACGGCTGAATTTTTCTTGTTTCTAGTCACTCCAGGAACACTACTTCTTGCGCTTTGATCTTCATTCCTGTTATACGCATGATCGGACTCATCTTCGTCTTCTGGGATGAAGGCTAGTTTGCTCATTGTCGTGTCACGGGTAGACGAAGCAGCTCTCTCTTTCTGAAAAAGGGCATTGGAAGCATCCTCCGCTGATACTTCCGGTTCGAGATAGTAACCACTTTGCTGCTGGCTAGTGCTGCGAGGAGTCCTCGGAGTTTGCACATCAGAAGAGGACGAGGAAGTAGGAGCTACGATGCTTACTTTCTTTACTACAGTGCTCGTGTTGGCCCTCTGCTCTGGAGCTGCGGCAGGAGGAGCGGCAGGTGGAGGCTGCGCAATTCTCGGGAAGACTGGTGCTCGTGGAGAATCCGGATTCGAGGACGCCACAAGAGCAGGAGTTGTGGAAGTGTCTGTAGTGCCGACTGCTTTTGGATCTGCTTTTGGTTCTGCTTCTGCCGCTGGAGATGGCGTGGCAGCTAGAGGAGCGTTGCTGGACGTAGAAGAAGGCGGTGTTTTAACAACGCCTTTTGCCTTGGCTGCTTTGACTGCCGACTTGGATGTGGCAGCTGCAGTGGTCGACTTCCCAGTCACGCTAGTTTTTGCAACTGTCGTGCTCGGGGGCTTAGCTTTCGCGGCAGTACTAATGCCTCCTGGTTTGCCAGCAACTTTACTTGAAGACTTCACAGGTGCGCCAGTCGTCGCCTTTTTCGAAGCGGCAACCTTTGCTGTAGGAACAACTGAGGGAGCAGCCTTGTTTGATGTTGTAGTTTCCTCTACTAGCTCCTTCGCTGGACCAGCGCTGGACGCTGTGGAAGATGCAGCGGAGAGCTTCTTCGCTGTAGATACAGCAGAGGATCCTCGTGCTTTCTTCTCAACGACTGGCGGCGCTGCAGGACTTACGTCAAGACCCGCGCCAAAGTCGTTTGTGAGACGCGGCATCGATGCAAATTCGGAGTCCTGTGAAATGGTCGAAGCCTGTGCAGGCCTAGAAGTAATTGTAGGAGGTGGAGCAGCACTCGTAGCTGTCGTGGGCTGCGCCGATGCTCGCCCACCGCTGACAGCAGGGCTTCTCTGCTCAGTGCCAGTCACCGACAGACCAGTCCCGTAGTCATTCGTAAACCGTGGCATCGATGCAAATTCGGAGTCTTGTGAAATGGTCGAAGCTTGCTCCGCTCGATAGGCTGATGGCTGTTCGCCCCTAAAAGCTCCTAGCTTCATCTCAATACCTCCACTCTGCTGGACTACAGGTAATGTTGCAGCTTCTGGGCCGTTAGGTATTGGAGCAACTACTGGAGCTTCAGTGCTTGTCGTTGCCGAAGGAGCAGTTGTGACTGGAGCGACAGGACCGGTTGTTGAACTTGAAGGCTGCGATGTTGTTGTGACAGGAGCAGGAGCACTATTACTATTAGTGCCAGGACTTCCCTTTCCCTGCTCATGGTTATTCGGGTCTAGACCCGACCCATAGTCGTTTGTGAAGCGTGGTACACCACCGTAGTCACCGTTTTGGGAGTAGGTAGTAGATCCACAATCACGTCGCTCCCGATCTCGGTCTCCCTCCACACCTCCTCCATCACTCGTATTCGTATCGGTTAAGTTCGGCTGTGTTTCGTACTCGTCTTGCGATGACAAAGGCCAGTTGTCAGGATTGTGATTGCCAAGGTCGAAACTATAGACACTCTGATTGTCCGCCGAGGGTCGTGCCGCACGTGGCGTCCTAGCGCTCCTCTGCCGGCTGTCCTCCTCAGCTGTTGGAACAAGAGAGCCAACAAAGGCACCTGGCTCTTGCGGATCGTGTGTGTCCCTCGAGTCAAAAAACTCATGTTGATCTTGAGGTTCCCTCCGTTCATCTTGATTTCCAGGAGCATTAGCGGTTAACGCGTTGATGTCATTCGGATTCTCGAGGACCTTCGGCGATAACTTCTCGTTCTTAGGAGAATGGTACTCCTGTTCGTGGTGTGGTTGTACCTCTTGCTCCTCGTCTTCGACAGGATTTTCGGCAATAGTAACAGCTCGACTAGAACGAGCGACTGGAGGCCCAATACTAGTAGATGGAGGTGACCGCATCGAGCTCGGTCTGCCTGTTGTAATACTAGTAGATGTGACCCCCTCGAACGAGCCTAGACCACTGCCCCAACCTTCGACACTCTGTTTTGCAGCCGTGGGATAGTCATCACCAAGGTCTAGACCTGTTGTATTGCGTGCACAACTTCGGCTTTTCTTTACACCGGCACGTTCCTCAGCCAAGTTCCTTATGGCTGCTCGCTGCTCTTGTTGTTGTGCTGCTTGTCGTGTAGATGGTGTATCTTCTTCAGATTTTTTTCGAGGTTTTGTTCCTACTTCTATAACCAGCGGCTCCACCTCCTCCACCGCATCCTTCTGTATCCGTTCCTCTGCCTGTTGCTCATTTGCTGTTCTTCTTCCACAACTTTCAGCTGATGGAGGACCCAGACCAGATCCCCAGGCGTCAATAGACATTCTCGGCATTGTATCATACTCACTACCAACATACTCGGTACCCGGACGCACGCGTCCTACTTGCGCGGACGCGACGTCGACTTCGTCATTGTTACTAGGCACGACCTGCTTCACAGGCGGAACTTCTTCTACTTTTACTGCTGTGGTCGGAGTAGCACTACTAGCAGTAGGAGTATTTTTATCTATTTGTTTCGCTGCCTTCGGGGGCATAGCTCGTCTCGTGTTACTTATTGTCGGCTTCTCGAATACTAAATCTTCACTTTGATGAGGCGTCTGATCTGCTCCCGTACTACTATCCGGCTTTCCCTGAATTCCTCGACGGTTCTGCTTCTTCTCAAAAGCTGGGTAGGATCGTGGAGAACTCTTTGGCGAGTTTTTAGGAGATTTCTTCGGTGAAAACTTCGATGATGGTGGACTTGCCAAGCGAATCTGGTTCTTGGAAGAATTTGCAGGAACACCAGCGGAAGATGTTGATGTTGTGGGAGGTTCTCTTCCTTTGATCGTCAACGCCGCTGGAGACGCTCCCTCCACTGGATTCTTGTCCTCCGATTTTTCGTCTGGATGTAATTCTACCTTAGGAACACTCGCATTGGTGTGGAACCACGACGCAACAGGCGGAGTTTGCCCTGCTCCCTTCGCCGGCTGTTGGTTTTGGGCGTGCTTCATTTCTTTTTCTGCTGCTCGTTTAACGCTGTAGGGCACTTCCCCGTTCTCTAACGCCGTAGGCTGGATCGAGGAGTCGCGAAGGTCCATCGTAGCTGCTGGTTGCAAATTACCTCTAGGCGAGACGAATCTCGTTTGAACTGGCGATGTTGTTGTTGATGCAGCTGTCTTCATAGTTGCTGACAATGGGTCCACTGCATCTTCTTGTTCCTCGTCAGCTTGTTTAGGAGCCTGCTCAACATCCCCACCAGGAGACGGCACAACTACTTGCTGGTTCTCAACATCTTCGACACTGCTAGAAGTTGTTCCCTTGTTCCTAGGCGTGCTGTCTGATCCCGTAGTTGGCTTTCTTGGAGAAGTTGGCGGCAACAGAGACTTCCGAATGATCCTTTCCTTCTTCATAGGTGTGGTGTCGCGTGGTGTCGTAATTGCTTTTCCAGACGCGTTGAAAGGAGCTTTGGCTGTCGCTCCATCCGGAGTTGTTGTACTAATAGAAGTATTTCCACCTCTACCTTTAGTACAAGTACTAGGCTTGATTGATATCTTCGAAGCGCTGCTTATCGTAGACGTCGTTGAGTTCCTCTTACCAGGGGGCGGCGATTCGTCCTCTCGTCCATTAGACGTTTTCATTAATGAGTCCTCCTCGCCTACTTCTGCTGCCTCATTCTTTGGTTCATCTTCGACTGGTGGCACGACCAGTGTTTTAATATCCTTCTCTTCCTTTCCCTTTTCTTCTGCTGCTGGTCGTGTAGGTTTACTACTTCTAGCTCCTTGTGGTCCTTCAGCCTCTTTCTTGTCGTGTATCACCTTATTACCGAGCAACTTGAGAGTTGGAAGAGCGCTGATTTTCAGTTTCCCAGACAGTCCAGTCCGGGCAGACATTGGCGGCGTAACTAAATCACCTGCATTATTCGTCGTACTTTTGTTGACAGCACTAGGAGTCGTGAAAGGACTATTTGTCGACAAACCAGAAGACGCAATAAATGACGGTGCACGTGGTAACCTGGAAGATGTGTCTACAGACCGCTTATTGGCAGGCTCAACAGTTAGGGACGAGGGCCCTTCTTCGCTTCCACCGGACATTCTATCCATACTACTACCTGCTCCAGAGGACCATCTTTGGTTTGCTGATTCTTTTCTTGCTCCTGGTGACGGAGAAGATGTCAATCTAGAAGACGTGGTACTATCCTTCTTGCTGCTTGATGTTTCGAAACCTCCACGTTTTGACGATGAAGATACAAGTTTTTTCAATGATGCAGGCAATTTGGAAGGTGTCGTTGACGTAGTGGAGGTCAAAGCCCTTGGCGAGGTGGACATAGTAGACGTTACTGGCCGTCGAATACTATCGGAAGCTCCCCTGTTGTCACCACCCGGCGCAGCCGCACGTCCTGTCAATCTCTTCGTCACTGCAGCCGTAGTGGTCGAGGACGCAGGCGTACCCATCAAAGTGCTCGTCGCTGGCTTCCTCGGACTACAACTGCTCTCAGAAGTAGTTGTATTCGTCGTCGAACCCATCCTACTACTCGATGGCATTTTTGGCGACACACTACGAGCTCCAGTGAGCTTCGCAAGCAATTTGACACCCACAACAGCGTTTGCACCAGTCCGTGCTCCAGGGGCACCAGAAGAGCCCGCATTTGATGGGCCCTTGGTCCCTGTTTCACGAGCGCTCATAGAACCACTTGGAGGAACTCCCTTCTTACCCATGTCAATACTAGCTCGGGGAGTTCCAACTCCTGCCTTCGCCACCGGTTTCCATTTGGCTACGGGGGAAGCAGAAGAAGCCTGTAATGTTGAGCTTGAGATGATGGAGCAGTGCAAAGTGGACCGAGCGCATCCGCAGCATTTCCATGATATTCATCACGAGCATATAGATGAGTGAGGTGATGATATATTACTGGATGAAAAAAACAAGAATCGAAGTTATTAAATTTCAAAAAAGTAGCACTTTAAAATTTTCATCTTGCACCAAACTATAGAAGCAAAGAACTGTATGGAAGCAAGAAATGCACATACTAGAGTAAGACGAGTTATATGTACCATCTTCTTTCCTCCCGCGCTACTTTGTGCTGTCCTTGCAGACGGCAAAGCTTCTCCTTCTCCCTCTACTACGTGATGATGTTGATGTCCATGTCCATGGTGTGGCTTGAACAGTTGCGGCAAACCCACAAACCTAGCTGCTAATTGCGGCGTGAACCCCAAAGCGGAGGGTGGAGGACCCTGGCGAGGGCCACCACCTGGAGCTCTGTCGCATTGTCGCTGAGATGAACCACTTGTCTGTTGAGGCAACATTTTGTTTGAATATACAAAAATCTCAGCCTTACATGCAAGAACGTATATGTAGCTGTTCTCAATTTCGAATCAACAATGTTGCATGAGGTAGTTGATGTTGATCAACACTCAAGACTTCATTTGTTCACTAAACAATAGAACTACAGTTTGTCGTCCTCGTCCTCGACGGGTCTGGGTCAAATGGAAATTCATAAAAAGCGCTATGAATACATGGGAACAAGGTGAAAAATGTGACTGTGGTGGGACGCCTTGGATGGGCAAGCAGTGGAAGGATGCATAAAAATTGGATCTTGCAAAGGCGGAAGGGTCATAGATTTCAAGCCTGTGCGCGACATGATTGACGGTGAGATAAGACTCAAAAACTCAACCAGTGGTCTAAGGTGAAGCGTTTCAGCTTCCAACATCGACGAAAGCTGAAGTTCAGCATATTGAAAATACAGCCTTCTCATCTTACAAAGCGGGGGCTGTTTTAGAAGATCTTTTCGCTCAGCACAGACGATACTTCATCGTGACAGACACTTGGAAGAATTTTGACGTTGATGCATCGGATTTTGTTACACTGTTCTCTGTCCTCTAGAAGCACAACTAAAGAAAGGAACCAGTACAGATCGCAATATCTTCAGACTACTTGCCTCTCAAAATACGCACTAGCAGCACTTTATCCAGGGATACACACTTCAGCACTGAAGATCACTCATCTCCAATTTCTTCCTCGACGTTTGTAGTTCATCACAGAGCCTTTAGAAGACATGATCTCCATTTCTTCTAGAACTTCTCACCAATCACAGACACCAGATGAAGACTTATCTCGAAGCTGGTAATGCTCTTCTAGAAATGCTCTCTCGCAACGAGATCAAATAAAGATCATCATCAAAATGCTACAACTGTTACCTTCGTTTTTGAAGAGTGACATTGACTTTCATGATGGCAGTACTAGCACCATAATCCTCGGCCTCGTCCTGGTGCGTTTTGATAAGTGTACAGGTCAACGCCTAAACCACTAAGCCAACTGCGCAGTTGGCTTCGCGGTTTCAAGGGAGAATTATGTCCAGCCAGTTCTACTGATGGATCTTCACTTCTTTTTCGGAAATAAAAAACGGAAATAATCATGTTATAATGGGATTGGGGTTTGTTGAGTGCTGGTCGCAAAGGAAAGATATCATCATGCGTCCATAGGTTTGATGTGACAGCCCAAAAGGCCCATGCCGTTCCATTTCTGAGGGATTAACTCTAATTGAATCTCCTCAGCTCTCTGCAGCTGCCCACTAGTAGATACAGAACCAGGTGGACTTGTTGTGGTAGTTGTAGACGTGGCAGGGGTTGTCAAAGGCGCTGTTGCCACTGGCGTTGCTACTGAAAGTGAAGAAGCTATCATTCCACCACCAGCACCGTTTGATACTATTCCAGCTGAAGACGATGTTGCAGAGCAGGATCCTTCATCTCCTTTTCTTTCCACAACTATCTCCACAGCTTGATTCTCGACTACCTGTGTTCTGATCTCCCGAAAACAGTCTGCTACGGTTTTGGTTGTGCCCATGCCTAAAACTACGGCTCCGAATTTTTTCAGCAGGTCGCCTTCCCGAAGGCCCGCTGTCTCGGCGGGAGAACCACTAGCAACTGAGTTCACGACAGCAAACGGCGGCCCAACGTCTAACTTCAGTCGTTTAGCACGATCGACATGGCCGGAGACTGTGGGTGAAAGTGGTAGAAGGTGAGTGACTGTAGAGATAGAGTGAAAAGCAATTGTAATTCTACCGCGTTTAAAGATTTATTGTGACTCTGACATTTTCTTATTGTGCATACCAAATACAAAAGTTTCTCTGCCAAAACAGACAGGGGAAATATTTAAAAGCTCCACTTCATCGATCGTCGATTCTCATAAGTCTAAGTACAGACAACACATTCACGATCACCGACCACATTTCAAGAAAAAAGAAAAAGCATACCTCCCTTTTTCTTCTCAATCGGCACGCTCACTCTGCTGACTTTGTGCAGATTGCACAGACCCTCTTCGATCTTCTTCATTATTGCTTTATGGTCGTTCTGGTAGCACGCGATTTTGTTCCGCGCATCCCTGACCTGGTATAAATCAATGTCTGACCGTGGGAATCCATCTTCGTCCAGTATATTTCCGCTCAGCCCAGGCATGTTGCCACCAGAGAGAAAGTCCGTGAGCGCAGATATATTGTTCTCCAAGCGGTCCTTTTCGCGCATCAACTTCTGCAGCTCAGTTCGCATCCTCTCCTCAGTGGGGCCTTGTTCTGCCTCCGGCTCAACCTCCATCTCGACAGAAAGCTGCTCGATGGGAGCCATTATCGATCTCACACTCACTACGGCTACAAGAACCTACTTCTAGCGTATAAAAAGTATACAGAAAGAACAGAGGTTTTAGACAAAATTTGATTCTTGATGAGATTTTACTTGAGGACCAACCTCGTCTGAACAAGTACTAGTGGTATTTGAAAAATCTACATCTAACGCTAAAATAAGGAGGAGAATAGGGGAACAATTCAACATACGCCTGATCGAAAAACGGTTTTTGGTATCATGTGGATCCACTTGTAGTTCTAGACTTCTAATAACTGAAATATACTGTTGATGGCCTTAGCATGTCAATGCATCAACTTCTTCAAAGAAATCAAAACTGGAAAGAATGAACACTGCCATTTCATTCTTTCTGCGCGTCATTCTCTGATATCAGGCTCCAAAAGAGCTTGCCTTAGTGGTCTATCTTTCTGCTTCTTTTCTTCACTGAAGATAATCAGAGAACAGCTAGATGTTGATAACAAGTCTGCTCATTCAAAATTCATTTCTAATTCAGCCGTTTTATTTGTTTTTGGGGATGCAGATTCATTCAGATCCAGCATCTTCACCTGGACCCCCCAAATAATAAAGTCTGTCATTTCAATTCAAGAGTTCTTCGCTAAACTGTTGCAGATGGTTATTTGATGCTCGCATTAGCCTGTCTATCTCGGAATCGACGTATTTGAGAACGAGCTCTCGCAGAGTGTAGTCTCCATATTGCTCTATCAGAGCCTCCATATCAGGTCGACTCAAATCTCCGCCGATTTCCCTCTTCATGCCGCCCTCCACTGGTGCCCGACCAGGTGGGGGAGCGGCTCCTGAGGACAGTGCGGAAGACATGATCTCTGGGAAGCGTTGTTGAGAAAAGTGAGCGTAGTTTACTTGTCACCTAGACCTACTCTTATCTAAATGATTCTTGCAGCAGATAGGAACTTGTAACGAATAATGAAATCTAAACCCCAATCGTGTGATAGAGACCGCGACATGTTGATGCGGTGCAGTCTACTTCATGGCAGACAGATTCCTGAGACTTCTAGTGTCGTTGCCATTCTTCCATGCCTTTTTTGTCACTCGCGCCTCATGCATGCATTTTGTTGCGAAACGTGAAGATCGCATCTGTCATAGCTCAACAGGGAAGTCATGATTCAAATTGGAAGGCAAAAACGCCAATTGCCGATGAACACAAGAATCATCAGATTTTCGCATCCACATGTTGTAATCGACATTTTGCATGTCATGTCACTTTTTAAGCGCTTTTCGTAGCAGTACTCATGTTGGGTAGAGTTAAATTGATGCAGTGGCGCTGCAACTTGGGTTTGTAAGTCGTTCCAAAAGATGGAGAGGTCATCTAGATGAAGCAGGATATTCTCCGAGTTCATCGTCCATCATTTTTTTCGTCTCCTCAACATCATGACGAACCTTGTTTCCATCCAGACTCACCTTTCCACCAAACGCTACTAAGTAACTCATGCTCATCATCGCAGTACATACATGTAAATGGGGAACAGGTCTTTTGGCCAATTTGTTTGCCGCAGTGCACAAACTAATTCCATTCCTGCCATCGCAAATAACTCCCTATACCGCTCATCTGACCTGGTTACTCCGTTGTCGTCCTCGTCCAGCTCTAAGCCCTTAGAGTACACTTCCCACTCCTTTGGCGCAGCTTCGGGACTCCTGGTTGGCCGGATCAGGACGTTCTCCTTGATAAACAGAAACCCGGATGAGGCCTTGAGATGCTGTTTGCACTTTTGCAGGTAGCGGATCAGGTCGTCGTCGGTGAGGTAAAGCAAAACCCACTGGTTCCAGATGCAGTCGTATTGGAGAGGGGTGGTGGAGGATGTAGCAGAACCAGTGCCAGAGACCACTATTTCTTGCTCTCTTTCTTCAAATTTGAAGTCCTGCAGAGATTTCTGAAAGTATCGCGTTATCTTGTCGCCATGTTTTCGTCTTGCTTCCTCGAACAGCTTTCGACAAGGTTCTAAGAGATCTACTTTCCCGAACTCCTCAAAGAGTAGACCCTCTGATATTCTGCCAATACCGGCACCACAATCAAGGACGTGATTGAAGGAGAGATTAAGGTCGGGACCTGGAAAAAGATGTTGGAAGATGGTGTTGGGAACGAATGGGAATGGAAAAAAAATTATAGTCCCCGCCTTCGATATTTATCAATTTCATTAAAAAACCAAACTCAAAACTAAAAATCCATTTTAAGTACGTCCTCTCAGCATCTGCAACAACCGCTTGCTCTCCCTCAAGTCTTGCACGCTTGTGTATCCAAATCCGCCTAGAACGCCTTCGACACTGGCTTCCTGCTTATCCCAATAGGAAATGGCTTTGCTGTACCAACCGTCTCTGGTTTGTTCCGCGATTTGCTTCTTCCAAAACTCATCAATCGGCTTGGATGAGGATGAAGCAGCTACTGCCTGTTCCGCTGCTCCAACTGCTGCTGCACAAACAGCACGAGAAGCGCCAGACGCTAAGGTAGTTGTGGGACCAGTTGTCATAATTTTTTGCTTTTTTGTTAGTGCTAAGTAGGTTGGTACGTAGGATTAGTACTTAAAATAAGCGAGATACTGAACAAGAAAGAGTAGCCCTGTCAAAGCTCCCTCCCTTATTTCAGTCAGCAACTCGGTTATTTTCAGTTTTCGAGTAGGTTGGTAAGTAGGACACAAGGCTAGGAACGTCAACGTGCTCCGCAACCAAGAAAATTGAATTAAAAAACGCACAAGTTCATACAAGATGCAAGGACGAAAGACATCAGGACATGAAGTATAGAAAGTAGGAGTCCTTTATCAATCTGCGTGGCCTACTTCTACCTGTAGTTGTTCGGCATGATTCCGAAACTGAAAAAGTGTGATTCTGAATTATCTTGGCATTAAAGTAAATGCCGATGTCGATCTTATCAGAAAGACTTAAAGCAATCAATTTTCCACCTTTCGAAGATCCTAGAAGCACCCAGTTGTTCCTGTACTATCTCGATCATGATTATTACAACATCTGTACGTTGTCGTGGCCGCGCGTGTATCATTGTCATTGACCTTGATCCTTACTGGAATTCGGGAGTAGAATCCGTGTAGTTGAGCATTATTCAAGACCCCGTAGAACAAGATGATGCGTAGAGGTAGATCTAGATCTAGATGACGAGCAAGAACCTCTCTTTCCAGTTTCAACGAAAAGTTTAACACACATGGAGGTTGTAGGTGCGTCCCTGAGAGGCGAACAAAATACCATCAAATCGACGGCACTCGCGAGAAAAGATTGGATCTTATGAAGATATTAACTTTAACATGAGAAGATCTCCGCGAATAAATTTCTCATCGATATGACAGGCGTCCATCCGTCACATCACCATCTTGTGGCAGCTCTGCTTTTCTTAGGTTGAAAAGTCAGAATGCCCACAAGCAGAAGAACGCATAGATAACAAAATGTTCAAGGAGCAGGTGGAGGTCAAGAATGAAAAGGGCCACTGAGTTCTAACAAATGTTCAAGGAGGAGGTCAAGACTGAAAAGCTTACTAGGAGGACAACTAAGTAAGTAAGTTCTTGAGGACAACGAAGAAGTTGTCCACTTCTCCCAAATCTTCACATCGTTTTCTTTGCTTTCATCGCTTCCGCTTGAATCGGATGGAGAGGTGGTTTGATGAGGTCCTTGACAAAAAAAAGAGCCCATGTCCCAAACGCCAACGTTAGAGGTAGATTATGTTTTTCACTATAACGAGTTGAGTGGGTAGTTTCAGTTTTTTTTTTTTGGTCCGCGCAGGATAGTGGAAAACTAGCCTTAACAACGCATGAATGCCGATGACGACAAGCAGAGGGGTTTCCAGGTGCGCTGGAATCCCCATGCCCTTCAGGTCCAGAACAGGCATCATTTTTTATTTTTTTTTGGATGTTGTTGGCTAATATCTCTACTAGGGAGATGGATCGAGATGAAGGAGAATAGGTTATCTGTATCTTGGCTAAAAATACTTCATCGACTAGGAAGATGATCCAGATCATGTGGGAAAACGATGATAAAAAATAAGAAGAGCTTGCGGACGCACGGGAAAGTGGTCCTCGTTAGCAGCTGTACATAGAACAGGGGTTGAAGATCATCAAAACATCGGAACGACTCTGCCACTCCAAGCGGTGGTCCAAAAAAACGCATTCGCGCTAGATCCCCAACATGTCCGGTAAGATGCACCTGCACGTCTTACATTGTGATCTCGTTCAATATATTTTTCAACGTAGAGACGGCGAAAGCCAATGAATACTTGCGCAGTCGATCATTGTGAATGCACCTCCTTCGTGCTCAGGACCACGAGCACGACACCTACTTCTAAGTATCTATATTAAGCAAGTCCCGCTGCAGCTGAACATCACCGTGCTGCTCGCAATTGGTGGTCGCTGATACGGGTGCCTCCCTTTTACATGGTGCCTTCGTTCTTTCTGACGCGTGGTGCCTTTTAACTGCACACCATAGAAATATGTTCTTGTCAAGTCAGCTGATGTCTCTTTGGACCAACATTGGGACGACTTTGTCTTTGTACTAGTGTAGTAGCTTGATTTGCTCGTAACGTGGTAGGGAATAAAAAAGGCTATTTACCAAAATGTTAAACTTGTACTTTTTGTCCTGATGAAGTTTCGAAGTGTGAAAGTGAAGCACGAGATGATGGTGATCTTGTTGTGGGACTAAGCTAGTTCTTGTTCGTCTACCTAATTACAATGCGGACGAACGTCGCATGAGAATGAGTATTGACTTTGAAGATGATTCGTTTTTCCACCTCATAAATTGCAGCGATGACAATGCCCATCGATTTTGAGTCTTAATTAAGTTATTACTTAGACCTACGACAAGGTCGTAGGATAAAAATGGATGCCATCAACATCGACGTTGTATCTATCATCAGTAGAAGATGAAGATAATACTAGATGACAAGTATTAATTTCAAGGGTTCTTGCGAATGAACCACCTCCACGTCCTCCTCAACCTACTTTTTATACTGCTTGATCAGCATTCGGATCCTGGATTACAATCAGCAAGTACTCCTTATCCGGTGCTACCATGATCTCGTGCTTTCGACTTCGGATTCGCAAAAAGGTTAAGTCGTTCTGGTGTTGTGATTGGAAAACGGAATAGCGCACTTGTAGTCGTAATTGTATTGTGACGGAAACATAAATAACACGTACCATGTGAGAGTCTTCCAAGTTCTTTAATAAGAGTCAGGGAAGAACAACTACAACGAGTCGTAGAGACCAATCATTAAGATCTTTGTTTAGAAGTTCTGTGCTTAGTATAGAGATCTTTCAATAGTGGATAAATATACCTGAGGATCCAAGTCCCTGACGACAGACCGCGCTTTTGCTGTGAGCTGGGAGATGAGACTTGAGTACTGCAGCGTAAATTTGAGATCCAGGGTTGATCGAATTGGCACGCCTTCTGCGTTGACAATTACGATCCCCTGCACACCCTTGTGCGTCTTAATGCGGTTCAACGTCTCTTCGACTTCGGACTGTGAGGGGACGTCGTGAGTGTCTTGAGAGACGGGGGACAGGTGTTGAGATTTTTATTATTAGTGAACGTACGCGGGTAATGGAGTGCTGAGTGGTTGTTTTGATTGGCGAGTGTTTGTGTCTTAGCTAGTGGTCGCCTCCTGGTCAGTAGCTCGTGCGTTTGAGAGCAATGTGCTGTTTCTTTGATGCCTTCAGACTGAAACGAGACAATCGTGTTTGAGAATTGAGAATGTGGATCAAAGGAAGTCCAAGATAATAATGTCCTTTATCTTTTTTCATCAAAACGTATAATGTCCTTTACACATCATGAGGATGTCCCTCCTCAGACGAGTCAATTTCAGAGTACCATCTTGACCGCGAGAGCGACGCGTCTAGACGACGGCTAGTTGTGTTTTCCCCCGCGTTGCAAAGATATTTCGCGTCCGCTGCTCTGCAAAAGAACTCTATATCGCCGAAAAGAACTCTATCTTTTATGCTACTTCTACTGCGTCGTAGTTCGTATTGATTCTAGTTCGATTCCTATGTATTCGTAGATGTTCTTCATAGAGTTCTTAGAGACATATCATATTATGATATAACTGTCACTGTAGTGAGTGTGTATGTGATCAGAAATCGTGAATTGTCGAGGTGGACATTCATCAACGATGGATGAGGACGACGTATCAGGTTATTATTAACTCATAGTTGAATTATGAACTAGATGAATTTTCGTGTGGTTGTAATTACAGATGAATGTACTTATGTTGCGATTGCGTCGAGGTCTCTCCCTGGACTTACACCAATTCAAGACGAAGACAAAACACCAGTATCTTTTGCATCTGAAGATGTGCGGTTGTCTCTCCATCTCTTCATGCATAGGTCCTCGTCGGTCACTTCTGATCTACTACGACCATTACAATTACAAGTTTTTCGAAGAGTTCGACGCGCCAGCAGTGGTGGGCGCAGAGAAAGCAAACATTTCACAGACACACAGAGACAGCTCAAGAATGAGATAGGAGCAGAAAACTCAAGTGAACTCTAGGATGCTAAAGCTAACAACTACTCAAGCAAAGCCGTGACATATAATTACAACGAACAGCAGGTAAAAAACAAACAACCTACAGAAAAAAAGAAGAACGAAGTTGCGAAAACAAGATGCGGAATCAGTTAGCTACATAGTTGTAGAAAGTTACTTTTAAGTTGCGAGAACGAGATGCGAAGTCAATTTTTAGAGAAGACGAGAAGGACTACGAAAAGCCTACTCATGGTTGGCTGTTGCCTGTCTTTCAACGTTAAGCATCAGTTTCCATTAAAGCCAGCACGAAAGTAAGTAGTCATGTAAACGAGTCGCGGGTCCTTAGCCTGATTTAAAGTCCTCGTAAGTAGAGACCTCCGATAAGCTAACACTTTTCTTTTGCTTGCAACGCACTTGACTGGTTCTACTTACACACGCCTAATCAGCTAAAAGATCATCCTCTTCGTCGACCTTGGCCGGCCCTTCTTCAACACATGGAGCGCCAATCAGCCTGCTTTTCTTGCGTCGGATCTTGAACCGAACAAATGACGCAGGGTCCTCAAGAATTTCTTGCTTCAAAGCGACAGCAGCACGAAAGGCCGATAGTGCGTTATCACCGTAGTCAGAAGGCCGGACATCCTTCGAGATGCGCCGCTTGGCACCATCGACAACAACAGGCACCGAAACACAAAGGCAACGCCGGGCCTGCGACCACGAAATATGAACAGGTAACACACTGGGCAGTCCAGCCAAGCCACCGTCGCCCGCGGCTCCGTACACATCAGGGATGGTCGCCTTCGGTGCACGAACTGAGTCGCCAAGGTCAACCTTGTGTCGTTTCCTCCTACGGCTGGCAATCTCAGCAGATGACTTAGTCGGCTTCTTCAGTGGTGCGTCAACCCGCTCAATTGTGTGTCTCTGGAGCACCCGTCGCGAGTGCCGGTACGCAACACTAACAGACTCAAAGGCACGGCCGACCCGCCCAGAAGAGCCAGCAACAGGCGCAGCACCGTGGGCTGCGTCGTCAGAGGCGCCAGATATGCTCAAGTCAAAAGAGGACGAACCGTCGGACCTGGCGCTAGCTCCCTCTGCCCAGGCAGTACACTCCTGACAAAAACACTCAACTAGGCTGATAGAGCCATCTCTACAAGTGCGGCACCTCAAGAACGAGCACGAAGTCAGAGCCTCATAGACACGCGCGTTTGCAGCCTGGATCTCATCACTAAAAGAGGCCGGCACCACAGGCTTCGTCGCAAGAGCTGCCAATTCGTCAGTGTCAAAAAGCGTCGCCAAATGATGCAAGTCGCCGTCTTCTTTCGTTGTGCTAGAGTGCATCCGCAAAACCTCAGCAAGAGCATCTCCCTCACGGAAACACGTCGGCGCCTGCAGGGAGCTCTCATCAGTCTGCTCAAAGGCGGCGCGCATCGGGCACGAGACCTCATGCGCCAACAACTCATCAATCCGGCTTGGTGCAGCAGCGTCTGCAGGGGGCGCAGCGCAGACAAGTGGCCCAAGAGTGTGATCCCGGCAGAAAAGCCCGTTAGCCGTGAATGGTCGCATGTGCCATCCAAGGACCGACTTGTCACAAAAACGGCAGCGCGCCTGTTGAATAGCCCCAGGCATCACAGCATCCTCGTAGATGATCCTGAGCTCGTAAGAGGTGAACTTGCAGATAGAGAAGTCATACCAACGACGCAAAGAGTTAAGCGCTGGGTCAATCTCGAAACAGTCGCCACGTTTGTAAAGCTGGGCGATCCAGTGCGTCTTTGCATTGCGCCTCGCGAATGGTGTCATCTCTCGATCTCTATCATAGAGCTTCAACGTCATCCGAATGCGCATCTCGTAGAGAACAGTATTCCAATACTCGACCGAAGAAACATTTTAGTAGAAACAAGTTACTCCTTCTCCTGACACTCCAAAAATTCCTGCTCGACCAGCACAAGCAGAACCACCAACTTGTAAGCGTAACGCTCTCCGAGAAAGGAGACCATGACCGGCGTGTGGCCTTCTCGGAATCAATTGAATTTGAAATTGATTCTCTGTTCTTGTGGAATAAGTGATCTACTCATCAAGTACGAAGCAGTAGGCAATCGGTTGTCAATTTCTTGAGTAGATACTTTTAGCAAATTGCGTTCCTGTGCAAAAGACATCATCAAGAATGTGAATCAGTTCTATGGTGCATTCATCTCTTGTGTCGTGAATCCCCTACTCCTTTATGCGGCTGTAGTCAATCTTTCATCTCCGCCTATGCGGTATGGTGACAGTCATCAACCTTCGTGCTTGGCACCAACTTTTTACTGTCGCGACTTCATCTTGCGCTGTCTCAGAGTTGATATAGAGGCAGAAAGTCGACAACCATGACCATCAAACATCTACCTCTTCTAAGAAACATGGTCCTATCCTTGGTTTTCCACACCACAAGACTACGCTTTCATCTCAAGCAACGGATGGATCAACATATACTCATTACGATAAAGGTAAGGCCCTCTATATTCGGTCCTGAGTTCAGCGAACCACCCAGGTCATATTTTCTTCTTGAAGAAGACTGTCTAGTCAGTGCCTACTTACTTCTATCCAGTGAATATGAGATGATGCCAAGTCATGCTTAGACAACGTTGGCCACTACAACTAAAAAATGCAAATTTGGATTTAGAAAAATGAAAACCACAAGAGCTACTCCCTTTTCATGCGTCAAACAATTACCATCTTTTCGAGTTCTCGCTATCATCTTTGCCTCCTACTTGGAGGTAGCATTAACTCTTATAAGTGACGTTGACACGACGCTGCACTCAGGCACCATGATGTCCCCGCTGTAGTGCGAAGTTCTCGCGTAAAGCGAAGAACCAGTGGCAACGATATTCAATAGAGAAAGTTTCGTTTTGACAGAGGATCGATAGATACCAGTTTACTAGATTGGTGTAGTGAGTAGCGCCTGCTGTAGACATGATAAACCGAAGCGAACTGGTGAGGACATAGACTTTTTTATGCCTCATTTCTTCATGTTATACATTACGTCTAGAAGAAAGATGATAAGGTTCGTGTGATGATGTTGATCAAGTTCAATTCATGGATATGACAGATAAATGCTGCATCTCATTTACTTATACGTAGTACATTTATCATTCCTGCTATAGATATGCCCTACGTAAACTTATGCTATTGCTAATGCTAGTCTTCTTGAAGACTCTATTCATTATTATGTTCTTTCCAGCAGGTCCGATTTGTTTTCTATTTGTTTTACATGTCTTGTAAGGAAAGGAACTTGATGTTTGTTATGTTCTTGATTTTAATATCAAATTCTGCGATGTACTGCATGTAGATGTTATTTCATTAGGAGCGTCAGCGTTTTGTTTGTTTTTATTAGACCAGGATTTTCCTCGTTGCGCGACCTTGTTATTTTTTCGTTTTTGGCTAGCCTAAGAAGGCCCAACTCTCTATGGACCGACGTCGCCACTCCGCTAGCCTCGCAGTGGACCCGCTGAGCCGGAACCCCTCGTCTGGGATGGCAACCAGTGGACTTTGCAGGCGTCCCCAGGGGAGCCGCCTCCCTTCGGAGGCTCTGGTCTGGGAGGCTCGGGAGGGGGTCAAAAGGGGGGGCAAAAAGGGCCCACTTTGACCCCCCAAACGAGGGGGTACAACAGGCAACACTTTTGGCCCCAAAAGTGTCGCCTGCTGTACCCCCCCAGGCCCCCTAAAGTGGGGTCGTTTTAATGCCGAAAAAAGTGTCGACATTTTATTTTCAAAAATGGGGTGCAAAATGGCCCCCATTTTTGTCGCCTCTTTTTTTTCAAAATGGACCCGTTTTGCGTACCCCTTGGTTGGCTCCGCATTTTGGTCTAGGTTTGCCATCATTCATGGCGGGCCGGATCGCCTTGGGAGGTGCTCCGCTGTCGATATCGACGGCGCCGAAGGCCCATGGTCGCGCAGCGTCCAAGGCGTAGGGGAGTTCGCCAGGCCTTGCCACTAGCGGCATTTTTGAAAAAAAAGTAAGGTTGTGCAACGAGAAAAATCCTGGTCTAATTTTATGAATTGTATGTAATTCAATGCATTATACATATGTTTATGGCTATGACAAATATTTCTTGTTGAATAATGATAAATTCTAATCCAGATGACTACTAGTAGTATTACGACACTGCATCCTTAAAGTGAACTCCCAAACCCACTTCCATATTTGGAAATGAGGCGCAAGCACTTGTTTGGGCTGTAGTACTTCTAGTATGCCTAGTAGTAAACATTTTGAAAATGAGCATTGATCTCTTAGGTGTTCACGATCTGTACACTGTAGATTCTGTCCGATGAAGAATATTGTAGATGTAGTCAATTCGCTGGATGATGCGCGCCCACGTATCTTCTCTTAGTCGTAGACGAGGAACTCCTTGACCCAAGATGAAAGTCGGTCTCTTCCCGTCAGACCACCAACAGAACTCCGTAGCGTTCAAGATAACCTGAGTTGTAGGAGTTTTAGTTTCCTTGCATACAAAAACGACAAAAGAGATTACAACGCTCCTGAGGGATTCGTATGAAGGTTGTCAACAAGCTAATTACAAAGAAATGATCATACGGACGGAGTGGATAAGGATATGGCCTCTTTGAATATTGAGTTCCTTTCTAGCTCGATCGCTTGTAAAATTATCTGTACCCCAATAATTCATCGCGCACTCTTCCCCTGCAGTTCATCCACTTCCTGATTTCAAAAAAAAGCAATCCGACCAGCTTCACTATGTGAGGTTTCTCTTAATCTAAAGAGTCTGACTTGTTTTCTTGCGCTAATCAATGTCTGCAAAATCCAACAATATTTCTACCAGTATGACAATGAACCATCTACCTAAGTAGTTGTAGAATAAAAAAAAAGTTCTTCTCGAATTGTAAGATTTTCGAACGCGAATACCACTTCCAACTTTTTCCCCGCTCGCCAAATTGATCTTCAGCCAACGTAGAATATGACATTTCCTCCACCCACGTCATGGTCTACCCAGCATTCATCACAATGCAGATATCCGAATACCGGAGTAGAAGCGAGCCCGCCGAATACTGTAGTAAAAGCAAACCCGCCTCCTGCGAGTGGTAGTATCTGAGTCGGAAGATGTCAATTGAAGAAATCTTGGATGCCTAATGACTTGTTGATAATATATGAGAAGTAGTACATCAAGAATAGATCATTATTCTCAAAAAAAGTCGTTTTCTGCTTCCTTGAATACAGCTTCTGAGAGTTTTTTATGATGTGTTTTTCATAGCCTCGTTTTTAGTTTCCTACTGCAATTAACCCAGAGGATATCGTGTATACCCAGTGACATCCTGCACCTCAATATTTTCCTGCTCGTCTGTATCCTGCTACTTACATCGCGATCGCACACTTGGTGTCTTGAAGAAATAGTAAAATTCAAAAATCCATCGCAGCTGTCTTATCCTCCACATTTAGAAACTCCGACTTATTGCTTTGCACCTTCATCGTTGTACCTGAAAGTGGTGTGTCGAGTTCAAGTCAGGAAACTAAGAGTCAGGAAAAGAAATGGAAAATCAAGAATGGGAACATAAGAAAGAAGATGGATTTCTCTTGCACCGTCCGTTTGTAGACCTTACAACAAGGCAAGAATGTGGTTTCTGTCCGTGTTGATTCTTGAAACCTACTCTCTCATTTGATCATTAAAATGACCTCCAAATATTGGTTGTCTCCGCTCCCCAGATTTTGTTGTTTCGCCAAAGTCCTCCGCCATACTTTGGCCGCCTCCTATATTCCACACCACCATTACATACACACGTTCTCCGAAGAGAGTAGAACAGGACCCGCCTTCAACGAGTGAATGTACCTGAATGAGTAGGAGGATAATATCTATGAGGGATTGAAAGAAGCAAAAGGATTGCACTTTCCATGATTTCAAGAAAGTGAAAAGTTGGGGGTATCAAACCTTGTGTTGTACTTTTAACCTTGTGTTGTAGTTTTTTCATGAATATTCATTGGTATTTCTTGTCTCGTGGCCTTCACCATAGTGACAGTAAGAGGTAAATACTATCACCACAAGAACATCAACATCAAGGGGTAAAAAATACCATTTACTGCTGCAATGGCAGCAGAGGTCTCTGCTCATCGGATTTGCTACGGGTGCGTCGCAAGCACTTGCGCAAAACCAAGGCACCGAGAAAAGCACCTCCTACACACAGTGCGGCGGACGATGGATCCACGTACGTGAGGAAAGCCGAGGAAGATGATTGTAGACCGCGGATTGACGTGATGGACGGACTGGTTGATGTGGAGAGGAAGGAAGAACCTGAAACGGGTTGTTTGGACTGCAGGAGGCAGACATTCTCGTTTTCATAACAGTAGAGCCTCATCTTGTCCAGGACTGAGAGCATCTTGTCGTCGATGAAAGTGTCACTGTCAGCTATGTCAAACAGAAGCGCGTGTTGGATGGGCAAGCCCGTGCTCTCACTAAACCATTTCTCCTTAGCTTCTGTGAGCCGCTCCGATTCCTTTTCCACCAAAACACGTAGCCGCTCGAACAGTGAACCAAAGCTAGTGAAACTGCCACTCGTCTCGGGTGCTATTTCAATCTTCAACAGCTGACGTGACACCTGCAACGCGCGGAACCACTTGTCTTCACCTTCGAGATGATCTATTTTGTCTATCCTGTCCTTCAAGTTCAGGTACTCAAATGTATAAGTTTTTTTTGGGTCTTCCCCAGGTGGAGAGAACTTGTCGATGCTTGTGAGCGCTTTAGTCATTTCCTCTGCTATTTGCGTGTGATCATGCGGTGGGTACACCCCTGCCTCATGGAGTAGATTTCTTACTTGTTCTGCCCGTCCTTTGTCTGGCTGTTGTAACGACCGATGCTCACGTCCCACGCGGCTCTGGTCGGCATACTTCTGCATCTGGTCGGCATACTTCTGCAACTTTCCCGCACGTGATGTAGCGTCGCCGATGATCCTGACGGACTCAACAAACTTTCCGATGTTCGTGAGGTCTCCAGAAGTTTCATCTCCTGCTTCAATATCTTCTGGTAATTCATCTGGATGGGCACCAGGTCCACTAAATTGATGTGGAACTACATTTTGACCAGTTGATGTACTAATTCCATGTTGTTCTGGCTGCATATCATGATCACTAGCCCCCGCACTGCTCCAGGCCCGGCCGTCCGCGTCGCTGCCGCCGGCCAGGCCCTCCGCTGAACTGCCGCCGGCCTCGCTGCCGGCGGACTGCTCTGGCACTTCGTCTTTTGGCTCTTTGTTCGCCGCACTTCTAACGGCATCGCTGTCCCTCGCTTTGCCGGCGGCGTCCCCAGCTATGCCGGCTGTCCCCCCAGCTGCGACTCTTTTCGGACGTCCACCTCCCGGCGGCATCTTCTTCAATTCTGACAAACTACAATTTTTTGAACTGTTTGAGCTTCTAAGCAAAAATGGAATTGCAACACTATGAACTATAATATAATAATAACCGAGACCGTTAGGCTTTTGAACCCAACCCGAAACAAAGAATTTAAAACAGCCAATTCAAAACAAGGAATTTGAAACAACCCAATCCGAAACAAGGAATTTAAAACAGCCAACCCGAAGCAAGGAATTTGAAACAGCCAATCCAAAACAAGGAATTTGAAACAACCCAACCCGAAGCAAGGAATTTGAAACAGCCAAGCCAAAGCAAGGAATTTGAAACAAGGAAACTGGAACAAGGAATCCGAGACAAAGAATCCGAGACAAGGAAGCTGGGCCAAGGAATCTGAGGCCAGGAAGCTGAGACAAGGAATCTGAGACAAGGAAGCTGAGACGAGGAATCTGCGGCAAGGAATCTGAAACGAGGAAGCTGAGACAAGGAATCTGAGACAAGGAATCTGAGCCAACCTGTCCAAGACCAAGACAAGCAATCCGAAACCGCCTGCCTGATGCAAGCCATCCGAAGCAAGCCATCCGAAACAAGCCATCCGAGCCGAGCTATCCGAAACAAGCCACCCGAGGCAAGCCACCCGAAACAAGAGACGCGCCCACTTTTTGACCCTGCCCGAAACAAGGAAGCTGAAACAGCCGCGAGGAATCTGAGACAGCCAATCCAAAACGAGGAATCTGAAACGAGGAACCTGCGACAAGGAATCTGAAGCAAGGAATCCGAGGCAAGGAATCTGAGGCAAGGAATCTGAACGAAGCAAGGAACCTGAAGCAAGGAATCTGAGACGGCCAGCCCAAGGCAAGCAATGCGAGACAGCCTGTCTGAAACAAGCCACCCGAGACAAGCCATCCGAAACAAGAGACGCACCCGAAGCAGAGAACCTGAGCCAGCCAATCCAAGGCAAAGAATCTGGGCCAAGGAATCTGAGACAGCCTGTCCAAGACAAGCAATCCAGAACAGCCTGTCTGAGACAGACCATCCAAAAAAAGCCATCCGCTACAGCCTGCCTGAAGCAAGCCATCTGAAACAAGCCCAGGCTTCTCTAATACAAGCCCAAAACTTTCCTCACAGACACACCACCACACCCACACCACCACACCCACACCACCACACCCACACCACCACACCCACACCACCACACCCACGCCACCACACCCACGCCACCACACCCACACCACCACACCCACACCACCACACCCAC